GGAGTTTGCAGTCTCAGTTGTTCTTGATCTGTCTTTCTCTTCTGCTTGGATTGACCAGTTCTGAGGGGGAGGCGGTATCTCTGATCATATGTGCTTTTTAATCCTTTGTTATGTTTTGCCAGCTAAATCCAAACCTATCCCTAACCTTTTCAGGCTTCTTCAGTCTTCACTCTGTTCCGGTTAACCTTCTGCTTCTCCAGCTAATTCTGCAGCCAGGAGGAGGTGTGACTCCCACGTTACAAGTCTAGCTGTGCTGTTGACTCATGCTCTGCACTCAAAACAGCCATATGCTTTTTAAGAGGAAGGCTTATACAATGCAGCCACGCAAGGTCTCCCAGAGCACACACTCTTACAAGAGCTGTGAGGTTTCTGCTTGTTCTCCCCATTAATTGAAACTGGCGATGATGCAGTTTGGCACAGCAGACGCACACGGTTATGTAAGCCTTTACTACAGTCCAAAAATATACATCAGGAAGAGTCACCTGTACACTTCACAGGGCTGTACCAGGCAACAGAGTAATCAAGCTGGCGGAAGCAAAAGTGGATGCCCTCCTTCTCATCCACATTCATGTCCCCAGCTGAGATTTAGGGAGCAATCCTGTAGCAAGATCCACCGGGACGAGTGGGTTAGCATCCAGTGGATCCCTGGCTGAGTAGGGAAGTTCCTGGTGCAGCCGAGCTGCGCTGGTTTAAGTCCTGCATCCTCAGCTCAACCAGAGATACACAGGCAAATCTCCCTCCTCAGCTGGGACCCAGCCAGCTGAGCTGAACCTGGTAGATTTTAATCCTGTCTGAACCTTGAAAAAAGGGTGTGGTTGGGACTAGATGGAAGGGAACTTATACTGGATCCTAAACCCATTCAACTTGGTCACATGACCTGGCAATCAAGTGCAAATTAAGGGTGGTGTCACTCAAACAAATGTTTTCCCTCTGCAAGGCTTAGGGTTTGGACCTGAACGGCGTTTGGATCTGGTGAAACCTTATGTCAGCTTAATTTACGCCAGCTTGCTTTATGCCAGTTTCTTGCGTGCAGAATTGCTCCCTAAAAATGGCTGAGGTGTATGAATCCTGTCCCAGGGATCTGAGTGATGGAAAGCTGGTTGGGGAATTCCTTAGCAATGCAATAATGAGGAGTCAATATGAGTTGCGGCATAACTCAGGGTGCTATAGCCTCGAGCTGCTAATGCGTTGCTTTGTGAATGGTGCCAGTTCAGATGCTCCAAACACAAGATACTTAGGGAAAGCTCCAGATTATCAGTTGTTAGGAGATGGGCCAGCCTAATTATACAGAAGCAGTTGACCTCTGAATGCCAAATGCTGGAGACAGACAAGAGACAATCTTGCCTTTGCACCTTGCTAGAGTTGTCAGAATGGCTACTCTTGGTCACTCCAGCAAGACAATTCCCAAGTTCCTCTGAGACGAAATCAAACACAAGGTGCAGCTAAGATCACTTCCAGGTGGCCTGTTTATTGAGCATTCGTTCTCATTTGTTTGTGGGGAGGTTATAGCCTCAATCAATCACTTTCCTGTCCCTTTCCTTTGGGGAGGAAGTGGGCGCAAGAGCACCACACCAACTTTCTTTGCACAACCTGAACTAGCTGGCATGTGATTGAATCCCACTCAAAAGAAGCAGCCATCTGGAAGTGCCCTAATGCTCAAATTACATGGAAGAAGTAAAGCGAGAGAGAGAGAGGCTTTTATTTATTCAATACTTTTGTATGTAAAAGGAAGCATTTTTGAAGATGGAAAGAGAGTTGTGATCTTGCTGTGAGCTTCTTGGTTTTCATTTCCATTGATCATAAAACTGATGGTATCCTTTTCTCATGTGACTAACCCATAAAGGCCAAATGCTGTTATTGGATCTCCTGTAGGTTTTCCTGTGGATAAATAAATGCAAATCTTGGGGGCTGTGATTCAGGTTGGGGCTCTGGCATAGAAGGGGTGGTAGTTAAAGCTTTCACCTAGAGCCATTTTTTCTAACCCATTCCCTGCCCCCGCCCCCATGAGAGCATGGTGGCCATTTTGGCTGCTGTGATCTTGCACAATTTCACGCTGCACTTTTGTCTTTCCTGTGGCTCCCCAAAATGCACGTTTTTGGGTGCTGTGCCACAAAAGTGTTTTTCTTCCCAGGTCTGCGATCTCATGCTGGTCACGTGAGTTGTATGGGAGTGCGTCCCTTGAAGATGGTGTCCCGGATTTTCATTGTGACGTGTTGGTGGATATGCTTTACTGTCCTGGAACTATTTGCTTCCTGGATCAAAACATGCAAATATTGAATAGGTTTGACTACCTGTATGTCTGGCTCCACAGGGAAATAACAGTGCAGGGTGATGGTAGGCAGAGCACAATTGAGATTTATTTAAGATAAATTTGTTGGGGAGTTAAACCAACCCTCCTGATCTGTTGCAGCCCCAATCCAAACTGGGGTGGGGTGAATACAGTTCTATTTTCCATTAAAACAACAACTACTGCAGGAGACCTGATCACAGAACCCTTCTTGCCACATCTTGCTTCTCCCTGTTTCTTTTCAAGGTTTTTCTCAATACCTCCTGCAGAAAATGATAAGCTCCCGAGTGAATTTCAGATCTACCAAAAAGAGAATACATGTACTTCTTCTGGCCAGATTCTGAGTGTTGATTGGGGATGTGTGATTGGGAGTGGAAAGGCAACAGGCAGCAGGAATAATTAATTATTCCCTTATTGCCAATTCCCAACTCCAAATCCTGCCCTCCTGCAACTTCCTCACAGTTGTGAGGAACCTTTGGCCCTCCGGATGTTGCTGAACTACAACTCCCATCAGCCCTAGCAAGCATGGCCAAAGGGCAGGGACAATGGGGTTGTAGTTCAGCAAGATCTGAAGGACCAAATGTCCCCCACACCTGCTGTAGGGTTTAAAATATGTGCTTGAATACTCTCAGTTCATGCTGGCCATCCCTCAGAATCTCATGCAAAATGGGCAGGGGGATTGCAGAAAAAACAGGGCAGTTCCTTGCCTGTACTTAGAAAATTGCTTCTGAGTTTGGGTCTTTGTGAAATGCGTATGCATAGCCAGGTAATCCAAGCATATTTCAATAAACTGCAATGCTAGTCACACATCGTGGCATGGGGATGATGGGGCCACCTATGAATTCAAATACAGTGGTACCTCTGGATGCAAATGGGATCCATTCCTGAGCCCCGTTTGCACCCTGAAGCGAACGCAATCCGCGCCTGCACGCGTCACAATTCGCTGCTTCCGTGCATGTGCGTGACGTCATTTTGAGCATCTGTGCATGTGCGAGCGGCAAAACCCAGAAGTAACACGCTCCATTACTTCTGGATTGCGTCAGAACATAATCTGAAAATGCTCAACCTGAAGCACATTTAACCTGAGGTATAACTGTAAAATATTTCAGGTAAGTGAGATAACAGTAATACACGGAGGGTGGAATTATGCTTTGTTGGGCCTCACGTATTCCAGGCATTGCATATGCAAATTATTTGTACAATGTAGGTAATTCCCTGCAAAGGAGACATTAGGTAAGACTCAGACGTCTCTCTTTTTTAAAGAAAGAAAGAAAAAGAAAAACACTTTCAGTGGTACTGAGTCACCATGGCTGAGAATTCTCAGGAAAGCAAACCAAAATGTTGACCTGAGGTTCTCTGAAATGTTCCTTATGGCACCCTTCCCAAAAGGAGATTGAGCCAAACAGCTGCTGATATGGAAACCAACTGTTTGAACTGCAGTGCACTTACATATGTTAATCGCGTCAAGCACGCCTTGCAAACGTGATGCAGGAAATGACTAAACCTTTAGTGCTTGTTATTTAGCAGTATTCCTGGAGACACGTAGGTGGTGTGGACAGCACGGTATGTGCATTAAAGTGCAATTTAGGTCAATGATTCGTTGAAAGGTCCAGCCTTAACTTTATCCAATTTCCCCCTTCCCCCCCCAGCAATGATCACCTTCAAGAAAGTTTTACAGTGAAACCTTGGTTTTCTAACGTAACCCGTTCTGAAAGACCGTTCGAGTTCCGAAACGTTAGAAAACCGAAACCTCAATAGCTGACAGCTACGCCTCTGGATTTTGCACTCAATGGAAGCCACACAGCTAGTTTGACTTCCGACACTTGTTTGAAAATGGAAGCATTTACTTCCGGGTTTTTGGCGTTCGAAAACCAAAACATTTGACTTCCCAGATGTTTGAAAACCAAGGTACCACTGTATTTCCTCAAGAAGTGCAGATGAAAACAAGTCAAAAACTGGAACGCATCACATAGCACAAAATCTCTCGTTACTCAGTTCCATACGGTTTCCTTTTTTTCATTGATATCTTTGTAACAAAAACTGTGTACAGTGGTACCTCAGGTTACATATGCTTCATGATAGAAGAATGGAGAACTAAAATGCAGAACTGGATAGAATAACAGGAAGGATCCGGAATCGACGAGATCAAAGATTTACAGAAGATTGGGAAAAGTTTATCCAATATATGCAAAAACTGAGTGATAATAAAATTACGTTTGTAAGCTTTAAGGAAGCTCTGTGAGGGGAAAGGTTAAAAGGGCAGAAATGTGTAAAAAGTAACAATAGGAAGGAATGGCAGACAAATTGAGGGAAGTCAAAAAAGAAGTAATGTAATTAAGATGTATGGAATGTATAAATTAGTTTTTGTATTTGAAAACTAATAAAAATATAATATATATATATATATTAAGGTTACATATGCTTCAGATTGCATACACTTCAGGTTACAGACTCCGCTAACCCAGAAATAGTGCTTCAGGTTAAGAACTTTGCTTCAGGATGAGAACAGAAATCGTGCTCTGGTGGCGCGGCAGCAGCAGGAGGCCCCATTAGCTAAAGTGGTGCTTCCGGTTAAGAACAATTTCAGGTTAAGAACAGACCTCCAGAATGAATTAAGTACTTAACCCAAGGTACCACTGTATAAGGATTATGTAGTATTGCAAAGCTACCCATTTGTATAAAGTAGATTTTTTAATTTGTAAAAAGAACAATTGCTGGGATAGCTCAATTGGTAGAGTGTGAGATTCTTAATCTCAGGGTCGCAGGTTCGAGCCCCATGTGGGGCAAAAGATTCCGGCATTGCAGGGGAATGGGCTAGATATCCCTCATGGTCCTTCCAGCTCTATAAGTCTATAAGAATATACAGTGGTACCTCAGGTTAAGAACTTAATTCGTTCTGGAGGTCCATTCTTAACCTGAAACTGTTCTTAACCTGAGGTACCACTTTAGCTAATGGGGCCTCCTGCTGCCGTCACACCGTCATCGTGCGATTTCTGTTCTCATCCTGAAGCAAAGTTCTTAACCCGAGGTACTATTTCTGGGTTAGCGGAGCCTGTAACCTGAAGCGTCTGTAACCTGAAGCGTCTGCAACCCGAGGTACCACTGTACTCATATTCTATGAAATGCAGCAGTTAAAATCTGGTTACCTTCAGGAACGCCTTACCCAGTATACCCCTGCCAGATCACTTTGAGCCTTGGGATACTGGGGCACGCTTAGAAGTACTGCTCTTGTTTGTCTTAGGTCCACTAAAAACAGGGTCTTTAGTGTGGTTGCACCTCCCCTTTGGGATGCTGTTCCAATGAAAATCAGATAAGCACCTATAGTCCTGGCATTTAGGTGCTTGTTTAAAACACACCTGTTCACCCAGACTCTCCCTGAAGGGTGATATATAAATCTGATCTATTTCTGATGCGTTTGCATTTGTTTTACGGTTGTAATTCATTCCTGATTCTATACTGTTAACAGCCATGATATCGTCTCTTAATGTTGGCTGGGCAGGAAAATTTGCAAATAAAACCAGCAAATAATAAATGTGGTGGCAGAAAGAACAACTCTGGAGTGACTTGAACTTTCCAGAGGAAGGTAGGCTTACAGGGGTGGCTGTAGGGAGAGTCAAGGGATAATAAACCACAGAGATGAAATGGCCTGAAGCAACATCCAGTGCAACTCTTTTCCATTCTTGGCATAGCTAAAGCAGATCATATTATACCTAAAGATGTGCAGTGCAAGGGATGTCAGGCACTGTACTTGGATGCCCTGCCTCAGATGCCACATGTAGTCACAGTGGCTGCAGGCTGCAGTTATTGCAGTGGCTAGATTGCAAGAGGAATCTCACCACATTCATTCTGAGAAAGCCTTTGGATGGGCTTCAGCTACAGGTATGGCAGGCACAACTTTCTCAGGAACCTTCTTCCTCAGGGGTCAGCAAACCTTTTCAGCAGGGGGGCAGTCCACTGTCCCTCAGACCTTGTGGGGGGCCGGACTATATTTTTTTTTGGGGGGGAATGAACGGATTCCTATGCCCTACAAATAACCCAGAGATGCATTTTAAATAAAAGCACACATTCTACTCATGTAAAAACACGCTGATTCCCGGACCGTCCGCGGGCAGGATTTAGAAGGCGATTGGGCCGGATCCGGCCCCCGGGCCTTTGTCTGCCTACCCATGTTCTTCCTGTTCCACACACCGTTTTTGAAATGTGAAGAAGCAGGGGCACCCTTACAGAAGCTCACAAACTTTTCTTTGGGTGGAAGAGGTCCGCAGTGCCGCCTCTCTTACTTGTCCCACCGTGGCAGTGACTGGTTCTTTGGTACAGGAGAATGGCTTGCCTCCTTGCCCACTGGAGGAACATGAAAGCAAGAAGCTGTGTCATCCAGTGGAAGTGGGAGACAGGGAAGATAGGTTAGTGTGGCAGTACCAATCCTTTGTAACTCCCTCCCTATTGAGATCAAGTAGGCACCTTCACTGTACTCTTTCTGGTGTCTGCTGAAAACATTCCTGCTTAGACAAACCTACCCAGATGCTTAGAAATTTGAGGGAATTTTAATCTGTTTTTGTATTTTAACTTTTGTACATTTTAAAATAAGACTGTACAATCTTCTTTGTTTTCCTATGGTTTTTTAGTTTTGGTTGTGGGGTTGTTGTTTTTTATAATCAAGTGCTGCATAAATTTTATGGATATATATATACATATACACACACACACACACACACACACACACACACACACACATACACATATATATATATATATATGTATGGGACACGGGTGGCGCTGTGGGTTAAACCACAGAGCCTAGGACTTGCCGATCAGAAGGCCGGTGGATCAAATCCCCACGACGGGGTGAGCTCCCGTTGCTTGGTCCCAGCTCCTGCCAACCTAGCAGTTTGAAAGCACCTCAAAAGTGCAAGTAGATAAAAAGGTACCACTCCGGCGGGAAGGTGAATGGTGTTTCCATGCGCTGCTCTGGTTCACCAGAAGCGGTTTAGTCATGCTGGCCACATGACCCGGAAGCTGTACGCCGGCTCCCTCGGCCAATAAAGCGAGATGAGCACCGCAACCCCAGAGTCGGTCACGACTGGACCTAATAGTCAGGGGTCCATTTACTTTTACCTTTATATATATATATATTAGCTGCACCGGCAGCATATCTATTTTTTCTTGTATCCAAAAATGCAAGAAGGGCTTTTACACTTGCCAGAAGCTCGGCTCTGCCCTCGCCGGTCTTGGAAGGATCCTTTAAAGAAGTCCCATATGACCAGAGAATTTGTGCCTGTCCATTGGGGGATATAGGAAGCCCCGAACACATATTTTTTAGATGTCCCTTTTACGATGAGGCACGTAGAGAAACCATTGACCCCCTGCTAGTGAGGCTTACTGACCTGCCAGTAAAGCAAAAATTTGATCTTCTCCTGTTAGGCAAAGATCACAAGATGACCCAGATGGTCGCCAGATCCTGCGCACAGATCTGTAGGCGCAGACCATCCCCCGATTCAATACAGTTTGTTAAGAAAATTCCCAAACTCAAATCCACAGGCAGCTCTGGGTCATTTCTCTATAGTAGTCTATCTTAAAGTTTTTATGTGTTTATATGCCTACCACATTTTTAAACTTAAAATCCATTGTTGTATATTGTTTTAAATGTTTGTTTTGCTTTTGGGATTGTAGTTCCATTTGTGTTTCACAAGCTGGTCTCTGACCGTAATAAATTTCATGTTCACATGTGTGTGTGTGTATATGTATATATGTTGTTGTTTAGTCATTTAGTCGTGTCCGACTCTTCGTGACCCCATGGACCAGAGCACGCCAGGCACTCCTGTCTTCCACTGCCTCCCACAGCTTGGTCAAACTCATGTTAGTAGCTTCAAGAACACTGTCCAACCATCCTGTCCTCTGTCGTCCCCTTCTCCTTGTGCCCTCAATCTTTCCCAGCATCAGGGTCTTTCTTTTCCAGGGAGTCTTCTCTTCTCATGAGGTGGCCAAAGTATTGGAGCCTCAGCTTCAGGATCTGTCCTTCCAGTGAGCACTCAGTGAGCGCATATATATATATATAGGTATATGGAAAAGACTGTGCTGGGGAAAAAATTACTAATCTGACCTTCATTCCTGTATAGCTGATGTGTTGGAAGTCTTAGGTTCATGACCTGAAAATATCAGCCTCTCATTGACCATGATTACAAGTAATTAATGGTCTTATTAGTGATACTCTAAGTTGACTGCAGTGAAAAGAATGTGGAAATCAACAGCATGCACTGTGACTCAGACATTATGGTGGCAGTGGGATAAGTGAAAGAACAGTTATTCAGCTGCAGTAAATAAAACTGGGTCAAGTAATTGTGCACAGAAGAAAACATAAGTGATTACTAATGGATCTTCTTCATTTTTGGAGGCCAGTTGTGACGAAAGAGCTCATTAGAGCAGATTCTAGGCTAGAAGTTACGCATGCACTCGTAATTTAATTACACCCAGTGATAGTTGCCTTTTCCTTCATATCTTGCTATTTTAAAGTATCAATTCAGCGAACCCAGTGTCTGAGAAATCATTTTAAAAAGGAACCAGCCCAAATTCATCCTTTTACAAAACAAACTAGTTCAGTTCCAACACCCAGCCTCCAAAATGTTACGAGCTGTTCTGTTGAAGTATAGGATCCAAAAGTAATTCAGGGGCCACACAGAAGTAATAAGATGTCTGAAAGAACAGGAATGCCAATTCCCCATATGAGTGTTTCCATACTAGAAAAGGCTTACTGTGTTTAATTTATATCAGCCACAAAGCTATTAAAGCCATAAGCCAACATTCACTTTGTTCATTCACTTTGTTCATGTACCTGCATGTCTTGCTACAAGTTGCTCTTGTTAGAAGAGAATCAATCACTTCAGCAGGGAAGATACAGGAAATCCCTCACATTCCTTCCTTCTGATGGCTTAGCAACAGTGATTAAGTAACCAAGTGTCCTTTTGCAACAGCTGCACCTCTGTATCTGCCTAATTCTAAGACTTGAATGCTGCCTTCACATTTTGTTTTCTAACTTTCTTTATGTATTTCATTAAATTTATACACTGCTTGATTGTAAAAAAAAAACCCTCAAATCAAGAAAAAATTACAACCATGCTTTCTTTATATATGTTTGTCTGATTGACTTACTTTTTAAAAATGTCATACACCAAAAATTGTCTATTTAACCAAATCAGACTATAAGAGCTACAGAACACATTTTTACTGATTTTAATATATTAGCAGTGTGAGAATGTGTGACTCCACAGCTGTACCAGAGAAGAGTAATCCTAAAAATGTAGTGATTTTCTGGGTTGCATAAGAGCATAGTCACCATTTATTTCCTTGAATTATGTTTGTTTGTGGCAGTGGCACAGTGATGAAACATAACTAGTTGCTTTTTGTCTCATGCTGGTTAGACTTGAAACGTTGTGAAGAAAAAGTCCCTCAGACTTTGTCCTGGGACTTTCCATTGATCACCAGAGGCTGATGCATTGCAGTGTTGTATGTAATCAGTTCCTGAAGGGCTGTTACTGCAATACTTCAATCTTCTCCTTAGAAATGTTTACTCTAGTTCAGAGATGGTGAACCTGTGGCCCTCCAGATGTTGCTAGACTACAGCTCCCATCAGTCCCTTCCAGCATGATCAATGGTCAGAGATGACAAGAACTGAAGCCTAACAACATCTGCAGCATTACACAGTGGCGTCGCAAGGGGGCGGGGGGGCAGTGCACCCTGGGTGCCATGTCTGGAGGGGTAACAAGAAGGCACCCCATGGGGTGCTTGCCCTGGGCGCGGCGACGCAAGCAGCCCTCGCGCCACTGCAGCCGCATGTGGAGGATCCTCTATTCAAGGCTGCAGCTGCAAGCAGAGGATCCTGCCACCATCCGTATGGTGTTCGAGTGGCGCTGGCGGCAAACCACTACGTGCAACGCATGCGTGGTGTAGCACACATGCGCTGTATGTAGCGACGCTGCACATGCACTGTACATAATGGTTTGCTGCCAGCACCGCCTGAGCACCGCACAGACCGCGGTGGGATCTCTCCATCACCACTACAGCTGCAAGCAGAGGATCCCTCCACTGCCACTGCAGTCACGAGCAGAGGATCCTGCCACCGTCCGTACAGTGCTCGGGTGGCGGCGGCGGCAAACCGCTGTGTACAATGCATGCGTGGTGTCACACGCATGTGCTGTACGTAGCGACGCCACACATGCGCCCTACATAGCGACGCCACACATGCGTCGTACGTAGTGGCGCAACGCGTGTGCAATTGGCAGTTTGCCCCGCCCCGGGTGTTGGTTAGCCTTCGTTCGCCCCGGCATCACAGACACCCCAGCCCTATTCTAGTTTATTGTGCCAAGAGCATTAAGATACATTTGTGTCTATGTGACACTGATATTTCGTAAAGTGCCCCAACATAGATTAAAGGAAAATATCTTCTCTAAGGAAATGTATATCTAATAAATACCGATGAACCTTTCCTCATCAAGCTGTAACCCTGCAAAGCTTTCCCTGCTCTCCTGCTCAGTAATAGTGTAATAAGTCTATTCACAGTTAAGTTTAGCAAATCCATTTAGCCAACTAAGAACTGACCTCTGGTCATGCTGCTTTAACTGCACACAACAAAAACATCAGCTGATGATCCCCAGAACCTTCCAATACATACAGCTGGACATAGTGTGGAATAGAGCCAGCTGCCTCTCTCCCAATCTCTTAAAGCAATATGCAGCATAACCTCAAAGGTAGCTTTGTTCTCCTTTCCTATCCTTCAGAATCTGCTAACGCAATCTCACAACTCTTCATAGCTTTGTTGTAACCTACTTTATTCAGTTAACAGCACTAAGGTGTATGAAATTATGAACGGTGAAAACATTTGGCTTAGATGGATGAATAAAGGAAGGCAGTTTGTTGCAACTAAACGACGGTAGTCCTCATAGTCCTGTGACTGTCTTGTGCTAGATCATGGGCTAAAAGTTAGGGAAGGGAAAACAGCATGGATGGGCAGAAGACACGGTCATTCTTTTGAAGAAGTGGGAACCTGTAACTAAATGTTACAGTGCATCCCCAGCCTCCAACAGGAGTGTTCCTACGTAGGGCTCCAACCAGTCTGGAACAGGGAGCCTTGCAGCGCTTTTTAGCACTTGCAGATGACCTCTTTTTTTCTCCCTACCCACTTGAAATCTTCCGCTCCTGTGCAATAGGGCTGAGGATTGTGACCGAATGACAGCGCTGAACCCAAGTTCTTTGTTTCTATATGCTGGGGGTGGCATAGTGCTTTTAAATTAATGCCACACACCTCCCTGGTTCTAATTGCTCACCTCAGGGTACTGTAAACTGTTATGACCACAATTCTTCCACATATAATAATATGATATACATTTAACACATAATCTGAATGCCTTCAACCATACATGGCCAACAGCTATCCTCCAGTTTTAATTTAGGAAAGTCAGGTATCTTTGCAGTTAGAAAATTTTGTACATATTCTAGGGGCTGCTGCATACCCTGCAAATGTTCTGATTTTCCAGGGACAGATCCAGAATTATGAAAGCCATCCCAGCTTCTGATTTGAGTGCAGAACGTTCCTATTTCCCCTGCCAGTGCTGCTGCCATGAAGCTTGGGAGCAGAATGAGCCGGTGCTTGTCTCGAGTGGTGGTGGCTGAGTGGGAGCATCCCATGGCCTCTCCATGGCCACTGCTGCTGAGCTCCTTCCTTGGGCAGCTCGTAGTGGCTGCTGGAGAGCGGGTGAGGAGGAGGCCAGGTTGCCTCCACTGGGGCCCAGCCCCAGGTGAGGCGCTGGCTCTGAGGGGCAGGCAGAGGGTAGGGCAGTACTAGGTGGGAAGAAAGGAGGAACAGAGCAGAACGCAAGGAGTTTTGACTTTTTTTTATAAAAAAAATGCTTTGTGCCTCTGCATCTAATCTTCCCCTTTTCTAATATTTATTTATTGGGGTGTATTTTTTTCTTTTTGTAAATCTACAAAAGAATAAAATAAATTTGGGGTTAAGGGGTTTTCTCAGAATGGTGGAGGGTGTGTGTGCTGTGTTTTATTGGTGAAGTGGTAGTGGCACTTGCCATTCTTCTGATAGGAAATGCTCTGGGGGGGGGGGACACAGAAATGGGGCGTTGAGTGTGTAAAGACAAAAGAAGTAATTATAATTTAATTACTTTAATTAGTTTTCATGTTATTCTATTTTATTGAAGCAACTAGAAAAAAATATTATGATGGGAAGATCTCACACAGGTGAAGGGAAGCAGTGGGGAGGAGGGGAGGGTTAGGTTGAATTTGGGAAATAAAATAATATATGGGACAGCAAAGGATATAATAGATTCTTATAGAATAGTAATATATTGTAACCAGAATAGAAGTTCAAAAGGGGAAGTAAATGTATTTTTATTATTTTCATTATTTCTTATCGGTAGAATGCAATGTTAATTTAGGCTTCTTCGTTTTGCTGTCTGTATAATTTTCTTAAGCCAATAACAAATATAAAAAATAAAAAGAAATGGGGGGTTGAGGAGGATCATCTGGGGGAAGTGAGAAATGTCCCTCTTTTCATCTGAGAAATGTTGGAGGATATGCTGCTGTTCCTGCTCGCCAACCCCACCTATGCCTTTGTCCTTACCCTCCACCTAACCAAATCACCCCCCTTTACACCTCATCCACCCCCTCAACATATGCCACCTTGCTGCACACACATTTGATGGAGGCAGGAGGTGCTCCCCCTCCGTTAAACAGTTCGCCTGGGCCTGCCTGCTATTCCTCATGCTGCAGTTGCCGTGGCCTCCTATTGGCCATGCAAATGGCAGAATGTGATGACACCTACATTTTTATGTATATAGCAAGACATACACACATGCATATGTAAATACAGCAAATCAAATTGGTTTAGGCTACAATCCTATACCACTTATCTAGGAGCAAGCCCCAGTGAATTCAATGGGATTTGCTTCTGAGTTGGCATGCATAGGATTATTCTTTAAATCTGCTATATTTAAACAGCATGGAGAAGAAGGGGAAAACTTCTGATTCTTAAGAATGGGAGTCTAATTTTAGCCAGGTCCATTGTGAGGTAAGTGTGTGCATGACTCAGAAATGATTGTGTGATGTTACATAACCCACTGTATGTGTTGTATTTCTTAAGCACACACTGCTAGAAAGGAAGATGGTGTTTTTGCATCCTCTTGCTTGCCCATAAGTATGCTGGAACGTTCATTTCAAGAAAGACCCTTTATGCCAGTCAAAATGTATTAAAAGAAAAAAATAATTAAAAATAGCAGTGGGTTAGTTATGTAATGTGATTAATTGCAGTAGTAGGGTGGAAAAAACCACCATAGGCCTTAAACATTCACATGCAAAGTCATGTGTAGGAGTGAGAGAAGAGGTTGAAATGCACAAATTATCTGTTTCATTACATACATTTCACGGGACATTGATTTATTCCTTGTATAATTTAATCAGCATATGGAGAAATTAGATAAGTCTATGTGATGCTAAAGCAAGCAGGAGAAACTAGTTCAAGACACAGAAGCAAATAAAATCCATGGAACTTTGAAACTCAAGGTACATTCTAAATGTTATAAAGTCCCTTTGCAGATGTCAGTAGCAAAATAACCTGCCTGCTCATCTTGTGCATCCCGTGGTATTTGCATGCCTTGCCCTGAAAAAGAAATGTGCATTTTTTTTTGTCTACTGAGCCCACATTTCTATAGAAATGGAAGGCTTGCTGTAATAACCTCTTAGAACATTTACAATCCAAGTAACAGAAATTCCGGGATTTTTCTTTGCAAATATGTTTATCAAAGAAGAACTAAAGACACTCAGTGGAACTTTGTCTACTCAGAAATCTTATTTAATCCAATGGAAGTTTATTCCCAGGTAAATGGGGGATTGTAGCGCCAGCCTACATTGTTTCTTCTGTCATTGGCTGCCACAAAACAGTGAGTATTGATAAAAGACCAGAGCTGAAGGTGTGGAATGTCTAACAGCGCTGTGCCCAATTTTGTTATCCAGCAGTCTTGCAGAAGAATGTTACATCCTGGAAGCTTTACCAGGGCACATGACAATGATAGCTTTTATCAATACGTCAATATTTCTGACAGTGCTTCTTGTCACTATGACATCCTTGCATGACTTGTGGTGTGAGTGCTGTGCCACAACTCATTATTATTATTATTATTATTTTGTTCTGTAGTTGTAACTAGCCATACCATAAACCATTACTTGCCAAGCACTAGCTGCTAGAATCAGACCATAAAAAAGGTGCAGCAAAGTGTGTCAAGCTCAAGCTTATAGAGATATCATTAAAGCTTCCCCTCAGCTACTTCTCTACAGAGCAGTTGCAGTTTCATAAATAATAGCGGTCTAATGAGACTTTGGTGAGATATTTTTCTTCCAATATTTTTCTAGTCTATGCTCAGCAAGGGTTATAGTTTAATTAAAGGATGTCAGAAGAAAAGGAAGCTGCCCCTGAGATAATCACTGCCTGTTGTTAGATAAGTACTGAGGTGAAGACAAGCAAAAAGGGCTATCATGAAAACGATAAATTATGGAGGAGAGGGGATGGCTGATGGTTCAAAAATACAACTGACTTTTTTTCCTTTTAATTTATAAAGGATGCACCAGCACTGCTCTCTGAGTTGCCCTGTGCAGATGGTCTCCAAGTGGGAACGATCAGCTCCATGCTGCTCTTGGGAAGGATGTTTACCTTTCAAACAAATGCCTCTAACACTCATTTCAACACTGAAGAATCTGTTACTCTTGCACAAGCTTTTAATACTGGTATCCTTTCCTTGTGGTATGACTTTTAATATTCTAATCAAGATCTTAAAATGTTGTAAATTACCAAATGAGTCCATGTACATTTAATTACAAAAGGTCAACCAGTAACTAAATTTGCATGTGACATCTATTTGCATGCTAAATTTCAAATACAAAAATTAGGGTTTCAGAATTTTAATGACCATAAGTGTTCAAGTAAAAGGGAAGATAGAAGTGAAATAAAAATGTATGCAACACTGATAGCATCTTTATTATTCCTCCTCTGAGTTAAGCCTGTACACAAATTACCAAATCTTTCTCTCTTTACTGAAGCACTGTCAAGACATTTGAGTTGTAATTAAGCAGATATAGGATAGGGTTAATTCAAAATATCATCTATATTTAGTGGACAATTTATTTTATTGGTTTCAGGGATGCCAACACACAAAAAAGACTCTAAATATGTGCAGTTTCACAGCTTTGGTGTCTGAACTACCAACTCCAAGCCTAGCCACCCCACAGAACTGTAGTGAAGATTAAAAGGGGAGAGGAGAAGACACCGTACACAGCCTCTGGGAGGAAAAATGAGACACAAATAAACAACAACCACCAGCTATCTAACCACGTGCAGTCTCCTTCCCATTTTGCCAATCTTGATAAACAAAAAAGTAGCATTGTGTTGAAGTACAGCCTATATGAATTTTTAACTTGTTACAACTATAAAGTGTTTGATGCTTTTATGGTTGTATTTGCTGAGTCATTTTTTTATTTTTGTTTTATACATGCTGTATAACAATAACTATAAATAACAGCCCAGCGATGACAATCAGGTCAGTGGTGGCTGTGTACAAGACATGAAAAATGGTGGTGGTGGCAACTTTCAAAGTCACAATTTCTTTTCAGTAGGAAGGAGGCCTCATTTACTTCAGGGGAGATACTTCTGAGTAAAACAATTGCCAGCCAATTGTTTTTTATACTGTAAAGGCAGCACACTTGGGGAATAAATGAAATAATGTGTACATGGAGGACTCTCATCTGACCAGTGTCAAGCTAGGAGCAAAACAAACAGCTTCTCCTATTTTTTCTGCTGCTCTAGAGGCCCCCCCTCCAGATGCTTTGATGCCTGCTGATGCTTTGGAAAGTTGCTTCCACATTTTGCTTCCTAACTTTCTTTGTACTGCCAATTTATTTACTTTCTTTTAAAAGGAAAGCTAAGAGCCTGGGTCCCAATCAATATGTACCCGCTGAACAAGCCTTGTGAGCAGTCCTGATTTGTTATATTATTAGCTGCCCTGTTAGATCAAGTTAGGTTAGGTCAAGTTAGAAATCTAAGCTAGTGTGCAATAAAATCTTGGCAATGTTTCTGTGGACTCTGTCATACGGGTGGGGCAGTTTGTCCTAATTTTCCTAGTGTTGTATGGATTCATGAGCAAATACATTAATAAGTGTTGGTTATAGTTAGTTACAGTGCTTTTTTGCTAAAAAAAATGTTTAGGGGTACTCTCATTTTCCTACTCATATTAAAATACTCAATGAGGCCAAACTTAGATTCACAAAATGTTTAGGGGTATGTGTACCCCTGTGTCCCCCCAGAAAAAGCACTGGTTAGTTACAAGGCTCGCTGCTATTTCAATTTCCTCTCAGTCATTCCCACGTCTTTCCTAAGTTAATTGCCATCTTACCAAGAAAACTTGACTAGGCAGGAAGTATATTATATAAACTGAGATGTGATCAGAAACATTGACACCAGTGATCCTGCAAAATATACATTGAAATTTATTGGTTGTTTAGGCTAACAGTGAATTTCTCTTAATCTTACCTCACAAAATATTAATTTCCAATAGAACATCCTGGTTCAGTAGTCTGTGACTTAAGTATAATACTTCAAATATTTTCTGGCTCCTCTTAGCTGAAACACTAAATATACTTTTTCCTTAGTGCACTGAACAAATTATCTTTAGAATATACTGCTGCCAGGGCAACACTCAATGCAAATCTATTGCTACATATCTTTGGTTGCAATTGTAGTCACCAGCACAAAATGATAAAATAATGAGCACTGTATGTTTTTCCTCCCCCAATAACCTTTTCCCAAAGGGGACAGGCTCCAAGCTGAAAGAGCGAGTGCTTTATCGTGAGGGAGCCAGATTACTGCTGAGAAAAACAGTGTGAGGTGACTATAAATAACACACGTTTTGCAGCCAGCCAGAGCCACATTGTGGCTATTAATCTTTCTGTCAAACGGCCATCATTTGCCACCATGAAATTCAGACTATGTCTCCAATTACCCCCCTCCCATGGAGGAGTTGTCCCCCAGAGGGTTTTACATAAATATCTACTGGCAGGAGTGGGGGAGGGATCACTGCCGACAAGGAGATGTTTGCTTTTTCACATTTCTTTTTTCTGTGTCCTAATATTTTTTTAAACACACACCCCAATCAGTTAAGTAAAGGAAGCATTACTTGGCTTACTATGAGATACAGTCTGACAGTGCATCAGTTTGCAGGTATATGGGTCGAGATGCACGTGCGTTGTGTGTGTGTCTTTGTCACATGGACATTCATCATTGCCTCAGGAACCTAAGAGTGGCCTTGCTGCATCAGACCAGATATGCCTCTAATCTACTTTCTGTTTCCAACAGTAGCCAGCCAGATGCCCTTAGCCAGGCATAGGCAAACTCGGCCCTCCAGATGTTTTGGAACTACAACTCCCATGATCCCTAGCTAACAGGACCAGTGGGCAGGGATGATGGGAATTGTAGTCCCAAAACATCTGGAGGGCCGAATTTGCCTATGCCTGCCCTTAGCTATTAGCAAGGAGTTAAATTTGCCTGGTGGTGGGAAAAGGAGGACAGGGCTCTTGCATTTTCAACAGTTGCACAAAGGAGGGGTTTTCAGCAAGTGATGATTGTGGGAGAGGGATTAGGGAAAGGCCATCGTTTTCATGCTCCGCTTTTGCCAAGAGGCCAGATTCAAAAGAGGATGCTGCTACTGTACCACAGCTGTCGGGAAGAATTTCAGCAGGTGCAATCTGCACATCCCTTGCATTCTGGAGTTGAGATGTGTATATCCAAACTTCAGGTTCCATATGTTCTTATATACCAACAAAATTAATCATAAAGGGTAGCCCAAGGAGGAGGCGCGGACTATTGAAACGCATTCTGTGAAGATTCAAGGCATCCTTGTTTAGGTTGCTAGAACCTTCTTCCAGCACACATTACTAGTCACATTTTATTATGACTTTTGTTTGTCTGCTTGTTTAATTGTCTTAGACTGTTGTAAACTACATGATCTGGTTCCTACAGCTTGTAAGCCACCTTCTGGGCAGCAATACAGAAAGGCGGTATACCGTACAAATTGAAAGTGAAATGAAAGCAGCGTCGCACCTGTCATTACTATTATTCTTAATAATGATAACGATAAAAAAAATGGTTTGCCTTGACAACCCTACCACACATTGTAACATATGCGAGGCACGGGTTGAAATTCTACGACGTGGGGGGAAGGGGGGAGCTCCGTCCCGACCCTTAACGTGTGGTAAACGTCTTTATATATTTTTTTTTATTGCCAACAGGAGACAAGGCAATACGCAGCGGCCGGTGGGCGGGGTGTTGAGAAGAGCGAGCGAGGGAGAAGGGAGCGCGGCTTCTCATTGGCTCCGCGTCGCTCGCAGGAGTCCTCGGGCCAGCAGCCCCTCCCTTAACCGTCCCTCCCGTGCGCTCTCCTCCTCCCTGCGGCCGTTGGTGCCGCCCGCCAGCATGTGGAGCCGCGTGAGGGGGGCGGGGCCGCGGCGCGCGAGCCCACGAGGAGGAGAACGTGCTCGGGGCGTGCCCAGGGCGCGCTTCCCCCCCTCCCTCTTGGCCTAGCTGGCCTCAGCCAGCCTAGCCTAGCAACGGCCTCGAGGGCTGAGGCGGTTGCATGACCGCCTCGTGCTTCCTCCTCCTAAACCCCCGTCCAGGTCCCGCCCTCACTCGGGTGCTCTTTCTGTGTGTGTTGTATGTGGCCGCGGTCGAAGCTCTGCTGCTCACGGGGCAAGGCGGGGTCCTTGTGGGGCTGACGCGGACTCCCGAGAAGGGCGCGGGGAGGGAGAGGCTGCCTCGGCGGCTGCGGGCGCCTACTTTCGCCTTTCCTTTAAGGCCCAAAGCTGCACGTTAGGACGGTGTGGAAAACCCGCGTGGGGTTCCTCACTGTGTAAAGTCTGTGCTTGCGCTCGCCTGACAAATCTGCCTCATGGCCTTTCCCTCGTGAAACTGATCTCCCCACCTCCAGTCTCCGGTGTTGTGTTCCCTGGCTGAGGGGAAAACGAAGGCACCTCGTTCTTTTTCTTCCTTTCTTCCATCCCCTCGCCGATAGAAACCGGGGCAGGAAAACGCTTCATGAAAACGATGTGCCAAATTTGGGGGGGGGGGGCACTGCGCACCGGCGGTATTTTAAGCTGCTTCCAACCCTCGCCCCCGGTAGGTCCATTTTTCCTGTACTATATTGCAAGGAAGCACTGGTCCCTGTTTGTGTTTTGCAGACGCTTCTCTGAATTCATTCGTTTTACAAACGTGGTTGTGTCAGCACGCGCTCTTGCCACGCTGGCCCTTTGCGCCGTCTCGCTTGAAGGTTGTTGCTCCACGTTTTCCCCTCCGAATTTCTGCGGGTGGCTTATTGACCTGATCTCCCTCCCATGCGTGTCTGGCTGCCGGGCCTGTCTGTGTCTCCCCGGGTTTGGCGCACCCTGTGGCGGTTCTTTCCAGAGCCCTTTCCCTTTTTCTTTCCCAGGGTTTCCAGCTCCCTTTTCGCCCACAGCCGAATTGGCGCTGTCTCGCCTGTCATCCTTTCCAGACCGCGCAGGGAGTTTTCCAAGCCTGTACTTCCTTTCCATTTTCCTTCTTTCTTTTTTTTTTTGAGGGGGGTGGTGCTATTTATACCGGAAGATAGGTGCTGGAACTCACCATGAACACCTCCCTTGTTCTCTTATAATGGCAGCATGAAAAATAACAGCATGGGCGGGGGACCCAGTTTATGCAAAGAAGTCAACTGCAACTCTTATCTGGACAGAGATAGCATTGCAACAGTTATCCATACCCAGATGGATTACTGTAATGCATTGTCGTGCATGGAATGCACCTTTTGAAAATGGTCTGTAAACTTCAGCTTGTGCAAAAAACACTTAGTGATATGATCACATCATGCTGGTACTTTGCTATTAACATTGGCTTCCAGTTTATTGTTGGGACCAATTCAAAGTGGTGTTTTTTTAACCTAGTACAGTTACCAGGTTACCTGAAGGATTACATATCCTTCCACATACACCTACTTCAACCCCCAAATCTTCACAGAATGCCTCTGCCAAAGGAAGTGTGCTGAGTAGCTTTTAGAACCCAGCAGTCATGGAATGCACTTCCTGGAGAGGCGGGAACCTATGCTCTGGATTTTGTGTTTGTTTGTTTGTTTGTTTGTGTCCTATTGAATATATTTTCTCAGGCCTTTTAACTTTAACATTTTTTATGGCTTCATGAGATTTTGGGATAAGAGATTTTGTTAAAAAGGTTTGTAGTCAACCAAACTTTACTCAGAGTAGACTCATTGAAATGAATGGCCATGGCTAATGGCCCGTCCTTTTATTGACAGCCACCTAGAGAAAGAATTGTTATTGTCATTTTTGTATTGTATTGGATGGCAATACAAATACAGCAAATGAACAACTATTATGCAGAACAATACTCTAAACATATAGGTTCCGTTTGGCTATCATGGTAAGACTTGCTCTCTATTCATTTCTTTAATCCTATTTAAAGTAATATGCGCCTGTAGCCATCACCTGTTGCTTTTGTCTTCTAGTCAAATTTTATTAGATAACTTTTAGTGGAGTAAGTCTCTTGCGAGGAGTTCTAGTGTTAAGGGTTATAGAGGGGGGAAAGCCTATCTTCTCTATACCATGCATCATTTTATAAACCTTTATTGTGTTCCTCTGCCCTTAGTAATATTTAAAACACATAAACTGACCCCCTTCAACTTTCCTTGTAGGGAAGGTACTTCAATCCCTTCATATTTCTTAGTTGCTTCTTTTCTTGCTGTACAGTGCTCTTTTTGAGATGGGTCAACTACATACACTATTCCAGAAGTGACTGCAGCATAGAAGTATTATGATACTGGCAATTTTATTTTCAGTCTTTTGTCTTAAAATCCCTAGCATGGAATTTGCCGCCTTTATTGCCACAGAACATGTGAATTGGCATTTTCATTGAGATATAATGAGAAAAATATCACTTCATGGCCAGTTCAAAGCACATCAGTCTATATGTGAATGCAAGGCTTTGTTGTTTTTGCTGCAAAAGACTAATACAGCTATTCCTCTGGAAATTGATAGAAGAATTTATAAAATGTTGCCTCAAAGTGCATCAATTTATACTTGTATTGGACGTCATTTGCCATTTTGTTGCCCATTCATCCAGTTTGGAGAGGTATTTTCTGGAATTTTTTACTGTCCGAGGAATAAATGGGACAGGTGGTGGGTAGGTTTGGGGGATTCTCTGGTACTGAATGGGGTACCTGTGCCCCTAAAGGACCAGGCGCGCAGCCTGGGAGTCATTTTGAACTTACAGCTGTCCATGGGCGTACAGATCAATTCTGTTTCAAGGGCAACTGTAGACCCTACCTGCTTGTGCCCTGTTTTGTCAGAGTGGTACATGCTCTGGTTATCTCCCATTTGGTCTACTGCAATGCGTTCTACCTTTGAAGATGACTTGGAAACTACAACTAATGCAGAATGTGGCTACCAGACCGGTGATTGGGAGTAGCTGCTGGGACCATATAAAACCTATCTTAAAAGACCTACATTGGCTTCCAGAACATTTACAAGCACAATTCAAAGTGTTGGTGCTGACCTTTAAAGCCCTAAATGGCTTTGGCCCTGTATACCTGATGGAGTGTTTCCACCCCCATTGTTCAGCCTAGACACTGAGCTTCAGCTCTGAGGGCCTTCTGATGGTTCCCTCATTGCAAGAAGTGAGTTATGGGATCCAGGCAGAGGGTCTTCTCAGTAGTAGTGCCTGCCGTGCGGTATGTTCTCCCATCAGATGTCAAAAGACATAAACAACCCTGTATAGGGAAGTTTTTAATGTTTGATGTCTTACTGTGTTTGATGTTTTAATTTGTTGGAAGCTGCCCAGAGTGGTGGGGCAACCTGGTAGGATGGGTGGCATATAAATAATAAAGTATTACTATTACATACAAAATTGTGTGTTTAAAAGTAGGTTAATTAATAGTTAAATTTAGAACAAGAAAAAGAAGCAGGTTTTTATTATTGAATTATAGTCTTACTGGAGTTTGATACTTTTGAGGCTTAAAAAATATGTTTATTAAGAACACATCTAGCTGTTAAACAAAGAAGAACAGCATTTAATTGACCCAAAGTCAGAGACATTACCTCATTATCATGAGGTTAGTTATAATTGGCCTTGACTGAGAAACCAGGATGTGGCAAATAACACATTAGTTTGAGGGTGGGCTTCATTTTGCTAGGCACTGTTCTTATGAGGCATGCATTCTTATGAGGTGGCCAGACATGGTATTTTTGTCCCATGTTAATGGCCTATCCAGTTAGCTTTACTGAGCTGACTTAGCTTGCTAGCATAATCTCCAGGGGGTTTCTGTTTGGCAAAATTTAATCAAACCTTGATTAATTCAAACTTTTACTAAATTATGGGGAATTATATGATACCCAATGAGAATTCTGTTTTGAGCTTTTTATTGAAGACTCTATTAGAACAAAAAAATAAAGATAGGTATTGCCTTTTGTATAATGGGATCAGCAATCCCTTTGGCTCCTGTGAGAGCATCCAGGGACCATAGGAAGCATCAGATCTCCCTCTCTGAAAGTGGAGTGAGTGTCACTGGAGAGCTCAGAGATTGAGATCTGTGTCAGATTCCCTTCTTCCAGCCCTAGACCTACTACCATTGGAATGGTAAAGCTGAAGAAGGGATATCTGGAGGTGGGTTAGAGGTGTGCCAAAGAAGAACTGTGTGGAAGCCTTGGATCCAACACCTTCCAAGAACTCCAAACTCAGAGAGGGAACTGTGGCAGCCCTGGAGTTGGTATAGTCCAGTCCCATTTATTTCCCTCCCATTGAAGGGGAAAAAATAGAAAAGGATGTAGGAGTGCATAAGCAATTTTCCACCCTTATTTCCTCCATGTCACCTAGGGCCTGACACAGTGCTGGATATGGCTGATGCCCTGACATCAGCCTCCATCTCCTGCCTTAGGATTGCACACTCAGGGGATTTTAAATTCCTTGAAGACCAGCTCAAAAAAAATTTTGGGTGCACTCCTAAGCAACGCTTAATTGGAACTAGCTTCATTGACTGCATTTGGGCTTACCACAGCGTAGATATGGTTCGAATCATGTCATAAGAGGGAAATAAAATGCATGCCAAATGCATTTCTGGATTGCACTATACAGTGGTACCTTGCAAGATGAATGCCTCGCAAGACGAAAAACTCGCAAGACGAAAGAGTTTTTCGTTTTTTGAGTTGCTTCGCAAGACGAATTTCCCTATGGGCTTGCTTCGCAAGACGAAAACGTCTTGCAAGTTTGTTTCCTTTTTCTTAAAACCGTTAATACCCATTAAAACCGTGCTTCGCAAGACGAAAAAATCGCAAGACGAAAAAACTCGCAGAACGAATTAATTTCGTCTTGCAAGGCACCACTGTACATTATTTGTGCAAAACATAGAATGGACAAGCTTAAACAATCTAACTCATAGAATCATAGAATCATAGAGTTGGAAGAGACCACAAGGGTCATCGAGTCCAACCCCCTGCCAAGCAGGAAACACCATCAGAGCACTCCTGACATATGGTTGTCAAGCCTCTGCTTAAAGACCTCCAAAGAAGGAGACTCCACCACACTCCTTGGCAGCAAATTCCACTGTCAAACAGCTCTTACTGTCAGGAAGTTCTTCCTAATGTTTAGGTGGAATCTTCTTTCTTGTAGTTTGGATCCATTGCTCCGTGTCCGCTTCTCTGGAGCAGCAGAAAACAACCTTTCTCCCTCCTCTATGTGACATCCTTTTATATATTTGAACATGGCTATCATATCACCCCTTAACCTCCTCTTCTCCAGGCTAAACATGCCCAGCTCCCTTAGCCGTTCCTCATAAGGCATCGTTTCCAGGCCTTTGACCATTTTGGTTGCCCTCCTCTGGACACGTTCCAGTTTGTCAGTGTCCTTCTTGAACTGTGGTGCCCAGAACTGGACACAGTACTCCAGGAGAGGTCTGACCAGAGCAGAATACAGTGGCACTATTACTTCCCTTGATCTAGATGCTATACTCCTATTGATGCAGCCCAGAATTGCATTGGCTTTTTAGCTGCCGCGTCACACTGTTGGCTCATGTCAGGTTTGTGGTCAACCAAGACTCCTAGATCCTTTTCACATGTACTGCTCTCAAGCCAGGTGTCACCCATCTTGTATTTGTGCCTCTCATTTTTTTGCCCAAGTGCAATACTTTACATTTCTCCCTGTTAAAATTCATCTTGTTTGTTTTTGCCCAGTTATCTAATCTGTCAAGGTCGTTTTGAAGTGTGATCCTGTCCTCTGGGGTGTTAGCCACCCCTCCTAGTTTGGTGTCATCTGCACATTTGATCAGGATGCCCGTGAGTCCATCATCCAAGTCGTTGATAAAGATGTTGAATAAGATCGGGCTCATAGGAGTGTAAGAGAAAATGTAACTCCTCTGTTGTACATCTAATTAGATTTATGTCTACTTTGCTGGGCATATGAAGTATTTTAAAAATCTGTGAATTGACATTTAGCTGCTTAAATTATAATATATGAAGTTGCAAACAAGAAATGCCTCATGCACACAATCTGTGAATAAAAGAAGTGATGTATGGAGCTACTGGGTGGAATTCACCTGATGAGTCCCCGTCAACAGAGGTGTCAGGAGCTGGAGTCAGGAGTAGGTCAGCAATGAAAAGACACTGGTGTCAGTGAAGTTAACTCTTTAGTCAAAGAAACCAAAACAGTGCAGGCCTAGTGATCAGAGCAACTCTTCGCAGAAGGTCTTGCCACAATGAGTCATTTGCAAGGACTGAAGGTCCCCGCCTTCCCCAGTTCCTTCCCCAGCAGCAGAAGGCTCTGTCACCTTGTCTTTCATTGCTTTGGCCTCTTCAATTCTCTGCATGTTCTGGGAGACCAGTGAGGAGGAAAGTAGTCACAGCAGGATGGGGAGCCTCCCTGGATTCTTCCGCAGCCTGCTTCATCTTTGTCTCCTGCCCCCCCCGCCTCTAAGTCTGCCATGACTTGTCCTCTGCCACAGCCTCTTCTGCACACTAAACCCTGTTGCCTCTTCAGCTTCTGACACCACCTCCTCCCAGTCTTCTCCCTCTGCATCCAGCCAAACCCTGCACAAGGACTTCCACTAGGGCAGTGGGGTTTCCCCCTCTCTTTACCCTGTGCCACCCCAAATTGATACGGGGGGAGGTCGGATGGGAGAACCCTCAGAACATTGTGCTGGGGGAGGGGGATGATTCCATCAGGCAAGCCGATCTCATAGAATTGTAGAGTTGGAAGGGATTCCAATGGCCATCTTGTCTAATGCCGTACAATGCAGGAATCTCAATTACAGCACCCATGACAGGTGGCCATCCAACCTCTGCTTAAAAACCACCAATCAATCAATCAATCAATCAATCAATGTATGTATGTATGTTTTCACTGATGGAGCAATCAGAGGAGTGGGATGTTGAATTCCTCCCACTATCTTTTTAGAGCAAACACATTCTCAAAATAATCATTGCAAGTAGGGCTAGCGAATTACTAATTTTCTAAAAACAAGTGGGCAGTGGAATTGGGCTGGCAGAACCTTTGAAATATTCTTAAATACAATCTTCAGCTATAGACTGTGGGTGTGGACCATGTTTTGATAATTTGTCTGCACCTCTGGTTTTCTGTCTAGATTGGCAATTCAAAGACATCCACAAATCAATTCACCAGCTCACAAGAACATCTGCTTCCAACTCTGGTGAACAGAACACTCAAGACCATATAGATCCCTGCTCCAGAGGTTTCATTTCCACTGCATTTTTTAACAGGTAAGAAACAGCAGGAGACTTTTATGAGTAACAACAGAGAATGTTTCTTACCTTTTCCTTATCTCGCATTAATGAGAGATAAACTGCCCCTCAAGCTCTCTGTGCATGCCTGAGGACTTGAGGGGGCAGTGGTAGGTAGCTGACTAGTATGCTGAGCCAACATTTTGAGACCCTGGGATATACAGATACCTGAAAGTTTCCCTTCAGTGGAGGGTGCAAGAGTGATTTTAATCAGGGCAGAACAACAGTGAATAGCATCAAATAAAAAAGCAGATCACTAAAATATAGAGAGAAACAATTAAACATTTAAAAAGAGCCAGGAATTATATATATATATGTATGTATTTATATATGTGTATGTGTGTGTGTGTGTGTATGTATGCATCAGTCATATAAAAAGATCACTGGAAAAGTATTCAAGCAATGATGGGATATCAATAAAGAAGGAGCTGGTCTAATATCCCTGGGTGAAGAGTTCCATGTAGTGGACTCCACAGCAGATAAGTTGCACTCATAAGGACCACCCTTCCACTGTATCTCAGGAGGCAAAACGATGTGCAAAAGGCCTCACTAGATGACCTCAGATGGTAGACGAATTCATTTGGGAATGGTGTGATATGATCCTTGGACTTGACACCCAAGTTGTAGTCTCTACAAGTAGCTGTATTGTTGCACGCCACCCCAATATAAAAGCAGTGCAGTATTCCAGGTGCTTACCCTGGGTCCATGTTTCCTTTTGGAATGAGGCACAGTGAAGATTGTGGTTTTCTTAGGATATATGGTTTATTTACACACTTAGGATATATGGTTTATTTACACACATATGCAATCTGAGCCTATGATGGAGGGTTTCACAGCACCAGCACCCCAAGAGGGCCTTGCTTTCCCCATAGCTACACCCTTAGATTCAAACAGAAATCAAACATTGCTTGACTCTCTGGCTTCCCAGCTTGATGCTTTGCTTCTAGCTCACATCACACAACTCTCTGCTCTCAACTCTGCCTTTGTTCTTCTAACCACCAGCGAGTTGAGAGAGGGGACCCCACCTATTTCCCATCTTGCACAGAGCCCCTTTCTTTGTTCCCTTAATGACCCATGACCTCACCAGGAAGCTAGCTTGGCTACTCCAAGAATTAGAAGGCGGCTCGGGCATTCAGCCTAACCCCCACAAAACTCATAACACAATTATCTGTGTTGAACAAAGGCATTATGGGAAAAGAAGCCCAATCATTACTTTTAACATTCACAGGAGCAAATTGACTAGGTAATGCATGTGCATAAGGAAGTTCCTATTCCTTTTTGCTCCTCGTGTAGAAGAGTTTGAATATTAGGCTTTATTGAAACATGACAAGAGGAATAAAGCAAAAGCAGCTTATACTATAAATGGGAAAAATCTGTTTGCATCAATCAGTCTAGTAGCTGAATTACAGTAATCAAGCTAGAGTCCTTCAGATGTTTTGACCTATAGCTCATTGTCCCAGACTCCCAGTGGCTGTGCTGACTGGGATCGGTGGGAACTGTATTAAAAAACGTCTGAAGGGCACAAGGTGGGCATAGGTTGCATAATAATTTCAAAACTTTCCAGGTTGCCTGGCTGATGCTTTGAGGTTTTAGCATAATAACCATGTCAAGGACTCAAAACTTACAGATTAGGGTTACTATTGTATATTCTGTGTACATGTTTATTATTATGAGAAAATAATAACGTTTAGAGCAGATAACAAGTATTTCTCATAAACACTGAAAAGCACATAGGTAGCATTAGATTACATTTCTAAAACTCTGTTGACATTTACTTTTTCTGTTCTTTTATTTCACTTGCTGTGCACTTCGTGCTTAGTGTCTAGGGCTAGTAGCCTGGAAGGCAACAGGGGCATGTGGTCAATCATTTGTGTGAATTGATGAGACGGTATTTGTTACCATAGATTTAACTAGTCTTATTCAGACATGACATGCAGATTTCCCTTTTGATAGAGGATAACAGTCATTTTGAGAGACACCCACCCACAAAAGCCACAGACATGATGCCTGACTCAAATCTTTACCCACTGCTTTGCAATGCAAAACTGGTGGAGTTTTTGGTACTTTCTGATTAAAGCAAAAGTATTTTACAGGGGTTTTCCAGCATCTTAGATGGTTGCTCAAAAACAAATCAGCTGAGGCTAGTGGAGGGGGACGGAGACATTTTTTTTTGCTTATCTTTGACGCTCATTCAAAACAAAAAATAAATCAACCCCAAAAGAAATTGAGTGTGGTAAAACATGGCAATACCACTCCAGGTGTAGGAGAACAAATCATACTGCAAGGGCTTTAGTGGAAGAAGCAGCTAAGGTGGGCTTTTTGATCAGCATCCACTCTTACAAGCTCTGGCACCCATGCTAATGCTATTGCACAGTGTTTCCCAACCTGCTGTTTTCCAGATATTTTAGACTACAGCTTCCATCTGTCCCAGCCAGTTTTGGAGTTGCAGTCCAAAACATCTGGAAAGCACCAGTTTGGGGAAGGTTGTTATAGAGGCATAGGAATCACTTTGGAACTTGTAGCATTTGGACACAGCATACCAAAATATTGAAAGCCTTCTACTTGAAAACATCCAAAGCACAAAAGGCATGATATATTGGTTTTGAGGAAGCCTTTATCTCTTATAGTGCAGGTAGCCATACTCTGGGAAAGGAAAAGGACTGTTTCTAGGTGGTCACTGTTGTGTGTTGATAAAGTGAATTGATAGTATACTAGTGAGGCATTTCACAAAAGGAGAACATGAATGTGCTTATTCATATACGCAAACCAATGGTGAAAGATGGTGGATGAGAACTTTCAGAAGTAACATATACTGGAGTATTCTTTCCATCTTTCAACAAATCCTGTGTATTCAGACGTAAGTCACTCTGGGTTCAGTGGGACTTACTCTGAAGTAAGAGCATAGGACTGCAACATTAGTAGCTTAAATAGAAATGAAGAAGTTTGGTTCAGTTAATATTGCACTTGGTTGTTGAAGAGTTATAGAAGTTGTGCATGGCAAGATATGGCGGTTTATGCAACTATATTAGACACAGAAACCCAGTCCATATAAATTTTTGGAGCTTTAGAGAACAATAAGGCAGGAATCTGTTTTGACCCATATCACTTTAATCCCCTTTTATCCAGTGAGACAAGAATTTTCAGTATTGAAAGTAATGAATTGATGCCACTAATTTTAAAAACCCTTTTATTGTATGAGGTTCCCCCACCCCCATGCTTTAGGTGTAAAGGAATGGGAGTGGAAAGGAATTCCCCCCAGATCAGATGTGTCAGCAATTCTTTTTCCTGTAGTGAGTACAATAGGTGTGAGGCATCTGCGTATGTAACTACATATTTTCCTAAGCACATTTTACCTTTGTTGCTCATATTTTCTGCTTTGGCACACAGTCTTCTGTTAGGGGCAACATACCTAGAGAAGCGTGCTGCCTCAGTAGAGGGGATCAGGTCCCTACATTGTAGTGTACTTTATTAAAAGCCACCCTCACCCCAAAATCATCCTTGCTTGTTGGTTACTTGAAGATGATGGCCAATTTATTATTTGCATATGTCCAAGAGCTGTTGTAGACCAACAATGGATGGATATTTTATATCAGCTCAAAAACATTGCTTTTCAACGTCCTATCAAGGCAGATCACAGATTCAGCTGCAAGTATAATATGGAAGATGAAAAATGATATACTTGAGAGGCAGTGTTATGTAGTGGTTAGAGCTGGACTAGAACTGGGGAGACCCACATTTACGTTCCCATCTTAGCCAGGAAGCTCACTGAGGAGGTCATTCTCTCTTAGCTCAACTTAAAGCAGGCAGGGGGAAAGAATTATTTATGCTCTTTCAAGCTTCTTGGTGGAAAAGCAGGATATACAGTGGTACCTCGGGTTAAGTACTTAATTCGTTCCGTAGGTCCGTTCTTAACCTGAAACTGTTCTTAACCGGAAGCACCACTTTAGCTAATGAGGCCTCCCGCTGCTGCCGTGCTGCCGGAGCATGATTTCTGTTCTCATCCTGAAGCAAAGTTCTTAACCTGAGGTAATATTTCTGGGTTAGCGGAGTCTGTAACCTGAAGCGTATGTAACCTGAAGCGTATGTAACCTGAGGTACCACTGTACATGCAACAGCTTAATAACTTAACAAATTGGGACAACGGCTGCCAAAAGGCATTCTGTCTTTCAGACACCTTATTACTTCTGTGCAGCCCCTGATTTACTTTTGGGGCTTTAACTCCCACCTGCAATGGGGGCCATAAATGCAATTTCAATGTAAGCTTGTTCTTTTGTGAGTGCAGCAGAGGGCCCAATCCATATACTGTGCACTTGGCCCCAGTAGTACTCCTGAGGTCACCTAAGCGATCACCTCGCCACATATATCTCTGCCCAGCAACTGCGTTCCTGATAAGGGGAAATGAAGAGAGTACAGTGGTACCTCTGGTTACATACGCTTCAGGTTGCACTAAATTCTTCCAGCCATCTGAAATTAATTACCAACTAGAATTAGGCACCAAGAGTCAGGATGTTTAGACACCCATATTTTTTATTAAGAAGCTTTTTGCGAGATGTGACCCATTCTTTTGTGAACTATTAACTATGTCTGTAGGAAAGGTTTTATTGTTTTTAGAATTTGTAGGAAGTCTTGGCATAGGAGTTGGGCATGTATCTGAGGCATGACAGGGTGGTGTAGTGGTTAAGAGCGGTAGTCTCGTAATCTGGGGAACCGGGTTCGCGTCTCCCCTCCTCCACATGCAGCTGCTGGGTGACCTTGGGCTAGTCACACTTCTTTGAAGTCTCTCAGCCCCACTCACCTCACAGAGTGTTTGTTGTGGGGGAGGAAGGGAAAGGAGAATGTTAGCCGCTCTGAGACTCCTGAAGGGGAGTGAAAGGCGGGATATCAAATCCAAACTCCTCCTCTTCTTCTTCTTCTTCTTCTTCTTCTTCTTCTTCTTCTTCTTCAGGGGTGGATCCATAGCAAAACTTAGGTTTACGCAGATGGCCCCCAAATGCTGCGGGAAGCCCACTAGCCCTGCACAACTGACTCTTTGGACAGAGACTTCCCTCTAGACCCCTCTAATGTGGTACCTTGTTATCACTGTCACAGGGATGAATGTATGAAAGACTATAGGATTCTACCCAAGGCCTAAACTGCCAAAGCTGTGACTAGTGCTATGGGGAAGGCGAAACCTGCAGAACAGGGAAAAATCCTTCCCAGCCCTGAATATGATGACCGTCAAAAAACCACAGCAAAGCCTGAAAAGGAATTGATTAAAACAGCAAACAACTAAAACGAAGGGAGGGAGAAGGGTGGGTGACGCTCTTGCCTGACTGGATGAGGAGGGTAGGATTGGCTGGGAATTACAGTTGCCAAGCGGACCTGAGTGAAGCATTTCTCCCTCAGGTCCATTCGTCAATCCACACCCCACTAAGGTGGCCATGGATTGGCTCATTTGAATCAGTGGGTTTGGCGGGAACCCATGAGCCTCCATGGTGGCTGAGGGGGACATGCTGTGCATCCAAGCAGCAATGGAGGCGTTGCACCGGGCCGCAACCACCGCTCACCAATGAGGTACGGTAAGCGGCCATTCTTTGCATTAGAATGCATTTATTTTAACTTCATTCAATCTGCAGAGGAGAGATCACATACTGTTTTTAGCCACTGAATTCCAAATGTGATGTTGGCATCTGTGAGACGACCCAAGCAATATCTTCAAAAGGTTAAGTACTCTAAATATGGTTCCTCTATTCAGAAACCCAAACGACAGTTTGAAAATCCAATTATGACACTTGAACTTGATCATGTTATAGACAACTTGAACTGTTTCTGGGGACTACATTATAACTTTTCCGACAAAAGTATCATTCAAGGCTCCCTTTTGCAATTAGGGAGCCATCACACTCAGCCTTTTTAAAATCCCTGCTGTGAGAATACAGACTTTCAACTCACATCTTTGTGTCATATTCTGTGCCAATCAGCTGGAAAAGTGAGACATTGTAATAAACATGAGACACAATGATATAATAGTTTGCCTCTTCTGCAGCTCGTAGCCTCATCTGAAAATTAGCATGACTACGCAAACTGAATTTGTTCATTCAGTTTTCTCCCCTTCTCAATATTGTTTGTAAAAATTAAAAGAATTGGAAAAACAATTAAAGAAAAAGTTTAGAAATAATAAAGAGACTAAGAGAAACTGCTTGATGTTAAGAGCAGTTCAGCAATGGAACCACTTAACTAGCAGAGTGGTGGATTCGCCTTCTTCTGAGGTCTGAAGAGATGCCCTAGTGCTGGATTTCAGGCATCGGACATGGGGGTTGGAATAGATGGTCTACAGGGCCCATCTGTCATTTAGACATACATCATCATGTGCAAGTGTCAAGCACTTAAAATACAGAAAGACAGCAAAGGGGTGTGTGTGCGGGTTGGGGAGCTTATTAACAGACAAAACTTCTGTACAGCAGCTGCACACACAGAGATGCCCTGTGGTATGGCTTCTTAGTTTTAGTATTATAACTACTGCTAGTTTTGATTTCTTTATTTAAAATGTTTATATTCGTCATCTAGCAGGATTTATGTTACACTTAATAATCAAAGCTGTACCGGTCGATACAAAGCATCATTAGAGTCTAGATTAAGCCAGCAGGTAATAGCTGAATAACCTCTTTAGCCATGAATCAGATTAGTAGATGTAACTTTTTTGGTTTTTAAATAAAGTTTCCTCCAATAATTAGGTTTCAGATCTTGTTTTAGAAAGAAAATGAAGTGTAATATAAGACTATAGCAAATCTACAAAGAATAAGCACCTTCTGTTACCCCCTGTCCTTGTCTCCACATGTATATGACCACACACACATCCAAGAAACACACACTTGGCCCTTTAATCGTGAGCCATGGTGTGCCACAGCACAAAAATGGTGAGCATTCAGTGGAGCTGGCAATATTTTGGTTAAGCCTCTAGAGAGAGTAAGAGATGAAAATCCTGATGAGAAGCAGCAGCATATGAGTGACAGGAAGGCAGAGAAGGAACGAGGCAACCATTGTCAAATAAGGATACAGGATGACAATGGAAAGTAGGCCAACAGATGGGTAAGGAATCAGGTTGGAGCAGTTTTTCCCAACCTGGTGCCTTCCAGATGTTTTAGACGCCAACTCCTGTCAGGCCCATCTAGCATAGTCAATAGTCAGGAGTGATGGGCAATGTAATCCGACAACATCTGGAGGACTCCAGTGTAAGGAAGGCTGGGTTAGAGGAAGAAGCCAAAAGTGTATGCAGCATGCATGCAGCCATACATTCCCTGGGGATGCATGGTTACTGAAGCACTAGAGAGGCAAGAGAGAAATTAGTTGGAGAGGAGGGAAAAAGAGATCAGAGCACAGTTACTACCAAGACAACCAGTGGTGGGTGGGTAGAAGGAGACTCTTCCTCAGGGATTTACTCTGCACTGGGGGGTGGTGTGTCACATGGTTATTCCTTATGATTTGCAATCATAGAATTGAAAAGGATCCTGATAGTGATCTAGTTCAACCCCCCGCAAGACAGGAATCACAACTAAAGCATTTGTGCCAGATGGCCATTAAACCTCTGCTTAAAAACCTCCAAGGAAGAGTCCACAGCTTCCTGAGGGAGTCCATTCCACTGTCAAACAGCTCCTACAGGCACCCTTTGAGAGAACAAGGTTTAACTATTTTTTCCCTAGAACATCTATGAAAAGGCCACTATGAAGAGCTATAATCTAAGCTGTGAGTTGCCTTGAAAGAAAAAATACAATGCAAGGAGAAGGCTGCATGGTGGGGGTGGGGAAACAAAAGCCACAAGCAAAATACAAACATGGTTCTACTTGGGAATTCCTCTTAATGGCTTGGCTTTTTTTTACTGAAGTAGTTTCACTAAAGCAAAGGATGGGGAAAATATCTATAGTGTGGTGGGATTTTTCCTTTCTCACCATGGGTAGTGAGTGCAAAGAAAGGTCTTCATTTAGTTGTGGGGTCCTATATGGTTTCTACCAGTGGACTTCATATAGTGCTTTCCCTTTTTAGGCCCACAGGAATCCAAACAATAGCTTTGCCACAAGGCATGATTAGATTGGAACAAAGGGAGAATAAGGCTCATGTCTCCTGAATAGAGGTTGGGAAAAAGATGATATCTTGATGAAACAGAGAAATTATCCCCAAATTTGTTTCATGAAGGATAAATTGTGACAGACTTCATATAGCTGTAAGTCCTTGACTGCAAATCTGCCTTGACTGCAATTGCCAGGTGGTTTTTTAACTTTGGTTGTTGATTCATTAGGGTTTGTTGGCTTTTTTATTAGTATTTTAAAGTTTTTTTTCAGTTGTATAAAATAAAGTGAAAAAAGAGAAAAGAAGAAAGTGCAGTATATGCTATTGTATACAAGCATGGTGGCCATAATGCCAAGGTTGCAGGTTTGATCCCTGTATGGGACAGCTGCATATTCCTGCATTGTAGGAGGTTGGACTAGATGATCCTCAGTGTCCCTTCCAATTCTATAGTTCTATGATTCTTATATATGCTAATACATATATAATTATTAATAACCACCTATATTCTGTATAAACTTGTTTCACATGTAAGCATATTTATTCAAACAACGTCTGATGTTGCAAGTGCCGTCATGTCTTCAGTCCATTGATGAAAGAAACCATATCTTTTATTTGTTGGCTTAAATAGCCATTCTTAACCACATGCAGTTCACCTGTTTATGCAATGGAAATACATCCAGGGGAGATCATTTGCTTTTTAAACTTACTGTAAGTAAAACTACTGGATTCGCAGTATTACCCATACCTGAGTTCTCAACTGAAACATCTCACTTAATGACTGTACCTATAAATGCCAAGCTGCTTTCCTTTAAAAGAGAAATGTTGAAGCTTTGCAATATATAAAGTAATATATTCTTTGCAAATTCAGTATTTGACAGATTTAATTTTTAATTATAAACTGACTTATAATGGATTGAAAAGAAGTAAAAGTTTTATTACTTAAAATTTTACATGTACTGATTTTTCCAATTTTGGAATAATGGGAACTTCAGTACTCGATCCACATTTAGGCTGCAGTTCTGAGAACATTCACCCGGGAGGATGACCTATTAAACACAGTCGGATTTCTCTGAGTAAACAGGAATAAATTTATGTTGCAACAGTTGTACAGTTGTGGAGCATTTACAAATATTTCTCCTTACCTAGTCACAGTCATTGGTGAGATCCAAAACATCCTGCAGCATTCTTCCTATTCACCAAACAACAATTTTGTTTTTCCATGAATATTACTTAAGAGGATTTTTAAAATATATACAAGTTTTGGTGTAAGAGAAATTCTATGATAATGCTCATGAAGAGATGTCCGTTGGAAAGAGCATAGTGCTCAGTTGTGCAAGAGTTCTGAACATTCATAAAAAGCTCATTATTCCCATTTGTTTTAACAGATCCCAATCAGCCTGTGCTTGAGATACTATATGAAAATCAGTTGAGCAGCCCACACAGGTAAAAAACCTGCATACACAAACACATGAAGATCTCTAGCTTGTTACAACAGGTTTTGTTTTAGCTATGATCACCCATAGAAAATTTTATAGATTCCTCTACATCTGCCTTCCCCAACCCTTGGATCCCCAGATGTTTGATGTTGTTGAGATGATGACAACTCATACCATCACCAGCCAGTATGGTAACTCTAACCCTTCATTATAGGCAGGATTGAGAATGTAACTGGAAAGAGAAACAATTGTGATAAATTCAGAGTTTATATTCTCACATCATGTAATGATTATGAGTAGTGACCAGCATTGCAACTAAAACCCACAATGTAGGGTTCAGAGTTGAATGAATGACACAAAAGGCCACTAGTTTTGCAGGAGGTGTAAAGAGTTTTAACCTGTTTAATATAAAAAAATCAGCATGCTTTGTTTTTGTTTGGTAATTCCAGTATGGCATAAGGTGTGTGTGTGTGTGTGTGTGTGTGTGTGTGTGTGTGTAAGAGAGAAAATATGCAAAAACAGAAGTATTAAAACATGTGTTCCAATAACGGGCTATCTTTTGTTACTTTTCACAGTGCCAGGACCCTAGTTTATCCTTTGTTTCCAGCAACATATAAAGAAAACACTGAGGAACTCAAATACGGAAGGAAACCAGTGGGTAAGGTTAACATGAAATTTTTAATTTAATTAAACATGGGTTTGAAGAGGAACACAGCTATTTTTGGTTTGGTGAAGCATCAGCTGCCTTAAGACTAAAAACACTTGCACATAGAAACATTAGCCTTTGCACGTTAAAGTAACACCAGATATGCTGCCTGGCTTGGAAATGGACTTTAGTATTAGACACAGTGCATAAGGCTGGTGTAGCAGTAAGTGATCAATCATTATCTACTCCAGCCTTTGGTTTTCAAGCACAGTACTTTATTGGCAAATGCATTTTCTTCCCCTTCAGGTAAGCAGTGTTCATGACAGCATAAGCTGAATGGAGATTAGTTTCATTAGTGCTGAAGAAGAATGAGACTATCACACTGAAGTACTATACATTATTATTATATATTTTATTTAAATATCTATATTTATGCATTTACAAACTTTAATAAGCATTCATCATCTCCACTTTTTTATAGCAGAGAATTAGCTTCTGTAAAATGACCATGTACAAAACTAGGCAACAGGTTTTTTTTTCCATATTTCTCAGCTGTCGTGAGCAATAAAAACGTGACCAAGATGGAATGAAAACTAAAATACAATCTCAAACCAGTGGCTCTTTTGCAAGTATTACAAAATCAGTGCTCAGCTAGGAGTCCCAAAAGGGATATTTAACATTTTAATTGGTTTAATGCATGAGGGGAATGTACTTCTGTCTGAGTTACAAAGTGCAGATGCTCAACTGAGGTGGTAGCCTGCAAACCCTTCTAGGATCCTCTAAATCAATATGGCACACACACGGGGGGGGGGGGATCTAGAAGATTACACTGATCTGCAGCAGTGTCAAATCCTCCTAGTTTTAATTTTTCCATAAAGCAAAAGGTTCATTTCAATACTTCAGATTTTTTCATAAATGAATGCTTTAGCCTCTTCCACACCTCTTGATATTTAGGGATCAGTCCTCTAAGGTGCAGCTTTGCACTGTGGTGGGTTCTGGAACCCCCAAAGTAACATTTAAGAACTTTGGGTGGTATTCAGAGTTTTACTCAAAGCAGACCTCTTGAAAAATAATGCACCTAACTTAGTCATGGTTATTCATTCCAATTGGTCTATTCTGAATAAAACCTCATTGCTCATTTTAATTTAAATCAAAAATAGATAAAGAGGAATGTTGGGAGGTGGGGGTGGTAAGAGGAAGCACCATTGCCATGATGTGTCAATCTCTCAGAATGCCATGTGTTACAAAAATGTCCTGGAGGACAAAACCTCGCCAGGAACACGGTTTCTCAGCAGCCTTGCTTAACTGTGTCATCTGATGCCATTTAGTAAATGATGTAAGATGACACCAAAGATGTGTGCACTCCCTTTAGGACACACAGGAGTAAAGAACAAATATAGTGTGATTGCATAATTCATATTGCACAACTGTATAAAAAACCCATAAATACCAGCTATCTGAAGGTCTTAAATACAAAATACAGGTCACGTACTATTTTAATCAATAATCATTTTCAAGTGCAAGTTAGGTGTGCCCTTCACTTCTTCCTATAAAAGGCATTTTTTTGGCACAAATGTAACCCCCCCCTTCCAATAATGTGCCCATACTTTCTCAATGAAGCCCTATACATACAGTATAAAAAGAAGGTTATTTACACACAATGAACTAGGTATACAGAAACAGCTTTAAGGGTTGAATCTCAACTCCTGTTATGAAAATGGGGAAAAGGGTGGGCAGACAAGCCACCCATCTGATTTATGCTGGTTGCTGTGGGTTCACATTGATAGAAGCAGGATGTCCTAGGAGACCAATACGCTGTTTTTGCTTCCTCTGCTCTGTCATCTGGAAAATTGAAACATGTACTTGGTTAGACATAAGCACTTCCTGTACGTCAGACCACAGAATGAGCTATTGCTGTTATATTGTGGTCAAGGTTTATTCTGAAAACCATTTGCAACAGAAAAGCACGATCCTGTTTGATGCATCAAAAACAATTAAGAGAAAAACAGCTACCCCACCCCCGCCCAGCTGGGAAAACCCAGAGAGAAAGTTTGGGAGTCTAGCATGAAGTGCTCATTGACTTCTCATGACAGCAAGCAAGCTACGTGGTGGAATGGAGAGGTTGGGACATGGGAAATGCAAAGGAAAATCCCCACTCAGTCCCCACAGAGCTCAGCTGGGTGACATGGGCAAGCTATCAAATAAGAAGTTCAAACAAATAAATGCTTGCATGGTAGCTGTATTAAATCCAACGTTGGAGAGCCTCCTTTATATGTGGCAACATTTTGTGTGTAGCAGCTCCCTAGGTAGAATGTTCAGTTCTGCAAAATGACAGCCCCATCATTTTGGCTGCCACAGCTATTTGCTATTCTCCAGGATTTTGCAGAAGGGCATAGGAATGGACTCTATTCTATCCCCGCCTGCTGATGCAACCCACTCTTAGGCTGTGTGCCACACATATCCCTGAGTAGAAACTTGAGCTTGGGAACACAGAATGCTACTGGATTGGGAACAGAGTTCAGCCCAATGGAAGGGAGGCAAGTCATCCCGGTCCCTTTTTTACACAGCTGCAGGCTATGTTAACCTGATCCTGCATCTAGAACTGGTACACTGATTCATAAAATTGGGATGGAAGGTATTTGAATATGAATTTGCAATGTACCCAAGATATAAATGGCAATTTGAAAATTACATTTTAGGCTGACGAGATACAACAAGCTGGTTCAAACAATAAATTTTAAGGTAGCTGCAATGTTACACAACTAGGAGTAAATTGCAGTGGACTAATTTCTGAGTAGACGTGCATAGGACTGCATTGTAAGACCCACACCTCTGCAGACAAAGTGCTTTGCCCAGCTACTGAAAAAGTGGCATTTAAGGGCTAAAACAAAATAAAAATAAACACAGTAGCAAGTGCAATTCAAAAGATTGTTTCGGTTACAATATGAATGTTACATTCTGTGGAAGTCAATTTCCCCCCTTTTTGAAAGGAACTTTGTATTACTAAACAAATATTTAAGCCCCACCCCAACTGCAAGAAGTATTTACATCATTTTTAAATTTGCATATGCTTGAAGCATGTACTAAAATGTATATAATTGTTATTGAGATTTTATGTCTTAAACTACATAGAGAATGGGCAGATTACTAAATTAACTGCTAAAGAAAACAGAACTAAAGCACACTTAATTAGCTAGTTTAGTGGAATGAGGGCCTAATCATAATCTTCATGCGATATCTCTAAATGTTCATGAAATATCATTCTGTCATGAATTAGCTACATTTCCATTATGGTGGAAGAAATGTTTAAGCTTGGTGCTTCAGCCCCTGATAACTTGATAACAGTCCCTGAGAGCCAGTGTGGTGTAGTGGTTAAGAGCGGTAGTCTCGTAAGCTGGGGAACTGGGTTCGCTCCTCCACATGCAGCTGCTGGGTGACCTTGGGCCAGTCACACTTCTCTGAAGTCTCTCAGCCCCACTCACCTCACAGAGTGTTTGTTGTGGGGGAGGAAGGGAAAGGATATTGTTAGCCGCTTTGAGACTCCTTAAGGGGAGTGAAAGGCGGGATATCAAATCCAAACTCTTCTTCTTCTTCTTCTTCTGTTAAACCAGTTCCCTTTAATTATTTGTTATTTGCAGCATATTACTTGCCAATTAGCATTTGCAACATATCACTTAAGTGGATCCTGAGGCAAACTATTAGTAGTTTTCCTTCCCTTCCTTTTAAAGGGTGTATGCACCTTTAAAACCTGGTTGTTTGCATATTCATACGAGGTTCACAGAGTGCATTCGTGAGATGTACAGGGCTGGGGTAAGTGGAAGCCACAAGTCACTGCAGAAAGTGCTTGGCCGGTACAAATCTGGTCCATTCTTAGCATTATGGAGAATCCCCCCCAAAAATTGAGTTATGTGGTGTGTGAACAAGCAATGTTGCCATAGCAACAGACCCTCCAATTGTTCCTCTTTTCCAAGGACAGTTCTGGATTTACAGAAACCATCTCGGTTTCTGATTTGATCCCTGAATGTCCTGCTTTTCTTTAAGGTGTCTCTATTTTCTATTTTCACTGGAAAAATGTTGGAGGGTATGGTGTTATGAAATCCCCAAGCCAAGGAGACATCTGAAGGCAGCCCTGTATAGAGAAGATTTTAAATGTTTAATGTTTTAGTATATTTTTATATATGTTGGAAGCTGCCAAGAGTGGATGGGCAACCCAGTCAGATAATAATAATAATTGGATAGGGTGTCTCTGTTTTCATTGGAGAAAATTTGGAGCTATGTAGCAAAGGCGGTGGGAGCATATGGGAGAGGTACAACGGGATCCTCCTCTGGTCTATTGCTTGCAAACTACTAATTTGTGTGTGTGTGTGTGTGTGTGTGTGTGTGTGTGTGTGTGATGTAATGACATGCTGTGGAGTGTGGTATAAAAAAGCAGACCAAGGCATTTACTAGAGAGAGAGAAAATGTAAAGGTCATACTAACTCCTGCATAAGTGTACTGAAAATTCGTAACAAACCAACAACTTTGTATTCATTAAATTGCCAGTGGTATTTTTTTTAATAGTTGGCCAGGAATGTTTACACCACTTGTTGCAGTTCAATGGTGTTTCAAATGGAGTTGTTCAATTTTGGCATTAATGACAGCTCTAGACTCTAGAAACCAATTAGAAGTGACAGCTGTGAAAGGGAAACTTGCTCTTATTTGATTCAAACCAGCCTCTCAGTTAGCTCTTCTTTCTAGAAAGGGTTGTTCCTAATGAGAAAGTGATGTATTGGTATGGTCACACAACTGGTACATGCTGCAACTTGATCTGGGCACACTCAATGACTGCACTTAGGGGAAATTCCAAAGAGTCCTCTCATGTTAATAAACCTGGCTTCCCCTTCTTCCTCAGCAGGGCAGAGGCCCTCTGAATGCTAATGTCATTCTCTCTCATTTTCACAAGGGCAAAGTTTAAAAGCCGGGCAAGTTAAAAGTGGAAGGCTATAAACATTAAGGCATATTCAGGCTTTAGCTGGTGAGGTTGAAGCAAAAGGTGGGGAAGGAGAAGAGGGGCCTCCCATTGAGCTTGCTATCAAATTCCATTCTGGATTACTTCAGTCACATGTTTTAAAATACTGGCTACAAATCCAAAGTGCAGCAATGCATGTTGTGGTTGATAAGGAACAAGCAGGAGGCAAAAGGATGTGCAGTATCCAAAGGAATTACGAGGACAGTGCATTTGCACTGAGATCCATGCCTTTACAGTGGTACCTCAGGTTAAGTACTTAATTCATTCCGGTGGTCCGTTCTTAACCTGAAACTGTTCTTAACCGGAAGCACCACTTTAGCTAATGGGGCCTCCTGCTGTCGCCGCACCACCGGAGCACGATTTCTGTTCTCATCTTGAAGCAAAGTTCTTAACCTGAAGCACTATTTCTGGGTTAGCGGAGTCTGTAATCTGAAGCGTATGTAACCCGAGGTACCACTGTACTCAGCCCTTAATCCTATGGTGTGTGTGTTTTTAAAAGATTATTAAGGCATAAACTTTTTTAAGTTTAAAAGGCAAAGATATTATATGTAAGTTAGGGATGTACCACGAGAATAGAAATGAGGGTTGCCACATTGCCAGAAATGAAGAACCAGAAGCATGCTTATTTGCATGTGTCAATTTCCCTCTGACTAATTTTAAGCTAGAACAAATTAAAAATCCCGGTGGAACCAAACACGTCACAGAAAAAAACAAATAACCCCTCTTGCTAGGCCAGTTTAAACAAGCCTGGTGAATGGTAACCTAGGATATGTGTGTGTTTGGCCTTCTAACTTAGCAACCATTGTCACCAACCCTGCAGAACAAGCAAAGAATACCAATAATTTTGAAGCTTCTTGCTGTATTACCTATTGCCCATCATATCAAGGCAGGGGGAGTGTCTGTCATACTCTCTCCCAAGTCCAATATAATTTTGTATATTGAAGGCTGCATTAAAAACACAAACAGTTGGTTTCCCCACCCTCAGGTTTTCCATTCAGTGACACTTATTAAATGTGACCAGGACATTTCTGGTTTTCCAAAATTTGTGAAAACATAAAGGCTTTGTATAAATTCATACCCTGTCTGCATCTTCTGGAAGTCTCTTACCTGCTCTTTAAGCTCAGATAGCTGATTAGAAAGATTGGACACCAGCTTCATGGTAGATTCAAGCTTCTCTTGCAAGTTTCTAAGTTCATTCTGTTCTCCTTCAGAATCACTGCTCACAAGCGACATGGCACGCATCCGAGGGAACCAATCCAGATTTCTCTCCTGAAATTCAGGCATGATAATGACATAAATGCGTGGCAAAGGCACAATTGCATATTGGCCACTGTAAATTCACTTGAATATGGCAAATGCTCCAAAAGGTTGTTCTAAAATACAATTTTGAATCACTAAAAATGCATTTCATGTGCTTCTGGTGTAAAAAAATAAATCCAATTAATCTCAGATAATTTTAATGACTATTGCTCAGAAGTCACAAAACAATGCAATATTAGAATTCCTTCACACCTCATAACTGTGAAGTTATTCCATGCTTAACTGTAGCAATTCAAGAAGAGATTGTTTGTTGTAGCTTCTGCTTTTGAATTACAGGTAACATGTTCCCCACATTATTTTTTTCCATTTACATATCTAGTAACAATGTTTTCTTGAGCCCTCCACACTTGAAAAACAAGATACTCATTTATATGTCTTATGAAACCTTAAACACTACTTAATTGTAAAACCCTCCAAAAATCTCTATGTAGTTTACAACAATAGAAAATAAAACATTTTAAATTATCTATAAAAACAGTTAAAAACAGGTATTAAAAATATTAAAAGCACTAAAATCAACAGTAGCTAAAAAGAAAGAAAACACTTGTAACTTCTGTATGTCTGGATAGGTAGGCTGTGCCTAAAACATGTTTTAATCAGCAGTATGTTTACCAATCAATTTTATACCCCAAATTGTGGGAGAAGGCTAAAGCTTCACAATGCTAACTTTCATAATAGTAATGTGTTCTGTGATCCTTTCAAAGTATTCAGTTAAAATAATGAGATGCCTTCACAATATATTTGGGGAGACTTTACTCACTAGTTGGCCTCTTTAAATCTATTACAGGTGATTTGGGATTTCCCTTGCAACTTTCCTTATGAGACAAAAGCAACTGAACTGGAAGATTCCTTGTGTATTTGAAACTCCCTGGTTCTGCAGGACAGAATCCATTAGAAAGCTGGTTCTTCCCTACAGAATATGGGTTCCTTACAGAACCTAAGATCTCCTGGTGATCTTGTTACTTTCTCCCCAAGGTGAGGAAGTGGATGAGTAACCTCTAGTGAAGTCAACATACATCCCAACACTTCTTGACAGAATCCAGAGGAGCAAGTAATAAGTGAATGCAAAATCTAATGTTGAAACCCTCCCCACCCCCAGTTCTAGAATCTGTTTTGACTACATATTTGGGGGTTCCACAGCTAATTGCTGACAGGTAAATCAGCTCTGAAGACAGGAGTGCCTGCCGTGCTCTGGACCATGGGGTCACGAAGAGTCGGACACGACTAAACAACAACAAATCAACTCTATACATGTGATGTTGCATGCTTCTGTACTGATGTATACAGCTAGTGATGCAAAATAAAAGGGAAGGAAACTGGCAAAAAGAAAACCCCCTAAGTACTGTGGGAGCAGAAAGGGAAGAGAAAGGGTGAGTAGCAGACAAAAGTTTCTCAATTCATTAAAGGCTAGCACTGACAGCCATTCAGTGCTACTGTTTGATTTCTCTCCCCTCCCACGTTGGAGGCATATCTTTAATGATGAAGTTCAGACGAGGAGGAGGAAGCAAGAAAGCCTGGGTGTAAGCAGATGCACTTTAATACTACCTCATATGAAACCTGGGACAAAACTAGTCTGATAGCCAAGTTTTATCTATTGTAACAATCAATTTCAACCACACGCTATGACAACTGCCAAGTTCTAGCTATTTCCATTTAGTCAGTGGAGCATCTCTAGGTTAGGCAAGTGGTACTCCACTCATGCAACAGGACTTCCTCTTCCTCTGCCCCCAATCTGCTGCTGAGGATCCTCAAATCCTGTGGAGCAGATTTTGACGGTGCATTTGGGGGAGAGGGGAAAGGAGCGGCAGGAAAGAAGGTGAAGTTCTGTTGCGCAAGGTGGTGTCTGTTGTGTGAGGAAAATAGCAGCGTCGGATACAACCTGAGGAGAGGAATCTGGCATTCACCTTCATGCTCTACAGAACCACAGCCACTTGAAATTGATAGGTGACCTTTCAAAAACCAGTTCTTGCTTTAGGAACCAATATTTTATTATTCTGAGTTTCTAGTGCCTTTGAGTGTACATATACACATGTACCAATTGGATCAGACCGAAAGTTCATAAAGTCTAGCGTCCTACTTTCTAGTAGCCAGTCATGCATCTGGAAGGCACACAAGCAAAAACATGGTGACCATAGCCCTGCTGTGCTAGTTGCCTCTATGTGGCATTAAAAATACCATTAAAAAGTAAAATGTCATTATATTAAATGGAAAAACAGAAACAAGTAAAAACAGAAATTCAGAACTAACAGCTCAGTCCTATTACCATTTATGCAGCTGCACCATCAATGTAGATAGTGCTTTAGAGCACCTCAAAAACTAAAGCAAATTATGTTGCCCTCTTCCAATGAATTTACAATCTAACTTCTATTTTCAACTGGCATATGCTTGTAATAGTGATGGGTGAATCAAAGTTCTCACTGCAGATGAATGGATCACAAGATCTTCTCAGAACCATTGTTACTATTTTTGAACTTGTTTTGCAGCATTCTTGTAATCTAGTGCTAGCATTTTATCAGAAACATAACTAAAAGAATAATAGAGTTGTAGAGTTGTAAGGGATCCTAAGGGTCGTCTAATCCAAGCTCCTGCGACTTAAGTTTCTGGAATCCCTTGTGGGATCCCTGTCCATACCTACTCAACTGCCACAGTCCCCTTCCATGAAAACATTTCTTCTTCTTCTTCCCCATGGGTTTAACGGTATAGCAAGGCCATAGATAGGTCCCATTATGGTCAGCAGCTGGCAACAGTGTGATCATGTTTCGGTCACAACCTTTCATACGGTTTTGTCCCTTTTGTAAACTGCCATAAATTCTCCAACACGCCCCCCACCGAGTGTCTTGTCCCAGAGGGCAGGCCCCACAGACAAATTTGTAATACCCAAATCACAAAACCCATGTAGGACAGGCCCTCTATCTTCTATATAGCACAAACCCATAAAATCTGATCAGCCATTTCCCCTACCTTATAAACCTCACATGTTACTCCATAGAGCACAATGCACAATTGTCTGAACTCTGAACAGACCAACTTGTTTCTCCTGCCCTAAGTTTAAAAACTATAAAAAACTATAAAACAAATCCTTCGGTGATGGACAAAAGGAGAATGCCGTCCTACCAACACAACCCCCCTCCCATTGCCTTTGCCATTCACCTGACAGAGTCTCAAACCCTTTTCCTTTGTAATGAGAATTGAAAATGCATGAGGGAAAAACATCCAGTAACCAGAGAAGAGATTCTCAACTGGATTTTTTAAAGGCATACCAAAGAACATTAGGAGAGGTGGCTTGCTTGGCCCTCACCCCAGCGTGAGGCAAGCAGTACACCTGCCGAACCTTAGGTATCCTTCGCTGTTACTGGATTTGCCCTTTAACCTACTCAAAGCAGTAAATGGGAGCAGGGGTGCCTGGCAACTGGCTGGTTTTATCACAGATCTACGACTGTTAATCCCAGCTGGCTATGAAACCTAAGACAATGACCCACATTAGCGCCCTTGTCAGCTGCTGAGGATATACATCACAAAACATTTCTGTATGGATAACTTACTTGCATGCATATCTCCACTTAATAATTAGTGGTTTGTGCACATGGGGAACAAGGGTTTCAGTACAGTAATGCCTCGTCTAGCGTCTGCTTTGGCGAATGCCCGCGGCAAACCCGGAAGTACCGGAATGGGTTACTTCCGGGTTTGTTGCTGCGCATGCGCAGAAGCACTAAATTGCACTTCACGCATTCGCAGAAGTGCAAACTGCTCCACGCACGTGCGCAGACACGGCACTTTGCCTTGTGTTCTTTTCGGCTAGTAGCCGGGGCTCTGGAACAGATCCTGGTTGCAAAATAAGGTACGACTGTACAATAGAAATAAGGGGCTGCTTATTAAAACTGGGTCAGCAGCTTGCCGTGATTTGTGGGAATCAATCAAGGTACAGTGGTTACAAACTTAATTCATTCTGGAGGTCCGTTTGTAAACCAAAACTGCTCATAACATGAGGCGCACTTTTGGTAATGGAGCCTGCTGCTGCTGCTGCACTGCTGGTGCGCAACTTCCGCTCACATTCTGGGGCAAAGGTCACAACTGGGAGCATTTACGTCCAGGTTAGCGGAGCTTGTAAACACCACTCCATACTACTACTACTACTACTACTACTACTACTCCCAGAGCCATGATACCTTCTTAAATCATAGAATAGAACAATAGAAGAATGGTATGGAGATACTGACTATACATACAAGTTTGTGTGCAATGCTAGAGTAGACTAATGGGTTTAGTTAATGAACATGACTAATTTAAATACATTACTTTCAATGGGTTTATTTCTAAGTAGAATTTTGTTGGATATAACCCATATATTCTCTCTTGGTCATCACTCTTCCTACCACATTACCCAAGAAATGTGTATTTGTGACTGGGTGGTAGTCATAAACCATGGGCTGTATTTAACAACAAAAGAAGGGGAGGGAGCTAGAGTGAATGAGTGGTTACCACTGTAGAAATATGGTGCCACCCCAAGCACCACACTCCTGACACATTCAGCAAATCTGGTTTTCAGAAACCCTACACTGATTACTTTTGTCTTCAAAGAAATATCAAAAGCTGTGAACTCCATACATAGTAAAATGGAACAGGTACACCTTCAGGGTGGGAGGAAAGGGGGGGCAGATAATAGTTTCTGTTGCTGAGAGACATACAAAACAAATATTTTTGGCAAATAACTTTGACATCCTTGTTTCACAGATCTTGGTCATAACCCAACAAGCAGCAAATCAACTGGATTAGTAGCAGTTGATATGCTTCTGCAAGATGGTGCACCAGCTTTGCTTCTCAATTCCCTGCATGAGGTTATATTGATGTTTTCAGGAGACATAAGAAATGAACCTGAAACGTGTATTCAAAGCAGCTCGTTTTGCGGGCCAAAGAATTCTACAGCCTATATAACAGAGTGCACCTTAATCTGCTCCTCCCTCTCCTTCATCTCACTGTCAAATCATACCCATTTCAGAGGGTTGTTTGTTTTTTATAAAAAAAAAAACATTTATTCAAAAGTTACAATACATTTTAAATCAATATTTAAACAGACACTTCTGCAATGTTGGTGGCATTAAAATAAGAACAGGATATTTTAATTTTGGAGGTGTTGTGTCCAAGGAGTAAGCTTGACAAGCAGGTTTCTGTTAAAAGTTCAACAAAGCCCTTAAGGTGTCTGGTCTTGCAAGCAACATGTTAAGTTACCATGGCTCCCCCCACCTCCTTTTTGCATGCATTAAGTGAGCCATAATCTTGAGCCTTTATGTTTGGTCTGTTTCCTTGCCTCCACAGGCACACCCCTTTCCTACTGGTGTCCCACATACCAATGCTGTTATGCACTGTCTGCTTTGGCCTTCCTACAAGCCTGGTGGTGCCGTCAGCTCCCTCTTCCCGTCACAGCAGCAGCTTCCTCTCTTTAAACAGACCAACTGAATTAAGCCACTGACGGAAGCTGGCTAACCCACAAGTGTTATGTTTCTGGCTAGCTCTTTTCTAGGTAAAGTTGGAAAAGTCCCTTTCAAGTAGCAATCGTCAGAATCTCAGACACGGGGGCGGCGATGGCCAGAGCTTTTAAAATGTCCATGATTGGTAACTTGTTTGTTTTTTCTTTCTTTCCAAAAAAGGAAGCTGCTCTGTGCAATGGAAACGATAATTCATTCTGAGAAATCTCACACTTCCTTGCTTTCACTGAACTGAGCTTGCTTTTAGGGGTCTTTCCAACCTTGGAGTTTATCGTTAAAAGTCAAATCTATCTTCCAGTGCGCAGTCCTGATCTGTAATTGATTGGAGGTGAGTGGGGGATAGCTGCACTTTTACGCTCTTTTAAACCATGGCATATGGGTTCAGCACTGGGGGGCTGGTGGGGGGGAGCGCACCTTCTTCAAAAGAACAAAAAAACAGCATGGCAACAGATGTATTTCAAAGACAATGTGCTGTTGCGGTGTGGAAAAGGTAGCTCTGTTCATCTCATCACATTTCCTCATAAAATAATGCTACAAAGAAGTAAAATTAAAGACTTTAAACAGTTCCTAGAATGGTACAGACATGAAATGGAGTTTGTAGTTTGTGTTACTATGGTTAACACATGTCATATCTAATAGGGCCTCGTGACTACTACTTACTTGCAATCGCCACATCCTACACCTGCAGTAACAATTGTGGTGGACATACTGGCCAGAGAATTTTATTTTATACAGTGATAAATATCGGAGTGCTGGAAAATGCAGTATCCCTTTCTGGGGGGAAAACACCTGAACTTCTTGCAATATATGAATAGCAGTATTTATTGCATTCTGCATGGATCTGTTGGGTACAGTGGCTAGGAGAAAAATATCCAAGGGTTATTGTTTGTACCACTTTTTAAAAGACAGAGAAACCTCCACTGAATAATAACCAAGTCTGAGATCCATCTCCCAGTTTTTAATTTTCATTCTTGAAATCTTACTAACAGCGCACAGTCATTATGTGGAAAGAATGACTATCCCTAACTCAGACAGGGATGTCTCTAAAAGCATCCTGAAACAGTTCAGCCTACTGCCATGATTATGGGGAAAGACCAGTTGAAGCCATTCCACATTATGCTTATAGCCATGCTGTGAATTGTAGATGCAGTCTTGTAAGAACTGGAAAGAAATTCAAAATTTATTTGAAAATCAATGCATATGTAACATGTGAACTATGGTCAACAATTCTGTACATGAAAAGGGCAAATGAACTCTGGAGTGGGTAGAGAGTCTTCCTGTTGCCATGTAAAAAAACAGATGGAGAAGCTGTGGTCCTCCATTTGTTGTAGGACTCCAGCTCCCATCATCCCAGTTCATTGGTCATACTGGCTGGGGACTGATGGGACTTGGAGTCCAACATTTGGAGAGCCGTAGGTTCCACATCTCTAAAAGAAAATGGAGAGCAAGAGTGAGCACACCTGCATCTGCTGATGATTCTCTCCATTGACCTTTCTCAGATGCAGAAAGCTAGCCAGTTGCTTCCAATGCTTTGAGTTCAGTTTAGTTCTAATATTAAGCAACTTTAACCACACCCAACACCACATGCCAACCTGCGTGCAGAGAAGGAGACAAGGCAATTCAACAGACCATTGATCTTGGTGGAAACTTTTCCAGGTAGCAGCCCTTCGCTATTAGGAAATGAGTTCTTCTCAGTAAGCCACCACTCCACCCAGAGGCCAAGCAAGACAAATACTTGAGAGCTCATTCTTTCTTTCTTAATTTAAAATAGTTCACTGGCTGCAGGGAAATTCACAGCTCACAGCTGTTTCCCACGATGAAGTAATTTTCATTACGAGCAAACCTTGCCCAGCTTTTTACATAACCAGTGATGAAGAGCTGCTGAGGGATTGCCCAAAGGAGGTTCCCTTTTGTGTTTCATACTATGACAGTGCTGGCCCTTCCGCTAACCTAGTTCTTGTTTGGTACTGTAGGGATTACATAAGTAAACCAGGACACATTATATCATGTGCAGCTGGGCTGGAATTAATTGGCCGATTGCATAAAATGGATCATTAGAAAAACACAACACTAGCATACACAAACACATATAACAGGGATTGTCTATAACCTGCCCATGGTAATGAATTCCACCCTAAAATTATTGTGCAATGGATAAAGTGGGTAGTGACCGAGGTGTTCTCTGAATAGAAGGGCTAAGCAGGTAATGCAGAGCTCCACAGCATCTAGGCTGGGTACACAGAATATGGCAGCACACAAGATGGGCTAAGAACCAAGCCAATGTATGTTGCAAGTATTTTGGACTGGGGAAGCTGTGATTGAAAGATGCAGTTTTCTTAAAGAGAAAGAAAAATAGAAGCAAAATTAATATTCTTGAGTACAGATGGATTGGATCTGTCAATTTCAGCTCTCAGTTTCTTATTTCCCCAAACTTAAATTTATTCTCCACATTTCTACAGCAGTTTTGTGATTAAAATTAAAATAAAATAAAAAAAACCTCATGCAAATTATTCAGCATTTTAGTATGAATTTCTCCTAATAAACACATTTCGTACTGAGTACTCATGCATATATTTTTGGCAAGTGATTCCCCTTAGTATTTGTATGTTATTTTCACCAATATAATTGCTTTTATGCACACTTTCCCCTAATATATGCATTTTAGTTGGAGAACTGCACTGCAAAATTTGGGTAAGTGTGAATTTTGAAGGGCAGCTATATTTTGTTTCTCACACTGTTGTGGAAAGTGTGATTTGGTAGAAGCACATTTAAATGCAAGCCAGATTGAGTCCCCACCCCCCCCTTGAGAATTTCAAACATTATATGAAATCCCCTGTTATTATTTTGGGACACGAACAGTTTCTTATAAACCGTGAACCTGAATTTCTGCACTCACAATCTTCTGGACCTCAGCTCCTATGAATAAAAATTTTTAGTACTCTGTTTTGCAAAAAAATAATCTGCAAATGGCATAGAAACATGAGACTTCCAGTATTCAAGAACTTGAGAGTTCTTAACTTACTACTCTGTCACAAGTTCTAGTTGCTGCCCTACTTACAAAAATCCCTTTGCACTCTTCATCCCACTATGACTGGAGTGATCATGCCCACAGGGGATGGTTCTGGGGCACGGCTTTCAGCTAGTCAGCACAAGCAAACTTGCCAGGTTACTGGGATAATGGCTATGATTTTTCATTTCCTCACAGACATGTTGGCAGCTTGGGCTTGTCCTGAAAGGCTGATGGAAGGTCTCAAACACCTGCTCTCTATGGGAATGTTCAGTTCAGGGAGACTTAGAAAAGAAAAGTTTGATCATCACCAAATTCTAGCAACTACGTCATACCCACATTTCAAAAAGCAGCAGATTTCCAGAAGGGGACAGCCACATTAGTCTCTTGCAGTACAAACAGCAGTGTGAGCAACACATATTTATTTTGACATAAGCATTCATGGACTAAAGTAAAACAAATTTGTTTATAATCCAAAGAATGTAATTCTATATACCACCCCCTGCATTTCTTTTGTCAATGAAATGCAACCTGTTTCTGAACATGGCACTCTCTACATAGCACTCTGGGACCCAAACAATTTACAAGAATGGACAATTCCACACAAAATGTGAAACTTCAGTGTTGCCATGAATGGCAGCTCCTCTAACCTTCTCTCTCTGGACTAGGATCCTGAAATTGGCAGGAATGGCCCATCCTTCCTATAACAGAAACTCCCCTCTCATGCCAAGGGACAGGGTACCCTTCAGAGTGGGGCATGACAGATTACTACCGAATGGGGAAACCATCAATCCCGCCCATGTACATGCACATATTTTGACCCCGGCCATTGAACTTCCTTCCTGTCTAGAAGTTACACACTTTTGTATAGATCATGCAGAGGCATCAACCATATTAAGAAAGGGGTTCATGCACAGGGTTTCTGGCTAAATAAACAGATGGCAATAATAAAGGGGTTAAAATTGAGTCAACACACAGGACTTGGAGGGAGGCGTACTGGATGAGAGCAACAAATGCACTTGAACATAACAGATAACAATCCAGGTAAACAGATAACTCATAGATTAGCAAGAGAGTGAGGCAACTGAACACCTGCCCTGAAAGTTTACAGTGAGGCAGAGCCACAGTTATCAGTCTAACACTGGTGTGTTGCCTTTAAATCTAGCGCATTAGCTCACTTCAGTGTTCCACAATAAGCCACTCACTGGCGGAAATTGTTACTGTTCCTATTACAGCATGTAAAGGCTGCAATCCTTGTTCCACTAATCTTCATAACCACAGGAAGGTGGTAATTAATGTTCCCATTTGATGGTTAAAAAGCAGCCATTAGTATGGCCAGCTTCAGCCAAGGCAAAGCAACAAGTTTATTATATCTACTTTTTATCAGGCTGCAGGGCAGAGGGAGAGAAGAGAAGCAGTACAATTCCATCATCTCTGTGGAAAAACTGGCTGTTTTTGGTCCACCCCCTGCAAACATGGGATCCTAGCTAGTTGTTGTAAGAAGTGTAAGATTAAGAATTAGTCCCTGAGCTTGCTTCCCTTGTCCTCTCTCTCCCTGTTCCTTCTTCCTTGTGTGTCAGATTGTAAGCCTAAGAGCAGAGATTTGTCTTACTAACAATCTTTGCAAGACATGGTGGGAATTGGCAAAAATGCTTTAAATAAGTTAACGAATAAATACTTGGACCATGTGCACTCTCAGATTTGACACACAATTATCTCTTTCCCTCCCTCTTTTAACTTCCAATAAGCTAAGGAATGGCACAGCAGAAAGACTGAACAACTAGTTCGAGCATACTTCAAATGCAGTTTCCGACTTTACGTCTAGAGGACAGAACGTACTAGATATGAACAGGACAGACTTGTTTCTCCCTGCAGCAATTGCTGATGTGTGGCACACCCAATTTTTTTAGGTCATTTGTTTCAACCCTAACATTTACGCACATTTAATCCTCAGGCCTAATGATACCCAGCTTCCAGCAGCCTGGGCCCAGTACTAGTGACAAAACATAGTGTTGCACGCCACCCCGATGTTCAAGTGGTGCGAGATACCAGGGGTTCTAGGTTCTAACCCAGGGTTCGGTTTCCTTGGAATGTGGGACTTTGGGATATATGGTTTATTTACATATATATTCAGTCTATATACATCTCACGCATTAACACCCTGGAATTTCTTGCTTCTCCCATAGTCACAGCTTTGGATTCCAGCAGAAATCAAGCATGGTGCTCACTCTCTGGCTCCTGCCTGCTTCTAGCCCTGCTCTCTCTCACATACTGGCTATTGTCTTTCTCAGTACCAGCCAGGTGAGGGAGGGACTCACCACCCAGCCAGCCAGAGCGGTTGAGGCAACCCGGTCAGATGGCAGTAGTAATCATCATCATCATCATCATCATCATCATCATCCCTTGCACAGAGGAGCTTCCTTTGTTACACTAAGGACCATACTTTAGTACTTTGGTGGCAACTATGACCCTTGCCCTGCTAATTCAACAATGGAATTCTCCGTTAGATTTTAATCCTTGCTGGATCCAGAGGATTAGAAAGGACTCAGGCGTTATACAAAGTGACCCCCCCCAAAAAAAAACCCCCATCACAGCAATAGCTTTCCTTTGCTTCTGAAGTTATTTAAGCATGTGATTATGTGAACTGGTTCTCTAGACATTTGGGTGGCGACAAAGCATCAATTAAACTGTACCCTACCGTAATTTTAGTCACTCATTCTTCATTTGTATGGGTACACTGGTAGTTAGCTATCATTCTGGGTTGAATACATATCACACGCATAGCAAAGAAAATATACAAATGAGGCCAATCCACTGAATTTCCCTTACCTAAACAACGTCCATCAAAACCAACAAATTTCACTGTTGTGGAGTTTACTCAGGAGAAGAGTAAAGTGGATTCTGCTCATGATCAGCAGTTCAGCGACCTCAAGCTTAGGCCAAATATAGCATTAAACAGGATGGTTAGAATAACAGAATCATAGAGTTGGAAGTGAACCTGAGGGTCATCTAGTCTAGCCCCCTGCAATTCAGGAGTCTTAACTAAAGCATCCATAACAGATGGCCATCCAACCAATACAATGAAATGGAATCTGTGTTCTGCTCACTGGCAAAAATATCCCAACTTAGGTTGAAGCATTTAATTAACCTGTGCAGAGACCCAGGTCTCACCATAATCCAGCTAACTCAAACCAAAATTTCATGTTTCTGATCTTCGCAGTTTCTTGGACTGTAGTACCACAAAAGGAAATATTACAAAAAAGGAGGTTTGTTCGAATTCTTTCTCTACTCAAATGCAATGATGATGGCAAGATTGCAAGAGCAGGTAATTAGAAACTATGGCTGCAGCTACCTACTGCACACAATAGAAATGTTTTTGTGGTCTTCCCTAAAAGGCAGCGGACCACCTCTTCTTGAGATTTCCCTCTCTCTCAGAGCCAATTCAGATGTTCTGTTTTTGGTAGGGTGCAGCTAATAATCACAGCCATGTGGGCACGGCTCCATGTGGCTTAGAGAACAGTTTGATGCTCTTTCCCCATGAGTCTGCTAAATCACAAGGGAAAGAACCACGCCAGCACTATACCTCCCCAGAATCTAGCAGAAGAGACAGCATGCAGATATCTCTCCCAGTTTGACAGACTCGTGTGATAAAGGCATTTGAACTTCCTTGCAACTTCACAGGGCCCTGGTCAAATGGCTTCATCTTGTAGCTACATTGTAAAACATTTGAACCAGGCCTCAAGAGTAACTTGGGCTAAATATGTATCAGTGTCTGAAAGTAAAAGTGACCCGTGCATCTCGTTTCCTCACTTCTCCATAACTTCCACAAGTGGAAGTTTCACATTTCCTCCTGCGGTTAGACTTAAAACTGTCTCCACATTTAAAGCATTCACATCTTACTGCAGAGGGAGAAGTTCACATAGAAGAACAGGGAAGAGGAAACACTTGCAAGTCCCTGTTCTCTGAGCCCCTGTCTCTGAGCTTCTGAAGCAGGGGAAGGGATCCCCAACCAGCTCTTTGCATTTTTAAACGTCTTCCGATATCTTAATTTCTATGGTGTATGCCACTGTTACGCTTTTCTAACTTCTTTCAGAGCACGTGTGTGTGTGTGTTTTGCAGCAATAGAACATAAAACCGTACCATAAAAACCATATAAAAAGTTAACTTTGAGTTTACCAGTGTGGTCACAGCTGGCATAACCAGCAGGAACTGGTAAATAGTACTCTTGGCCAAGGGTCATTGGGACCTCTGGCGATGGATCAAGGAGTACCCCCAGGCTGTGTATCTGCTATATTATTTTGGGCAACTGGTGCACCATGTCACTTCTGTCCCTCTTACTGAGCCCTAGGCATGGACCTATGATGAAATTGGAAAAACAAAACATACATATATTCTCTCTCTCTGCCTGCCTCTCTCTCTGTCTCTCTTGAACACACACCACTTAAGTCACCCTCAAGCCATGCTGTGTCATGGATGCTTGACTAGCAGAGTTCAACTGCTGGCTTTTCTTGTGCTCACATCCTAAGGAAAACTATAGCCCAAAACCTTTCCGCTATTATGTATGCGACTCCCATGATCAACATATTTTTTTTGGAACAAACTCCTCAAGGGTGCAAAAAAACAACAACACAAAAAAACCACGTTACATAACGCATTTTAAAGTTCTGCTTCGTTCCTCGATTAAAACAGACATTTAGGCAAAAGCACAATGAGCCTTCTTCCAACAGTCTTTAAGGAAATAAGTTGTTTACAGTTATGATACTGCATCACAATGCTGAAAATGTGCTACAGCATATGTAAGTGACGAAGAACAGAAAATTCAGGAACATTGTGATTTGACTAGATTTAACATTTTGTAACAGACTGCCCATGCATCTTACAAGTGTATGAAACTATAGCACTGGATATTGGAAGAATCAGGACAGATACTTCTTCATAGAGCACATAATTAAACTATGGAACTTGCTCCCACAGGAGGCTATCAATGGCTACTAGCCATGATTACTTTGTCCTACCTCCACAGTCAGAGGCATAATGCTTCTGAACAGCAGTTGCTAGGAATCACAAGTGGGCAGAGTGCTGTTGCGCTCATGTTCAGTTTGCAGGCTTCCCATGAGCATCTCTTCAGCCACTGAGAGAAAATGATGCTAAATAAGATGGGCTATGTTCTTATGAGTGTGGCAGATTAGCAGCCAAACCTAACAAATGCATATTGCTGCTCGTTAGCCTGAGAAGGGGCAAAGTCTACAGAGCTGCCCTGATGACAGGCAGATACTCAGACCACAGAAATACAATTGGTAGAGAGGGCTCCGTGTGATGTCATCTCTCCTGGACAGGAATGAGCACATTGTACTTCCTGTTCATCTCTTTTCCTTTGACCAGCATTGGATGAAGACATGCCTCTGCTTGCTCCAGCCTCAGGCATGCTTATAAATTTAAGTGTTTTGCAGGTTAAACAGTAAATACAAGTGTTTTGCCTGCATAGGTTTTTTTACTGCTACTCTTACTGTGAACCAATGCATGAGTATTTTTAAACTTAATTCACAAGTTCAATGCACAGTGCTTCCAACACCCAAGATGCTCTTACGGAGATTTTGTCTGCAAATTCCTATGCTTTTCTCAGACATACATGATCACAAAGGTTACACCTTTTTAAGTCTAGGCACTTTGACAGGAAGACACTATAGCTTTCCAGCAAAACATGGAATTAGAAAGGTTTTCCATATGCTATATTAGCATTCCGTCTGAACTACAAAATCCATTCCAACAGAAGGCTGCATTTCCCTGGCTGCTACTTTTTCTAGCATGCCGAGGAGCCATAAAATAACAGGCTGTTTACACAGAGGACTGCAACATGCTTCACTTCACCACTAATCCTCTGTCAGGTGACTACTCACAAGATTTCTTTAAGCCCTTAGGAAGCACTCCAAAACCAGGACATAAGAATTCAATGACCCTGAAATAATATAGGTTACCTAATAAGAGATTTTGACAACAGGATTTATATTCCCAACAAGTTAGCATATGTTGCACCTAAAAAGGGCAGTTCCATGCCTTTAAGAAACATGCAAAACCAGCATTTAACTGGATTTGCCTCATAGGAAGTTTCGATGCAGAAGCTATCAGGGGGGAAAAGATGCAGCTCACTCTCCTGACCAGCCAATGTGCCAATCAGCAAATCAGACTATGAAGAGAGAACATTGTTTCAGGACTTATTAATCTAGTATGACCAAAAAGGGGGGGTCCACTTTTTTCTACAGAAAAGTGACTTAAAATAAAACCCTCATAAATCAACATGAAGTATATAGGATAGGAACACATAATAAAGGTGTCCTGATTTAAAGTTTTCTCACTCACAAGACAATTGTGATGAAAAAAGGAGAAAACGTCTTTATATTATTATAAATTGTTTTCAAAGTAAAGTAAACTGTCTGCTAGGAGACTGATCCCAAAACACAACGGCAAGACTTTGCTATTTAGCCCTGTTTATTTGGCTCCCTTGCGTAAATATGTTAAAGGCTTAACAACTTTAGTTATGAAGATGCTAGCACTGATTGCTGCAATAAACATTTGGGTCTCACCAAAGAATCCTTTGATTAATTTAATATTAAATCAGAGAGGAACCTAAAATGAATTCACCCCTCCTTTGCTTGCATATTATGGGGCTATTGTCATTACAGAACCCAATCTAATCCTAGTTTAAAAATTAGATGTATTTGACTATGACTCCATATTAATGAAAAAGTAAGAAACTGTATTAGGAATTCTCTCTTTTTTGGACTATTTTGCAATTAAGTAGTATATTAATTAATGTTTCATTGTCACCTCCACCACCTCGTCTGATGGGTATTTTGGGATTGGAAAAAGCCAACAGGCAGACAGAATGGCACACTACAGCCTCTGGATAGTGACTAGGGTGGCAGGCAAAAAAACCAGTCACCTGAAAAATAATTGGAGCATTTACCACCTTTTCATGCTTTCTGCATGTTTAACCAACAATAAAGGAAACAATACTAGACTTGTTTGATTGATTGGGATACTTTTGGTTTCCCCATCTTCTTTTCCTTAGGTCTCACTTAATGGTACAAACTGGATTTGCATTTAGTTAAATCAAAAGCAAAGAAGTCTGGAAAAGCCACAGTTCAGGACCAGCACGCCCAACTCACCTTTATCATTTCAGCCACGTAGCTTTCAGGCCCGGTATATTCCGTAGAATCCTTTACTTTGACCAATACAATGAAGAACAAGTAGTGCCACATATTATGCTCCTCTTTAATATGCTCTTCAAAAGTGACCGTCTTATTATCAAACTTGTCTCTCTCCAGACCTAAAGGGGGACACACAGCCAAGTCACCTCCCTTAAAATTTTTACAGTGGAAAAATTATCACAATGAGAAGAACACACTGAAGGTAACAGGATTTCCCAAATTTGTCCACCTTTATTTTGAGGGCCGAATGCACTGGTACAGGGCACCTGTCCCTTCAGAACAAAGGCTTCCATTTACACTGGTCTGTCATCTGTTCATATGGGTGAGCGGGATGTGTTAGGGGGAGGAAGGCAGTTTGGCCAGAGCAGCCTGCATTACTGACCTCCCACTGCTGACATGTGGGTGCCTAGGTCCTTATAACCTCACCCTACCATTCAATGCCAGAACCACAAGCAGCTGAAGAAACTAGTGTCCCCGCCTTAGATATCATAGATTGCAACTAGCAATGGAGACTTTTTCACCTGTGCAATGCGACTTCCTCTTCCCTCCCCATGTGCCTCCAAATCTGCTCTGGAAGGCTGGAGGAATTTCTTAAAATCTTAAACGAAACCTACTTCAGGGAAGAACAGTGAAGTGGGTTTGTGACCTCACTGGTCCCCAGCCAATTAAGGCATCAGTGCTGCTCCTGCAACCAGGAATGATGTGTTGCCCCTGAGCTCAGCTGGAGGTAAAGTATTTATGTCTGCTCAAATTGCAGAAAGTGGGGCGCTACCACGGGTTCTCTGCTAAAATTATGTCTTGACACCCAACTGGAGCTTTTGGTTTCAGCCACATTGCCGGGGGGGGGGGGGATGTTCTGCAGCTGTTGTATATGAAACTGCTTTAGGTAGCACACTTTTTTCCGCTGCTTAAACAATTCAAGGTATTCCATTTATTGCTGACAAAAATTGTATGTGCTTTATAGTACCCATATAAAATGTGGCTGCTCAGCATGGTACACACCTAGAAACATTATAACACATAAAAACCACAGTCTTTTCTAAGCTTCAAAGAAGTTCGACTCTCTTTTTTTGAAAATGAAGTATCTCAACTCTGCATAAGTATCTGATGACTATATGCCATTATTAACACTGAGTTTGTGAAAATACAATTATTATCTGCCATTCAGGAGCACATTTTACAAATACACAAGTAAGCTTGTACCCACAAGAAATTCATTTATAAAATAGTTTTAAAAACATGTACACAGACATAAAACAGGAATGGAAAGTCCCCTTAACAAATCAACATATTTTACAATATCAAATCAGTCATTCAGATTTACATGGAGATTCCTTCCTTTCATTCATTCATTCAAAAAGTAAGAAACATTCTACTAATTATACAAGTGATTACAAACATCATCATCAGGTAAATACTGAATCCACTGTCGAAGCCATACATTACTATTACTGCATTTGACTCTGGGGCAGAACAGCTGCTAGTTTCATAGCACTGGGTTCAACACTTACCACAAATAAAGCATGTTGTTTTTAGTATTTCTTCTTTCTTTTGTTTCTCACTTCTTAGATCCGCAAAGGTATCAATAATAACACCAAATATCAGATTGAGGACAATAATGATCACCATGAAGAAGAAGAGGAGGTCATAGATCACTCTTGCAGCAAAAAGGGGCTCCTAAAATAAAATAGTTTTAAGATAAACAAAATTGGAGCCTAAAAGGCTTTGGTGCAAAGAAAAGCATGCTGCATAATGCAACATGAAAAGAGAAATGATATCAAGAGGGGCGTAAACTTGTGACCACTGCATACATAGATGTGTGTTTGGGAAGCCTTGCTATTTATTTGCAGGGGGTGGGGAGAATTTATTTTTTGTACCTGTGGCCTTATTAAAATTGTTAGTAACTACTGTAGTGCTAGCATTCCAATAACATTAGAAAAGTTTTTACAGTAGTTCTGATATTGCAGGTATTAACTGCTGCATTTCATAGGAACCTCTTTGCGTGACCAAAAGATGCTTGTATGTCACATATAATTTTTTTAAAAAAACCACAACATTGTTGGGGAATGCTTGCACAGAGCTTAATTATTACAGCAGTATTTTTCCACTTAAGAGTACTTTTAAGGTATAAGTCTCCAAGTACTCACATTCCCTTACTCTTGACAGTACTAGAACCTGTTCATTTAGTAAAGGCAATTACACACACCTACACTTAAAGTTAAATAACCAAACTCCTTTGTACATGGCACACAACTTTTTTCCAATTGATGCAGCGACATATTTCCCCCCCATGGAAAAGTGTTCTAATCCTTTAATGGGCATCTAACCCTATTTGGTTTCTCTTGCACTACATCCCCTTTCACATACGGTGGTAATTTACCTCCTTGGAAGGTTTCCTGAGGACATCTCCAACACCACCCCCACTCCGCAGGCCATGGCTAAGCACAGTAACAATGCACATCAGCAATGTCTCGCACGTATGTTCTTTATCCTCTTCCTCAGCTTCTTCAGAAAACAGCTCTGTTAAACAAAGCAAGTTAGGGTACCATTGTGAGACAAGGTTGGTCTGGAAAACTCTCATCTAGTACATTTTTATCTTTGCTTGAATTTGCACCACCACTTTGAAGATACTCATGAAGTCAAAGGAATAGACCTCCCTTTCTTTCGCCTCTTGAGATGCCACACCTTGGGTACAGAATGACACAAGTTGTGAGGGTGTAAAAAAATTGCACCCATTAGGAATATGGCAACAGCACACCCCATCAAGTGACACAGCCACCATGGACCGAGTTGTGGGGACTTTTAAAATACCTCCAGTACACAATAGGGGTGATATAGGTAATCTTTTAAGACATAGATGAATAGAAAATCCTAAAGCAAACTTAAATTAATCTTAATATAGTCCTTTACCAGTTCTAGAAACATTGAACATAGTAGCTAAAGCCAAACACTTGCACATGTGAACATAAAATATACAAATCTCAATTTCTCGTTAATAATGCAGAGCTCTGAATCTCTCTGAACATAATTTTTAAGCTCACAAGAGTTACTTTGGAGCAGGACTATGGGTAGTTGTAGTCCCCCTACGATCTCCAGCTTCCTGGAAGAATCCCAAATGCTGTTTGCAGCTCTTTCCCACCTCTTTCTGGAATGGTCAGGGATGATGGGAGCTGTAGTTCAGCCACTGGTTAGCCACCTCGGATCAAAAGTCTACCCACATCTATCAGATGTGCAGGTAGAAATGGAAAATTGCCTGTGCCTTCACATCTGCACTGCCCTTCTCTTCCTGGATGCAGAGGTACATGATGCAGCTGGGGACAGTTTTTCCCGTGGGATGCAGCTAGGCAGCCAAGCTGCGTAGTGCAGACATTTCCAACACTCCCTGGGCTGCAGGGTGAGCAAAGCACCTTGTGGGCTACTGTCACCAAATTCAACAAGGACAGAACAGAAAAAGGCACAACAGAGAAATTTTAAAAGGAGGGGCTGAAAGATGGGGGTGCAGAGAATGCAATGACTGGCCAAGTTTAAAGCCATTTTTTAAGGAGATGCGATTAAGCCAGTGTATGCTCTTTGTAAGCAGAGAAGAACTGTTTTGTTTACTAAGAGGGCTAAATAGAGCTAGTACTGGAGAAACAGAAACGTAGGAATGTAGATCTGTGGTGGTACAGAAAGAAGAATGTGTATGTGTCTGCTGGTGTGATCAAGCTATGGGGTACATAGGTTATTATTAATAGGTTATTGTATTTTAGTGTTTTATTGGAAGCCGCCCAGAGTGGCTGGGGAAACCCAGCCAGATGGGCACGGTATAAATAATAAAATATTATTATATTATTATTATTACTACATACAATGGAGAGAGAGAGAGAACATTATGGACAGAGAACAGGAGACACAGAAGAGACCACGTGGTACGGGTTACAGAGAAGAAAGCAGGGTGGTGGTGGTGGTTTAAAAAGCAGAGTCCAAGTTAAATTAAATTTCTTCTTCTTTTTCAAATAATGCAGCAATGTAGCAAAGAGAAAGTGACCATGAGAATGATTCGACTTATGCACCACAATCATACAGAAAACGTTTCTGTTCTGTTTGGTTTATTTAAAAAAGTACGACATATCTCCTTTTTTCCCCAAGGATAGAAGCAATCTACCAAGAATGACTACATCCTCGTCAGGTCTTCCGACACCACTTCCTCCTCCTCCAGCTCAAGGTGACTGGGATGAATCATTCTGTGTTTCTTAATTTGTCTTAAGGAATGAACCAGGGTAGTCTTCAAAGGACTCACTGACCTTCAGAAGTTTGAGATCTTAAAGCCCTTTGACTTCCTAAGATGCCAAAATTCCATCTGGGCCTGATAGCATATATTATTCATTGCAGTAACAAACAAAAAAAGTTGCAGGAAATGATGGGGGAATTGGCACTACTTAAAAGTCAATCACCATAATAAATGTGACTGAACAATCAGTCACTCCTGGATGCTTCCAGATGGGGTGGGGGTGATCCCTTGCCAACAAGCCACTCAGATCCCATTTTTTCTGTGTGAAGTTGGCATAAGAACATAAGAAGAGACTCTTGGATCAGGCCAGTGACCCTTCTAGTCCAGCTTCCTTTTCTCACAGTGGCTAATCAGATGCCTGCAGGAAGCCTGAAGCAGGTACCTGAGCGCAATAGCACTCTCACCTCCTGCAGTTTCCAGCAACTGGTATTCAGAAGCCTATTGCTTCCAACTTTGGAGGGGGAAATATAGCCGTGTCCTCCATGAATCTGTCTAAACCTTTTAAAGCCATCCAAGTTGGTAGCCATTTCTACCTCCTGTGGGAGTGAGTTGTACAGTTTAGCTCTTTGCTGGGTGAAAAAGACCTTCCTTTTGTCTGTCCCAAACCCTCCAGCAATCAGTTTCATTGTGCAGATTCAATCTTACGCTTTTCAAAATGTATCCACAGGAAGTGCTTAAGAGAAAACACAACCAACTCATATTCCCATGTTTCACAATGGGGTCAGTGGAGGTTTGTGCCTTTTTCAGGGGCTGGACAACACCCATCTCAATTTGTTCGTTTGTTTTTGAAAAAATAATCACAACACAGAGGTCTTGCACCAGTCTGAAATTTAGCTGTATTATTAATAATGATTTATAAGTTGTTCACTATGAGAGAGTCTCTGAGTGAAAAATTAAGACCTGAAGGCATAGCATAAAATAAAGAACTGCATACAGTAGACCATTACAGTGACCCATAAAAGCAGACCCAGACAAACAGCAAAACTTTAGCAGCAGAAACCAGTTGCAGCGAAATATACTGAAATGCTGATAAAGAGGTCTTGTGCAAGACCTTTGTATTAAAAATAAATTTAAAAACTCCTGGTGCATGTACAGTGTTTACAGTCTCCAAGGTAATCTCCCACATAGGTTGAGAACAGCTCTTCTGAGCTGGACTGTTGATGTTCTAACGTGCCTTCTGCATATAGCAATTGGTGGAAATAGCTACTTTCACTCTCTCGAGTTGTTAAAGCATTTTTTGTTTGCAGACTGGTTAAAGGATAAAGTTTATTTGATAAGGTATTTGATTCCCCTAACAAAACACAATGGTTCTAAGAAATTTTAGTTTTGTGTATACACTGCTATTTTGGATTGCGGGCAGGCTGGCGGCTGCAGGGTTGAGCCCTCTTTTGATGAAAGACATCATAAATTTCATTTTTTTAAAAAAATGGCCATATTGTTTGGGACACTGGAGACAAAATAGCAAGGTTGTGCTCCAGTGAGGAGCAAATGGAAGTAGAAGCGTGGCAATAGAGAACAACCACAGAAACGTCGCCACGTTCAACAAACCACCCACCAGAAAAAAAGTAGAGGACGCACTAACAAACTTCCACACCAGTGGCAACTACAGATGCATAATAGATTATTATTATTATTTGCTTATTGGATTTACCTCAGTAAGAGGAAATCCAGATTATATGTGCAATAAAAAGAAGAAATAAGAAAAAGATGGGCTGGATTTAATTAAGACCAATGGGGCACAAAACGTGTGTGCATGAGCAGCACTGATTCTGCAATAAACTTCCTGCTGGGGGGAAAAAACACACCTCTTTGTGGAAATTGAATTTTGGGGAGAAAATGATTTTGGGTGGGCAGGCAAGGGTTCTGAAAGGCAAATTTATCTGCAAGGAGAGAAAAGGCTTTGAAGCGTAAGTAATGGTAACTAGATGCTGCTGCTCCATAAGAATACACAAAGATCTCTGCTAGATCAGGCCTGCTCAGAATTCTGTTTCCAGCAGCAGGCCATGAACCTCTCTGGAGGCTTGCAAGAAGGGCACAAGGGCAACAGCATACACTGCATCTGAACACTGCATTCTTTTTAGATGCAATAGCTGGTAAGAGCAGCTTCCATGGGGCTGAGCTTTGAGCATGTGGATCCCAAGGAAAAGGTTGGGTGGGAGTGGACTGTACCTCTTAAGTTTTCACTAGTTCGTGTAAACATTGTATGATGCCGATTTGCTGCCTCTAACAACAGCAATGAATACCAGAGCACTGCTTCTCAGCCTTTTGGCTAAGACCAATCATGGGTTACCAGAGCACCAGCAACAACCAACATTGTTATGTGGGTCCAATCCTCTATGCCAGCTTGGGATTCTAGCACAGCATCACGTGTTGTCATCTCAGTATGTGGTAGGACTAGCATGCAAAGGAAGTGTGTGTAGGTTCCATATGACACAGAACTCATGCATTGAGAGCTGCATTTAAAAACTGGTACCCGATACTTACCTGCCGAAGGAACAACAGAAGAGCAGTTTTCCCCACTCTCTATTCTGCATACATTAGAATACAGGAACTCTGCGGTCATTGCCTCACCAGCTTCAGTATGCTGATCTGAATGTGTGCAAATTAAGACACCAAGGATGTAGCTTTAAAAACAATACACCAAAGTTCTTACGCAACCATTAGCATGCACGGTTACCACTTGTTGTTTTTTAAAAAATAATTATTGTGAATTTTAAAATGTCTGTGTTGCCGTTCAGTCTAAATAGACTCTCAAGAGGACTTGAAACAAATAAAAATGTATAAAATTTATAGGCAAAGGAAAATGCATACTGTACAAGTTTTGCCAGCTTTCTTTATAAGCTCACCAGGGTTTAACATTCAAAACCATTGATACTTTATATTGAATTAAATGTATAAAAAACCCCCCCACCAAAATTCAATTGTTCCTGTTTACTTCATTCAGAATGATACAATTACTCCATATCCCTGCTTAAAAATCTGAACAACAGCTCGCAGTCATCATATATGTTGCATTTCCAAAACAGACATGGCTTTGTGACACTTCCTTTTTTGTTCTGGGGTACTTGTTGTATGGGAAAGGTAGCATGCATGGAGCAGGGAAAATATTTCATTTGAATCTGTTTGAGAGATTGTCTGGCATTTATCACATGAGATGGGGGTGTGTGTTAGTGGGTTTGCCCAGTATGGGCTATATCCCAGATCTCATTCAAGTAAAAAAAAATTCTCTGAGCCAAAGTTAACACAGTTTTTTCTTGACTTCTTTCATATGGCAGTCAGAACTGGGCCCAATTCTGTGGCAAAAAGGGACTTGAACTCTAGCTATCTTCACCTAAGGATAGCTAAAATGTGATCATGACAAAATTTCTCTAATTCATTCCACCTGATGAATGGCTGTGGCTGAAAGTGTTGTTATGCCAGCCGTGCAAAACCTTTCCAGTACTGCTATCCTTATTTGTGAGTGGGGGATTACCAGCCTAATCTGGATGTTCCTACCTAGTCCCCTGATATTGGTTATGTTTAGGGAAATACAGCTGAGCGGGGGGGAGGCTGCTGCAAAGTTGATTGTAGCAGCAGTGCTAGGCAGATGGGGTGAAAGGGGAAAGAAAAGGACTTGGGGTGGGGGATTCTGCTTGCAAAGACAGCTTAAAGAGAAACTGTCAAACCACCCTCTTCCAGTGCCCCTCCTGCAATGACCTACACAGCCCCTCCCCTTATTTCCCTAAAACAAATAAACAAACCCTGAACAGGGCTATAGCTAGTGGGTGGTGAGGTGGGCCCCCGCCAGAGGCACCCTGTCCAGCCAGCACTCCCTGCTCGCAACCCAGGCAGGGCAGGGAAGAGGGCGTGCTGGGCGGCGCCAGCGCTGGGCTGCCCCCCTCACCCCTTGGCCCTCCTGGTAGCTGGCCTGGTGGGGCAGCCTGCGCACACCCCGAGTGTCTCATCCAGTTTGGCCATCTGGCTCTGCCTCTCCCAGACCTTACTCATGGTCAGGGCTGGGAAGGTTCACCAGCCTCAGCCCCTGACACTGCCTGGCCCACCTCACTGCCTGCGCCCCTGCCTCTCCAGACGTCAGGCCTACTCCGGAGTCACTTCTCTCTCCTTTCGCACACCTTCACTCAAGGGTGCCAACTTGAATAAAATATATGGGGGGTTGCAGGTAAGCACTACCCTGTATAATTGACCACAAGACGGAGTGCATGCACACTGTTTGAATGGGAATGCCCATTAAGTGGGGGGGGGACTCCTAAAAAATTTTAGGGTGTGTGTGAAGGAACCTTGGCCCCAAGGAGTTGGCTCCCATGCCCTTCTTCCTATTAAAGTGGGGTGCTCCACGCGTAAGTAGGGAGACGCTTATACAGTGGTACCTCGGGTTAAATACACTTCAGGTTACAGACGCTTCAAGTTACAGACTCCACTAACCCAGAAATAGTACCTCGGGTTAAGAACTTTGCTTCAGGATGAGAACAGAAATCATGCAGCCGCAGCACAGCAGCAGCGGGAGGCCCCATTACCTAAAGTGGTGCTTCAGGTTAAGAACAGTTTCAGGTTAAGAACGGACCTTCGGAACGAATTAAGTACGTAACCAGAGGTACCACTGTATACCATCATTTAGGTCAGCCTTCCCCATCTTGGTGTCCTCCTTCAATCAGAATTCATTACAAGGTGAAATGTGTTAGGAATTGAATGGGGGGGGGCTTGGAGGAGAGGCGGAAAGAAGAGCTAATTTGTCCGTGGCTAGGGGGCGCTATCTGGACGGTTCTGACAGGGGCGCAAGATCACCTAGCTATGGCTCTGACTCTGAAACAATCTAGTGCTGCCTGAGCCCCACAGTTGTTAAACAGAATGCAGCTGTAGGAGTTATTAGCTACCACCATCCTTCCTCATCTGATCTATTTGCTTCGATTTCTAGCCAAAATACCCTTCCCACATTCGCACCACACAACAGGTCCCAGCAAAAGTCAGTTTGGTTCAATTTGCTCCCTTCTTTAAACTCCCTCTCAACCCAACCAGCGCTTAACTGCCTTCACACTCCATTGGCCAGCATGCAGGCATATACCATATTTTTCCATCTATAAGATGCCCCCATGTCTAAGACTCCCCCTATTTTTGGGACCCAGATTTAAGAAAATAGGGGGAGATGTATCCGTGTATAAGACACCCCCTAATTTTTGACATTATTTTTTAGGGGGGGGGGGACCTAGTCTTATACACTGAAAAATACGGTACTTATTACACTTTTGCCAGAGCAAAAGTTAACATTCCCCTCCCCTTTTCTTTTGCTCCGGACCAAGTTAACCTTTAAGCTGCACAGTGAGTCACTCTAGACTTTTCCTGTGACTCTGCTGATAATCTGCTTTATTTTGGCTACAGAAAGTTAGAGATGCAACAGAGGCAAATTGTATGCATGCTTCTCTGCCCTACCCGTGCCTGGAAAAGCAACTGCAGGTATCCGGGCATGTGGGGAGTTTCTAGAGGCATATGAGACGCCTAAATAGGGTTAAGTTGAATTACCATTGATCAGAAATAGGGTTCTACTTGCATGCCTAGCTCTTCTCTGCCATTCTCCCCAATTTGCATCTCCATACTCTTTGCATTTAAATTTTCCTGGACCAGAATTCCCCAATCTGGTGCACTCCAGATATCCCTGGAGTCTGATGCCCAGTGCTTTTTTCTAGAAAAAGAGATGCCAGTACTGTGTACCCTTGAACACCCCCCTGAAAAAAAAGCACAGCTGATACCTTTCAGCCCCTGGCAGTATGGCCAATGGTTAGGGATAACATGAGCTGCAACCAAGCAACATCTGAAGAGCAATGGGCTGCGTGAAGCTATCCTAGGCATCCCCCAAAAACTTTTCTTTTTTTTCTTTTTGCCAAAAATGTACAACTTGGAAGCAAAAAAAAGGAAATTATGTAAGACGATTATATGATCTTTTAAAAATCACAAGTATGTCTAGAACACATAACATGATTATATTTGGTCCTCTGCTGGGTCACTATGGGCTATTTTGGAACACACGCACATAGTTTTGATCACAAAGTACTAGATAATCCCTACTAATGTGTGCTACAGGGCAAAAAACATCCACATTATTCTCCAAAGGAGATATTGATGCAGTCATGTTTTATTTTCAGCCTCATTATCTATGCTTTCAAAGCACCAAGACCTAAATTTTTGGCAGAATGTTCTCTAAGGAAATCTGATTTTAGCAGGCAGTCATCTGCAGAGGGAGCATAATATTCACAGGATAAACCCCCTTGGTGCATTTGCACGGATAGAAAACTGGGGGGCGGGGGGGAGGTTTAAGATGATTCTGGTACGAACCTGGCGACAACGTCTCATTAGGGAGCTTATCTACTTCCAAGATAAAGTCATCCTTGAAGAACAGGTAGCCCACTATCGAGAACAGGTAAACCAAGATAAGAGCAAGAACAGCAGTCAGGATGATGGAGCGTCCATTGCGAGTGACACTTTTAATGACATTCAACAAAGTTTCTTCTCTGTACACCAAGTCAAAAAGCTGGAAAAAGGGCAGTTCAGAATGTTTAATAAGTTCACTTTTAACTACAGATAGCACCACGATACCTAGTAACCTACATGAACAGTGCAATATTTTGACATATATGCTTTTCATGGTAATTAATTTTTGGAGGCCACAGTTTAGAATCACTTTCTAAAACAACTCTAACAAAATTAAAAAAACAAACGAAAACAGCAACATTATTAAACCAAGAACATGGAAAGCCATAGTAAAGGGGTGTATTGAGGGCCAGAGTTTTTCTTTCAAAATCCCCTCAAAAGTTATAAACATAGCTGGCTTTCTTGTTCCAGAACCTTGCTGAACTTAGCTGGTTTCTAGCTCATAAATTACAAAATATGCCAAGTCACAAATAGTGTCATAGTGATCACATCACTGCATCCTTTGGGTTTTTCTCCACTGCCTGTTTGCTCTGTATGCATACCATTGGGCTGCAATATAATCAAAGACTGAAATTGGACATGGAAATTCCCATATGAGTAGTCAATGTATCAGTGAAAAGCCACAATGCAGCCTGATGGAAAATTTGCTGCATCTTTGACTGCAGTAACACCAGAAGACAGTGAGCCTGAGTCAAAGGAAGTTAGTCACCCTGAAGTCCATTGACAGAACTATACGTTACCTTGTAAACAGCATGTCCCCAAATCTCAATTTGCTCAGGTAACAGAACCCAGAGGTGGATGGACCATAATTAAGGGTCACTTCAAAACTTTTCCAACAATATCCCCCACTTTCAAGTGAGGAGAGATTTGAGGTGAAAGAGGCCTGTTTCAATCATGCTCACTCTCCCCCTCCCCAGGTTTTGTGGCAGTGGCAATATCCCTACGTAACTAGCTGCCTACTCTTCCCCACCCACCTGGGAATGATGGTTTGTTATCACATGACATCATTCCAAAGGGAATTAGGGTTTTTTTTATTTTAAGAAAAGGTGTCTGTGTTATTTAAACCCAGCAATGCTACTTGTAATGATGAAACGGCGTAATTCACAGGAGCAGGTGGTGGTAAAATGTCTTCTTCCTGTCACCAGAAGAGCTACTGCAAGCATTCTATTTTGATCCCTTTGTCACCCCCTCCTGAAAATTGCCGAAAATGCCTGCCATATTTGCACCCCACAATTGGGGTGGCAAAAATGGTTGGGGGGTGGTTTCAGGCCCTTGGCACATCTGTAGTAGAGATGAACAGGATGTGAGAAGAAAACTAGATGGGTGACTGGCCTGATTCAGTAGGCTCTTTTTACATTCTTAATAGGTGTTCTCAGTGTTTTGTAGTGATGTCATTTGAAGTTTGCAATATAAATTGGCCAACTCATAACTTTAGGCTGCTTTATGAATTGAGCAGCAATTTGCCCATAAATTCTACTCTGGCTTAGAATAAAAATGAGGTTCCGTGCACGCAGATCAAGGACATAAAAGCAAGCTGCTTTGTAGTCACATGTAAAAGATTTATTTCACATTGAACTGCCTTTGCTTATGTAAACACTTGTTAACTGCTGTGAAGTACATGACCAGATCACATGCTGAATATCTTTGCTGTTTTGGTAACTGTCAATTATTTCTTGAAAATATTGTATGTCTAACCTAAAACCTTCTCTTGTCCCTTTGTGTATTTGTTTGGAAAGTGGAGGGGCAGTTGAATTTCCGAGCTGCTTTCTGCCATGGCTGGTGCTGGGAATCATCTGAAAGTCAGCTTAAACCCATTTAGCATCATTCAGGGTCACTAATATCTACAGTCATCAAGTACAGTCAAAAATATAAATTGTTGGGATTAAATGCTTACCAGCAAGCTGTAGAAAAATTCATGAACGAAAAGCCCCATTGCGCAAATAAGAAGATATAGTAGATGATAAAGGAACTCCACATCCAAGATCATGGCTTTGTATCCTCGAGTGAATGTTCCACAGTTACCAACAAAACTCATCAGAAATATTATTTTGTTACAAACCTGTGGAGCACAGGACAGAAGATGAATGCCTGGAGAACATTCATTCTTGAGCATATTTTAGAAAACCTATTAACACAACACACCAGTTCCAGCATTCTTCTTTTAAACTGGGGTAGCTAACCGGTGACTCTCCAGACCTTACGGAACCACAATTCCCATCATCCTCAGTGAGTGGTTGGGGATGATTGGAAGCTGTAGTTCAGCAACATCTGAAGGGCTGTAGGTTAGCCACAATTGGTTGAAACCCTTTTGGGGGGGTTGTTGCTAATGATTTATGGCAGAACAATGAATTTTTAACATACAAGCATGTAGAGAATATTTCATGGTGCAGGGCAAGAACATTTCAGAGAGACTTCTATCTGATACTTACATTGAAAGCCCCCAGAAGAAATAATGTTGGCTGCAAGCCTACAGAAAATATTAGCCGCAGTATTGTGGAAGCTATTAAGGCTCTAATGCCGTGGGGTTTAGGTAAGGCAACAACTATGGCAAATGATATCAGCATGGCTGTCCAAAGTAAGCCTGACAAGTGGGGCTCCAACGTACCTGAGGAGAGGAAGACACCCAAAGACAGTTCATTGTTTATTCAGTTTAAAATTTATCCTGCTTGCTCCACAAAGCCCCCTGGGATGCTAAGAACAATATCTCACACAGTATCAGTTTGAAATATGCCAACAAACAGCATCTATAACTTACAGACTGGCATAGGCAACAGAGCAAGGCATTAAAAAAAACTAAGCAGTAGATTATAGTAAACATGCACCAGCCTTCCCCACAGCCCCCAGACAAACCTTCTAGAGAGGGGGGAATTTAACTGCCCTGGTTTGGCAGCATCCCTCCTCACCTGACACAAAATTTTCAAAACTACCCTTGGAAGTGCCATATTCTGATACACACATTTAGTATTGCTTATTAACCTTTTTGTCTAGACCTTACTATTTTGGGACTGATAAGTGGTTGAGTACTTAAAAGTCTGTTGTGGTTAGCCACTGATCAGTCTGAAATGGCCCTGGCACAAACAGCTTACTTTTGTTGCTCCTGTTGCCTCATATAAATATATCAATTAATAAATTAATACAAAATAATGGATAGAAACCTGCATTAACATGTGAAAGCTGCCATATTAATAAAACTCCAACTGAACTTGGAGCTCAACTCCAGTTGAAATGGATTATAAATCACGCCAACATTGATGCAAAAGCATGTTATTACTTCTCTTTCCCAATAAGCCACGTAGAAATGTGACTTAACTGCAACATGCATTGTGAAGCACCCTTATTTTAAGTTTACAAAGTAGCTGCAGTGGAGCAAAGCTGGTAGGATGCAGCTCTAACATCACAGGCTATATTAATGAACCTAACATCCATTCCATAGCCATTGGCTGAAGGGTTTATGGAGTGCACTCAGAACATAACTTTCCGTGATATTCTGCTCTCTTGCGGCAGATATACAATGCAGATATAGATTGGTTCCATACTAGTTTAATGGTCATGACGTCCTCCAAAAACTCCTGGGGACTCTAGTTTTGTGAGACTGCTGAAAATTCTGAATCTGGGATCTGTTTTATACAGCTACCATCCTCAGGGTTCCCTGAGGCAAGGAACTGCTGAAACCATTTTTAAGTAGGGAAATTTGCAGCTTCCAGTCTAACTTGAAGTGTACCATCTGGACTAGCATGCATGCTCTTCGCTCAAAAACATCAAAATGAATATTAAAATTTGCATTTTGAGATAAAACACCTTTAGAACTATGCATTTTGAGAGCCAACACTTCTCCCAGATCCTAATCTGACACTGCTTGAGATGGAAAGGTAAAGGACCCCTGACAGTTAAGTCCAGCTGCAAACGACTCTGGGGTTGCAGCGCTCATCTCGCTTTACTGGCCGAGGGAGCCGGCGTTTGTCCGCAGACAGTTTTTCTGGGTCATGTGGCCAGCATGACTAAGCCGCTTCTGGTGAAACCAGAGCAGTGCACGGAAATGCTGTTTACCTTCCCGCCGGAGTGGTACCTATTTATCTACTTGCACTTTGACGTGCTTTTGAACTGCTAGGTTGGCAGGAGTTGGAATCAAGCAATGGGAGCTCACCCCATTGCGGGGATTCGAACCGCTGACCTTCCGATCAGCAAGCCCTAGGTTCAGTGTTTTAGACCACAGCACCACCCCTACATCCCTTGAGATGTAGAGTGTGTTTAATAATACAACTGATAAAAATTCACCAGTACTAAGATGCTTAAGTTAGCCGCCGCCACCCACCGTCATTGGGCTTTGATTTTTGTAAAAAACTACATTTTATAACTTTGAAATACTAGTACCTCCTTTGACTCCTTTAAATGGATAGAAAAATGCTACCAAAAGATTCATAAGGACTGCAAGGTTAAAGGAAATACTGCTCCAGAAGGACATGTTGCGCGAGCACCAGTACAGTATATGCTGAGCTGCAAAAAATAAAAAATAAAAATGTTTACAAGGGATTCAAAGTACAAGATTGCCCCTAACAATGAATAAATCAACAGAGATCATTGTATTGCCAACTTTTCCTAGAATCACACACTGTGAACTGTAGTAATCTTTATTATTTGATTTAAAGTTTGTGCTTTAATTGTTGTTTGCAGAGTCCATAAGTTCAGGGCATTTGCTTCCTAGAGAACCTTTTTTCAGATCAAAGGCCATACTGAACAGAAACCAACTTTTTATATAAACACTTGGTTTACAAGCACCAGGAGAGCAAAAGTTGATCGTGCGTTAAAAAACACAAAAAGGTCAGAATGTGCTGACTGCATGCCATGGCACTCTGCACTGTGTGAACTTTTGAGACCGACACACCCTCATTTTCATTTCCAGCCTTTATTCTCTGCAGTGGAAGTGGTTGCTTCAGAGCTAAACCAGATAACTGCATTATGCATTTAATGCGTGACTGGTTTCTGTTCACTAAATGGTAGCTGTGGGACCAGATTGGGACCTCAACGTTCAGGATGGAGGACAAGAGAAGATTTGACCCTTTAGTCCTGTTATGGTCCTGCTTGGGATCACCCAGCCACAGATGCTATTCTGCAGCTGTGTAGGGAGAGTGGTGCAATCCAAACTGTGGCAGAGGAATAATATCCCTCAGCTTCCATGCTATAGTCCTGATCTAGATCACCCTTCCCCACTCCAGCTATTTAGTAAACAAACATCAAGTATATCTTATAGGTTTAATGTCACATCAAGTCTGGTCCCTGACCATTACATTGCCAAACTTCAAAATGATGCAGTGGAATGTGAGCTTTAGAAAATGTCATAACCTCAAACTGAGAAAGCAACCAAGATATAAGTGGACCATTGTGCCAAGCAGATGCAGCTGTCTCAGAGGTTTCGACTACCTAAGGCCAGTATTGCTGAATGTAATGTTTGGTTCTTATTTACAAGTTCTTCTCCTTTCGCGACTATATCGGCTGAAATTATGTCGCCGCAAAAACAATAGTCACAGATGTGAGCTCTTGTAGTTTGAACATGGGCATGAGCATAGGCATGGTGCAGGAGAACGGTGATAAGCATCTCCTGTGACTATATACATATGTAATTTTAAAGCTAATTTGGTCAGAGGAGCAGCACTGTGAGACAGCTGGAGTTGCTATTAGCCCTGCAGGCAATCTGTACTATATTCTCTCCCCAAACTCCACCCTGAGCTGATAGTAGCTTTGTACATTAAGAGGTCTGCATCCAGGAAATAGTGCAGAAAAGGGTGTAGCACTTTCTCAGAGAGCTACTTCCCCAAATTAGCATCCCAATGCAGCTGCTTGAAGTAAAAACCAAAGCAAAACCCCACAGGAGATTGTGAACACAGATCTCCTGTGTCATGTCTAGTTTAGTCCTTATGTAACATATCTGACAAGGATCCTAGGGCAAATTGCCCCTAAGATTAATGGCTGGCCATTCCCTTCCCAATGATATCCATCTGCATAATATTCTGGCTGCTTCAAAGCATTTGTTTTCACAATAGTAATCAGGAAATGTAATGCTGGAAACACACAACAATATGCACAGCTAATGATTAAACCAAGTCTTTCTGAAAATATTTAAGATACTGAAAGCAAAATTACATGGAGAATAATTTTGTGTGAGGATAAAATTCCCCAGAGGCTGAAATTGCTTCTCTGACACAGAGAAGAACTTTGCAGCCTCTCAGATCAAGAATTAGTATCTTGAAAAATCGCCTTTGGCAGCAATCCAGTTTACCTCTGAGTTTCTTTTGCCAGTTCATTTCATTGAAGAGGTCTTCTGATCTCAGGAAAAAGTCATTTATCTTACTGCCTTGCTCATCCCTCTCGGTAGTATAGTACACCCGTAGTTTAGATTCCTTCGTGAGGAACTCACATATACTGGGCACAGGGAAAACTATTTGCTCCATGGTGCGATCTGATCTAACAATCTATAGAAGAGAGGATTTAAGTATTACTTCGTATGGCTGCCCCTTAAAACGAGCATGTATCATCCCCCACGATGCAAACTCTTCCTTTATCAGAACCTCACTTATGCAGTAGACCTGCTACTCTCCTCACAAAAATACTTCATGATTTCCATCAGTGTAACACCATTTACTGTAGGTCTCTCCCTTTTGTTTCAGTAACATTTCAAGTCCAAAAAGCTGGGTATATACATATATCATTATGGTTGATGGCCAACTATTCCTTTTGTTAGGCAAATTTAACAGTCCAGGGTGGTTAAATTATGTTTCCATTAAAAAAACCAGTTAACGGTTATTTGGTGTCCTGAAAGCTAAGGACCTTTCTCTCTTTGTTTTTGAATGATACTCTCATCAGAGCTTAGAAGAATGAAAACATCCGTAAGAGATGGGATAAAAAAGCAGGTTTTCATTTGGAATTTCTAAAAACAGAAGAACAGATACGAGAAGATGAAACACTGTGCCATGTCTCTCATTAGCAGTGCTTTTTTTAAAAAATGAGGTGCCTATACTCACATGGATACCAGGACAAAATGACTGCAATGACAGTGGGGGCGGGGGTGGGGGAAGGTGACAGATCTCTGTCCTAGTGAGTACAATCACAAAGAAGGACTGCTCATTGGGATCTGAGATAGGGCAACAGTTCTGCTGGGATACAGGTTGGTTCTGGTATTCAGTATTTGCAAATATAGCAAATGTCTCCAACACTCACCCCTCAGTGAACAGTGTTCACCCAGAACAAATCAAGCCAAACTGTCCTTCCCCTGCTTAAGTGGGGGGATATGTCACAGTATGAAATTTTGTGCGTATATCTCTACTACAATTACACAGAGCTATGTAGCTAAGATCCACGTGGCTAATCCGTCTTGTCTAAAGCTCGCCACAAGCACCATTTTTTAAATTTAAAAAATGTTTGATTTAGAAAAGATTTGGCAAACTCAATTAAATTCAAAAGAAGATGGAATATAAGCCAGTTTAGAATTGGATAGCATTGTATTTGCTATAATATTCCATAGGTGCAAGTTGATTTTGATGTAGTACATCTGCATTGTATTGTTTGCACAGGACACTTCTGCTGACGTTCCCGCCTAATTTTAAAACAATTTCTTGGTTTATCTTTTCTTGGACTGGCACAGCAACGATTACCCAGAATTTACTGTAGCCTTTACCTCAATCTGAGCTGTGTGCTTAGCATAGAATTCCAAAGCTTCATCTCCATCAATTTGACCTCCAGGCTTCAACATGTTCTGCAACTCTTTGTTATGACGAGCGAGCTAAAATAAATGAATAGTACATTTGGTGATAGCGGCCTGCATCTCAATGAAAATGTACTTGCATTTTCTTTGTATTCTTCCAGGTGCTGGCTGGTCAGGGTAACTGAAAATAATTTTTTCCCCTGAAGTGGCCTAAAGCTGTTTTGAACCTGTGCTCCCTAAGTTACAGATGTAGCATTTCAGTGGTAAACCAGAAATTTAGGACAAACAGCACCAATGGGAGGCACCAGTCTGTGAAACTTCATGCAACATTTCTGCCAGTGGAATGAATCTATGCTGACCTCATGACTCTCCTGGTCATTTGTGTATGAAAACATGATCAGTGTGCAGAATCAGCACATCTGGGCTGTCCCAACAGAGATCAGATTTCCTGAATCTGTGCACTTGAGCCTAAACGATAGGTTGCACATGGCCATGCCTATATTTGGGTATAGGGCCCTGCTACTCGTAGAATGTGCCACAAAATTCTCCTTGCATAAATGCAATTGTACCTGATGGGCTAATATGTAAATATTATGCCCCACATTTCTAGGAGATGCAGCAAGATCTTCACCATTCTCTCCATCCTCAAACTCAACTTCACCTTGCAGATAAGCCTTCTTAATCACTTCAACCTGGGGAGAAAAGATAAATACAACACTCAAAACTGTGGTGGTGTTGTTGGTGGTGTGAGAGACAGAAATACCAAGGCCAAAGCCAAAACATACTGCCAGTGGATGACTCCTCTAAAGGAATTTCACATTTATTGCTCCCTCCCTCCCTCCTGAAGTAGAGGTCTCCGTTTCAAGTTATAAAAAGGTTGGTTTTTCCGTTTTGTTTTGTCTTTAAAGCAGCTGGTATTTGCTGTCAAATTGAGTCTACATTACGAATCACTTGACTCAGTGGAATAGGAGCCAAAATAAAGACTGAAACTTTATCCCCAGCTCACCCCTTTGTTGCTGGATAATAAATACATTGCATCACACACCCGTCTCGGACTACTGCCATAACCAAGGCACAATGTGGCGAGTTTATAGACTTTCAGCCCTGCACTTTGGAATCCCTGGCTTGACGTTTTGCTGTTTATTAATGCTGGATGGAACAAAATGCTTAGAAGCTGTTAAATGGCTTTTGTCTCAACTCCTTGTCAAACTGATATCTAGTTGTGATAGATTATTTGAATCCAAACACTGTCACCCCTCATCAACACAGGATGTTTTTATATGGGTGTTGATGGATCAGTGCACTTCACGCTTGCAAGGTTTTCATTTCTTTTTTACAGCGTTGCCAACTACCCATTTGTGATATCTCAATGACTCACTTGCAAATTAAGCAGCCATACTACTATACAGCTGATTAGCAGTTACATCAAAATTAATTTGAGGATGCAGAGAGGACCATCATGGAACTTCAGATGTTTTCCCTCCCTCTGCTATCTGATCTTCAAAGAAGCAGGCAGAGTGGACCACCATAGCTTTCCAGGCTGCCAAGAGCTACTGAGCTCTTAGCCCCAAGTTGCGCGGGAGATAATTTCACAGGAATTTGTCAGAAGAGAACTGTACAACAATGCTTCTCAAATCTTCCAAATCCTTATAGGCTCTGATGCTGCACAAACAGTGCTTTCTGGATGCACCCTTTTACTTTTTAATCTCACTTGGAAAAATTAATTTCCCCATCCTCAACTGACCCGTGTGCTTATGAACTCCCCCAACATCTTTGCAGTCCACTTCAAGAGTTCAGTGAGTGGAAGTAATTACTTTACTTTACTTTACTTTACTTTACTTTACTTAGTATGAACTTAGCCACCCAACCAGCAGCAAGATTATTGCATACTGCCAAATTCGCCTTTGCCACCACAACCCCTGAAAATTTGGAGGCGTATCCTTGGAAACGTACCAATTCTTTGGGTCTCATATTATACAGGATCCTTTCTGCGTTCTCACTGTCGTGCCTACTTTCCATTATTGCCAAGAGTAACTTAGAAGCATTGTTCTGGTAAAAGTCAAAGAAAGATATCTGATGAATAGTTGAATGTGTTATAAAAACGGAAAGAAGTAAAAAAGACAACCCACAGATCTATGTGACTATTTTCAGCTGCATAAACCTGTCAAAGCAACGAAGATGAGCAAATGTGAAAGACCGCAAGGTATCATAAAGTTGAAATCTAACACGATTTCTACTAAGAAGCAATGATGTCATTTAGATACATAAATACAATGAAAGTAGGTTTCAGGCAACACACAAAGGATAGCTGCATCTTTTCTCCTTTTAAACTGTGAAGTCAAGTGTCTATCGGTTTGGAAGCAGAACAGGACCACTATAAACAATAAGGTGGTGGTTTTTTGTTTTTTGTTTTTGCATTTGGGGCACTCCCTAAATATGTGGAAGTATAGATATTTATACATTAAAAGATTTTTAAAAACAAAACAAAAACAACCTATCTGTTAACCTGTGAGCTGAAAGAATACTGATGGCAGCTGAGCTTGAAAGGGGGAAAATATAAAGAACCGCAAACTGGTTGAAATCAGATGAGACTGTGTACACATTACCACCTGAGGACACAGTGAGGTAGCTTTCTCCCTACTGAATTTCTAGTCACAATTGAACTTTGCTGTACACATCAGTATGCTTTGGTATATATCCATGCCACCCACTGCCTGTCTGCTTCAGTGGGCACAGTGTAAGTTGCCTGCTTGGTTTCCTGATATGGTTTCAAATCAGACTGAAGCTGGGTTTCTTTTGGGGGCGGGGAGAGATACATCAAACCACAGTATTTCACAAGAAACTACAGGATCACTCTACCCCTCTTGTAATATTGGGTATGCACAGCACACTGCAACACTGTGTACTAGACACAGATGGTAGCTGACCCATCTCCAATATAGCGTGAGGGGACTCAATGGGACTTTTTCCTTTCCTATCGTCTTGCTTCTCCAAACTGCAATTAGCACTGGAAGTCCCCCCTATGTTAAGTTCTGTATATAAAAATTATGTTAAATTCACAGTGCATAAGTCGATGCTGGCAGCAAGGTCAGCAACTATGTCCAGCAATTATGCACTAACACAGAGTAGAGGCTCCACTGATTTAATTGCAACTCAAAGTTGAGCCTAATCAATGGATCAGGATCAGCACTGGATGGCTTGCCCAAAGTAGCTATTGATCAATAGATAACTGGCCCCTTTGTCCTGTTCCCTCAACATCTATATTCTGCCTAAAATTGCAGGACAGCTATGCATAAGACCACCTGATGGTTTCTGTCACAGGACTGGTTATGTATACAGCTCTGATCACATGTCCTAAGCCCCTTAACAGGCTGAAATAATTTTGCAAGTTACAGTATCATAGCTAAGTAATTGTACTTAATGTTCTCTTTGAAATTCAGGTTTTGAATGTATGAAATACATTCCATATCTTAAATTAAGAACAGGCAAACTGTTTGAAATAAAATATTATGAAGTCTTTCTTTTAAAATGATTTTTTAAAAAAATAATCCCATGTGATAGCAAACTGCCCAGGGCACTCAAGGAGCCTGCTAGAATTATCAAGATCTGGATAGAAGCTTTTGCTTTTTCGTTGTGATACTACAGTCCATCTTCAGAGTTGAGTATCCACTTGCCTTCAGTTCTAATACTAGATCCATCCGCTTCTTTCCCAGAGGGTTGATATCATTGAGAATTAATGCTGTAATTATATCTATACCATTGGACTCATGAGTCGCGATGCAGTTCTGCACAGGGGAGAAAGAAACATAAAAAGAAGAAACCTTTTTTAAGTGGCTAACATAACCTTTCTTCCCAAAGGCCTATTAAGTCTCTCTCTGCCCACCACTCCCATGAAGAGTTCCATAGGGAAGAATTCAACTAAATTATTACACTAATGCAAAGGAATTTCTTCCCTTTCCACTCCGTGTGTGTAGCCCATGTTGTCCCAAAACCTTCTCAGGAAAGTTGGAGAAAACCCCAGAATGGATTGAGCCGGGGAGGGGGGAACAGGGGCAGGAGGAGGGGAAAGTGTCCCATTGAGCAAAGAGAAATCAAAATGCTCACAGAGCATTCTACTTAATGCTACTTTCATTGCAGCCCATAGTAAGCTAAACTACTGGGCTTCCCTTTGTTTGGTAAAGGACCCCTGACATTTAAGTCCAGTCGTGAACGACTTTGGGGTTGCGGCGCTCATCTCGCTCTATAGGCCAAAGGAGCCGGCGTTTGTCCGCAGACAGCTTCCGGGTCATGTGGCCAGCATGACTAAGCTGCTTCTGGTGAACCAGAGCAGCGCACGGAAACAACATTTACCTTCCCGCTGGAGCAGTACCTATTTATCTACTTGCACTTGATGTGCTTTCGAACTGTTATGTGGGCAGGAGCTGGGACCGAACAACAGGGGATTCGAACCGCCAACCTACTGATCGGCAAGCCTTAGGCTCTGTGGCTTAGACCACAGTGCCACCCACGTCCCTTTTGTTACCTCACTACAAATCCAACTATTCTCTATTTGCACCAAGGTATTTTCAGAGTCTCATGCTGAGACCAGCTATTCCCCTGCACTAAGAAAGAGTTGGGGGTTCTCACTGATGAGGATGCTCTGTTCTAGACATCTCATTTCTGATTTCTTTGGGGTGTTGTAGTTAAGCAGCACACTTTGGAACGATTGGTGGTATGGGAATGGATGCCCCTTTGAGGTCCCTTCCAACAGTTCTGTGATAAGTTCTTAGGGTGCCAAATTGTACATGAGATTCCCAATTTTGCGACTACGTCACGTTTTCTACTCAATAACTGGATTACCTGGTTTTCATGGCATGGTCCCTGGCAGTACTCAGTCAAACTTTCCAGTGTCTGGTTGATCAATGCTACATTTTTCTCATTAATGTACAGCCCAAGAAGTCCAAGTCCTCCAGTTGTGCTTCCACAGATACAGTCCAGAAACTGCAGAGTCTCACACACTAAGTTGTAATTTGTCTTGTTGTTTTGACAACGCAGGAAATTCTATAGATGAATATGAAATAATGGAGAGGGGAAAGTTCAGTTTCATTTTTGAACATTGATGCTGGTCAAAAGAAATCAAAATGTGATATTTTTTTGCAACAGATTCACACAGTTTTCCATTCACACATCACTTTCTAAAAGCAATAATGAACATGATCTCAGTGTGATCCAAGCCTCTCAACACACCCATAGATAAATATTTAGGGCTTTTGACTTTTGTAATGTTTTGCAAGTGCCTATAGGTCAATTACACTCATTTCTCTAACCTCAAAACTTTCCTTTTAGTTAGTTGTCTTTGATCTATAAAGAGCAACAAGTTTTCATTCCACCCACTCAAAGTTCCTGCAGATTACAGCTAGTTAGAAATTCCCTCTTTGAGCTTAATTCTTTTATTTTTCCCTCATGCTTGCTAAGTATCTTTGTTCCTAAGTCAGCATCTGGGTTAAGCATTTTTGGACATGTGCCAAGGCTCATTGCCAACCCCAGAGGCTTGTTCTTCTGCTATTCTGCCCCTTATGAAATCTTGTCACATGTCTGCCTATGACATGGGGAGAAAGATGAAATTACGCTGGTATCTGGGATAGGGGAAGATAGAGATGTGAGAGACAAGCAAGCCTGAAGATGGAAAGAGAGATCAGACATCTTTATGCTGTTCTCTTATCCCCTTCCAGCAGTGGAAGTCTGAGGGCAATGTTTCTTGCCCATTGCTTTAGCTGCCATTTAAAGCCCTGTTGGTAACTGGAAAGCATTTGATCCTGGATGAGCAGGATAACTGGGTGTGCAACAATGAGATCCTGACTTAGTCCACCACATCTAAGGGATGCATTCACTATATTTGGGTTATATTCAACAGTGACTTGTTCATGGAGGGCTTTCTGATAAAAGGGGAAACTCCCATGAAAGGAAGCAGGACGCTGGCTGGTTTTTTGGCTGACCGCACCCTTCAGTCTTTAGCCACCACCACTCCGCCCAAAAGAATCTGTTCCAGAGGGTTAGAAAAACCATCCAGAAAAGCATGAGATGGGTGTGTGAGGGTATATTTTTTAAAACTGCCTTCTTCCCTGTTCCATGCACTGAAGCCTCTGCTGAATCAAGCCTTCAGTGAATGGAAGAACACATCTGGCTACAACCCATCACCACCAGCAGCCTAAATTTGATGAGGGACTATTAGGATCCCACTTCCCTTGCTAGGTATTCTATTAGTCACCCACATTTGAGTGTATGCACCTGGTTTTGTGTACCTGCCTCCCTGCCTGAGTCTTGTCACTGAGGTGGACCCCAGGTGGTTAGGAATGTGGCCACCAGGATACTGGTCAGGGAAGGCTGCAAGGAAGAACACAGTGCCAATTCTGAAGCAATTTCACGCTCCTCATTTTAAGGAGCTGTTTTTGATCTTTGTGATTTTAACTGATTTGGGTCCAGGTTGTCTTTAAAATCTCTTGCTTCGTATGAATCCACTCATAGTGTTTTAGGCTTCAAACTATAAATGACCCAGCTCATGCCTGTGAGATTTGTTTGAGATGCTTTGCTTATAGCTTTTGGCACTGGAAAATATGTCCTGGACCATCTCAGCATTGCATGTTTCAAAGTAGTCTCGAAGATTGTGGAGCTTCAAAGAAAACATATTGTCAGGTTTTCAGTTCATTGGTTAGACCTGGAATCTTTAACAAGCCTAATGCAGAACAAACAGCCCATCTATTGTTAAGCACTGTGAAATTATCACAATCAAAACTGGGCCACACAGATAAAACAGTGCTGTAGACAGACCTATCTTCTTGGATCAAAGTAAACCGCACCGAATCAAGATCATCAGGGATAATCTTTAGAGGGAAGCTACATGAATCAACCCTCTTCATGGATCACTGCCTTGTCGTGGCGAAGGGGCTTGAATAACGAGCTATGCCATGCAGGGCCACCCAAGATGGACAGGTCATAGCTGAGAGTTGTGACCCACCTGGAGAAGGAACTGGCAAACCACTCCAGTATTTTGCCAAGAAAACTCCATGGACATAAAAAAAGAAGAAGCTTTGAGAAGAAAGTCAGAGTTTCCAGGGCATGCTCTGGTACATGGGGTCAGGGAGAGTCGAACACGACTAAGACGACTAAACAACAACAACATGAATCAACATCTCCCCATGCTTCCTTGCCTCTAGCTGGTTTCCACTCAGGAAGGGACAGTTTTGTTATCACATGGGCTTCAGTTCCAAGCTACCACACCCCATCAGAGAAACACTTTGCTCCTCAATGAGCTGGCAACAACATATCTTGGGAAGGCACTGCTGTTCATTTAGGGGTAAAGTAGCATATGTCTCCATGCCCTCAGCTCAAGTGAGATGTCTGCTTTTCTACTGAGAGGATGGCAGAAAACCTTTTTTGTGGAGCTGAGCCTGAAGATGCTGCATAGCCTACCTGCAGGTCCCGGTTGTGGTTTTCACACAGCAGCTGCAAAAACCGCAAGATGGGCTGCATTATTGTGATAACAGGACTCATCTCCAGTTCGTCTTTGTTTTTGTCTGCTGCAGACTGTGCGCCATCTGCAGCTGAATAATGGTCATCGGGATCAGCTTCCCTCCTGTAAGTGTTGTATGCCTTCCTTGTAGCAGCAGAGGCGTCAACCAACTGATCTCGCACCTCCTCTGTTATTTGGGTCATGGGTTCTCTCAAAGCTACAGAACACAGAGACAAAGGTCCATTAGCAAACAACAACCAAGCAGAGTCAATTCAACATTTTTCAGCATGTTGACACATCTACCTTTGTAGTAAGTGTTATCCAAATTAATGCCGCAAGTTTTACTGAGGCAGCCTGATTTGGTTTATACCACCACACAAGACACAGCAATATCCTTTCTGTAAATGTGAAGGCTGTTCCCTAAAGAATAGATAAGCATCCACCATTACAGTACAGGAATCAAATGAGATTTAGAGCAAAAAAAAAAAAAGGATTTGAGAAGTTTTATGGGGAAGCTCCAAAGTTCAATTCTTGGAATCTCCATGTAGGGCTGGGACATACTGTGTATACAATACTGAGCTAGATGGACTTTGGTCTGTGTCCCTATGATCCTGTCATACTCATGTCCATGCTATTCCCCCTGTCCAGCCCTGAATGCTTGCATCTGGTGCCTAAGTACATGCTGCAGGGTGACTGATAATGCAAATAGGTTCTTCAGATATTGCAGCAGGGCTTTCTAACGAGTATTGAATTTTCAGTAGTGAGGGTAAATCCTGATTAAATAGGGGGTAATGGCAAGAATATGTGCTGGCATTTTGATGCCAACTGACACTGACAAATCTCATACATGAGGGGCACCAACCCCACAACAGAACACCTGACCGTAGGCATGTAAAGTGCCACTAGAAAGCAACCTTTTCTGTTTCTTCCAGTGTCATGTTATTGAAAATTAATAGTATGTACTGATGCATCAGACATGTACGTTATAATGATTCCAAAGGAAAAGAGACGTTTGAGAGTGCAAGTGCCCATCTCAATCCCTCTCTTATTACAAATGGAGAATATGGGACGTCTGTTTTTAGCTACAGAATCCTAGACCTATTGCACGCAGAGCAGAGTGTTAAAAACAAGGATTAAGCAACATGTCAAGCTACTCAAGCTGGCTGGCCCATTAATGCTAAAAATACCTGTCACCACTATAGCAACTGCCACATCCCAAATGGATGAAGGAGGAAAGCAGTGCCATGGTAGGGCTGAATTTTTAACTTCCATGTTGTGGACCAGAACCTCTGGATCAATAAAAGAATTCACTGAAGGGTTTGATTTTCATATCCTTCATTAAGGAACACTGGAGAATTACCTCTTTTCCTGGCTGGTACATCTCTGTCCGAGTCATCATCTTTCTTTTTATTTCCTAAATCACTGGTGTTAACTGTGACTGTAGCCTTGATCTCTTGCTGAGCCACTTTCATGCGGTCGTAAAAAACTTTGAAGAATTTTTCCGACTTTTTATCTTCCATTAGTCGGCAGAAGAATGAGTGCTACAGAAACAACAGAGATGCAGAACACCTTAAATGGTAAAACCCAGTATCAATGGCACATAGATACCAGGTAGTGAACCCCACAGTCACTGACTGAGCTTCTGTTAATGAAATAAAGTAAGTGAAGGCCCCAGAACCAAATGCAGCTCTTAAAGAGTATCAAAATGCTCCCAACTGCAATATTCAGGGCAAGAAATGAGGGAAGAAATGTTATGGAAATGGGTATTATTTGGAATGCGTTTTGTAAGGGAGGTTTGGCCGCCACCTTTACCTCTCCTCAAAGCAATCCTCCTGTGAAGCCAGCTGCTGGCCCCAAGGTCCTGTGCTTATAATTGCTGGTGAAAGGGAGATATTCAAATCATGGAATACTGAGAAAACACTGCAGATCCTTCAAAGGATGTGAAATGTCAGTTTGGCTACAAAAGATTGCATTTTTAGTCACTTCTCAATACATCTGGGATTAGGGGATAGCACTTCTGGGTCAGAGGGATTGTTTGTTTGTTTGTTTAGCACTTACCTTACAGAATTTGCCGGTTTGATATGATATACTACATATGATGCTTTCAGAAGGGACAGGGAATACTCTTTAAACCTGGCATGAATGCTGCTAATGCATGGGAAAGAATATTCTCTAGTCATAGTCAGACCTAACGTTAGTGTTTCACTTACATTTAGTGTTCATATCATTTCGATGTGGAGAAGTCAAATAAAGCACCATTTCCCCCAAAACTGTGTGGAATACAGATCAAAGACTGTGTGCATGGAGGAAGCTAGAGCAAGCAGCCAGGGACTACATCTGACAGCTATCTGATGAAACCAATATGCTGTTACGTAAATCAGGAACAAAGCTTAAAGCATGACTGCAGGATGAACTTGTAAGTGGGTCACCTTATGCGGAGTATTATGAAATTAGTTAGCATTCTGCAGTGGCTCATGTTGCAACAGCTTCTCCTACAGCAGACTGACACCAAGTCAGATTTATTGGAAAAGCAAATCGAAAAGAGGAAAAGAAGAGAGGATGGCAATACATCCTTCTGAGATGCAGAGAACACAAGGCTGTCCCTTGCATGGTGCCCTTTAATCACTCTCCAGAGAAATTGTGTGGCAAGGTGACTTTGAAATATGGGTAACATCATTTCCCCTTACTTTATGGAAGTGTAGGCAGACAAGGCAGCTGTCACAAATACTATGTGAAGCTTCGGAAGAAGAGATTTTTGATACTAAGGACAAACAATTTATTGACTTGTTCTGCATGTGCACAGACTTCCCTGGGAATGCTGGACTAGGTGAATCTTAAGTGTGTGATTAGAAAGTCAATTCTCATATTCTTTGCACCAAAGGAGCAAAGGGAGAGGATGCTGCAGCCATCTTCCTAAGACACATGGTCCTTTCCTGACATGCACCAATTAATTTCCAAAAATACAGAGTAAAATGCTTAAGCTTGCCTGGAAGCCATACAATCTAAACTATAAGTTTCTCCCGGACCCCAGATACATACATGATAAAGGGAGGATAAAGTAATGGAAGAACTCTGCACATGTTCAGAGGTACTTTCAGATGCTCTGCAGCTGAGTCAAATCAAGCTTCTATACTATCAGTAAGCCTCTATCAATGCAAGCACAGGCAGGCAGTAGTTTAAAGAAACTGCCTTAAAACTGGTCCACAAATCTAATTCTAATTAGATAGACAGCAAATAAATTATATTAAATAATTACTAGACAAGAAGAAATGTAAACACTGATTAGGCTACCTACTCTATTACAAAGAATTAAAGGAGTGGAGCAACATGACAGGGTGCATTATGCAGCTGCAAAACACAGAATCTAACTGCTAGTAAAAAGAGCTGCGTACACAACCAGCCTCAAAAGTATAATGAACATGTGTTTAAAATGTCCTGGACATTTCCAAGAAGAAGACCTTCCTCAAACAAGCCAGCTGGGTACAAATATTGAGCAAACATGAACCACAGCAAACTGCATGCTATTAATTTTATTTGCTCAGAGATTATGGCTCCTTTGTCCTTATTTGGATGTTGATTTGCTTCCAGTATGCTGAATCTGGGTGGCTAGATAAAGATTTTATTTGGGGTTTTTTTAAGATATTTATTAAGATTTTCAAAATATTACAAAAGGAAAAAAAAGAAAAAAGAAAAATACAAAATAAAAATAGTTAAAAACAATTCAGTCTTTCAATCACTTATCTTTCATTTGCTTATTTCCCGGATCTCCTCACCCCTCCCTTTTCTGTATTCCAATTCAGTTTGTTAGTTCAGCAAATCCCTCCCCTCTTTGTTTATCCTAATCTTCAATCTTAAAGTATTGTAACATTAGATTTTTACCTATTAATAGTCCATTTTTTCATATTCCCTTATAACATTGCAGCTAGAAACCACTTAGTTTCTATCCAACATCATTCTAACATTCATTAATTTTACAATATTTCTGTAAATAGTCTTTAAACTTTTTCCAGTCTTCTTCCACCGACTCTCCTCCCTGGTCTCGGATTCTGCCAGTCATTTCTGCCAGTTCCATATAGTCCATCACCTTCATCTGCCATTCTTCCAAGGTGGGTAGATCTTGTGTCTTCCAATACTTTGCAATAAGTATTCTTGCTGCTGTTGTGGCATACATAAAGAAAGTCCTATCCTTCTTTGGCACCAATTGGCCGACTATGCCCAACAGGAAGGCCACTGGTTTCTTTAGAAAGGTATATTTAAATACCTTTTTCATTTCATTATAGATCATCTCCCAGAAAGCCTTAATCTTTGGGCACGTCCACCAAAGGTGAAAGAATGTACCTTCGTTTTCCTTACATTTCCAACATTTATTATCGGGCAAATGATAGATTTTTGCAAGCTTGACTGGTGTCATGTACCACCTGTATATCATTTTCATAATATTCTCTCTTAGGGCATTACATGCCGTAAATTTCATACCTGTAGTCCACAACTGTTCCCAGACAGCAAACATAATGTTATGTCCAACATCTTGTGCCCATTTAATCATAGCAGATTTCACCGTTTCATCCTGAGTATTCCATTTCAACAGCAAGTTATACATCTTTGACAAAATCTAAGTTTTGGGTTCTAACAGTTCTGTTTCTAATTTTGATTTTTCCACCTGGAAGCCAATTTTCTTGTCCAAATTGTATGCCTCCATTATCTGATAATAATGAAGCCAGTCTCGCACTTTATCTTTTAATTTCTCAAAACTCTGCAATTTCAATTTGTCTCCTTCTTGTTCCAAAATTTCCCAATATTTCAGCCATTTGGCCTCCATATTGAGCTTTTTCTGAGCCTTTGCTTCCATCGGTGACAACCACCTTGGGGTTTTATTTTCAAGTAAGTCCTTATATCTTATCCAGACATTTAACAATGCTTTCCTAACAATATGGTTTTTAAATGCTTTATGTGCTTTAACCTTGTCATACCACAAATATGCATGCCACCCAAAAACATTATTGAAACCTTCTAAATCCAAAATGTCTGTGTTCTCAAGAAGCAGCCATTCTTTCAACCAGCAGAATGCTGCTGATTCATAATAAAGTTTTCATTTGCCAAGCTAACAGTTTTCCACATTTATTGGCCGATTCAAATGTCCTTTGTCTCATCTGTTTAATTTTCCATTCTATTTCCTGATTCATCATCTTCATATATTGAACTTGGTATAACTTTATTTCTCTCAGAATCTCTTGTGACTTTGGTTTCACTCTCAGTTTCTTCTCACCCTCTTTTATTTTTTCCAAAATTTTATCTTTTTTCTCATTTTGAGTTCTCTTCTTTATTACATTCTGTTGAATTAGAAACCCCCTCATAACTGCTTTGCTTGCGTCCCAGATTACTCTTTTTTTCGATGGTAGTGTTCATATTTATCTCAAAATAGTCTCTCAAGGTTTTTTGGGCCTTCTTGGTAACTTCTTGATCTCTAAACAAGGTGTCATTCATCCTCCATCTGAAGGAACTGGTACGTATTAATTTCATCTCCATTTTCACAGCATTATGGTCGGAGCAAGTTTTAGGGCAAATTTCCACTTTTCGAGTCTGCTAGATCTGGGTGGCTAGATAAAGATTTTGAAATATGTCTCCAACATTTCATGGATGAAAATAGGGACATTCTTAAGTATTTTTAACCCTAAAATTTTTAATTTCATACAAAATATTAACACTTATGTGCTTCCCTTCCATTACATGGTGGTCACATATTATATATTATTTCTGTAGCTGTGTTAACTTGTTCTGCAAACAGGTTGCCCTGCCCTGGCTTCTAAAGCTATACCAGCATGGTCAATAAACTGACCATAACAATTTAAAAACAAAAAGATCGAAATGTTTAATCCCATAATGGATCTGGGTTAACTTGTTAGAGAACTACAGCTCAAAACACAACTAGCAACAACCTATTTTCTGAAAAAAATATTTATTAAATTTATATACTGCCCTTCATCCAAAGATCTCAGGGCGGTTCACAGAATAAAATACAAGATAAAACACAAGTAAACAATTAAACCAAAACAAAGGTGCAATTGTTTAATTTAAAATAATGGCTAGTGCACCATGTTTTATTTACTTATTTATTGAATTTATGTACCACCTTTTTCTCCAAGGAGCTCAAGGTGGAGTGAATGGTTTGTTCAGTTCCAAGAAAACTTTTTTTTATGAGGCAGAACAACAGTTTGACTGAATTCTGCCTGAAGTATTTAATCAGATGCTTTCTTTTGAATTGTCTTGAGCTAGCTTGCAGTAACTGGTTAACTGCATCTAGATGAAAAAAAAAACACACTGTGATAACAATATATAATTCATACTGTACGCATCCAAAAAAACTGCTTCAGTTTGGCATTTGTATCCTATTAAAATTTGTGGAAAATGCACTACTAAGACTAAGTGAAGTTATTTAAAGTGACTGAATAAATACTAGAAACTGCAACACATCGGTTCTGGAAATGACAGTTTATAGTCTTGCACACAGTAAGATCACAAGTCATTCTAGTGTTTCATGTCAGATTTTATCTGCCGAAAGAATATCGCCTTTTAGGAAACAGTGAAAGCTGTGCTGTATTTCACATACTATTGGCAGCTATATCTTTTCTCAGATTTAAATATTGTTTCACTGCATTTCACACACAAAACTGTATATCCTATAGGGCACTTGTGCTTACAGCTCACATTGGATGAAGATTGTCCTAAAGTAGCAAATTCCACCCGGGTTAATTCCTTCACACTGTATGCTAAGAGGCAATGTTGTGCTATTTTCTAGGCGTCAACAAGAACCACAAGTTTGAAGCACCTTTGTCCTGTGACGGGACTAAGAAACATGAGAACGGGCCTTTCCTGTGGTGGCTCCTTGCTTGTGGAATGCTCTTCCCAGGGAAGCTCACCTGGAACCTTTGTGACACATCTTTAGGTGCCAGGCAAAAACATTCTTCTCCTCTCAGGCCTGTGGCTAATTATGCAGTCCATTACCTTTTAAACTGTATTGTTTTTGTTTGTTACTATGCTATGTATTTTTGTGTTTTTGTAAACTGCTCTGTGAACCTGAGATAAAGGATGGTATGTAACAACAATAATAACAACAACAACAACAACAACAACAACTTGAGGGTAACCTTTTCTGGTTCTGGGATATTGAGGGGAGCACTAAGGTTGTGTCTCTTGCCAGACTTAGGGTTTTCAATGTTTTCTTTAGCTATCCCCCAATAAAGAGTTATGAGCTAATGTAATCATATCTTCCTTCTATATATAGAAGGGAGATCAACTGTCCTGTCTTGTCCATGCATGAAAGGTCTGAGTACAGGCACCTCAGTTCCTTTATTTTTCTAAAGAAGTACTGAACCATGGCATCAAACAAGTGGTTGTTTTTGCTTACTTGCTTGCTTGCTTTTTAAAGGTCGCTAAACATCCCACTGTTATCTTGCCAGTTATTCATTAGGGTTGTCTCAGAAAAACTGTCGACAAGCAAAACTCTGGGAAACCCCTTGTAAGAAACCCCTGTGAGTTTCCCCAAGGCCTCACCACCACCACCAGCAGCAGCAGCAGCCACTCACCAGCCTTTTCCAATTCCAACTTGTTGAAAGTGCTTTCTAGACTTTTTGCTGAGGTCACATATTCAGCCCACCTGCTGTTCTTTGTCACCTCACACTCACTTATGCCTACATTGCTACTGCCTCTCCTCCTTTTCCTCTTATTAACAAGGTCCTGACATGTCTCAACAGTGGGAAATCACAACTTCCCCATGTTTCCCTAAAGGCACTGTTTGGAGCCTCACATTTACTTCTTTTTATCTTGTTTCTGGTGCTGCACGAAGCCTTCTACTTCCGATTGGTAAGTTCACCCTGGAACTTACTTGCCTTTTCCCTTCCTTCCTTCCTTCCTTCTTTCTTTCTTTTTAGAAAAAAAGAAGAAAACTTTCAAAAGAAAACTGTACAGTCCCATATGCCAATGGTGACGGGGGATAACACTTGGGAGAACGAGTCAATGCCAGACATATGGCAAAGCCTGCTGCCATTGAAACTGCTTTTTGGAGGAACCGCTGATAATCAGATGGTATTTTGTTTCACAACCAAATCATTTGCCATGAAACAAGAACTATCACATGACGTGCAGAGGTCATGAGGCATGCTTCACAAACGATGGGCATCAGTAACCACGCATGCAGCCCAAGCACACTTTTATTTCTAAACTGAATGTCTTTCTTTCTTTGAGATCATGATTGTGACTGATTGCCACAGAATTTCAGAAAAGTTATAGTAATTAACATATTTGAATTCTTGCCTTTCACAGCTTCTCTCCCACCCTCCCCACTCCTGATGCCCTCCAGATGTTTTGGACTACAATTCCCATAATCCCCATCCAGCCCATCAGGACTGATGGAAATTGCAGTCCAAAGTGTTTGGAGGGCACCATTTTGAGGAAGGCTGCTCCACTCCATTTAACCAAGCAAACCTTCCTATAGACTTGTGTCTTTCCTAGTGTGCTATATATTTCATTTTTCATCCTTTTCCAGACTCAACCATCCTAGCTGCACTTTTCGGTCTAACTCAGAATATCTAAAATAATAATAATAATAATAATAATAATAATAATAATAGGGGGGAGAGGATATAACTGGTTGTTCCTTGATCCTTTTCTCTTTATTTGCTCACTTTATCACCCCTATTCTTCTTTGCATAACTGCCACAAGTGCACTTCTCATTATTAAATAGCATCTTGTTGCAGCTTATGACTTGAACAGATTTCATTTCCACGGTACCTGCTAATGCAAGCCATCTCCCGCTTCACCTTTATATCTTCCTATTCCTCCTCATATTTCATCAACTCCCCCATCTGGCCATTCACCACTGTCCTGTTATTTACAATGCAAAGAAGCACAGTGTAATGGAACTCATTCACATTAATTAATCCTCTTATCTAGGTCCATCAAACTGCTGCTGTTGCTAAATAATAAACATTGGTGTCCAGTTATAAGTCAAGGGTTGCATCTTAGTTGGCTGAAGCCACAAATCTGCCCTTTCAAGATTCAGGGAAGTATTGAATAGCAGATCATATGCCTTGCTGATTGATGTCTTCATTCCAAAGCACACTAGAGAACCGTAGTTTAAAAGGTGGACACTCAGCATGGACCTCTCTCTGCTGCTGCAGGTTTGCTGAACTGGTAAAGCATATTCAACTGTTCAGGGGCCAAACTTTTTTTATATTAAAAAAAAACTCCAACATTTCAGATGCAATGGACTAGTTAAAGGTAGCTTAAGGATTACTCTTGCATATATGTGGCGTATCAAGTTTTTTCTCAGATCTTGAAGTGTGCGCATTTGCCATACACATGGGGAGCATTATCATCCCAGTTAGCTGTTAACCAGGTCTGCCCTGCAGTTACAGCTATTTATACTGTAACAAAAACACACACAGAGGAAACAGGAAAATTTGGATCAGGTGGTGTGGTTTTTGCTTAGACTTGATAATTAGAGGTTTGCTACTGCATAGGCTTTGCTTGTTGCAAGCTCATGTTGTAAGAGCAGTAGGATTTATCCACATTCCTTCATAAAGAGAACAGTAATGTGATTACAGAAACATTCATTAGGAATATTTCATGCATAGGGTTTCTCACGCTTGGTCATATGCATTTCCCCCCCTAAAATAAAAATAAAAAATGTCTTTCATGGTATTTTTCCCTTGAATAACTTACATGGAACATGTTATACTTAAGGAATACTTTTCACATATAAGCATCCATAGGCTCTGTGCCAACAGGCACAAAACCATATACAGGGAGGTAGAGGACAACAGGGACTATGGAAGCAATCCTGCTTCTCTTCTGTACAGTCACTGTATATGCTTTTAGATTCAAGACAAATCAATGAAATGGGACCTTAGGTTCCCATTAAATTTTGAATAAAATGCACAGAGACAAAACGTAAGAGGATCTGAAAAAGGATTAGCTTGGATAAAGGGTTTCTGTAAGGGGATGGGCATAACCTGGTCACATTAATCACTGCTAAGACCCTTTGGACATACATAAAACTTGTTTATCAAGATATGGGAGTCAACCCTTTATGCTTTCCCTAAGATAAATAAACCTTCATTGTTAACTGTCAATTATTAAATTCTATTTTCAAAGCCAACAAGGCACATCAAAGATGCACTTTTCTTGGCCTGAAACCAATATATACTTAATAATTGTTAAATTCCCTTGCTCGTCTTCAAGTATCCCCAAAAAAGCAAGAAATGTTCTGGTGGCAGTCATCCTTCTCAGCCTAAAAAGGAAGCTCATTGGGGATTTCTGCTTTGTGCCTTAAGAGTTAATATAAGCTTACAATCTGGTTTTAAAATAACCAGAGAGTGTCATGGGGACATCACGTAGTCAGAGTATGAAGTTCTAATATGAATCAAACGCACAGTTCGGTTGTATTCCTGATGCTTCCCAAAAGGCCAATCATCAGAACTGGATGCATGACATTTTAACAAGAAACCTGATTAAGCAGACACTTTCAAAGGGACAAAATTGTTTAAGGATAGGCTTGGGTTGCTACTTGTCTTCCTTTGCAAGCAATAAAAGGGATGTCAGATGAGGCCATCTGTGACATTTGATTCCTGAAAAAGGTATTTCATTTGATGGTTCCTCAACAGGCACACCTAAAATCCTGATTGTCTCCAATTTAAAGGAGGCAGTTAACCAAACAGGAGAGATGGGGGGGGGGGAGGAAAGGACAAAAGGACTCTGAGACCTTAAAGCAACTGATTGGAGGCTGAATGTGCACACTTTACAGTTCTGCTTCTGTTATGAGGATTAAACATTTAATAGAATGCAGCAGATGATTCTGGTTATGTGCAAGTTGGGGGGCTACCATTTCAATACTGCTTTAAAAAACAACAAAACAACAACAACGGAGCCTCTGTGTTCATACATTTAAACACAGCTCCACACAAACACATACCCACACAAGTACATGAGCCTTTAAACCACGCAGCACTATCAATACAAGGCAGCACACATCCTACTTCCTTCCTGAATGAGGGAGTTTTATGTAGGTGTGAGAAACAAGGATGTTTTACAGGCCCCTGGAAGTGAGGAACCCTCAAAAAAACGGGGGGGGGGAGTGAAAGAGAGGGGAATTATAGAAAAACCATAGCAACTAGTCAGTCCATCTTCCCACACCACCCACCAGCCACCAGCTTCATTTGCTGACGCACTTAAAAAAAAAAAACCCAGCAGAAAAACTCAAGCTGTCTCTACCAGCCTGGGAAGGTGAGCAAGCCTTGAGAGCTCATTAAATTCCCTCCTCAGCTTCTCTTGTATGCCTGCAGCTAGTGAGCAAGTAGGATATAAATAGAAGTTATATAACATCTTTGTTGATTCCTGTGCTTACCAAAAAAAAAAAAGAAAAAGTAGCATGACCTTGTTTTCAATAGCCTGCCTCTGCCTGCTTGTCAGGGACTTTAATCTTGTTAGGGATCATCTGAAAAGTCTGAATAAATTTTATATAGACTTTGCAGATGAAACAGGGATATCTGGGCCTTCATGTGTGACTGTAAACACACTACCTTCTGTATATGCCTTAGTTACAGATGAGAACCACCTAGTGCTCAAACGAACTGAGATAAGACAATATTATCACTACAGCAGCAACGTTACCAAACTTTCAGAATGTGATTTCTAAGACACAGTACTGCATATAGAAGCATCTCTAGAATGGAGATACCATTTCGGAGGAAGAGTGTGTGACTTCTCTAGGGAAAAAGAAGTTAGCTGATGGACTTTCAAGTGAAGGCACACACTCAGATAAAAAAGACCTAATAAAATAGACCAATGTGCATTAAAAAGAAAAAGAACACACATACATTGTGCACAATGATGCAGTTCCATACACCCAAATGTTAGCAATGGTAGATAAGAGACAGTTGGCGTTTGTAGCAGCCCGCTCTGCCAGCACCCAAAGAACCTCTTTGGGGATCAAAGTGCAAACATGGAATGGATTGTCACACAAGGGCATTGTTAAACAATAAAGAGTTTTTGCTTTTGTCACATAAGAAGAGACTATTATGCTATTTCCAAGAGATTTTAAAAAAACAAAACCTGTAATTAAGATGGGAGCTGGCTATGACAACATTTGTGAATAATATGCTAGTATTTTAATGCTCTCCAAAGTAAGGATAAGTTCAAAGTTGTGCATGCTGTGAAGTACAACACCATGCAAAATGGAAAAAAACTGCTGGAGCTATCATGATCACATCAGCTCAAAATACTGCAGATTCAGCTACAAGTCTTCGAATTATATTAAGGGGGAAACCCTACAGCAAGATCTGCTGGGATCAGCGGCTTCAAGATGCAACAGATCTCTGGGCTCAGCCAACATTAAGTCTCTAACTCCAGCTCAGCCAAAGATACACTGCTGGAACTTGCTCATCATAGCTCAGAGTTCAGCTAAGGTTGGTGTGATTCCCCCCAAAAAGGGTGTTCCAGGGTGTGGTCAGGGCATGACTAGAGGAGGAGGAGGACCTAAGCTGGATCCTAAACCTAGTCAATTTGATCACATGACCTGGCAACCCGGCATAGAACACTCTTTTCACCAGTGTTAGATCGAGCAGTAGCTTGTCTACATTTTTACTGCTAAAGAGAATGTTTGTGAGACTTTCTGCCCAAGGTGCTGAAATAACTTGGTCAGCTTTTTGTATCATGAACCCTGATTGGCATGCAGGGTTGCGGGGGGAGAGAGAGATGGAGAAAGGTGCTGTTCTAAATCAGGGACCAAAATGTCTTGCACAAGAAGAAGAAGAAGAAGAAGAAGAAGAGGAGGAGTTTGGATTTGATATCCTGCCTTTCACTCCGTTTAAGGAGTCTCAAAGCGGCTAACATTCTCCTTTCCCTTCCTCCCCCACAACAAACACTCTGTGAGGTGAGTGGGGCTGAGAGACTTCAAAGAAGTGTGACTGGCCCAAGGTCACCCAGCAGCTGCATGTGGAGGAGCGGAGACGCGAACCCAGTTCCCCAGATTACGAGACTACCGCTCTTAACCACTACACCACACTGGCTCTTGTACACAGGGAGAAATATACAGACATGACAGTAGATGCTGCAATATTTGCATGCCGATACTGCTTAAGATATTCGGATGGCTCAGAGTTTGGGGCATAGATGTGAAAAACCCAGCCACTAAGGAAACTGCAGTCTTATGCAAATCAATATTGCTGAACATAGCCTAACTAGCAGAGTACAATCTATTTGATAAAGTTTCAAAATTCAGCAAATTTTTTTAAAAAAAAAAACCCCTGCTGAATGCAGTTTTTTTTAAAAAAGGAAGAGTTTATCAAAATTATGTTTGTCTAGAAATCTTTAGTAAGCTTTACACAATCAGTACTAACTCCCTCATTCTGCTTTTTCAGGATTCCCCAGACCTGCATGGGAAGCTGCGGCTGAGAAAACCCTGTTAGATTTTTTCTTTGAGTACTAAATCTGGCTCTATTCTCATCTGCCACACCAGTATGGCTACCTCCCCAAATCCTCCAGCAGTGAACCTAGAGCAAAGAGTGGAAAGCAAAGTTATTATACTTCAATATCTGCAGAGTGACTTGAGCATGATGGATCCCACCTCTTTACAATGCACTGGGCTCACCGACTCACAAAGCTTATCAACAGTACACAAGCACTTTTCCTACCTGTATAATAGTGTTTCCACCTTCCAAAAGGGCAATAGCCAGAAGGATGCTTTCATGAAAAACTCTGTCACTGGTGGCGTTCATGATGAGATCTATGACCAGATTGGATGCACCTTCCTTATCCAGGTGACACTGGACTTCTGACAAACTCATTTCACCTCGGTTTGCTGGACTGGAACCAGACCCGCCTCCTACAGAAAGGTAAGTCACACAGGTTGAGCAAAATGAAGGCTCTTATGAACCCCAATGTTTTCAATGTCTGAAAACACTGGTCACTCACCTATAAAAACCAATGAATCGAAGTGTAACTGTGAACATATTCCATTTATTCACAGCTTTATTAACCATTAAAGTGTGAACAACATGCTTGCCTCTTAATAATACAAGCAGATGATGCTGTCATTAAGACTGATTGATTTATGTAAAGAGCATTCATACTCTCCCGCTCCTCAACAAACCCGCGGCAGCTAACAGACGTTAAAACAGTCAGTTAACAGTACAGCAACAAACAATAAATACAATTAAACAGCCGTGACATACAAAATCAACAGAGAATAAGAAGAAAAATACAACCACCATAAAAAAAAATTCCAAAAAACAGAGCAACTGTTTGTGGCCCAAAAACCTATCTAAAAAAAGAGGGAAAGCCATATAAAGGACATTAAAGGAGACAAACAATACATTTTATTTCTCTAATTACTTTCAATTGTGAAGAAGTCACATGAAGTCTTATATAAAATAAAATCACATAGGGGCTACTTCTAACATGTAATCTTGGTCTGGAGTAGGAACATAGGAAGCTGCTTTATACTGAATCAGACCATCATTGGTCCATGTAGCTCAGTACTGTGAACTCTCAACCAGTGGGTCCCCAGATGTTGTTGGACTACAATTCCCATCATCCCTGACCACTGGCTAGGAATGATGGGAGTTGTAGTCCAACAACATCTGGGGACCCACAGGTTGAGAATCACTAGTCTACACAGTTTGGCAGTGGCTCTCCTGGGTTTCAGGCAGGAATTCTCCAGTCCTATCTGGAGTTGCTGAGGAGTGAACCTGGGACCCTCTGCCTACAAAGCGCATGCTCTACCTCTGAGCTACAGCCTCTCAATACCAGGAGATTCCAAGTAAACATCGGGGAAAACTTTCTGACAGTGGATCCGTATAGATTTTTTGTCTTTTAATGGAATTTTTTTGTTCGCTGCCTTGTGAACCTTTGGATTGAAGGGCAGGATATAAATTCAACTGATCATCATTATCATCCATGTGTCACAAACCTCTTTAAATAGCAAGGGCTTGGACCCAATGGTAAGTCATGTAAGGTTTGTGGAAAAGGCACCATCTTGTTAACAGAAGGCCATCAAGCCACCTCTGTTTCGAAAGCAGTACTAAGTCCTTCAAAATGCAAATAAAGGTTTTTTAAAAACAAATAAACAAACAAAAACCGTGTGAAATATGACAAAAGACCACATGTTGGGAATGGACTTCTACATACAGATTTTGGGAACTGGCAAGAAATATATATAATTGAAAAGTCTAGAAATGGAAGGATGGAGAAGGCAATTAGTGGATTAATTTTCAACTTTTTAAGGAACTGCAGTAATTCTCTTCTGTAAATGACAATGTGAAAAAAATACCTGCTGACAACCTGCCAAAGCTATTAAATAACTGATTTGTTATTCAGAGACAGAACGTTCAACATGGCAGGCTAGAGTCACACAAAATTCATAATTAGCACAGCGAACATCCTACCTCCTCCCCCAGCTTTGCCAGGGCCTCCAGGAGACAATGGGCCATTGCCAAAGCTGGTCAGGCTCTCTCTTCTTCCTGTGCTTCTGACGTTGCCATAGTAACGGTTGACCAAAACCTGTCTGAGTGCCTCACCCTTAATTCAAACAAGATATTAAATTAAAGAACAACAACATGTAGACAAATTATGAGTGTAGCAGGGTTGCAGGACTCAACAGGACTAGCAAAAGTTATTTTTAGTACAATTATACAGCAAGACAACAACAGCAATGGGGCTGAGAAAGAGAGAGAATGTTATTAAGGGATTAAAATATTATAATAATTAAAAAACACTGTTGCCAGATATATAAAATATATCACTTAAAAAATCTGTCTCCATAAATTGAGATAAATATTATGAAATAGTAACAGAAAGATGCTATTTCCAGAATTTACCCTGTCCTTTTCTAACTAATACCAGTTATTATTTATTAAGTGTTTTGAAAGCATATTTTGAAAGGAAACATTCTTCTTTAATTTCAGACTTGATACAAATTTATTCGCTACCATGTAACAAGTGTCACTACCTACAAAGTATTTTGAATATGATCACTAAACTTAGAATAAAGCTATTGTGGTTCAGGTTATCCCTGATTTGCTACATTCATAGATTTTAAGGCCTATTACCTCTTTAAATCAGACAGCTAGTCCCCCTACTATAAACACACTCTATGAGCACTGACCTCTTAGTCACCAAGATGTAAGGCCCTACATGGTGGGAAGGATATCTAGCTTATTTGAACAGATACATCACACAAAAGGAGACAGAACCTATAGCCCCCTTCATCTACTCCCACACGCCTCACAACACTGGAAACAGTCACTAATTTATCTACCAGCAAATTAAGGGGATAAGTGGCTGTGAATCTTCACTGTAGACTGGATGACTTTAGATAGCAAAATTCTCACTAACTGTCCACGAAAACAAAAGGTGATATGTTGAAAACAAAAAGATGCCCAACTCCTCAAAGAATGAACCCAGTACCTGATCTAAGTATGGTCTTTGTATCTCAGCCTTTTTTGGTCATGATGGTTTAGAGAGGAGTGCAGATGTTCATATACAGCAGGGACATCCAACTCCCAAGAGACTGTGATTTACTCACAGAATGAAAAACTGGCAATGAATGGGGGGGCAGGTCAAAGTTGAATTGTCAACCTTTGTTTTAGGGGGGGCAGCAACAAAAATAGATAGACAAGAAGTCATCCCGCCAGCAGAAAGTCCGTCTTCCGCTCTTGAAATCGTGCACGGATAAAGGAAGGAGGGAGGATGCAAGGCCAAATGCAAAAATGAGCCCAGGATCAACTAATAACAACCAGGGGTTGACCTGTCGATCACGGTCGACCTGTTGGACATCCCTGATAAACAGGATCTGTGCTTTCCTGATACAAATTACAGCAATGGGCCTCTACATGGGGCCTTGGAAAAGGTTTGGAGGCTACATCTGTGGCAGAATCCAGTGGCTCAGTTTCTGAGCACAGTGACTAAAGGACAACACATCATTCCAGTTCAGAGAGCACTGCACTAATCTGTACCCAATTCAAGGTACAGATACTTGTGTGGTGACTTGGCGGGCCTACCATATGCTCCAACCAGTAGGTGTCAGTCAGGAGGAGAGGCCTTTCTCTCACTTCAGCTGCCGGTATGAACACAAGAGAGGACTTTCCCCATGATAGTGCCCCCTTCTCTGAAACTCCCTCCGGGGGAAATCTGGCACTCCCTTCCCTGGCTTCTTTTTTTTGGTGGGGCTGGGGACGGGTAGGGATATTCTGCTCTTTAACTTGTTTGTCTCCATCTCTTTGCCTAAATGAACCATTGGTGCTGCCATACACACATAATTGGCACTTTTAGCTCCTCTCCAGTGAGTTGTTGTAGGGCTTGGTGAAGATTTGAGAAGCCAAAAGTCACAATAGATCAGTAATAGGCATTGCACATTAGTTGCCCTTTGATGAACCACCTTAAGAGCTCTCCAGATGTTTGCAAAACATTATTTGCGGCCCATTTCAAGATAAATCATGTAATGAAGTGTGTGTTTTTTAAATAAAAATATCCCTCTTAAGCACTCCCTCATAGCAAGAGATATCCTGCACTTGGGACTTGTTCAAGGAAGCATATTTAAATGGTATCATTGGCTTTGGGACTTCCTAGTACTTTCCCCATCCACAAACCTGGATGGATTAAGCCCAGAGAGACCCACATCTGCTTCTGAAAGTGACAATGCTCATCATAATGGAGTGACCGTAAGCTTTTAAGTAGGCACTAGATGGCTCCCAGACTGGCAGCTCTCCGTGTTAGTAATCATTGTTCTTCACTCAACTGAATCCACCTGTGAAAAACTAATGAAGCAAAAGGATATATTTAATAAGTGGAATTGAAAAGGAAATGACCCATTTAGTTTGAACACATCCTTACTCTTTACTTCCAGGAGAATTGCACCGTAAGTTGCAGATTCTCACTCCTCTCCCTAGATAGCCTTAAGCAACCAGTTATGGAAATGTCCTTATCCGTTACACTAGCATTCGTTTGACAGCTGCAACTAGGTGGTTCATTCTTCTAACATACCTCCATGTTAAAGGTAAACGGGTTATAAACTGGCTAGAAAAATCCTGACATAGGGCAGTTCGTCAGAAACTAAAAACAACCGGGTTTCTACTGGAGACAGAAAAACAATAATTTTCTATAAACAGAATGAACTTCATGGCTTAAATATTTTCATATTTTTCCATCTAATAGAAAATAGATGCACTGGCCTTTTGGCCACCTTTAGAACAAACACAGAAGTCCAACTTATACACTTACTTACTTGACTAGGATCATTGTTCTGTGGTGGAGGAAACTGGCTTATTCAGATTCAGATCATTGATCCACCTGGCTCATTACTGTCTGCCAGGGACTGAACCTGGAGCCTTTTGCATGCAAAGCATGTGCTCTGTCGCTGAGGTACAACAGTGCCTCGTAGACATGATAAGGAGAAGAACACAATCCATTCCTTCCACCATGGAACAATGATCTGTGACACAGTGAGTGAGCCAGTCCAGAGACTCAAATGTATTTTAAGCATCTCATTTTTAATGAGACCAAACTCCACCTTTCTCTCTAGAGTTATTTCTGCCACAAAAAAACACATCGTGGAACGTGTTCCACCAAAATATTCTGTTAAGAGTACCCACTATCTGCATTTTCCAGAAATAACTAAATATATTTTTGTTCTGTCAGGCTTTCCTAGCTACAGAAACATCTATTTTGTATGGTTTCCGTCTTGTTTTAAATGTATTTTTTGTGCTTTAACTGCTTTTAATAATTTTTAGTGCAAATTGCCTTTAGATGGTTGTTTAGGAGATTATTAATAAATCAATGATATTTAGTGGTGGTGGTGGTGGTAGTGGTGGAGGAAGAAGAAGAAGAAGAAGAAGAAGAAGAAGAAGAAGAAGAAGAAGTCCAGCATCACAATGAAGCATTAATGACAGTACAGACCTCACAAAAATCCAATTCAAACAATCATGGGGTGAGTGAATTAGAAGGAGACAACAAAATCTGCATAGCTGTCTATGTTGACATCAATCCTGCACAGTTTGCAAGGCTGGAAGCAAAGCACATACAACAGACCCAGGCAAGTTTAATAGGCATCCAATTATATTGTATTTCCTCCCCCTAGGAGAAAATTGATTTATGTTAATGAAGTGCTAGAGCTGAGTTTTATATTCTTATTTCTACAATATTTACTACCGGTTGCTGTTAACAACTGGCCCACAGAAGTCTTTCTCAGTTCCTGTAGGGCCCCCTCCATCTGTCTTGGCTGAAGTTCAGGTTGCAGTATGCGGTTTTTGTTCAAGGTGTGCGCAGCACCCACAATAGCTCCTCCTGTTTGAAAATGTGCCCACGGGGCCTAAAAGACTGGCAAAAGCTGATCTACAGTATATGGAACAGTAGTATTGATCCTCAAGCCCAGTAGGAAAAAGAAGACATGCCTCTTCAGAATATTAGTATGGGGCACCTATGTTACTTCCAGTAAAGAAAGAAATCACATTGCTAAAATCATGCATTGAAATAGGCAGACAGTAGGCTACTGGAAAAAACACAAACAATTTCGTGTATTCTGCTGCTATATTTCAGCATTGGCTGCAAGAGTTTTCCAACTGATTATGTTAAAATAAATCCTGAGCTTTAGGACTACTGGGTTGGTCAAGTGAAGACACCTCTGTTTCTAATAGTCTATGCAGCAGAATACTGCAATATTACAGGACCCCTAGAGAGATACGCCCTCTAAATTACAGCTTTAGAAGACTTTGATTACTACAAGTGGGGAGAGGGGCACACAAGGTAATATTAATGGGCTTCATTAATGCTGTAACCTTCCCCCCAAAACTGAAGCCCTGGATCTATGGTACAGAACACATTATATAAGGAAAGAGACATTGCACCAATGTTTTTTCCCCTGAAAGCAAGCCCTAATTTCTAAAACACTTACTACCAGTTGCCGCTGCAGCTACATCTATATTAACTTAATTTACAATGCCATATTTCACAAGTCAGGTGACACCATTAAAAATAAATAAAAGAACACACCCACACATTCTCTAACATCCGAAAGCCTCCAGAATCTAATCTGGACCTATCAAATGGCGTTTGTCATCTTTGTTCAATAATTATTTTTTTTGAAATTTGCAACAGCAACAAACAGATGGATCCTTCAGCTACTTCCACATTTTCTTTAAGCTATTTAAAAAGTGAGAAAAAGGAACAAAGAAAGCCCAGGTGTAATTAGCACCCAACATATTAAACCTAAACACCACCACAGAATATACATACCCTTTTATGATCTTCAAGCTGTCTCTGTGGTAGACTTTGATCAAGCTCCTGGCGAGTATGCAAAAATTCTGTTTTAAAGTCTGATACTAAAGAGACACTAAATAAATTTAGCACCAATAACTAACTAGTTGCTGCAATGAATTTGTTCAACATTCATCTAGCTTTGATAGCACTGGCTCTAGCATTCTTTCTCTACCTAACCATAATGAATGAAGAGAAAAAGAAATTGCCAATGGTTGCCTCCATGCAATATACAGACACGTCACAGTTTAATGTGCAGTTATTCTGGACACAATTCACTCCAAATCTCTGTTTCAAAAAGTAGAACTTAAGAAAAAGTGCTTCATTTCTGCTTGATGTAATATTGTCAGTCTTCATTATTAGTTTTTAAAGAAATGTTTTGGAAATTTGGTCTGGTTTGTATCTAAGATAAACTATGGTTTAGTGTTTCACGCAGAAGCCATAGTGAGTTGTGGCTTTAAGACATTCCCCTTCTCCTCCCTCTAGCACAGACCTGAGGAGAAAACACAAAGTATCCACTTCTGATTTTAAACCAACCATAGTCGTTTGCTATGTCTGGATTCTGGGGACTCTGGTTAGTTTAAAAGCAACAGATTTTAATTTCCTCTCGTGTGTGAGAAGAGGAAGAAAGGGATGCATGTAAGTCTGATTGTGGGTCCAAGCACAATGAGCCAGTGACCTGGGTGGTTATTTTGTAATAGCAGGATTGATGACTAGATAATAATCTGGGATTTAAATTGGCCACAACTTCATTGATTACAGATGTAGTAGACTTTGGAATAGGCACTGAGTGTGTATCCTAAATCAACCAACCCACTTGCTGATTGATTACTCCTTCAGGGTTGATGGGGGATTCAAGGATCTCACCATGACGCAGATCAAATGAGATAATCCCACCAGGGCGCCAGTAGGGTGTTCTTTGGCCCAATGGCCCCCGTCTGGACCACTAGACAGAACCTTCCCTCTTTACTGGGGTACCCTGAATTAAGGAGACCCACTGAAATCAATTGACCAAAATCTACTGTATGACTAATACTGGATATCACCCCAAAACAAAAGTAAAAAGTCTGCAAGTAACATGCAAAGTACTCTCTCTGATAAAAACGTTCACACATGACAGTCACCAATGTTTACGCATACAAAACACTGAACCACACTTTCCCAATACATGCATGTTCATTATGTTACTGAGTCATCCTGTAAGAAAAGGTCAGTAAATCCATTTAAAGTACAAGTAGCTTATTTTCAAACAGGATTACACGGCCTACAAGATTAATGGGCATCATGTTCCGCTTCAAAAGCCTCATGAAAAGTGGTATAAAAGTTCAAAAGATAAATAATAAAAACAGAAGCACATAGCTCAAGGGCAATCTACTGTAAATGGAGATCCAATTACAGGCTTCTCTTGCTACACCAAGGTGATAGGTATTTTGAATTTCAAGAGACTAAGTACATTGCAATTATATTTAAATATTCCAACTTTTTGAAGTGTTCAATATTTCTTTGATAGTAAGGTATAGTTAGGCATCTATCAGAATTAATAGACATAGCCCTTTGCTGTTTTGTTTTTCCATTTCTCTCTCTCTCTTTTTTAGTGAAGCAGGATGAATTTGTCCACTTAGCACTATAATCCTAGCAGTTGGAACACATGCAGAGATCACTGGCTAAACTTCACTGATCTGAACGGAATTGGAACCACCAAAAAGACAGACAGACATTCAACCACAGCTACTTTAAAAACCACCAATATTTGTATGTTTTACAAATATAGGTGAGCGAGTGACAGACCTCTATGGAGCTTTCCATTTCTGGTGACTGTGGCAGCTATTTAAAAGCAAAATTGTAAAAAGAAAATTCATTAGTCATCAATCTTTCCTGTAAACCAATGATTGGCACATGGAGATACTGACTTTTTTTTTTTTACAAGACAACAAAATACTAATTTGACAACAGTACAGAATCCTGTCCCCCATCAAAAAAAAAAATGATCCTTGGAAAAATAGGCATATGCCTAAAGTACATGGTCATTAGCACAATGACCACATGCATATCTTGCTCAGTAATGTCAATCCCAGTTGTATACACATCAATATGCTAGGGATGTAGTGTTAAATATCTGTTCCCAGTTCCCTTTTATTAATTTAATTACAGTGGACTTCTCACCTCCAGTCCAAAATAATGGAAGAAAAAATGTTCAAGACATACACAAGCAGGAATGCCATGTCCAAGAATACACAATTAGATTCTCACCTTTTCCAATACCAAACCTTCCTCTTCCATAATATATGTGGTACAGATTTGCTATGAGCAGCAGCAAAACAGAATGTCTGCATAGCTGATCAGTAATGCTTTCAGCATTTAAATGTTTAAAAAATGACTAAGGAACATATTCAAACTTTAAATGACTATACCAAAATCCATTAAAAACGTGAACATCTATTGCAAACCAATACCGCATGCACAAGGAAACACCTAGATAACACAAGGAAACTGAAGGCAAACTACACCACACAGACACACCAAGCACTGGACTATCACCTGTAATAGCAGCAGTAGTAGAAGTAATAATGATGATGATGACTTGGAATTCGGTCATGTTACATGAAAAAGGGATGCTTCTCATAATATGTTTAAATATATGGAACGGCAAGATTCAGGTCTATTTCTGAAAATACGTGTAAATTAAAGTCTTGCCAAAGAACGTTACGAGCGGCTAACTCCCAGACAATCTTCTACAATGTCCAACTATTTCTGGAGTGGTCTCTTTTCCTGAACTAGTTCCAAGAAGATGGATGCTTGTTTTCAGGAGACTTCGTAAACCCTTAAATGAGAAGCAGCTGTAGGAGCTTATCCTCCTTCACCTAACATCTAGCTCAGGGGTCAGCAACCTTTTTCAGCCATGGGCCGGTCCACCATTCCTCAGACCTTGTGGGAGACCGGACTATATTTTGAAGGGAAAAAATGAACGAATTCCTATGCCCCCTAAATAACCCAGAGATGCATTTTAAATAAAAGGACACATTCCACTCATGTAAAAACTCGCTGATTCCCAGACAGTCCTTGGGCCGGATTGAGAAGGCGATTGGGCCGCATCTGTCCCACGGGCCTTAGGTTGCCTACCCCTGATCTAGCTCATTCTGGTATATCTATCCTCTTTTCAGATCATACTGGAAGTTTTAAACAAAATAGTTTTCTTTCGGTCCAAAGTGTATAAAAATGTTAAATAGCTTGCCTAAAACTCCAAGGCCCATTCGCTCCAATACTACCACCTTTTAACAACAGGATTGCAAGGTATAAGCAGTTAAAGAAAGATTTCCATTCCCCAAAAATGTAATTCTGAAAGCATTTCCTTGCTGTTTTGCTATACTGTTGTTAAGTAAAGGGGGACTTTTCTTGGCCAACTATTTACATATTATCAAAGATTTAGCAAAGTAAAGTTACTGTAATGGTTAAGCATATATATATATATATATATATATATATATATATATATATATTGCTGAAACAACAAATCTCAAAAGAGAATTTAGTCATTATAGATTAGAAATTAATGAATGCTAGGGTTTTAGTTATTTGTGGTAGGAAAGGAGAATGCAAGCTGCAAAGGTTGGCTGGCTTAGTAAAGAGAAAACCTGTTAACATGACAAAAGGTGTTGATGGGCCACTGAGGAGAGGAATCCTTTAGCCTGGGGGATAAGATGTTACCAAGGTGACGGGGTGTGTGTTTGAGAGGACAGGAAAAGGGAGTTTTCAAGCAAGGGTAGCTTGGAGGAAGAAGCAGGAAGAGGGGCAGGGATCCATCTTAGAGAGGGAGGCAGTAGGATGCCTGTGTTGCTGCCTCTTGAACAGGCCATGCATTTGGGAATCACTATGCAAAGCGCTTTCAAGCCCTATGATTTGTGTTTGGAAACCGCTGTAGAAAGGCCCTTCGGCCGAGCCCCACCCTTAATTGCCTGCCCTGGGGGTAAGGGGAGGTAGATATGTAGAGGATATGGCTTGGCAAGAAGAGCCTTGTGGGTCAAAGGCCATGGAAGCCATATTTGGCTTATGGGGGCAGTTTCCCCATCCTTGCTGTATGACAAGCATAAATGGTTTAGGTGAAAATGATTTGGATTTTTGGGGTGAGTGCGTAAGCGAGTTGGGGAGCATGCCATATAAAAACTGAGCAGTCTTCACTGTTCTTAAAACCATTTAAAAGCCCCCACATACTAGCTAGCAGGAACATTAGGCACTCTACATGCAAGCTTCCTGCTTCCTGGTATGCCCATGTGACCACATGTAGTAACATGGTTATTTCTAGAAAGACGACAGGGCGCATTCATGTAGACAGGGTCACACCATGGAATTCAAATACAAGGATTTAAAAACACTTTAAGGGTAATAAAGATTCCTTGGCCACATTGTACAGTTAAAAAAGTGTACCCGCCCCCAATTTCATTGGTTCCTCCAGGTCAAGAGCTCAAGAAATGTTACCTCCGGTTTTGCAGTGAAATTGGAGAATAATGTTTGGCCCACCTTTAGTTTGAATTAGTGTGCCCCAATCTGATGGCCTTCACATGTTTTGGACTGCAGCCCCAGTTAACCCAGCCAAGTTGTAGTCTAAAAAAATATATGGAGGGGACTTTGGTAGTGAGAGAAGGCTGGTTTAAACTATGGTTCCTTGGAATATGCTAGCTTCAGAAATGACAGACTTATTTCTGCTTGTTTCAACTAGTTTAAACTAAGCACAGTTTATCCTTTCTGGGCATAATGCTACTTATTTCCTCTTCTGGGATGCATCAGAAAAGAGGGAATGGGAGCACAGAAGCTTGAGACAGAAGCAGTCTTGTTAGTGTAGCACTGAAATATGGTTTCAGTCATTAAAATATATTTCATACTTTCAAAGAATGTACCAGTGCATTTTGGGGAGACTTGACTATACAGGTTCAAAATAATCACAAGTCCACTTCATTACTCTTCAGTTTAAGTGACCATTAAAATGAGAACAGAACGTTTTCAAGGAGACATAACCTGAATAGTACACCTGGAGCTATTCTTATCCCTATTTGTGGCTTAGGGCAGTTTCCTTAAAGTACTTTTAGTCAGCAAAATTACAAGTTTAACTGTGTCCCAAAATTTCAGCATTCCTATTTCCAATGCATATTTTTTTCTAAACAAATTCTAAAGTGACATGCAAAGCGTAAAAACAGATTAAAAGCAAATATGCAAAAACATGAATTGAAAAATTTCACACACACACGCACATACATACTTTGTCTTTGGGGTCTAATATAGTATGCTGTTGCCCAGATTATTTATTTGTACATGCTTGTATCCAACAATACTGGTCTGCTTGTGAAATGAAACTTCCCACTCCTCTCCTCTGCAGCCCCACACCCATCAAAATGTGTTCCAGCAACTTGGTAGACATTCCAGAGCAAATTTTGGAGAGGAAAGTCCTTATGTGACAAAACTCTGTTCACACAGAGTTGCACATGTGTGTGTGTTACTTCCCTCTTCCCTCCATGCAGGGAGGAACTTAAAATGAAAACCTTCCCTGAGTCGGTAACAAGTCAAGGCAATGCTGGCAAGGTTAGTTACATTAGTGGACTGACCCCTCCCCTCCAACAGCAATCTACAGCAGGGGTGGGCAACCTAAGGCCATGGGCCACAAGTGGCCCACGGGGGTCATTTATCTGGCCCGAACCAAACCGCCTGTTTGGTGAGTCCTCGCACACTGCACTAAACCAGCACAGTGCGGCACGGGGACTCGCTTCCACGGCACTGGAAATCGCGTCTGCGCAGACAGAGACACCGGAAATGGGGGGGGGCACTCTCACACACACACGCAATCCAGCCCACAAGAGGGATCTCCGCTGGAGTGAACCGGCCCAGGTGAGGTAAACCTTGCTGACTCCTGATCTACAGTTTCTATGTAGGAGAGGAGAGGAGAGGAGAGGAGAGGCATGAAATACTTGGCTGAAAACACTCAATATTATGACTAGTCTTGAAATGCTTCTCTTTCCCCCTTTCTTGTTCCACACCCTACTGGAGCTGCTGCCCTTTCTTCTGGCAAGACACCCAACAGTTATAAAACAGTGGCCATGGGAAAAACTTCATTTGTTGAATGCGTGCCTGGCATGCAGCCGAAAAGGCAAAGGCTCAAAAATACTCCCTTTATCCTATCAGTTGTCTTTGATAATAAATGCAAATTTGCTTATGATGTACGCATGAAAATATATACGGGGATGGGGGAGCTCCCTTTAAATACAATCACTTAAGCATAATGAGCCGCTTAGTAATCTGGACCAAAGTCTTTTATAGACGAGCAAATTCTCCAGCATAGGGCTGGTTATAAAATATTCCCTCTTTCTTTCTGTATGCAAACCCCCACCACTACCTCTCTTGCTTTTACAGCACTATTATAGCTTTGGGCACAGTTCCCTGTATGCTTCCTTGAAGCTGTATTAGCATTTTAATGTTGCTGCTTTTTTCTTTTTCTTTTTTTAAAAAAGAAATGCTTTAGCAACCACACAGACTGCAATATCTGCCAGCATAGTCTGGGATACTGACAGCCAGAGTCTGGGCTGAACTAACAGTAAACAGCTCCACCACATTTTATTGGCAATTACTGCTGAAGGTCACACATCAGCAGCGAGCCTAAATTCCAGGAAGAAAAAAAAAAAGATGCCTGTTATGTAACTGCTGCTTGGCTGTTGGCAGGTGCCCAACTGAGCAGTTCACTGCAATGTAGGAGGGAGAGAGAGAGAGAGAAGGCAAGTAGGACATCTCTCTGTTCCATTCAGCATCACCAGAATGCCCCCTTCAGGCAAAGTTTAATAGTTTCAGAAGAGAGATCAGTTCTTCTAAACGCTATCTCACTCCAGTGTTCCATTTGATTCCTTCTGCTTTCTTTATCAAGGCCATTAAGATTTTCAATTACTCTTCCTCCTCCTTTTTTTTAAAAAAAGATAAGGCTTATTTAATATATTGAAGGAACAACACACCTCCAAGATCAATAAAAGGTAAAGGGACCCCTGACCATTAGGTCCAGCCGGGGCCAACTCTGCGGTTGCGGCGCTCATCTCGCTTTATTGGCCGAGGGAGCCAGCGTACAACTTCCGGGTCATGGGGCCAGCATGACTAAGCCGCTTCTGGCGAACCAGAGCAGTGCACGGAAACGCCGTTTACCTTCCCACCTATTTATTTACTTGCACTTTCACGTGCTTTCGAACTGCTAGGTTGGCAGAAGCCAATTAATTGGCAGGGCACTTAATCCACTTATGTAACCAGCAGAAATACAAAATTAAAATTATATTAGTCCTACATGCATATATATCCCCCCCCAGCACAGAAACCCATTTCACATAAGGTCCTTGGGCAACAAAGCTCTGAAGCTGGTGGTATGTAGGAAATACCATAGAATCATAGAGTTAGAAGGGACCTCCAAGGGTCATTAGTCCAACCCCATGGAATGCAGGAATCTCAACTAAAGCATCCGTGACAGGTGGCCATCCAACCTCTGCTTAAAAAACTCCAATGAAGGAAAGTTCACAACCTTCCAAGGGGCCCCCTTCCAATTAGTTAGTTCCTCATTTTCCATTTGTTCAATCCCTTTTGTCCAGTATGGCCAGATTCACCTAAGATGGCATGTACTTGCCTCTATTCCAAGACTGACTGTGCACATTAGGGTAATTGTTAGCCAAGGTTTTCTGTTTCCTTCATTTTTCTTAGCAGAACTGCAGAAGGAGTTTCCAGGAGTTGGAGAGTTCTTATTTTCCTGTTCTTCTACCTTAAGGCAGCAGTTTCATGAATGCATAATTACTATTCACTGTAATTTTATCTCACCTTTCTTCTACTGATACTTGTTCTGAGGTTAGGTTTAATATAACCAATGGTTCTTGCTCCAAAAGGAATTTTCTTATCAGCAGCCAGTCCACAACTGCAGCAATGGAGTGTTAAGTTGAAAGCCCAGCACTTCAAGCAGAGATTCCATTGGTATAAATGGGGTATTTCTTATTTGGAAAACTGCACAGCTGAGTTAACCATTGCACTAGGCTACTGCTATTCTTTGTCAACCTAGCCAGGATCCCTTTCTTTACTTAATGTGTCACACAGTATGATCAGTACAAAGCACTAGTTAAATGGAGGACGCACACCCACAAAATTAAGCACTGCTGCTTTTATTTCTGCATTGGACAAAGTGGGTTCTAGTGCATGAAACCTTGTGGAAGAGACCTGCAGTTCTATACGTGTCAGAAACCAAAGACATATAGTTGGGCTGGCAAAGAGGATGAGCAAATAATTGGACTTGCAAGAGCGTATTTTATCAGAATGAACACTAAAGGGTGAGTTTCTTTCATTCCATGCTTTTACAGTGGCTAGTGGAAATTACGCAAAGGAAAACACTGCGGCTTCCTTACAGAGGCTTCAGGGAATCCAAACTACTGCCAGAAGACACTTTTAATAAACAGACAGCGCTCATTTCCTATATTTATAAACACACCTGCTTGAAGCATGAAATCCCTTCCATGCAAGGCAGCCAACAAAGTTCTTACTTGAAATCAAGAGCCTAAGTTCTAAATCGAGCCTGATCACTGTAGTTGATTTACTGCAAAACACAGCAGGCTACAATGGCCAGAGACTTGGGTGGGGAAGAGGGAAGAGTTTAAATGAAAATCAAAGCAAAAAAACAAACAGCCCCAAACTCCATCTGAATTTGTCACAAATTAATTAGACAGAGAAATACATGAAGCTTCTCTACACCAGCCTTCTCCAACTCGGTGCCCGCAGTATGTTTTAGAGTGCTACTCTCATCAGCCCTCTAAGCAGCTGCGATCCAAAACATCTAGAGGGCATCTGGTTGGGGAAAGCTGATCTATACTTTGAAGCCAATGTGGTCTAGGATGAGGCTGAACAAACTTAGCACCTTGGAGACAGCGGATTTCCAATACAGCATTCTAGGAAGGAGTTCACTTTAGTACAATTTCTTTTTTTAAAAAAAAGCCTACATATCAATACAAAAAGGCTACAATATGCTTACACTTGATCAACTCCGCCACTTAGGTTATGCTCTCTTCCAGAACCTTAGAAGTATCTAGGTCCTAGAGTCCCTACTAGCAATGTAGGCATAGACCAGATCCTAGTGACATTTAAACAGCAGCAGTCAACTTGGATCGGAATGAAATTTTGGCAGTGGAGAAGACGACCAACACTACTACCTTGAGCCAAAGTAAAAGCAACCTAGCCCTATCCATTTGCCTGAGAAGGAGCAGCTGCAGTAGGCTTGTTCCCAGTCAACCACTCTCCAGACACAACTGCCAGTTGTCCTAGGACTGCAGCAAAACGTATCCTGGCCTGTGCTATCAGCTAGGGGACATAGGGTTGCTGAATTGTGTGGACTTTGTGTGCATCTTATTGCAAACTACTTTAAGCCAGCTTTGGGATCAAAAGAGGTGAGATGTAAATATTCTAAATAAACCTTTACCATTTTCTCAGAGCTATTCAGTGGAGAAATAAGAAAATTCGCTACACTTAAGAGAAATTCCAACACCCATCAATGAATGTCTTCATGCATTCAAAATGTACATTTTTCAAGTTATCTAAAGTGTACCCCAGTTCTACCCATGTCTACTCAGAGTAAACTTTAGAATTCAATAGTTCTACTCCCATATGCAAAGGTTTGCTGATTTTGCTTTATAGGTGTCACCTTCAAAGCTGCAGTCTTATTCAGAATTGATTAATTAATCCACAATAAAAAATTCACCACTTGGTTTTGCTCTCCCATTCATTTACCTAGATTCAACTTTCCATTCCAAGTTTTAGGGCGTATGGCCGCTTTTCACTTTAGGAGATAAATGTAAATCTTTCAGCGTCACTGATCCCAGCTCTCTATTAGAATGAAAACTTTGGGTCAGCTAGTCACTGACCCACTGAAAGACTCACTCTGTTTAGGTGTCAGCATAGGAAAATTAATCAACAATATAAACAGTTAATATTGGACTGCACTGTTCTAGGGTGGTGTCTCCCTGGTAGCAACAGTCATTTTCCAGGATCCAAGGCATCACACAACTACTTCTGCATATCTAAACATACTTTCCTGCTGCATGGCAAACTATTTTGGAAACTGAAAGTCCTTTAAAAGGCAATTTGAGATATGGCATGGGCTCAAAAACTTCACTAGACACGCTCAAGTCTATTTATGAATAATGAAACTATTTGGATCCTTTATTCTAGTTGTCTTTCCCACATTTAATTACTCAGAATGGCAGACAATGGGACAAAACTTCCTCCATCCTTGCATCTTCATTAACTGCTTCTATATGCACGCAAATAATCTTTGGGTGGGGTGGGGGGGTTACATTATGTTTAGTAATGCAAATGATGGCTACCTCTCCATTCTACCTTTCAAGAGAGGATAAAAATGTTTCCTCCAGAGGACATTTGGACAAAATTAATGTTGAAGGATAAGAGACAATATAATTACTTGTTTCCTCACTGCAGGCACTGGCAAGTTACATTCTACTACGTCACTAGTACAAGTACACGAACCACAACGCTTAAGCACTGGCAAAACAGCACAACAGATTACAAGGCTACAAACACTACATTTTGGGGGGAAAGAAAGAAATGCAAAACCTCAGCATTATCCAATTCACCAAGTGCAATCAACTGGAAAGTGAAAAAAAGGAGGAGAAAAAGTTGAAAACAAGAATTAATACAAGAGAAATTGCAAGTAACCAGGTGATAGGAGCACCAAGATCCACAATTCATACTCTACCCACAACCACTGCCAATATTGTATTTGTAAGATACTGTAACGAAGAAAAAAGGTGGCAAATCATAGGAATGTAATGTTGCCCGTTTAAGTAGAGTCAAGGAAGTAAGTACTTGTCCAAATTCACTGAAAACAGAAGCAGTAATGGATCTCTTCTTCAGTTTTTTTGAGACAGTAGAATCTTCTTTATGCCTACCACATACTTATAAGCGTTAGAACGCAAGTGATCCCATGCAGATGATTTAGAGCGAATCCAGTTGTTACTGTTTCCTAAAGCGTGGAAGTCCCATGCCCAAAAGAGGACCTAATACCAGATAAAATATTGATCCTGAGTTCTTAAAGAGGCATGAAAGGTTCATGGGTTTTGTTCAAGAATATATTTGGGGAACAAAGGCGGAAGGACAGAAAGGTAAAATCTCCCTGTTGTCCCCTCCCTATGTGTAGCCATGGCTGGCAGGGAGGGCTTCTGGGACTAAGAAATACAGAGGGAACCAAGAATGCTTTTCTGCCTCCGAGTCAGGGGTTTTAAGAGCTCACCTCTCATGCGTGCTAGTTTTTTGCGAAGCCCCTGAATTTCTTATCTGATTCTTAACTGAATGAACTTCACTGGCACCTCAAAACTTACATAACCTTAAGATGCAGATGTAACATATAGTTTATCCTCATACAAGTGGACTTCATAGATCATATGCAATTTTTATTTTACACTAAGGATCCTGGGAGACCATGTGAAGTATAGTAGAACAAGTGTTTAAGGTTTACATTGGGGTGGCTGTCCTTTGGCCCACTGGGTTTTGCTGGACTACAGTTCCCATCACCCTTCACCGCTGGCTGGCTGGGCTTAGTGGGTGTTGAGGTCCAACAGCATCTGAAAGGCTGCAGGATAGTCACCTCTGATTTAAACCATTGGTTATCCTAGGTTAGCAGCCCTACAAGTATTTTCACTGATTTCAATATTTTCAGTATTTGTTTACACAGTGAGTAGGAAGGGAACCCCTGGGGGAAAAAAAGAATCACTTTCCCCTTGATTCTGTATTCATGATGTGATAAAAAGCCAAGTAAGCCATTCTATGATCGGTTATCCTCAACAGCAAAGAAAAAGGTATGTTTGAGGTACTTTGGTATTCCCAGCCTATGTTAAAAATAGCTGGGTTAAAAACAACAGCAGCAATTCAATTGTGCACAACAATGTTTCAGATGTTTTTACAATGCAGAAAGTAGACAAAGATAAGGACCCAGTACTGATGTTTCTTTTACTACACTGCAAATAGAAAGACAGAATAAAAGACAAGATAATATACGGTAAATTAAAGTACCTTCTCTCCATAGCCTCTATCTTTGGTCATCATTTCCCTGAGTGTCTGTAATACTTTAATACAAAGTTTCTCCTCATTTTCCTCCAGCAGCTGTTTAGTATGTTTTATTAACCTGAAAACAACCAATTGATCACAGTTTGTTTCAGTACTAGAATTTCTAATTGGTTAGGAAGGCATTTGTGGCTATTTTAAATCAAGGGTCAAGAGGGAGAACAAATTGGCTAGCATATGCCATATTCATCTGTTGTTTATATTTGCCGTGTTACTGGTGATAGGTTTCACGCAGCAAGATAATTTTGACTCACAATTCTTCTATATGTAAGGACTAAAAGGATTAATGATAAAAGAAAGGCTGCTTTAAATATGCAATAAGGAAACTATAAGTGCGCAAATCAACCATGTGATTCTGGGGTGCTGTTTTTGGAAACTATTGGGTCACTTACCTATTTTCATGCTCTAAAAGTATTTCTGGTCTAAAAGTTATCAGACTCTTTCATTGTGAATTGTCCTGAAGGACTGAACAAAGGAACACAACTACAACCGAAAGAAAGCTTCTGGGCACTTAGGGCTGAACTGTTACAAGAGATGCATGGCTTCTACCAAAAACAGCAGCCCCACCGAATCCCACATAAAGTTTAGCAAATAGAAATAACATGGCATCCCCACACTTCTGAGAATGAGAAAACCCCAAACATGACAATGACCTCATTCATCATGGCTTAGCATGAACGAGCAAACGTGTTGGTTCCCAAGAAGAATATCATAGTCAACTTGCTCATCCCTAATCATTCTACTGCTGTGTTGCGCTAAGCTGTAGGATTGTTTGACCTGTTGTCCCATCCTGGACTTGTGGTGTAGCTACCACAGACAAACCATGAACAGCAAACCACAGGGATAAAGAAACATGGTTACAGCTCATGGTTTGTTTTGAGAGCGCTAAACCACGAGCCTGGGTTCAGATGACACACTATGGCAAACTGCAGCTTAGCTCAGTGCACCACAGGAGTAGAACGACCAGGGAGGAGCAAATCAGCCAGGATCATATCTCTGGAAGCCTTCATATTTGTTTGTTCATGCCAAGCTATGGCTAACACTTAAAGAGTTATGTGTGAACTGGGTTAATATGATATTACACATTTTTTTTCTTACAAGTCATTATGGAGGGAAGGCTGTTTTTGAGGGCAGTCACACATCTAGTTTTGTCATTGAAATCCTGGGAACCAGCAGAAAAAAATGGAAATTTCTTCAAAATAAACTTGAGAAAATGGCACTGTCCTACTGGTCCTGATACCGCCCACACAACAGAAAATGTGGTGAACTATAACTCTGCATCCAGGTTGTTGAAGCTGCACTTCATATTTTGGGGGGCCCCATTGATCAGTGTTCCTGTTACAGAACCTGCAGTATAGTTTAGTTTTCCTCAACCATAAAGATGTTGCCTGTATCCAGAGCCCTTTACTGACAGCCTGATCCATGTGCACATCTGCAAATATCTCACCGAAGATAAATGATAACAAGCTGAGATTAGAATACGGTGCAACATCCTAAAAGGAAAAAGGACCAGGATTTACTGGAAGAGAATTAAGTAAACACAACTCCACCACTCACTTGCAGATGAAACCTCCACTTTCGCATTTCCTTCTTGCATCTGTATTCTCTGGGAAGAGCAGCTCTGGTCTATGAAGGACGTCCACCAATACAGACAACTCAGCCTGGACAAGCGGGCGCAAGCGATCTTCCAGAGCAGATACTATATCCTGAAGTGCAGATATATAACAGTTTAAAATTAACATTGGGAAATTCGTAGGGACTAAAATGTTTTTTAAAGGAGTTTCTGGCTACGCCCATGAGTCAATGGTGGATGTTCTTTGCAGCTCTCCATGGTCTGTGAAGAAGTTCAGATAGGGGAAAGGGAGAATCCCTTGGTATAAATCCTCCAATGTTTCTCAGTGGGGTCTGGGGAGTTCACTGTATCCTGCAGTGCTGCGTAATCCTGTGTCTGCCAACTTGAAAGGCAAAACAGGAGCAACCTAGGAGTGTGTCCCTGCCATGGACGAGCCTCTGTTACTGGCATGATTTGTGAATACAGTGGTACCTTGGTTCTCAAACACCTTGGTACTCAAACAACTTGGAATCCAAACACTGAAAAACCCGGAAGTAAGTGTTCCGGTTTGTGAACATTTTTTGGAAGCCGAACATGCTCCATTTTGAGCGTTACGCTTCCGATTTGAGTGTTACGCTTCCGTTTTGAGTGTTACACTGAGGTCTGTCTGTTTTTGCTATTTATTTTGCGTTTTTGCGGCTCTTTTTTTGTTTTTTTTGTGACTGTGTGGAACCCAGTTCAGGTACTGATTGATTGTGTGACTGCAGTACATTGTTTATTGCTTTCATTTTATGGATCAGTGGTCTCATTAGATAGTAAAATTCATGTTAAATTGCTGTTTAAGGGGTTGTTTTTAAAAGCCTGGAACAGATTAATCCATTCTGTCTTACTTTCTATGGGAAAACGCATCTTGGTTTTGGAACGGACTTCCAGAACGGATTAAGTTTGAGAACCAAGGTAGCGCTGTAGTTCTTCCTTAATCTGGACAATTGGCATTAATCAAGAGGCGCTCCTGAAGCGACATATTCTAATGGGCTGCAATCAATCAGCTGCCGAAAGGACTGGGCTTGGCTCTCTGAAGGTATTTGACTGTTTTTCTGAAGCTTGAGAAGACTTGCAACAGCTGGGAAAGGAAGGTGCTTTGTGCTTTATGGTTTCCAAATGGTCCTTCTTTTTCTTGTCCTCCACTGCACAATGAAAGAGACGTGTGTAGTCGTTGCTTTGTTACTCTGATTGACACTTCAAAAAAGAGGGGGGAGCCTTTTGATTTATGCTCAATAAGGAATTTAATGAGGTTTTGCTATGCCCTCCTCCCTCAATCGAGGCTGAACGGACTTTAACTATGACCACGTCTGGATGGGGGTGTTGTCAGAGGACTGCAGTAAGGGTGGAAAGAGAATGTCCTGCAGCCGAATAGATGTGGAAGAGAGGCTGAATTTGAGAAAAGACCTTGCTGTCAACTGTGTGCCAAGAAACAACTCCAGAGGGGAACTTAATGGCGGAAGCCTGGGGTGCACCCTGTGAGTTATTTATGGCTGTGGTTCGTAGGTTAGTTTGAGAACAGTGGAAAGAAATGGCATGTGACCTTGTACCATCCAGATAAACACTGCAAAAAACTGAACAAGGAAGAACTGAACTCTCTCAACACACCAGGTCTGGAACAAAATGTATATGAAGGATTACACACATGAAATGGATTATATATTTATAAGATGTAACGGAGCTGCTGTTTGTAAGGTGAAAAATTGGTCAGCTGGAAGAACCGTTTAATGGCAAGTGAAGGATGTCAACTGGAGACAAAATAAGAAATGAAGCAGCAACAGGGGGAATTATGGACATATGTCTGCAACAGGAACAGGAAACCTGATTTTAAGAAATCACATTAAAGTAATTTTGTTTGATTTGTAATAATTTTAAAAAATAATAAAAATAATTTTAAAAAATGTTTTTAAAGGGGAGGGGAGGAAGTCTGATGCTTACTAGCAGAAGAACTTGTCATTGGGAATGCTAGGTCTTTTCAACATATTGCAAGCTTGCAGTGCTTTAATCTAGCAAAAGCATTTGTTTCAAAGAATTATTTTTCCTATATACTAAAACGAAACTCATAGTTTTGAGTGGCAATCCTTATTTAGCCCAAATAGCACCACCTATGCAGAAGAGGAAGCTATAAGCAGGCTTGGGGGGGAAACCCAAATGTTTTAGGAAGTACATATATTAAAAAAGATTTAGAAAAAGAAATAAAAAATGAACTTTTCAGAGATCATGAATGAACATGCTCATTGGCCATGAAACTCAGAGTGTCTGTTGTGGTGGGGGAATGTAATGGATTACCTGGAAGAAGGTGTGGCTGATTGGTACCCTGAATATTCCTCATCCCCACTGCTACAATTCCCACCAATTTAATGGTCTGTGTCTTCTAGACTGTGGTGTGGGAGGAAGGACTTCACACAGCTTTCTAAATGTGTTATCTATGCAGTTCTGAACTACATTGAATACAATGCTCACTGTGCAAGACACATCCCTGTAAATGAAAGTATGTGTGGCTTACAGAAGCAAGACATGCTGTCTTGAATATCTCTTGCACAAGCAACTAATGCCATTTCCCATATTCGTGTAAATACAACCTAACTCTTTAAAAAATAAATATGAGAAGAGTGCTGGCTGGATCAGGCCAATGGCTCATCAAGTCAAGTGTCCCGTTCTCACAGTGGCCAACTATGTCTATGGGATGTCCACAAGCTGGACCAGAATGCAACAGCACTCTTTCTGCTTTTGATTCCCAGCAACAGATACATAGAAGTGTACTGCCTCCAACAGGGGAGAACTGAACATAGCCATTGTGACCAGTAGCAATTACCAGCCTTATCCTCTAGTCTTATGAATTCGTCTAATCGTCTTTAAATTCATGGGAGGATTTTAAGCAGAGGTTGGATGGCTATCTTTTAGAAGACATCAGAAGGAAGCCCTGTTTAGGGAAGCTTTTAATGTTGTTGGAAGCTACCAGATGGGTGAGGTATAAATAATAAATTAATTATTATTATTAGTCATGGATGCTTTAGTTAAGATTCCTGCATTGCAGGGGGTCAGACTAGATGACTCTCTGCATCTCTTCCAATTCTACAATTCTTTGATTCTATGGAGCGAATTCTATAGTTTAACTACATGTTGTGTGAAGAGGTACATTCAGGTTCACTGGATGAATCTGAGTTCTAGTATTATGAGAGAGATCTAGCCATTTTCTCCACACCATCTTCCACCTCTATATCACATCCCCTCTAACTTGCCTTTTCTCCTAACTAAAAAGTACCAAGTGGTTTGGTTGCCCTTTTCCGAAACTTTTTAGCACTAGAATAGCCTGTTGGAGGTGATGCAACAAAACTTTTATACATTATGCAAAGTGTGGTCTCAGTATATGTTTCTATAAAACATTTTTTGTTTTATTTTATTGTATTTATTTCCCAATCACCCCAACGCTGAATTTCACCTTTTTGCAGCTTCATCAAGCTATCTACCAGAACCCCAAGGGCTCATTCCTAGGCAGTCACTGCCAGTCCAGACCCTAATAGAACATTTTTTGAAATTTGGAATTTTTTTCTGACCCAGTGTGCATCACTTTTTTGCCATTTTATTACCCATTTACCCAGTTCAGAAAGATCCTTTTAGCACACTGTGCTATGTACCCACCTGCAATCTCTCAATGATGTTGCGGTAATCCCTAGAAGCAGCCATCACCGAATCTCTCCGAGCAGCATTCCTTGCTGTCATCCTCCAGTTCATTGCTGTTTTTTGTACTATGTTATGAGATTTCAGGAAGAGGTTGTTTACTTGGCTGTCCAGATCAACCGGGATGGCAATTGCTCTGCTCTTTGCTGAAACAGACAAATGAAAGTGTCTCCATGATCCAACAGTATGTCACAGAATGTGCATTTCAGAACGTTTTTCTTCTCATAAGGTGCTTATTCATATTGATCATACAAAATCTAGATGTATTACGGCAAGTTCCAACAAGGAGTTTTGTTCACCTTAGGGGAGGGAGGTGGAGAATTGTTGTGAGTAGAACAAACAAATATCGTTTTTCACTCCGTGTAATCACACACACATTGTTGTAGAACACTATGAAATAGTTGCATGGGTTGGATCAAAAATTGTGCAGATGAAAGGCTGCATGTGTAATTGGATTTTCTGACCTGTTCTCTCCACTACAGTACCCTGAACATTCTGTTCAACATTTTAATGACTTGGGCAAGGATGTATATAGGGGGTGGCTTATCAAATTTCCCTATGACCCAAAGCTGGGAGGGGAAGCCAACATCAAAGATGACAGAATCATGATTCAAAATGATCTTAACAGCTGGAACTGGAATTGGAATTTAGCACAGATAATGAAAACTCCTGCATCTTAAGTACAAAATAATAGCAATGGGTGCAAGGACTGGGGAGAGACCAGGTCTAGGTGTCTTGATCGCAAGTTGAACGCAAGCCAGTGGTGCGATGCATGTAGAATTTCAGGCTATTTTAATGGACACATAGAGCCCAGATCATGGGAAGTAATAGCGCTGCTTTATTCTATGTTGGTCAGACCCATACAATTAGTACACACATCAACTGAAACAGAACAGTGTGTTAAAACCATATTATGCACGTAAATGTCCACAAGCATATTTGTGCATTACCATGGTAATGAACTGTTCTAGCTATTAAAGTTCTTTTATTCTACTTAGATTTAATTTCTTTAAAATGCTTTATAACCATCTCCTTCTTCTACACGAGTCATGTTAAAGTTAAAAAGAATATATGCACAACTGTATATTAAACACAGCTCAGTTATACAGAAAAGCATGGCCCCTTGGCAGTACCTTGTGGCAGGAACAACCACAGGCTAAGGATGTGAAGCAGTTTTCAGTATGCAGAACGAACAGCACATATCTGCACTGATGGCAAAGCACCCCAAGTACCACATATGTAGCAAGTTTGAGAATGTTAATATTTTTGCCAAAACCAAAAATGCAAACAGCAGCCAGATATATACACTTTTGCAAAATTGTAGGAAGAACAGAGGAGGTCTCCTTCCACATCTTCTCAATTTTCGATTTCAGAACCTTATCCATGGGTAGGCAAACTAAGGCCTGGGGGCCAGATCCGGCCCAATCGCCTCCTAAATCTGGCCTGCGGGCGGTCCAGAAATCAGCATGTTTTTACATGAGTAGAATGTATCCTTTTATTTAAAATGCATCTCTGGGTTATTTGTGGGGCCTGTCTGGTGTTTTTACATGAGTGGAATGTGTGCTTTTATTTAAAATGCATCTCATTTTGTGGGGCATAGGAATTTGTTCATATTCCCCCCCAAAAAATATAGTCCAGCCCCCCCCCACAAGGTCTGAGGGACAGTGGACCGCCCCCCTGCTGAAAAGGTTTGCTGACCCCTGACCTAATCTTTCAGTGTGAGGTCACAATGAAATTCAGTGTGAGGTCACAATGAAATTCAGCTTTTACCGATTATGGATGTGGCCTCAAACCAGTTTCAGGAACCAGCAAGTAGTTTTTTACTCAACAAAGTTTATACACCAGCATGAAGCTGATTTAAGCCGATGAATTCCTGAGCAAGTATTTGTGAATTCAGCTGTCATTATAAATATATATATTTAAAAAGATCAATAGAAATAGACATGATTTGAATCTGCTGACAAATCCAATCAATTGCACCAATATATACATCACTGATATACATCAATCAGCGCATGAGAAGCCAGAAGTATTAGCAAGAGCAAAGAAAAATATTTTGTATGTATCCAGAACATATGTATATTTTGCATACAGCAGCATTTACATGGAAGGGCTGTTTTGGTCTAGGAAGAACATCCACCGGTCACCAAGAGAGACAAGTCAGCCTGGATAGCCGAGAGATAAGGTTAAAACAAAAACAAAAACTGCCTAATAAAAAGTCATGGCTTGTATGCATAAAAATTTGTAGAAGGTTTAGAATGGCAAAATAGTGTCATCTAAATATGGAGAGTATTCAAAGTAGGGCATGGTTATTTCATCCCTCATTTATCTGTTTAGTAAGAAAGTCTGTTCTTTCAAATGGACAAGAGCTTGCCAGGCAACTTCAGGACCACTTTATTAAATGATGGTACTCCAGATCTGCTTATTGTCCCACATGCCTTGGGACTAAAGCCAGCCACATCTCAAAAATCAACTAGAAAGTGACTATCTCATGTGTGTTGTTGGTTACAAAGACAGATCGGGCACACAACAGTTCAAATTATATATTTTATTGGACTTGCTATTATTGCTAAGGGCAGTAAAGTTTGAGATTGCACGGAACTTGGCCTGTAAATCTTAAAAGGCTCCTAGGCTCATCAGTACAAATTGTCTCAATAAAAAGTATCACTTGAACCACTATAAAAATAGTGGAGGGAAGGGGAGAAGATGGACCTTGGAGTGCTTTTGCTGCCACTCAACAGGTGTTCTAATAAGCACTGATGTAATATAAAGTGACAGATCTTGCATATATTATGTTTAAATGCATGCACACAGTTTTCTTACCTACATCTGAAAGTACTCTGATACAGCTTTCCACTGATGCTTTTTGGCTAGGCATGAGCCAGTTGCAGTGATACACTCTGAACACACCTTGCAAGAGCTGCACAAATACAGGCTGGCGAGTCTGAAACAAGCACACACACAAGCATAAGTCTGAGGCAGGGGAACAGTTCCGAAAGCTTCTTCTTATATTTGGAGAACTAAGGGGTCTATCAGGATGCTAAGCAAACTAGTGGGTTTGTTCAGGAGTCCAAAGACACTTTGAAAGCAAAACCAAATTGAGCTTCTGAGCTACATATGCATTGTAAAACAGTAAAAAGATTGTGACTGATTTTGATGACCAAGTTTAACTAGGATATGCTCAGCACATGCTAATTTGATAAAGGAAAAGATAGAAAAAACATTTTTCTTTAAGAATTTACGGAGGAAAAAAGTAATTAAATTTACAACTGACCAGCAGGTGGCTCTATAATGTTATTAAAACTTAAGGAAGGATGAAGAAAATATTAAAGCTCTATTGCACAATTAAAAGTGTTCCTTAATTATTTTTATTTTGATCGTTCTGGAACACAACTTACCATATTTTTCCAAAATTAAGAGATTTTTCAAAATTAAGAAAATGCACTATGCACTATCCGTGTATAAGATGACCCCTTACTTTAAACTTCAAAAATTCAGGAAAAAATATAGTCTTATACACAGAAAAATATGTTATATATTTTAAATGTCTCTAAAATCCACATTCCTAGCTTCAGGGTTGAAAGCAACATAACCAACTGGTGTGGAACAAAGAGATACAGGAATATATTGTAATATTTTTCCACTATGGATAGGCTGGAAACCCCGAGATTATCAGAACTCTGCTGTGCCAAATCTCACCCATGACTGACATTTCCTAAACCAGTAATATAATTACTGTGTTGTAGAGCAGGAGTAGTAATTTTGTTCAAGCTCTGTATTTTAGCAAGGACTAACAACCCCAAAAGGAAGATTTTCCAGGGATGTGTAGACAAGCCTACCAATAGTAGAAAAAAAACCAATTAATAAATAGTAATATCTATTATACCTATTATCTACATCTTAAGCATCTCAACTAGCTAATGGAAGTTAGTGACACTAACACAGAAACTAAAGCAGATCAGGAGCTTCCAAAAAGTACCTCTTTTAGTTTGGCAAAGACTGATTGCTGTTATATGGAGAGAGTATGTAAAAAGCATTAGAGAAAAGAAGGGGGAAACGTATTTTGAAAGAGCATGGGCAGGAAATAAAAGCAGTCATTACCCACAGGAACTAAAACTGTCAGTTACATTAGAGAGAAGTCAATTTAAATACATCCATCCATGTCATTTCAGGTTAAGCTCAAGCACTCGTGGATAGACTTTCAAGCCATCACATCTTCCTCTCTATTTCAACATGGGGACAGTAACAATTTTCCTGGCGTAACTGTGGGAAAAGTCCCTGTATTTCTGTGGGATCCATTGACAGGCACAATCCCAAAACAGTTGCATGGACAAATTGATTCAATTTAACCTCTCCAAATGCAATATCTCTCACAATTCTCTCTGGTTTAGATAGAAATGGTTCTACATCCAATGCACAAAGTGATCCACAACAGTGTCTATGGCAGCTGCATATCAACATATACCCAGCAGATGCATCCCAATTGCTAATCTGCCAGTATTGCTCAAATACCCAGAATGCAATGAAATACAAACATAAACCTAGCCATGTTTTTGAATGAGTTTCCAATAGCCACTGCAAAATGTGAGAACTGAAGCATTTGGTGGTGGGGGTGTGTGTGTAGAGAATAGTAAACCACCCACAAGGCACCATATGAAAAACTATTTAGAGGACTAATGACAGATACTCGGAAAGTTTCCTCTACTATTAAAGTGTCACTGAATTCAGCCATTCGCTGCTATTGTGACAGGAGCCGATGAGCAGCTGTCAAGGCTGCCACACAGCTCTCTGGAAGGAGGAAAAAGTCAGTCGTGCAAGAAATGGTACAAAGGAAGACAGGGGAAGAATGAGGCTTTCTGCTACCCCCTGCGCATTAGTCTTGAGGGATTATATGTAGGGTGAGGCGGGGCACATTGATGCACGGGGCACATTGATACACCAGCAACATTTCAATTTTGAGAAACGTTATTTGTATCGTGACATCATTAAAATGTGTCTATACATGTGCGGATACAACACGCTGCCCGCCAGTTAGCTGTTGGCGTTTGATGAGAGTAGGTGTGTTTTTAGTGCAGCCAACTAGAAAAGTACGTGAAATGTAAAAGTGTTCCAACGCTGTTTTATGTCGTTTAGTTAAGATTTAAAAATACCAAATACTGAGTTATTCCACTCAGTAATCAGGATTACACGTGATTTTTAAATAAGTTCAGTGGTTTTATTAATAAGCGTTAGTTTTTTGAAAATGTCCATTGGGGTACTTTGATACACTAAGACACCGGGCACATTAATACGTATAAAAGTGCCCCGCTAGTGTACAATAGTGCCCCAATATACAAGTTTGCATAAAATCTCTAAACTAGTTATTCTGTTTTCCAAAAGATGAGGATATAAATTTTGATGTTCCCAATCCTGAAAATATAAATGTTGGAGATTTCCTACTCATTGAATTTGAAAAGAAAGAAAACTGTTGTTTACTACGAGGCCAAAGTCATTTCTAAATATAATATGACCGATTTTCAAATGTCGTATCTCAAGGAAAAACCAAGATCTTGTATGTTTGTCTTCCCCATTGTAGAAGATAAGGCAAGCGTTGATTTCAAGGATGTTGTTTTGCAGTTGACAAAACTGAATTTCTCAAAGGGCACATCTCAAACATCATCTCTTTGTACTTTTTCTATTGACTTCAGTGGATATAATGTGCAATAGAAGCTAAACATTAAGTAATTATCTTATTTCTTATAAGACTTTTGTTTAAATTACTATTCTTTTATGATCTAATGTGAGTTCTTATACTTTTTAAAGTTTTTTCAAAGTTTTTTTTTAAATGGAGAAGTGTTTGAGGAAAGATTAATACAAGTTTTGATGTTTTGTTAAGAAAACCACAAAGTCTATGATATGTGTGAAACATTGTTGGTTTTGATACGTTATTTAGATTTTAAGTAACAAATTGTAAGGCTGATTATGATCTCTCACAATAAAAACTGTTTTTTCATTAAATTTTTGTAAATAGTTACCATTCTCATAAAATTTACGCTTTGTATCAAAGTGCCCCATCCAATGTATCAAAGTGCCCCGTAGGTGGGGCAGAATGATACAAAACCCATTTTTTACTCAAGTCATTATATTCTTGTTATCTTCTAACCACAATGGTTCTTTTGATTGCTATTATAATATTGATTAGTTATGCCATGCATAAAGCAAAAAATAAATTATTTGACTCATTTTTTGTTACATAAAATATGATATTGAATTTTTCTGCATCAATCTGCGCCACCTCACCCTAAGAGGACATTGTTCAGGACTAGGAGGCACGGGTCAACATAAACATTCCATGAATGTTCACTTATGTTGGCCCTAATCTTTTTTTATAATGCTGGGACAGGTGTAGAAAAGGACAATCAAAGTGATTAAGGGTCTAGAGAAATTCACACCAAATATTACAATGTATAGAGCTTCTCAGTTTACCAGGAGCAAGGTGTTGAGAAAATGGATAGAGAGAAGTCCTCCCCACCCCCTTTTTCATTAATACAGTGGTACCTCGGGTTAAGAACTTAATTCGTTCTGGAGGTCTTTTCTTAACCAGGAACTGTTCTTAACCTGAGGTACCACTTTAGCTAATGGGTACCATGCGATTTCTGTTCTCATCCTGAAGCAAAGTTATTAACCTGAGGTACTATTTCTGGGTTAGTGGAGTCTGTGACCTGAAGCATCTGTAACCCAAGGTACCACTGTACTAGAACTGGGCTCATCCAATGAAGCTAAATTACATTTTTCCTATTTATAGACCACTTAACCATCTGGAGGTTCCAAAGTGAATAGTGGGAGATTTGGAACAGCCAGAATTTTCTGCTACAGGATGTGGTGACAGCCATCCAACTTCAAAAGTGGACGAGACAAGTTCATGGAGGGTTATCAATGGCTACTAGTAACTATGGCTAATATTCTACCTCAGCATGCCTCTGAATACCAGTTGCTGGGAACAGCAGTATGAGAGGGCTAATGCCTCCCTGAGCTGGTTGTCGGTTTCCCACAGGCATATGGTTGCCCATTATAGGAAACAGAATGCTCAACTTGATAGGCAGCAGTACATGTCTCAGTCATGGGGGCTGGGGCAATCGCAGGAAACATGCACACAGTCTGCATGGAGGGGAAATGTGTCAAATTGTTCCTGTTTTCCAGGGACTTTCCCATACTCCAGCATTACTAAATGAGTACTAGAGACGAGCAGGAAGCTCCCACACCCCCACACTTTTAGGGAAATGAGAAATGACCGAAGCAATGGACTCACTGCTTTTGTAAGGTTCACTGCCGTAAAGTTAACCACAGAGAAACACTATCAGAAGACACCACCGTTTTCAAACTCATGTTGGTGTTCTAGTCTGATGCACAAACGCTGTTCTGCTTCACAGGTGGAGCAAATAGTAAATAGTACAACAAAATATTTTTGTGTGTGTGTGTGTAAATGATTCCCCTTGGTTTCTTACCTGCAGAGTTGTGCTTTGATCTGAGAATGGGGAACTGAAGAAAGTGGTAACTATACTCATCACTATTTCAGTCACATACTTCTCTAATACAGAATCTGCATGCTTCCTGTCACTGGTGTTGTTGCAAGTCTGGAAAACAATTCACATTAAAACAAAACAAAACAAAAACAAAACCCTATACAATAATGATAATTCCCCGACAAATGCAAGCTGATATCATTGCGATATGCACTTTCTGAAATACCATAGACTGTACTAGACATAAACTCAAGTGATACATCACTCCTGACAGCAAACTCCTGACAATAACGAGTGATACCAGGACTGTAGTAAAAATTGTGCTACTGACAAATGTGAGATATCTCAATTCTCAAGGGAACTTCAAGGTTTGCAAAAAGAAGAGGGGGAACCTGAGGCAGCAAAAGAAAACAGCCCGTTGAGGACAGAGCGTGTTCTGTGGTCATGGAATAGAAAGTGAAATTGGATTGTGAGGGTGGGAGAGAATAGAATGCTCTCTACTTAAAGGGAGTGGCCAACTGAAGAGCCAAACAGAAACGCTCATTTTAGGAGGGAGAATAAACTCTGCAACATTTTGTTGTAGGCATCATTTGTACAACACTATAGCAACATGAACTAAAGCAGAAGTTCCCACAAATTCTAACGAAGAGACGACGTGTCAAGAGAACAAAGAATTTTACCCCACCTAATTTCAATTTGCCGTACTTTATTTTGTTACAGCTAGAAGCAACCCAAGAGTGAGAAGGACTAAAGTGCTAGGAAGCTTGACTGTGTGAAGAGCCTTCAAGGCATGTACAGATGTGCTCTGTACATATAATTAGCTTTGGCCATGCATCATCATTATCACTGAATCCTATAGCCATGGATGAATGAAAATGTATGAAACTAAGGCAATGGATAGTACTTTCATGAGTGTTAACTATATGATGTGATGTGATTAGCAGTCAGTTATGGGTGCTTTGTGTCACTCAGCTTTTTTAATATTTCCAAATATTGAAAACACTTACCCTACAGATGTCAACAAGGAAATTCTCAAAGAGTTTCCACATGTGATTGCTTGTATAAATCTCTTTCATTTCAACTTCTGTGTCTACATAGCAATGATTCAGGAAATTTATATAGGCAATTTTAACCTGCAGACAGGAAAACACAGGCGATAAGAAAACCTTAGTAATGGCTGGCCATCTAATTATCTCTAATAATAAAGTTAATTGTTCTGCTGATAACAAGAATAATCTGCAGTGAACAGGATTTAACCCTGCTTCTGTAGTTTCCCCCCAGTATTATAGGGATACTGACAACCACAGTGAGGTTAATGTGGCAAAACAATTGTTTTATAGGTAGGTTTTGAATTTATTATAAAGTTCTATACTTAAAAGCTAACTTGGAATCCTTCTGCCGACTTACATAAGCCCCTCTTAGAAAACTTGTCAGGGAGCAGCAGGTCCTTAAATTTGAGTGATAAAAGTGACCAGAGAGTTATTTGGATGAGACCTCTGAGGAAGGGGAAGAAAGGACGATGGACAGAACCTCACCTCAGGTATGCAGTCCTCATGGGTCACCACCCTAACAATGTCATCCAAAGGGAGGAGAGAATTGCACTTGATTTCTGTGTAGACATTTTTGCCCTCAGTGCAAACAGCCAACAGCTCAACTAAATGGATATGATACATTAGAGCACTGTTTTCATCCATCCTGTCCCGTTCTGATCTCATCATCTGCACTAGTGTCTGAAAAGAGGCCCTGTCATTGTAGAAAACAAGGACATCTTCCCCCGCGTTGACAAGCTGGCGAAAGAATAGCATTATTGTCCCATTAAACATAAAAAACAGAGAAAATATAATCAAGTTTTCATATGCACCAACATGCATGCTATCTCTCTCTGAAGATTAATGATTTCTACAGCTTTATCGGTGTACAAAGCACTTTACGATGTTTGTTTTGATCGCTTATTTATTTATTTCCTAAATTTATAAGCCACCACTAAAGCACCAGACTGGTGCAAGCTACAAACTTTCAAAACAAGCAGTCCATAACCAGATTGAGGGTAAACAGAAAAGAACCACCTAGTTAATATAATGAAATGATGGGTTAAATCAAAAAGTCTTTCATTTTGCTGCCGGACATTGGTGATGATGACACACAGATTTCTTTAAGGAGAGACTTCCTAATAAAATATTCCTGATTAGCTAAACATTTTGTTATTTTTTAAAAAAAACCCACTGTGCTTCATGTGCTATTGCATACATATTACTGTACACTGCTCAGATATTTCCTAAGTTAGCAATAAATACATCTTCCCCACCTATGTGCAAACGGCTTGCGTGCAACGCCAGAAAATAAATAATTGAATTCCAACTTTGTTGGAGACAACCCATTGCAATTAATCTGAAGTTTCATAATGCTGACGCCTAGGCAGCAGTGCCTGTCCACCAACTAGTTTCTCTTTGCATGGATTTTCCTCAGGCTGATTTTATGCTCACAAATATGTATAACACAGCCTTCTCACCTCAGCCATGACCATATCCTGGCACTTCTTAATGAACTTTCCTTCGGCCTTAACAATTGTCTGCAGGAACTTAATGTACTGGACATTCCGTCCATGAGTTTCAATACAGTGCACAAAGTGTTGAACCACCCGCTCATTAATCTCGCTGCAAAGCTGGAAGTTATTCATGAAGATATGTTGCATCGTTACAGCCTCCAGGATCTATTAAAAGGGACAGTAGTAGAGAGAAATGTGAATCCTGACAAAGTCGACACCACAACACTTTGGAAGCTTTTAGGGAATGCATATTAGAGCAGAACAGTAGATTTAGTGCTAACAGACAAACTTCTGAAAGCAAGCTGATGGAAGGCGAGTTTGGTCAGAGAAGATTCAGAAATCAGGCATTCTGAACATATTGACACAGAAGTATTTAAGAGGATATTTTCCTCTGTCCCTGAACTGCTTGAACTCTCTTTTTCCTTAGAAAACCCCCACAATAGGCCTACACCATGCCATTAGCAACTTAGCAGCAATGTATTGTGGCCTTCCAGGTAGACTACAACTTTCCCTGTTTTTTTGCAGTTCCAACAAACCAGTAGAAAGAAGAAGAAAAAGGCAGGCTGCACTGTAAGTTGTAGTGCATAAGGAGCGTAAGTTGTGCAGGCCTAGTGTACACAACGCAATACATCTCATTCCTTCCAACTTATTACGTATTTCCTCCCCCACCCCACCCCTCCACATACAGAAGCACAATCTCACTACAACACTGGGGAAAGGACACTGTCCTCCATGCACCTGAGATCAGCAGAAATAGTTTAGGGGTTAAAGAACAGCCTTGCTGCCTGAGATGACTGTCCCACTCTGTCTAATGAACGGTAGTCCTGCTGAAAATCTGGAAAACTCATGAAAAGGCTGTAAAGTGCCGAAATGCCATAGCAGTGGTGGTGGGCTTGTAAGAAATTAAACAAAGCAGCTTGGAAAACTAGAAGCAGCCCCCAGGAGAGCTTTTGGAGAACATAGGGGGTAGCAGTAAGCAGGGCAGGGTGTGTGGTGTGGGAAGCTACTTTGCAAAAGCGGATTTCCACTCTAAAGTAACTCTGGTTACAGCCCCCAATCAGGAAAAGGTTTGTATTCTTTTCTATATTTTTCAGTTAACTTCTTACCCCAGGGTTGAGAAACAGGTTTATATGCTTGTGGAGCAATGCTTGGTTCTGTTGGTTGCCAGCACAGAAGTTCTGCAGGAATGCATGGGCGAGCTTCATGATCTCCTGCATCCTTGTATCTTCAGCCTGGAATAACAAGGCACAAGTGCTCCAGAATAAATTAAAGTTAAATTGATTTACGAGGTGCTTAAGCAAACTGACCTGTCTGCTCAGTTCTAATTTCAAAATACCAGTATTCCCATTCCCTTTTTAAAGCATGCTGCAAACTGGGATAAATTGGGGTGGGGGGGGAGAGAGCGAGAGATTAAGTTTTTAAAGGCTCTGTAATGTTTAAATGGGGACGTGGGTGGCGCTGTGGTCTAAACCACAGAGCCTAGGGCTTGCCGATCAGAAGGTCGGCAGTTTGAATCCCCACGAAGGGGTGAGCTCCCGTTGCTTGGCCCCAGCTCCTGCCCACCTAGCAGTTCGAAAGCACGTCAAAGTGCAAGTAGATAAATAGGTACTGCTCTGGTGGGAAGGTAAATGGCGTTTCCATGCGCTGCTCTGGTTTCGCCAGAAGCGGCTTAGTCATGCTGGCCACATGACCTGGAAAAACTGTCTGTGGAAAAATGTCGGCTCCCTCAGCCAGTAAAACAAGATGAGCGCCGCAACCCCAGAGTCGTTTGCGGCTGGACTTAACTGTCAGGGGTGCTTTACCTTTACATCTCAAGCAGTGTGTCAGATTAGGATTAGGATCTATAATAATATGCCTTGAAATATCAGCCAGAACCAGTTGCATTATTTTTATTTTTCTGCTTATTAACTAAAATACTTGTAGGGCTGCTATGTTTGCTTCCCTCCTGCTTTACCCCCCCCCCCAAATTTATGAGTCCAGACTCCTTGCCTAAGGAGGCACAAATCTCCTTCCTTCTCAGTTTCTCCAGCACAATGCTTTTCTTCGTGTGGACTAGAGGACTTCAAGACTAAAAATGGAATACATATCACCCCCCCTTCTGAACCACAGCAACATGTGCCTCCATTATCTTCATCTGACTGGCCATTCTGGAAGCAGATATAGCATACTGCCCTTTTATAAGGACATTTAAAGAAGTAAACCAACTTGTTGCTGTGACTTAGAATAATGACCACTGTGTGAACTATACAGCTTCAATTTGTCTTTCCACAGTAAAAAGGAGGCTTGGAAAGTCCTCAGCTGACTTATGAAGAATTTGTACTAGAAAAACTCAGAAACCTTGGGGGCACCTTTGTAATGTTATGCCCAATGCTTCCTTGAGACAGCCAGGAAAGACTATATAAACCTTAGTTTCTATTTTGTTTATCCTTGCAATAATTAATGTATGCTTCAATAAACCCCAAACAAATGAATTATTCGTTAAGACATGAATATTTAGCAACTGCTCCTTTGATGTTCAATGCAACTTGTAAGAGACAACTTTTAGGAAGATCTAAAGACACTTTAGTGGTTTGTTGATGGATTGTAAAGTAACTGATGCATGCAAACCTCACTTTCTCATACGGGATCTGTAAGAGCTCCAGGACCACAGTGTGAGCTCCCATGTTTCGGAGCAACCTCTGTTGCTGCTTCCGGCTTTTCCTGACCAAGATGCTTTCTTGTACACAAAGCTTGCTAAGTCGAAGCAAAATCTGCAGAAACACATTTCTTTTAGAGCCAGATGACATACTAATGGTCCCCCCCCCCCCCCAGACAGGCTGGAGGAAAAGCTCGCTTTCAACAAATCACAGAATAACATTAAACAAGCAGAGTGAAATTAAGGAGATAAAGACAAAAACGTGTACACCATGTTGCATGCAACTGACACAGCAATTACATTTGGATGACATGTATTGCACCATGCATGTACAGGAAACTGGCACTGGCTAAGGTATCTTGGCTTTCCTTTACCAAGGAAAATGAGTGTCCGCTTTTTAGTGCTACAATGACAAGTCTTCTGGTGCCTTCCAGATGTTTCAGACTACAACTCCTGTTGGCCATGCTGATTGGAGTTAATGGGAGATTCAATCTAAAACACTTGTATATGTGGGGGAGGGGGGAAGAGGGTGGTTTACACAAAACCAGGCAAAACTCTCATGTCAGTAAGTATTATTTCCAGTGCATAGGGATCAAGCCTTCTTTGCATCACACAACTTCCTTGCCCTTTCCAAAAGGACCAAAAGAAGCAGAATGCTGTGGACAAAGTTGATTCTTTTGCCTAATTTATACCTCATGTATACAATTTATACCTCATGTATACTAATTTATACCTCATGTACACAACCCTGAATATAACCCTAGAATTAATGTTAAGACTGAAAGACTGTCCATGGAAATTATACAACAATGTTGCATAAGATTTTTCTTACTTTCTTTCTAAAAACCAGTAGTAAACCTGTGTAGATTATTTTAAATCTCGCACTTTGAGTACATTTTAGTGCATGAATTATATAAACCATTAACACATACATTAATTGTCCGTACTTCATTAGTCTAGTCCATAGCACTATGAGAGTTTAATGATTTAGTTAAACCAAGTTATTATAAATACTATACACCCAGGTGCCATGATCCAACAACTCATTTGGCATACAAAGGCTCCAGTATATGCACAGAGCTCTTTGTATGCAGTGGCCTATTATCTTCTAGGAGGCAAGGAATATTCCATATTCAGACAGGAAAAGGTGCATGGTATATATTCATAGCATTCATAGCATTCCTCAACTCATAGAAAAGAAGAAGAAGGCAAAAGTAATGGGCAGCTGGGAAAGGATGAGTCTTACCTCTTTGACCACCCTGTAATTATAGCTACTAGTGCTTTCGGGTTTCCGTGATTTGCTGTGGCCTTCCTAGGGGACAAGCAAGATTTATTAATTTATTACATTCCCCTCCTCCCCATTCTGGTGATCATTAGTACAAATTTTAGCAGCTATTTCGCACCAAAAACTCTCCAGAAGTTTTAAAACTTTTACCAACCTTTCTCTCTTCACCAATATTCAGTTTTAACACAAACTTAACAGCGGTGTTGTCGGAACACACCTGGGGGGCACATGCAGCCCCCGGAATGAGACAGACCTCTCTGGGTATCTTCCTGATGAAGCGTAGCCCGGGACATTCACAAATCAGTTCCGGTGCACACCAGCGACACATATCAAAAGACATGTGCACACTCACTCAGCAGAGTATAGCAGAAATGATTGTGGAGTGTGAGTGTGGCATTCTAAGTGATTTATTAAGCAATATATACAGGACAAAGCAACCATGGCGTCCTCTTACTTCTTCTCCAAGAGAGAGAGAGAAAGAAAGTACAAAAGTACAGTACAGCGGAAGAGAGATAAGACTGACTTCCGTTCTCACAATTTCCAAGCCTAGAAAGTAAACACTGACATGTGATGTAACAATCACACATCCAGCTACGGAGGAGTGAAATGCTAACAGGTATTTCTACCGTGAGTGTTCACAAATTATCAAGTCACACACTCGTGCTATTTACCTAAGGCATATATATCCATCCCCCCCCCCAATTCCTTTAAATGGATAAATCTTATAGCAGCACAATAATATAACTGCAGCATTTAAAAAAAAAATACTAGTTACATTAAAGGCACAGTATGATTAGTGGTACTGTTTGCAAGTAAGCAGTGAGGAGATATTACACATATGTACATTGTGTTATTGGTCTTTTATTCTAAATTTTAGTTTAATGTGAATAGCTATGGAAGAGATGGTTTAGCCATAGGGACAGGGGACGGAGGTTAGAGGAGGCATATATAACATGATGAATGGAATAAAAAAGGAGACAATCAGATTTTAGGGTTAAAAGCAGCTGGGAAACAGACCAAGAAACCTCTTAGAGGAAATCTTCAGGATTCCCATGAATTAAAAATGAATAAATATGTAAATGTAGCTTTAATAATATATTGCACAAACATGAACAACGATACAACTGGCCGGGAGCAGGGGGAATAAACAAACTGTGAAATGAAAAAACAGCAGCAACAACAACAACAAAGGTGTAAGAAGACGGAGAGAGGGGTGGGAGGAGAAGAGAGGGAAATCAAAATGATAAAACTATGATTATAGCATAACTTTGCTAAAGTCTTTTAGAACTTATGTTTAAAATATAATACTTTTAAGGTTGTGTACAACATTGAAATGTTATTCATCTTAATCAACCCAGTCAACCTTCACAAAAGCCATCTGAGTTAGGCAATGACATTGTTCGGGAGCAGAGGGCAGCACACAAAATGAAGACTGCAAGAAAGCAATTTGCCCCAAAGCCACCATTACTGTATATAGCTTCCGGCTGAGATGAAATTTGAACTCTCCTGCTCTTGACCACTACGTTACACCGGCAATGCAACAAAGACAAAAGCTATTCTTACCTCCTTTTTCTTATGTTCATTCTCTCCTGTCGTTACATCCATCGTTTCATCAGGTCCCTGGCCTTTGTACACCCAGAGTTCGGATTTTTCCACAATTGATCTCAACTGATCCAAATCTTGCTTTATCTGCTTGTAGTTGTCCACATCTTGGCTGGTGACAAGCAGTTGGACCTTACATGAATTGCAATCCATTAGTTGCATAACACCCTTGCATCATCTCACAAATTTAGAGTGAAAGTGTGGATGGTATAGAACACTACATTTACCTGTTTAAAGGCCTGAAGGACTTCTTGCCTCTGACTAAAGTGCCTAAAGAGTAGCTGAAGGGCTCCAGACACGAGAGGAGGGTAGTCGTGCATGGTTAAATGGAGTAATACTCTAAGGAAAGTTCTGCCACCATGATCATCCAAATCTAGCGGTGTATTCTCTTCACTGAAAATAATAAAAATATATAGAGTAAAATTGGGGTGGGGGATGGTTCCATTTAAGAACTTCCAGGCAGCTTCCATAACTGTGTTAGTCTATCTGATGTTGGGAGAGGAACCAGAAACCACCACAAATTCAAATTCAAATACAGTGGTACCTGGGTTTTCAAACGTTTCCATTGACGAACACGCCTCGGAAGTCGAACAAGCTACACAGCTTCGGCTGAGTGTAAGATCCTGAGGCCTAGCTGTCGGCTATTGAGTTTTCGGTTTTCGAACGTTTCAGAACTTGAACAGTCTTCCAGAACGGATTACATTCGAAAGCTGAGGTATCACTGTACACTGTAAGCTACCAGTGGCAATGGAAGAAGGGCACCCTTTTTCATATTAGAATGATAAAACTGTGGAGTTGGATGGGACCCTGAGGATCATCTAGTCCCATGGTTCCCAACGTGGGGCACACACCCCATAGGGGGGCAATTTGATAGCTTGTTTTGACCAATGGCCGTTTAGTCTTCCTCCATATGAATAGGAGTTCATTTTTTGAATAATAAAAATTATATGTCACCGGGGGGGGGCATCGGGATTTTAGAGATGCTTAGGTGAAGCATGGCCCAAAAAAGGTTGGGAACCACTGATTTAGTCCAACTCCCTGTAATGCAGCAATCTCACCAACTCACCACCACAATCTCAGCACTGTGAGCACTTCACCTCCTCGTTTATTCTCTTGAAACTTAGCAACACCCTAAAAATGTATTTACCTTTCTCTAACTAATCTAGACCAAGGTGGGAGATTTGTGGCTTTTCAGATGTTTCTGGACTCCCAGCTCTTGTGAACCCCAACAAGCATGGCCAGTGATCAGGGATGATGGGAGTTGTAGTCCAGCAACATCCCTGATATAGACACTTTTTTTTTTGTTGCAAGCAAGCAAGCAGTGATTGCTAAATGTCACCCAGAATATTTGCACCACCAAAATCTGTTGTACAACAGGATATCCAGTTTTTATTATTTCCCCTCCAGCCCCTACATGTCCCCCACATTTGTTCCAGGGGGTTCCCCCCCCCCGCTCCTGGGCAGATTCTGGGGTTGCACAGGGAGCTGAAGCAGGGAGGAGAGGAAGGGGATGTCTTGTTGAACAAGCAGCTGCTATACTGTATCACACCCCTGTTCTCCTATATGGTATTCTTAACACCCACCCACCCCACAAACAGACACCCCCACCCACTGTGAGCAGGGGAGGGGGACAGACAATGGGGTCATGAAACCACAGCTGCAAGAATACAGTTTACATCCCCGGTCTGCCCTCTCATTTCGTAAGTACCTTAGGAAACATACATGGATAATTATTTTAACTCATTCATGGTAATTAAAGTAACAATTATTGTATGCGCAAATGAATGATTAGTGCAAGTGATTTGCTCCTCTGAAGAACTGTGACCTGCAACTGTCCAGAAGCAGTTTTGCATACAATTCAGAACAGACAAATGCAAATCGCAATAGTTTACTTTCCTGCCTCCAAATATCCCTTCTGCTTGCTCTTCGATGTGTTCAAAGTCAAGAGCTCCTGTAAAGGAAAACAAACAGTTTTGTCTTCTATGCCAAGCTGAAAATATAGCTTAAAATTCATTAAGGGGAGCACAGGAAGCAAGCTACCATTCTTTCCATCACAGAAACTACACTATAAGAATCCTCTGCTGAAAGGCAAGGAAATCTTCTGTGAAATAAGATCCAAAAGGTTGTTTTTCAATCCAATTGTATAATTTTAATCCAGTTGGCATCCATTTCAGTTGTATGGGCAACTACTGTGTGAAGCTGTTTCAAACTACATTATACAGTAGAATATGTGAGGGTATTGTGTGCATGCAAACTTATGCCTGCATCCGTACACAAACACGCAATATTTAAAGGCAGCCTTGGATTTTTCCAGAGGAGCAGTATAGCAATTTGTGCAGCCTCCACCTTACATAGTTTCAAAGGGAACTTAATGTCTTCCATAGTGTGATACTGCACACATATGATTTCTTTATTGAACTTTTTTTTGAAATAAAAGTTTAAAAATGAAACAAAAAGTGCAAAGCTCAATAACTATGCATACTGATAATCTTCGTACTTTCTTTCTCCTTTCTATTTTCTTCACAGGGTTTTCTTTACAGAAATTTTCCTCACAGGGCTCAAGATGTGGAGGTAACTAATGAAGTCCACAATCTAGAGCAGTGTTTCCCAAAATTAATAAAGTCATTATAGTTTGATAGCATATTATTGTATCTTGCTTAATTAAAAAAACCCCACATGGACAATGGAATGGCTGTTTTTCTGCTTTTATTCACAAATGGTTCAATAAGTCATTATTGAGGGAATATACCAAGTGGCACATTGGGATGCAGGTGGCGCTGTGGTCTAAACCACAGAGCCTAGGGCTTGCTGATCAGAAGGTTGGTGGTTCGAATCCCCGCAATGGGGTGAGCTCCCATTCCTCAGTCCCTGCTCCTGCCAACCTAGCAGTCCGAAAGCACGTCAAAGTGCAAGTAGATAAATAGGTACCACTCCGGCAGGAAGGTAAATGGCGTTTCCGTGCACTGCTCTGGTCAGGGGTCCCTTTACCTTTACCTTTACCAAGTGGCACATACCAGCACCTAAGAAAATTTTTACAGCACTTTTAAGAGAACATGTTGTAACTGACCTGGTACATTTGGCATTTCCTGGTTATTGCTTCCTGTAGGTGAATCAGGTGTCTGTGCATTGCTTTCATCAAACTCATGTTTAAATATGCACAGAAGGCATGAGATTCTATAATCCAATCTCACATTCAAAATGAACTGATGATTCCATAGTGTTTTTAAAAAGAAGAAGAAAAAAAAAGAAGAAGCTTCAATAGCACAACTCATTACCTCCCCCTTTTGCATTTTTAAAAGCAAGGAACTTCCCTTTCACGTGCTTAAGGCATGCATTTAAAATATATTAGATATCAAAAGTAACTCCTACCATGAAAACCAAAATCTACCGGTCTAGTTTGTATTATATATTATAGATGCATATTGTATCTAGACAAAAGCATACACAAAACAAAACAAAACAAAACACAAACCACCTTTTCCAAAACAACACAATATATCAGATTTTTCCCTGTTGTAGCTAAGTAAAAATAAGAAGATGGTCATTCTGGCTTTTCCTGTTTTAATTCACATTGGCAGCATCAGTCAGTACTACCCTGTCAGTTCATGCTTATACATTTCGGTAAGTTAACCAATAAATCTGTATAAGCATAACTAAGGAATGAAAGGAACTGCCTTGCTCATGAAGCCCAGTTCTGTGGACCCTAACTGTCAGCAGCTCCTCAGGGTTTTAAGCAGAGTGTTCACCTGTTATTGTCACCTGTGACCTGATGTTTTAGCTGCAGAATGCCAGAAAATGAACCTGAGGCCTTCCACTATCAAAAAAATATACTTTATCCAATGAACTACAGTCCCTTCCTCATGGCATTTACCGTATTTTTTGCTCTATAAGACTCACTTTTTTCCTCCTAAAAAGTAAGGGGAAATGTGTGTGCGTCTTATGGAGCGAATGGAGGCTGCGCAGCTATCCCAGAAGCCAGAACAGCAAGAGGGATTGCTGCTTTCACTGCGTAGCAATCCCTCTTGCTGTTCTGGCTTCTGAGATTCAGAATATTTTTTTTCTTGTTTTCCTCCTCCAAAAACTAGGTGCGTCTTGTGGTCTGGTGCGTCTTATAGAGCAAAAAATACGGTATCTAAGAGTAGCACAGGCTACAGAGCAGACACAAAAAGTTTCAGTTTCCTTCTAATTTATAATATATTTTTTCAGTAGTTATCCCAAGGCTGTGCACTCTGACCCAGAAACCTTGACCCAGTTGGGTTGATGAAAATGCTCAGCACACTGAATGTCAGGCAGCCTGTTGCAAAGCCGTAGCTTTCAAAATAGGATCTGCAGTGGAACTCAAACGAAGCCTTGGAAATACTGTCATGGGAGCACGCAGCTTTCTGAACACCTCCATTGGATTGCTCTGCTCCAACTCTCCTGAACAATGTCTGTATTTCAACCTGACTGCTCAATGTTTTATAGGAGCTGGGTTATTTGAAGTTACCTTGCACGCAAAAGTTTTAAAGTATGTAACTGGTTTTAATGTGACTGGTTCAATGGTTTTAATGTAACTGGTTTTAATGAGGGCATGGGTTAAACATTTGCAACTGTTCGCAATTAGTAGTTGTTATTAGTATTTTGTTAATACTTGCAACAATGTTTATTAATTCTTTTTCTAATGGTAATTTTTTTTAAAAAAAAATAAAGCTTACACGCAATCCATCCAGTGAAAAAATTATTCATTTCTAATTCTGTCAAAAAGAGAACAATGGTCTAGAATGAAAAATCCCCAAACAACATAAGCATGACAGTACAGCTCTTGCGTCAATATAGTTTTCTAAGCTATGTCACCTGAAGTATACCTGAAGTATCTCAATGATTTTCAGCTTGGTGTCCATTACCAGGATGTCTTCTTTCTCAGGTTCAACCTGTTTCACATTACCTTCTGGGGCAGCAGCAAGAGGAGTCATGGGCAAGAACCCTCCACCCCTGAGCACAACTTGGGTCATCAGCTCCCCAACACCGTGGATAGATCTCATCACATTGCTCCCTTCAGAGAAACAATACAAGATAAAGTTTTGTAATACAGTAATTAAGGTAAGACCTGTCTCAGCATTACCTCTCTCAGCCTATTACACACATTACTGTATAGCGGAATCAGTGTACCTGCTTCTTATCTATCAGATGCAACATGTGCAACCTACAAACTGCAGAAATAACATATTTGTGGTATTCTGCTATTTATTAAAATGCTTTGAGGTCGCCCTTCATCTGCAGATACACAAAATGGGCATGCAAAGGCAGAGAAAAATAAAACAAACAAATCCCGATATAATATAATTAAGGATACAACATTGTTATAAAAATTCTACATGCTGTGAAATAGGCAACACCCTCCACACTTACAGAAAGTAGCAGGAACATTTAATGGATACTGTGTTGTACGAAGCAATTTCTATTCCAGGTTGTAGTTATTAACAGCAGTTACATTTAAGAATTGGGACCTGTTTTTTTCTCCTCTTCCCCCTCCAACTCTTTCTCCTTGTGTGACATATCTTTTACACTGTAAGCCTAAGGGCAGGGACTGCCTTACTAGTGATTTTTGTAAGGTGCACTGAAAGCCTTTAAATAAAGAAACAAACCCTACCACTATATCATATTGAGGGGAAATCCACATGGGAGTTGCCCCCAAAATTTGCATCCTTATACTTTATTCTTCCTCTCCCCTGACCATGGGAAACAATGGCAGAAGAAATGGATCTTTACCTGCCTCTCCTGTCCCATACTATGCACTTCGAAAATCTGTTCCAGAGGTTCCTTCGGAGCAGATTTTGAGATTACATGGATGGGGAAGAGCAAGGTATAAATATGTTGCATGAGTGGAAGCCCATTCCGTTTGTGTACAGATAGTGTTGGATGCATCCCACTGATAACATATGGGAACAGATGCAAGCCAGGTATAAGTGAGATGCTGAAGGTTGCACAACATGTATAAATGAGATGGCATGTATTCTGTGCCACCAGCTCATATGCTCAGTTCACGTTCAATCATGCAGTTGCAAGCTCATGAGCACATGCACATGTTAATAATGTGCATTGACAAGGCTGGGTGATAGTGGTTTTTCAATATCACCAGCCAAACATCACGGTCTGGCAATGTCCTGCAATGTTGAAAAAACAAGCCACATTGGCCTCAGCCTGTGAGGTGCTGGGTGCAATTGCCACAGCACTCACCACGGGTGCTGAGGCAGTTTCACCCCAGCGCCTGGCCCTAGCGGGCTGGGACAAAGCAGCATCCCTGGTGCTCCCTGCTCACGGACAAGTGGGAAAAGTACCAGGTATTCCTTGTGCAGCTCTGCTGGGGATGGGGAGGGCTCCCCATCTCTGGCAGAGTCATTCCCGGTGCTCTCCCCATTTGCATGGAAGCCAGCGCCGGGCTGGGGTATCATTTAACTGCTCAGCTGAAGGGAGCGGCAGCCACACACTTCTCAGCCAAGCACTTTAAAGATGCAGAGAGAGGAACAAGCTGTATCGGCGCCTCGTGGATGCAGCTTTTTTCTCCCCTGCGCAGTATGATATATGATGATATATCACTACTGAAACCGCCACCGCTCCTAAGCCCATCTGCTAGCAATGCTCGCTGGAGGAAGTCGCTAGTAGAGGGACTCAGGAGCGGTGGCGGTTTCACCAGTGATATAGCTGACATTGGGGTCTGCTCCTCATATATTGATATATCGCCCAGGCCTAGCATTGACTGTTTCTTCGGCTGGCACAGCCTGAGAGCAAAGGAGAAGCCATGTGAAAAATGCAGCAGCCATGTGAAACTCAAACTCCTGTGGGTATTGTCTGCAACCTGGAGCAACAAACTACCACCATCATTAACCAGAGGAACCTTGTCAAATACGGAAGGAAAATTAGGTGTTCCCCACACCTGACTTTCATGATGAGGTCTCCACGATAGGAGTCAGCTTTCTCAGGAGTGCTAGACAGCCTATCTTTTACAATTTACAAGCCTGCTTCCCCCACTCCTTGACACAGGGTGACAAAAACGAATGGCACTGACCAATCATTCTTCAATAGCACGTTTTTCTTCCTCTATGCCCCATGGCCATTCATACCTTTACTCTCTTCTCCTTTCGCAACCTTTGTGATAGGAAAGATCGTAGCAACATGGACACAGTCCAAAATAGCCAGGAGGATTTTTGTTAGCCTGAGCAGGTCACAGAAATTGTAGAAGCCAAAATAGATCAGGTTTCGGGCCAAGTTTACCACCTATTGTTTTAAAAAGAAACAAAAAGTGGTTTGTTACAATTTCTATGATATGTACCAAAGCACCTGAATATTGACTTTCTGGCACCCACTATTCAAAGGATCTGCACAGAGCCAGTGTGGTACACTGGTAGACTTCAACCGTGGAGATGAAGCTCAGTGGAATATCTCAGGCTAGTTACTAATTCTAAGCCTATCTCAATTGACTGGGCCACTGGGAGCATTAAAAGTTGGTAACACCCTGAATACCACCCTCAGCTGCTTGGAGGAACAGGATGCAGCTATCCTTTATTTTTCAGAATATATAATCATAACACACAATACTGTACCACTTCACTATACCTTGTCATAATAAACATAATTTTCTGTATTTTACTAAGCATTCTACTGTGTTTTACTGCATATACAGATGTATTATATATGGAAACTGAATATTCTGGATTTAAATCTGCCAGTTCATATTTTTTACATTTTTTTACCATTGATTTTTGGACAGCAACCTAAGGCAGTGCTTTTTCGGAGAGCTTTTCTCAGTATTTCGTAACAGATCTCCTTCAATTGTTTCTGTGGGCTTTTCTGCTTTTTAATGACTTGCTATTCTTTTTGGTCTTTTTTGTATAATTTCACTTGTTATTGTTGTGCTTTGCCCGTCTTAGTATAAAGAAGTTTCATCTGTTGATACTATTAGTCCAACTATGTGGGCAATTTAGCTCCAGGGTGAGTTAGCATCTACTGTATTCAGAGGTCTTGCAACTCAGCTTTCTTTTTTTAAAAAAAGATATTTACCTCAAAGGTGAGTTTATTTTTTTCTTTGTCGGAGAAAGGAAATCTCTGACAGACAACATCTCTTAAATATTCCTCAACGAAGTCCATGGTTTGTGCAAACCGCTCCTTGATTTCATCTTTGGAAGTTCCACTGCTATCATAGCTGAAGAAATGAAACAAAAAACTTCAAATGGGTGAATGCCATAGGAAATGTATGGTTCTTTTCCTTTTCTTGAGTCAGTCAGAAAGTACACAGAAAACTCTTATGCCGATTCAGACCACTGGTCCATCTAGCTCCATTCTGTAACATTTTTAGCATAAATTTTTTTAAAAAATGTGGCTCCTGGAGCAAGCATTCCTGCTTTCCAAAAGCCAGCCACCAAGCAGTCACTCCTGACATTCCTGAATACGGTCTCACAGTAGGACTGCTACAAGGCATTGTGCAAAAGAGCGAAAAAGCATCTAGGTATTTGATGGCCCTCATTTTAGAGAACCATTTGATCACAAAATACTCACTCATCGATTGCAATTTCAGAAGGTATCTCTGACCACAACCGGGCATATTTTACTGGTGTCACTTGTTCTTGGGGATCGCGGTCAACGTGCATATGCAGCATCAGCCGGCAGAACGACGCTCTCAAGTCATAAGGCAAATTTTCGTCGGACATGCAGCGAAGGATGAGATCTACATCTAGCTGGCCAGATATTTCATTTATAGCCAAGTACTGCCGATCAAGGCACATCCTAGCAAAAAGATTCAGCTGGTACCTTTGGGAGTTAGGAGAGAAGGAGAAGAGTATCATTTTGCTTGCCTGGGACTGAAAATTAGAAGATACCTCAGAGGGAACAATGCAATGCATATTTCTGATGGAGCAGCAGAAATAACACTTCTTCAGGAACAGAAGTACATTAGCAGTCCTTGGGAGACTAAATTTCTCACTTCTGGACCCACCACATACATATATATATATATATATATATATATATCCGCATATAATTAAACGTTACTTTAATCATTTCTTTAAATCCAATTTGAAAAATATCCCAGATGGAACTGCTGATGAACCTTTAAAAAACCCAATGTATTTTATGTATGTATTTTAGAAATTTGGACAAGATCCACCAAACAAACATGAAGCCTCCGAACAATTTTAAGGAGTTTATAATACAAAAGTAGATTTGAACAACCAATTTTGCCAATGATCAGTGAAAAATGCCGCTTGATTGTAAAGAACCAATATCACAGCTGTATGAAACTGTTGTTACGGAAAGCATCATTTGAGAGCTATCTCTTTAACCAATTATATCAATTAACCTTGAAGTCTTCTAGAAGCTGGTTAACATTACAAATAGCTAGAGTCAGTTGTCTATACACTTCAGGTTACACTGCCATAGCCAAATATCGCTTGCGGTGTTAACCTGTAGTAGCTGAGCACATCCCGGTCTTCCTTCTGCCCTTCTTTAGCATCCTGAGCCAGCTCTCTGATACTCTTACTGCGGACCTCTTTGTTGCTGTCTCTCCAGAATAACCAGACTTCTTCCTCATCCTCACCAACCTCCAATGAATTCTCTCCAGACGACAGCTCTTCAAATTCAAACCGAGACAGGACCAGTCTAAGAATTGAGCAAGAGTGAAAAGCAATTATTTATATTAAATATCTTAATGAATCCACACAAGTTTATTCTATTTGTTATCAGAAAGTCATTTTCTACCAGCCAACACTACATACAATGGCAACAGCACACCTTGGCATAGGGTAAAGGCTTTTGTTAATTTTAAATCTACTTCATGACACACCTACTTCTAGGATTAAAAGCTTGTTGAAGAATCCATTGTTCCATCAAAAATAATAATCTACGTATTATCTGTATTTTCCCCAAACTGGAGGGGAAAAAATTTATGTGTCATTATTGTCAGGCTCAGAATGCTGCAATCTTCTTATTTCTAAAAGAAAGTTCTTGAAAAACATCTCAGCTTACTTGGTTTCAATGAGTATGTCTGCATTTGCCGGGTTTAACACAGCTTTACAAATCAGCTCCTGGGTCACCGGAATAGATTTGTTCATGGACACACAAAGATCTGAAAGGTAATCCAAGAACCTAATGGGGAGGGAAAGGCAAAGCCCATTAAACTTTGTACAATGTTTCAGATGCTAAAGAGCTGTATTAAAGAAGGTGATAAAATATACCCCCCCCAGGCCCTCAAAAGATTAAAGCCTAGGGTATGCAACAAATAACTTACCGAATGCACCTAACCTACCAAATCATTTCTTGTCATCAGACATCTCATTTTTAAAATCCCCTTTTCTACAAAAAAATATTTTAAAAAATCATAAAATCAAAGAATTGTAAAATTGGAAGACACCCCGGGGGTCATCTAGTCCAACCCCCTGCAGCGTAGGGATCTCAACTAAAGCAGCTATGACAGATGGCCATCCAACCTCTGCTTAAAAACATCCAAGGAAGGAGAGTCCACCATCTCCTGAGTGAGAGCATTCCACTGTCAAACAGCTCATACTGTCAGAAAGTTATTTGTGGTATTGAGTTGGAATCTCCCTTGAATCCATTGGTTTGGGCCTACCCAGTGCTCTTTTTTTAGAAAGAGCCATTAAGTTGTTGCAGCAAATGCCACACTTTTAACATTTGAAGAAAAACAAAGGTGCTGTGACTACATATCCTTGAGTATCCCCCCTCAAAAAAGCAAACCAACCACCGGTCCTACCCTCCAGAGCAGGAGAGAACAAGCTTGCTTCATCTTTCATGTGACAGCCCTTTAGATATTTAAAGATGGCTATCACAGCTCCTCTCAGTCTCCTCTTTCACAGGCTAAGCATACCCAACTTCCTCAACTGTTCTTCATAAGGCTAGGTTTCATCATGACTCCACGAAACCAGGGTTTATTCATTTTTGAATCAGCAGTAGATTTCACCCCATTAGGCCACATCCAGACATTATAACACATGACAGAAGTAGGTGCCCCCAAAAGTATTCACTGGGTGTCTGCTGACAACAGCACAGGGCACAGGCACTGATAATGACCCCATCCTACCTGTAACAATAATCCCTTCGATAACTTATGTTGCGCCCCTTGTGCATCATTACAACTCATGACATTGTGTGGAAAGCTCACGAGCGTTGTTGGCACGTCAATTTCTCTGAGCAGAAAGACCCAGGCAGGCATGAAAACAGACTACTGACAAATTGTTCAGGTAGTTACAGAAAACCTACAGGAGTGTTAATGCACCGTTTATTTTGTCTAAGCAGTAGAAGGAAGAGTCTTCTCTTACCTCGGCTCTCTGTTTTTCCTTACAAGGCTAACAAAGGTATCAATCTCAGCAGCAGTAATGTGCTTCTCCAACAGCTTGCGGTTATTATGGAGCAGTGCTGTTATGGTGTCTTCTGCCAAGACGTCATACCCAATTTGCTTCTGCATAAAGCCAAACTGCTTGGCTATATATTCCTTGCAAAGAGAAAGTGGGTGGGGTGGAGAGAGAGAGAGAGAGAGAGAGAGAGAGACTAGATGCTTACATCACTTAAAAACCATTAGAGTGAAAGGAAATGTGAAATTATCCATTTATGTTGATTTCTTGATGTGATTTTTTGTTTTTAAGAAAAGACTACTGAAAGCAGGGTGTGCATGATCCTTTTGTCATATAAACTGCCCGGTCTAACTTGGATTTGCAGTTCCAGTTTGCAATCAGCCCAATTGTTCTTTGCGTAAGTCATATTTTTTTCCGGTTTGTGTTTAACAGCAAACAATTATTCTTATTGATCATTATTGGGTGGTGGTGGGGAGGCTAGAGAATGTAAATGATTCAAAAGCCTTTATACCAAGCAGTTCAGTTGTCCTTTATGGTTACATTTTAGAAACACACCAGACTGTCTCAAACTCCTTGCTAACCTGGTTCTTCCTGTAGTCTTGTTGGGAGTGTCTCAAAACTCTGTAACAGAGCCGACATATGTGTCTGAAAGGAGCGTGGCGTTGGTCTCCAAGTTCTTCTAGTCTCAGCATTGGTCCATCTCCACAGTCAGTAAATGGTGCTTGTAATAGCTTGAATATCTGGCAAATTATTTTAGAAAGGAAGAAGAAATGAATCAGCATTAACATTGCAGCACTAGAACCATGAATATCATCGACACAGAGCCTTGCCTTAGGTTTACTATGAGATTGAAGTGATCCTATCTACTGACAGCCACTTCCATTTCACCAGAGGCCGTGTCTACATGCCAGGATCCTTGCCTACAGCAACTAATCACATGACGGAGAAGCCTATATTGCCAAGCTGCTAAACCCCATCCATATGCAAATTAGCATTTTAAAAAATAGGCTTCTGAGCATGGCAGACGACACCAGACAAGCAAACTTCCCCTTATAATCAGTTATATAAGGGCTGGTTCACATGTTACTGTAGACCATGGTTAAAGGTTTACCAAGAATGAGCAGACTGATTTACTTCATTCCTCTCCTAACATGCGCGGGAGCAATAAGCCACACTCCTTGGCTGAGTGTTATGCCCAAATCAAGTATCATAGTTTGTTTTGCTCATACCATAACAAGGAAGTCAACGAGAACAATCACTGGCATTACTGTCATGCACTGGGTTGACACTTTTTCATAGAGATATTCACTATGACTTCAACTTCTCTCCCCCAGTTAGCATACACCCATCACTGTATATGTGAACTTCAAATATTTTGCCCCACTATTCACAACTTACATTGAACAACATTTGATATTGTCGCCCATTTATTCAGGGTCCAATTTCACAAATACTTCTCAACTGAAATCTGGGATTCTGGCCAGGGATTTATGTTTTGGCATCTCTATTTACAAGCCCCTTATCCCAAGAAGTCCAGACCATCACCTATTTATTTGTGACATCTATGTAATCAGAAACAACCTTATTAAACACAATTTACTGTACCTGTTTCAAAATATTTTGCTCTCTCATTAGCTTTTGTCGTTCTCTGTTTGGCTTTGAGAACATGACTTCAAGCACATCTTGTCCAGAATTTGTTCCACCGGTAACAAAATATACCAAATCTTCCAGCAACTTGGTAACAGACCTACAGTTTGTTTGTTTTTAAAGAAAATCCTAGCTGTTAATCCAAAATATGGATAGTGAACATATCACCCTCTTAAAATAAATACAAGCCACTGAGTTACAATGAAGAAAAGATGCTCATATTAAAAACAGAGCCCTGTATTCAGAGCCACCCCAAAAATGTATTACATTTAAAAGTTCAAAGTTATATTTTGAGTAATTCTTGAAGGAGAGGGGTTGTTAAATTCATAGGTATCAAAGAAATTGGTACAAGAAACACATGCAAGATCATTACAATATGTAACAGTTTTATTATTGTCTCCTTTTCTAACAATCCCTAGCATGTTTTAAAAACTAAAAATAACTTGATGCTTATTGTTGCAAATGGTCCTTTTCTGTACCACTCTGTGACATCCACCTGAAAAGCAGTATATAAGTAACTTAAATATTAAATTAATGAATGAAGTAAACAAAGCTGCCTTCTCTGTCTTTCAACCTTCGTCTTATGTTGGAGAACATCTTTTTTCCATTAAGAAGCTCGCATTATTATTTTTCCTTACCTCCGTTCATTCTGGGTTATTGTCCCCTTTTCCAACTTGCCAGCAATGGAACCCAATACTTTGCTTGCGTCATTTGCAAAATCCAAGTCTCGGACTTCTGCAGGAGAAACTGGTACTATAGCAAAAGCTTCTTTGTCTTCTTTTACTGGAGAGGTGCCAATCTTTAAAAACAAGGCAATTTTAGTCACAATCTCACAGAGAAAACACTTTTGTAATGAAGACCCTAGGGAAACAATGCTCAGGTTCTCCAAACATCATTGTGAAATTGTGGTAGGAATAGTTCCATTACCACAATAGGCAATCCATTGTCTTTAATTATCATAGTTCAAGCCAAACTCATTGCTTCAGATTCTTCCGTTTTTTTTAGTGAATATTCTACTATTATCCATTGGATTTTATTTTATTTTTTATGGGCTATGATCTGACTTCTGTTTTCCCTCTAGTGCTAAACCAGAAAAAAGCAGCGGGGACGAGGAAGATGATTTGTTAACAACTTTCTTATCTTTTCTGATGAAAAGCAGTACACCAATGCTTGAAATAAATAATTAGATGAGAGACTAGCTACTATAAGGGTTTAAGTGTTGAGACAGTAGAGGGACTTGTGGTTAGACAAATGGACAAGCACTCAGCATGAGTATCATACCTAATACACAAAAACCTTTGCAAGGTCTTCCAAGAGATACTTATTTCTTTCAATTTAAGATGCAAAGTGTTCATTTATGTTCTTCTACTATTCCATTTTAATAATGGACTGGCGTTGTGCCCAAGCAATGCTGTGTGAATCATGTCCTAAATAAGAATTGTGTTCATCAGTGTCTTTTCTGAAATAGCTTTACTGGTAGCAGAAGAGATGAGATACAGATGAGATTCCATTGCATGACTTACTTTAAGCATCACAGGTTTTTCTTCTTCTTTATCAATGGGGATATTTGTGCTGTGAACCCAGGTATTTGTACACAAATGTCTAAGTCTGACATAGGAGTTCCTAAAAAGAACCAGGTATTATTTATATTATTATGCTCCTCAGTAAGCCAATACTTTTCAAATAAAAACCAACACCTTTTCAATCTCCTTTTAATTTTTTACTTGCAAGGTTTTATTTCAACTAGAACATGACATGCAGCCAAGTCTTAAATTGCCAGGTATTCAGTATGTAATGACTTCTATGAAGCCTGATTCACTATTTCAAATGATCTTTCCCAGGTACAAATGGGATGCTAGTTGTAGAGGTGTAACATGACAGTTTTTTTTAAGGTGAGATCCAGCGTTGTGCTGGCAGCTGCAATGCTTCATCCTGCAGCCCTCAGCTATTCCAGAGGGGGGGGGGCCCAACTCACTGGCACAGATTTTGGGAGAGTGCTGTTTCCTGGCCATAAACACATCAAGGAAGCACTGGAAAATAAGTCACAATTCGTTTCTGCAAAAGTGCTGCCTTTTGTAATTGTCTGCCGCAGCTATCTAAGACTGCCTAGCAAATGGTCTGGCATTTTAAAGTGGTCTCACAACAGCTGCAGACCCCTTCATCATTTGTAACATCGTACCTTGGGACAAGGCTGTCTCCCCCTCGTAAAGTAGTGGGGTCAAGCTCAAAGATGGAAGAGATATCATTTCCTTCAGGCACAGAGACTAAAGAGTATGCCATCTTCTCTGGAGTATTATGCAAGCCCCTTCTGGCTGCATCCTGGTCAGGATCCAGCTGTGGAAGAAAGTGTAAATCAAATCAACATTGCAAAGCTGCCTGCCCAGGCTGGAAGGCAGAGCACCTCATGGTTATAACTGAAGCATTTCAAATATAGATACAGGCGCAAGAACTCAATGGCACATCACAATCTAATAGGGTTAACTAGAATTGGGCAGAAGACTTAGAAGCAACAGTAAACCATCAAGCTGGGTTGTGTCAAAGTCACTGAGAAGCCAAGACATAGCCTAGGTTTTTCCAGAGCTCCTCAGTCTCCTAGAAAGGACAATTCTACCCAAGTTAGGCAACCAAAATGACAGCTGCCAAGTTTTGGCAACCAGCAATTAATTCATATTTGTTCTCATTGTTTTAAGGGCAAGTTGATATCCTCTTAACCCCTGAATTCCGCTTGTGTAAGGAGAGGCCTACACAAATCTACTTGGAGGGTTGAGAGACCCTCTGGAGGAGCATGAAAGGTGGTGTAGAGGGCTGAAAAGAGAAGGGGGGAAATAGTGGAAATTGCCTCCCACTAAAAATAAATCTTATGAATTAAAAAAACTGAAGGTTCTTGGAAAGGCCAAGGATACAAGGGGGGGGGGGAATGAATTATCTTTTCTTCAATTTTTATAATAAATATGAAGGTGCTGGACCACCTGTGGCTATAAGGTGATATGTAAATTTAATTAATTAATTAATTAATAATAAATATTGTTAGAAAGCTGAATTACAAGAAAGCAACCCTAAATACAAAAAGGCATATGATTTTTACTTGGCGGAAGTAACAGTTTCTATGGGTGCATGCACATAAAATAAGTAACTGCAAGCGGCTCGTCCACGCATCTTCCTAGAGGCAAACTTGAATCCCTTGCAACTCCTCCACAGAAAATGTGAACAATCCCTTCTACAAAAGCACCTCACAATGAACTACAATTTTGTCCAAGAAAACCATAGCGAAGAAGCACTCCGCAGCGCTGTAAGTGAAAGGAGGCAAAGGAAAAGCAAAATTCAAACCACCGAACAAATCAGATGAAGAAAGGTAAAGCTGGCCCTTACAAAAAGTGGAGTTTGTAGTGAGGGGAGGTAATTTAGTTGAGGCACCACAAACTGCCCTTGCAGTGTATGGACGGAGCAGTAAAATGTAGATCTAGAAGGGGCAGCATAGATCACCTGTATAGATTTTGGCCCGATGTCTTGCTGAGTACACTGCCAGATATTTCTAGTTCAAAAAGAAGAGAACTTAAAGGAGCCTGATTTGGTTGAAGTGGAGCTTCAGGGAAGTGGGAAATTTCAACCTTTCGGGTTACGTTCCAAAAGACAAAATTGTGCCTTCTGCGCAAGAGACTGAGCCCTTGATGTCTTATTTTACTATATGCTTATGTATCCAGCGACCATCTCCCCACCATCTCGTCTTTTCTCTTACACACACCATTACATTGTTGTACAGGGGGGAAAATCAATTTGCCTCACACTGTGTTTATCTTGCTTACGGTCTAATCTCGCCATCTGGTGGTTAAAAGCAAGAAATTGTGCATGTAAGACCTCCACCCTCTGTGTGTGTAAGAAACGTAGTTGTTTATTGGTTTGCACAGAGTTTCCCCTTAAGGCTTTTGGAATGTTGCTTTTTCTGTATTAGAGTAATATGTAACAGAGGAGGAGAAGATAACGACGCAGCCCTTATGCCAAGACAACAGCAGTGCCACGTGGGCCTGTGCCACAATCATGGGGACCTACTGGTTCTTCCTTGTGACACAGTTACTGGCAAGACAACTCATCCTATCCCCAAAGTCAATAGCGTTATGTAAATGCTGTGGACAACCTTGTTGTGCACCCTAGTGGCTCAGCACCCATCTAGCAAAGTCCCCTCACCCTTGGACAGTGGGAAATCATGCTCAGAGTGCACAAGCCCCCAGATATAATCCCTGATTACACAGAAGGGATATCAAAGAACTACAGTCGAGAAATAAGTTAAATTAGGCATTCCTGGGATTTGTGCTATTTTACTTGATTTAAAGCAAACCCTGGTAATAAACTGATAAAGCAAAATACCAGGCCTGTTAAATTATTCTTTCCCTCCCAAGGAGACTCTGACAGTATCTGTCAACCACAAAAGTGACCCCACAAAAACTTAGCATTTCCTACATAATGTAGTGCAAGCAAAATGTGTTGAAGCTAAAAAAGAAAATGAGGAAACTGGCAGCCATTGGCTCTGAACATATAAGGCAGCAATCGCTGAACCTCAATAAGCTAGTTCTTCTCATTAAAAGGACCATGCTGCAACAGCCTCCTTCTCCTGAACCTAAATACTTTAGTCCTCTTCCAGCTTCCACTGTTTCTGCTTTCTTATTTGAAGCATTTCTCCCACTCTAACCAAAAGGGCTCCCAGATTGGCTTACAAAAGTAATAAAAAAAGCTCCCTGCTTTCAGGCTTACAATCTAAAATAAAACACACACAAGGAAAATGTGATATGGAGGGAGGAAGAAAAGGGTAAGTTAAGAAAGCTGGTTATTTTTAGTTACATTTCTTATAACAACCAGCTGGGATGCAGCCTGAATGGAATGGCTGAAGGCAGATTGACTCTCAGCAGAGGGGTTGAAATAGACTTGCTTCACTTGTTAGCACTTTTCTCAGCAGTTCCTTCATTGTCTGCTTTACAGATTGATTTCAACTTCAGTTAGCGTTGTCAGATTGTAAGCCGACAGGGGAATGTTGGAAATTAGACATGTTGATGACGGAGGGGATGCTGGCTGCAAGGAAAAAGCAGCTGGGTTCTATATTTAGATGGATGTAAGTTGGATCAGCACCACTTTGGTGAATTGACTGAATCTACCCTGTTTAACTCCTGCCAACCTAGCAGTTCGAAACACGTCAAAGTGCAAGTAGATAAATAGGTACCGCTCCGGCGGGAAGGTAAACGGCATTTCCGTGCGCTGCTCTGGTTCACATGACCCAGAAGCTGTACGCCGGCTCCCTCGGCCAATAAAGTGAGATGAGTGCCGCAACCCCAGAGTCGTCCGCGACTGGACCTAATGGTCAGGGGTCCCTTTACCTTTACCCTGTTTAACACAGCTATAAAGTGGGGAAAGGGGTTTTGGGTGGAAGCAAAGGAAAGAGGGAACTACTTTAATTCCTCCCCCCTTCACTAATATTTAGGTTCAGGGCTAGGGCGCTTCATGTGTGTATTCTGAACACTCTGCAGGACCCTTCTTCATAACCATATAAAAAATATATGAACAGCATTATTTTGTGTGGCAGCCTATATCATGCATTCCAAGACCTTAAGTTGTAAATAGAATTTGGGTTTGACATATTAATGATGATTGCAGTGATGACTTACCCACCCTTCATGCAAAGTCCCCGGGCAGGTTACAGCAATTAAAGCAGAGTGTTTAAAACAGTTCAAAAACAACTTACAATTTCTGCTTATAGTTGCATTCCCATCCCCACTTCTCCTCCTGTCCCCCAAGTTCTGTGTTATTACAGAAAGCAAAGCATGATAAAATGCTGGAAATAGCTATGAGAAACAAGCATCTCTCACAGCATTAGCATGTAGAAACAGAAAGGGGAAAACCCCAAAATTTCTTTTTAAAAAATTATCCAAAATCAGCAACCTTGTAATGAAACTAACATGTTATTGAACTTCCTCAGTCTTTTTTTCTTAACAGTTACAATTTTTTGGTAAGTGTTCTGAAGGGCTTTTCCAAATTCCCCTGCCCTCCCCAAGAGTTCACAACTCTAAATAGGAGAGAGTCTTGTCTGGGCCCTGGGGTGGTAATCCAATGCTGTTTGCCAGGAAGGAAACTGTCATTAGTACAGGGGAGGGAGCTAATCTTCGGTGCTGCCTCCTAAAGGCTCCCTAACCCTCTAAATCTGCTATGGAAGGTCCTAAATGTGGGGGGAGGGGGCTGCAGAGAGGTATCTCTTAAAACCACCTCCATCCCCCATTCTGTTGATGTATTCCTGCAGCCAGTAAACGAGCAGCACCAAATGAACAGCACAGAATACCCACCTCTGTGATTTGCTGTGCACAAACCACCATTAGAAACCTTTTAATAGTTTCTGAAAGAGCTGAACAAGTCTCCTTAATTTAGCACTGAAATCATGTCCTTCTGGTTACTGACACTCCCACTGTCCTACACAATATCCTCAATCAGGAGATGGGATACAATTTCCTGCATCTATACATATACTTTCTCTGTCTCTCTTTCTACACACACACACACACACACACACACACACACACACTTCCTGAGGTCCTTTAATTACAGCATCTCACTTCCAAGTGCTTAGAACCCTGTGAAAATGCTGGCGCTCAATTCACGGACAAAGATCTGCAGTTTCACCTCCACTATTCGCACACAATGTGCTCCCTGCACCACATAAACATTCCGAACTGCAACAGCTAGCTTGGCATATTCAAATGCTGACACACACATCCCACTATTATCCATACATTGGAGACATGACCTTCAACCTCCTACAGCCTGGAGGACAATCAGCATCTGCATATACCATACTTCCGAAAGACTAAGTCAGGAGTGGGGAACATTCAGCTCCTTGTTTTTTCTGGTCATGCAGCACAGAAAATGCTTGCTCACTGTTCTGGAAACTTATCAACAGACACATCGTTTATTACAAGCAAGAGTGGAGAATGACTACAATTTCAATGGAGGGGATATAGTTTCCCTGTTTCTAAGGTAGAGAAACACTGTTCTAACCAAGGTGTAAGAAGGTCTTTATAACATGCTTGGATAAATAAAGGTGAGATTACAGCAGGCAGAAGGATAGCAGATTTGTTTAGCTAGGTATCTTACCTTAGCTAGGTAACTAAAGATTACCACAGCCCCCTATCACTGGAGGCAGCAGTGGAAAACGCCATATTAAATACTTTATCAATTAAGAGGTTAACAAAAAGCTGCAATACTAACCCTGCTTAGTGAGGAAGCCCCACTGAATTCAATTGGACTTACTTCTGAGTAGACATGGTTAGGATTGCACAGTAAGCTTTGATTTGTCTACATGCTTGCCAATCATACCAGGGCCTGTGTCAACACCAGTGCTCAAATTACAGGGGGCAGGCGGGGCTTAGCCCCCTTATTTTTTGTGCTGCCCCCTTACAGACTTACTTTAGAAACTCTAGAAGCATATCAGGGGCATAATTTAGCTAAAATTTGGGGGGGTAGGCAGGGGTTGAGTTTGTGGATTTCGTTAAGGACCCCCTTAACTTCCACTCCCCCAATAATTTGAGCACTGGTCAGCACCCCTTGATTAGAGGCAAGAGGATACTCTTGCCTATACTTACTGAGGACTGACATTCCTGGTAATCTTCCACATAGTCAGGATTTACCTGATGGAAGAGAATCACAAGCAGGTCAAAACAACAACTAGCTTTCCCCCCACCCAAAATCTATAACACAGTACACAATGACTTTTATTCTGGAGCTTAAATAAATTCATAAAATTCATAGCCGTGCTATGGCCAGCCACTCACAAAAGCAAGCTAAGCAACTGCAAGGCTAAAGCAAAAGAAAAAAGAAAAACCCATCAATGTAGTGTGCTGGCTCAGCTCTTTAATATGAGCAAATTTGTGCAGGACATAGGAAGAGCTTGCTGGGTCAGACCAATGACCCATCTAAGTCCAGGATCCTGCTCTAACAGTGGCAAACCAGATGCACGTGAGAAACCTGCAAGCTGGACAAGAATACAACAGATCTCTGTCCACTTGTGATTCCCAGCAAGTGGTATTCAAAGGCATATTGCCTCTGACAGTGGAGGTAGAACGCAGCCATTGTGACTGTCGCTAGCTTTGCGGCTCCATGAATTTGTCTAATCCTCTTTTAAAGCCATCCAAGTTGGTGGCCCATGGCTGCCTTCCGTCGGATAGCGTTCCGTTGACTAACTATGTGCTATGAGAAGAACTTCCTTTTATCTGTCCTGAGTCTTCCAACATTCAGCTACATCGGATAAGTTTTAGTGTTATGTGAGAGGGAGAAAAACTTTTCTGTATCCACTTTCTCCATGCAATGCATCATTTTATAAACTTGTATTATGGTACCTCTCACTCGTCTTTTCTCTAAACTGAAAAGTCCCAAAGGCAGCAACTTTTCCTCATAGCGGAATAGCTCCACCCCCTTGATTATTTTGGCTGCCCTTTTCTAACTCTACAACATCTTTTTTGAGGTGACTGTATCAACCAGTTCAAGATATCACAGTTTTCAGGGCACTTATTTATTAAAGAACATCCACAGAACTCTATAGTAAGAAAGTCACTTATGGAGAAAGTTTAGTGTTTGTTTCAAGCTTAATTCAAAGAAATGTCGGTGCTGTCTAACTTGCGACCCCTTCAGATTAAGATATTCTTTCCAAGTCTCAATTTAGTTACCCGGTACTTATCCTGAGTAACAGTACCTATAAAACAAAGGAGGAAGGCAGCACATAAGGAAAAGGTTCTCGGGATACTGACCTCTGCAGCCAAGTAGTGTCCAGTGGCAAGATGTTTGAACCGAAAAAGGCTATTCCAATATCCCGCACCACCTCGACAAGGGTCATGTTGTACTACCTGTAAAGAAATAAGAAGAGATGCCCTTCCAGAAACCACCTCTCATTTGTCCTTAAGAGGGTAATCAAGAGAATGGGCCAAAGCTAATAGATAGGAGGAAGAGAAGGGGGACGATCAACAAGAAAAAAGTTGTCTAAACAGCTATGACCAAATATATTTCCAGAGGTTTCAGGTAAAAAGTGCTTGGTTATCTCAACATGTTTGTGATAGTGCATCTTCCTATGATGAGTAGCAATGCTACGCTGAAAGAACATTGGCACCAGTGAATGTAAAAAGAATGGCTTGGTTTGGTGGATAGCTGCCTTGAGTGAGAGCAGGAAGGAGTGGTTCTATGACCACAGGTGAAATGGACTGAGTTCTGGAGGAAAGGGTTGTCTTTGGTGCCTGGACTCCTCGCTGAGAGATAATGTAACATCCATATTTGAGGATGTATTTGTTTGTGGAGATGTATACTGTGCATTTATTGGTGCCACAATAAATGTTGTGCAGGCAAAATGGTGCTGTGATTAATAATAATACTAATAATAGTAATAGTAATAATAATAATAATAATAATAATAATAATAATAATAATAATAACAATAACTTTATTATTTATACCCCACCCATCTGGCTGGGCCTCCCCAGCCACTCTGGGCGGCCCCCAACAAAATATCAAAACACAGTAATGCATCCAACATTAAAAGCTTCCCTAAATAGGGCTGCCTTCAGATGTCTTCTAAAGTCTGGTAGTTGTTGTTCTCTTTGACATAATTGGTCAAGACACAACATCCTCCTAGCCTCAACAGTTTAGAGGGCTTGTTTTTAGCACCCTCTAACCTGGTCTGAAGGTGCTGCTCTGAAATGCCACTCTGGCAGGTGGAAAGGAAGTTTAAACACCAGCCTACTGCTTGAACATCAAGCCAACCTGAAATGTGTAACAGAAATCAGGTGAGACAAGGGTGAGGGGTAAAGCTCTCCTAAAGTGTTCACTAGCTTTCCAGGCACAACACCAGGTGGCCAGGTATCCAATCCAGTTAATAACCTGTCCTTGAGAACATGTTGCTGTTTTTGAAATCTAAACAGTGTTTCCAGGTAGGGAAAAAAATATAGGATGGGAAGCGCAACAAGCTTTGGTGTATGTGGAGCTTTCCATCTAGGTTTTAAATAAAGGCAATACTCATAACAAACCTATTCAGAAATCTCTATTCCCATCTTTACCTCAACTTCCCACAGAGCTTTTGAGCTAGTTGCAGAAGTAGCTGACTGTCTCCCAGTGGTTCTCAGGAAGACGTGCTGCTTCTTTCGGTGCTCATCACAAGTCAGAAATTTTTCCTGCTCTGCATGAAACAACCGCACCACATCTCCCTGCAAAGGCAATGAGAAAGCAAATGGGTAGGAAGCTCAACAAATACTTTTTAAATTTAAAACCTAGCAAGGAGGCGCATTGTTCATCTTACCCCTTTCAGGATATCGTCTTTGTTATCACTCCATTTCATAAAGAGGACTATTTTCCAACTTGTGTTGCAGTTCACCGAGTTCACCTGTAACAAAAGCAGGCATAAGCAATTAAAACAGAAACATGCAGACACATGAATTGTTATGAAATACTTTTGTTCAGCTGTTGCCTTTTTTTAAAAAAACAACACACACACAAGCTTCATCGGTGATATAAATTTTGCAAGGGAAGTGGCAGTGTGCATGAAACATTTGGAATGGTAATGGAAACCATGACTGATGCTAACTAGGAATTTCTCTCATTGAGGGCTTGCTAACCATGGTGAGAGCTGTCTTTTTTTTCCAGTTTTCTTTATTTATTAACATTCTTATGTTACATGAGTAAACATTATCATATTACATCACAAGGCTTATTATAATTTTCAGCATGTATACAAAGCTTATATACAAAGCTTATGTACCTAAAGAAAAGAAACGAGGACAAAAAACTATTCCAAAATCATATATGTACCAACACTTTGGACTTCCTGTCTATCCCGTTGTATATTCTTTTTTTACAGATGAATGTACTCTTATTATTGTATATTTCTTTACATTTTATCTAATGAGAGATGTCTGATGAATGGAATTTCTGGTGAAAGCGCAAACACTCCCAAAGCTAATTTCAATCATGCAGCATAGTTAAGTGTGGGAGCATTCACCAAAACTACAGGGAATCTTTACAGTTTAGGAGACAGGGATAGAAACAGACAACAAAGCTTAGTTGAACAACCTTACTGAGGCTATGATTCTGAACAACTTGAATGTAGCTGCTCAGCAAAATTTACAGCATGCTTATGCAGAAGTTTTCAGTTTTCAGAATTCGAAAAGACTTACAGTGCAATCCTACTCATATCTAATCAGAAGTAGATCCAAGTTGAATTCAATAGGGCTTGCCTCCAGGTAAGCTTAACCCAACTTCCCTAGGAGTAAGTTCCATTGAAATCACTATAACTTACTTCTGAGAAGACATGGGTAGGTTTCTTGAATTTAGCAAACTTACTTCTGCATAAGCAAGTTGGGAATTTTGCTGTTATTGGTCAATTCAAGGCTCTGTCCTTCAATAACATCTTTAGTAAAGCTAACTGAGCTACAGATGAAAAATGCGTCATAGCAATATTACTATTAATGTAGTATTACTATTAATGTAAGTGTTGAAACATCCCATTTATACTCTTTATTTGCAGCTTTAAAAAACCACTCCAGTTAATCTGCAAACCAGTTTATAGTCCAACAATTTTTTATTCGCTTGGGTATTTTGTTTTAACTTACCTCATTACAGCCAGGATTGTCTACTAGTTGGTGACTACTGGCATGCAGAGGCTGGCCAGCATTAACAGGATTCAATACCACCTTGTCCCCTATGACGACCTGAAAAACAAAAGAGTAAAGGTACAGTGTTGCCTCTATAATTCTAGTGACCTCCTGTTTGTGCTACTGCAATGTTCTCTTTGTGGGCTGCCCTTGAATTAGCTTGAATTAGCCAGATGCAGAATGAGGCTGTCAGGCTGATGCATGGCACAGTTCAATGGAGCTGTGTGTCATTGGTCCTGAAAGTGCTGCACCGCCTACCAGTGAGCTTCAGGGCCCAATTAAAGAGTGTTAGTGCTAGAGTACAAACCCATAAATGGCCTGATAACCCAAGTAGCATCCTAAAATGTCACCTTCTGAAGGAAGCCCACTGTTAGTGGTGCTGCTGAATGGCTGACACATGACAGGGCCTTCTTGGTTGTGGTCCCCCATTTATGTTATTGTATTGTTTTTATTGTTTGCCACCCTTTGTCCCATTCAAGAGGAAGGGCAGGATAAAAATAATAATAAAAAAAATATGAATAATAAAAAGAATATTTCTACAAGTTCATTTCAGAGTAATACCATTATTAAGCCAACCAAAATGTCATGAAAAAGTGTGTGAGCTTTTGAGTTTCCCAGAACTCTTCTTCAGGCTAGATGGTTTTATTTAAACACACACAAACAAAACAGGTAGGGGAGAGAGAAAGAGAGAACAACCGTTGGTGTTTGTCAAGTTCTCCATATCTACATCTTGTTAAGTTTTAAGATGGAGTGTGGGATGAGTTAGCAGACATTCAAATGAGGCACCTGAAGGTTTCAGGTTGCGCTTTTGCCTCTTGGGGAAAAAGAAACACAGAATGGTTGAGCCATGATCTGCCTCATGGAAACTTTGAAAAACAAAGTTTCAGATGGACTGTTTGACCATCAAGGAATGGAACTCAAGACAGAGGCACAGTTTTTCTAGTGCTCCTTCCACCAGCATTCATACTTCGAGGTTAATCTGAAAGTTGACAAAGTGAGTCTTTTTCCATCTACGATAGTTCAGAGATTAAAATATTTTATCATCTCTCTCACAGACATGACTCAACAACATCAAAAAGTATAACCAAAAATGCAAAATAGCGAACAATCGTTTACTTCAGCGATGCCATCCGCCTTCGCTAGTGCATGTTATCATGAGTCACGGAAACCTCTCTTTAAAAATAATAATGCTTAATGCATTTTAAATGAAGCTCTCAACTCTTGAGCAGTATTTCCACAGCAGTACTGAGACATTACTTTAAAGCGTTCACACACATGGGAGGGTGGGAGACAGCAAGGATGGAAAGTACCATCTCCACCAACCCCATCATTACAGTTCGCTGCTTATCAAGTCATTCATGGAAGGCGGCTGCCTGAAGCAGGAAACTTTTTGTATCCTGGGAGGCTTCCAGGTCATTTCAGAACTCTGAACAATCAGGGGTCTAACAGGTACAGGGAGTCTCCATGAAGACAGGAGGCTCTCCCTGCCATATTGTTGCCTTCCATAATTTGGAAGGTGACAGAAATGGCAACCAAGTGTAAAGGCTATGCATTTGTCCCTGCTGCTGTTCCTCACACGTTAACAAACACATTTAAATAATGCCCGAAGAGGGTTCATATCCTCAATAAAGCTACACTTAAATCACTCTCACAAAAATACGTACGGCAATATAATATGGAGCCTCTCCTGAAAACTGGCTATTTAAAGTGCTTTGGCCAAGCGGATACAGTAATTGGCTGTGTTTCCTGCTTGCACTATTATAACAGGGGCATACGAGGTGTATCAAAACTTCATCAGCCTCAGAATCTCACAGCTACAGTACCCAATTATCTACCATCACTATCAAGAAAGAGTATACTGGAGTTGCCATGTCCTTCATGTTATTTCCATAAAGCAAAACAAAACATATTAAAAACGTCTCAGTCCTACATCTTCTGCCACAGAATCACCTATGTGGAAAACCAAGGTCATGGAAAGAATTATAATGCGCCACGTTAAAGATTCCCAACAAAAGCCTGGAATCAGCAATGGACTGGATGAAGGCCAATAAACTGAAACTCAGCCCTGAGTTTTTGTGGGAAAGTTATCTGGAGAGAGAGAGAGAGAGAGAATTCTCCCTCAAAGAGCTAGTATTTTGGGGGTACTCTGAGATTCAGCTGTATTCAAAGTGGCCTAGGTTTTTCTCTGCCTTTCTTCAGAGTAGGTTGGCGTGCCAGTTGTAGCCTCTATTGGACAAAGGCAGCCTAGCCAGTATGTTCTAGTAACATCCGGTTTTGCCTAATATACTATGTTATATGTTAGGCTGTCTTTGAAGACTATTTGGAAACTTTAATCAAAGCAAAATACATCCTCATAAATCAGTCCTGGATTAGAGATTGCATCTCAATAGTATTAAAAGAACCTTCAAGTCCATTTCCAAACACAATTCAATATATCACTTAGGACAATATATCACTTAGGACGCAGGTTCTTAAAGGAATGCCTACCACTGCCAACCTGCCTAAGATAAGGTGTGCAGTGATCAGAGGGTGCACATTCTCAGGGAAGGCACCGTAGGTCGATTTCCTTCCCTAGAGAGAAGTGTTTGACACATATTGTTAGAGGCAAATGGATTTTTATTCCCCCAGGCTTTGAAATGCATTTTAACATTTTCATTCTTAAAATGCACAAACAAACTACAGTGGTACCTCGGGTTACATACGCTTCAGGTTACATACGCTTCAGGTTACAGACTCCGCTAACCCAGAAATAGTGCTTCAGGTTAAGAACTTTGCTTCAGGATGAGAACAGAAATCGTGCTTCGGCGGCGCGGCAGCAGAGGGAGGCCCCATTAGCTAAAGTGGTGCTTCAGGTTAAGAACAGTTTCAGGTTAAGAACGGACCTCCGGAACGAATTAAGTACTTAACCTGAGGTACCACTGTATTACATATTCAGCTCTACTGAAGGGGATATATACAACTTTTAAAGAAATGAACAATACTAGCCCCATGTAACTGAGGGGCAGACATGCTAAACTGTTACAGAAAAAGCAATGGAGACTACCATGGCACCTTAAAGTGAATGGGTGAGATCCAACAGGGTTTCTCCTTCCTCTCTTCTCCCCATGCAGCCACACAAGTGCCTCCATATTATGCTCCAGAGGATTAGGAAACTATTTGGAGCAGATTTTGGAGGGTACCCAGGGGGCTGGAGGGAGAAAGGGGAAACAAGAAATCCAGTTGCACAAGTAGATTTCTGTTGTGCAGATGGGCAGACAACAGAGCATGTCACCCAATGCTCATTTTGGCACACAGTTTTTGCCGCAATGAAAGTAATTTTTTAAAAAATTCCCAATCGTTTTATGATCGGGAAACTAAATGCTTGGCGCATTGCTATATTTTAGCTTAAGAACAAATTAATACATCAACAAAATAACTTAAGTGTTTTCATAACCATTTGAAGTAAGTGGAGATTTAGATGGCTACTGTTCCAGTCTTTAAAAAAATGTCTCTTGTTTCCAAAACATTTGTTGCCATAGCAATTCACCTCCCACTCACTTCAGTCCTCGAAAAAGAGACATGTATACTGTACAAACTCTTGTGCATTTAATTAATCACAAGAAAGTAAGCTACTGATGAAACAGCTTTGCAATATGTTGCACCGCACACCGTTTTCTCTGACAATCCTGTAAACTTACGCTATCTCCTATGGAACGCAGTTTGTAGAAGGGCTGTATGTAAAACCAGGACCCTTCATTGCCAGCCTCATCCAGAGTCACCCTCATAGCATTCTTCTCTAGCAGAGCTGGAAGTCTCTTATTTACCGTCAAGTATTTGTTGCTTTTCAAGTGCAAAAGCTAGAAGTTAAAAAGAAAAAAAGGGGGGAAGAGGAGGAAGGGCACCACAAACACAATTAAAACAAAAACAAAAAAAACTTTTATCCCACTGACTACAATAGTCAAAGTTTTCATAGGAACGATGACAAAATTCCTTTCGTTCCTTAACGCTTTCACATCCTGTACTTGTACATTTCATACTGAGGATGAAAGCAGAAGACAATTCAGTTTTTAAGGCCCCCTTAAAATTATCCCAAGACGTTTCTTACACGGAGTGGTCAAGCTACAAAGTTGAAACCTCCTACCCAAAATTCTCCATAGTTGAAGGAATACTGCTCACTATGGAGTAAAAGTCTGTAGAATACCAATATAATTAAGAGCTATATAGGATGCTATAAAGAGCATTAAATGTTCACTCAGTATATTTATAAATACCTTACAGCTATTACTGCATATACCCTTGTATCAGCTTTAGGAAGATGCTAAAGGCTACAAAGATGCCTAGGTTACAAAAGCTAGCAACCAATCTAACACCCTCCAAATACCATATTTTTCCGTGTATAACACGATCCCATGTATAAGCCAACCCCTATTTTTTGGGACCCCAAATTAAGGAAATGGGGGGAGATTGCCCAGAGTTGTTAAGCTTTTAGAATTTTTTTATAATAAAAAACATCGTCTAATGGAAAAATCTACATGGAAAAATACGGTACTTATTGGGATTTTAACCTGCGTCTCTCATATTCAAACCCATCACTCTAGGTGCTGCACCACATTAACCCCTTAGAAGAATGCCTACATATATATGGATAAAAAGTACAAGGCCCAACGTGTGGTGACAACACAGGGCAACAAGTGCTCACTAAAGCACAACCTCTTGTGAGTCGAAGAAAGGCTATGATGCTTGTGCATCTCTACTGGCAAAACAATGAAGTTGCAACTTCATGTCAATTCAAGCCAGTCTGTGTGGCATATACAGCTGCATAGAATTATGGGTGCCAGGTTCACGGAAACCTCTTGAAAGACAGCTGCAGCATACCTGAATAACATTGCCATATTGGATAACCGTGCCAAGCAACTTCCTATTCTCGGTCTCGTTCTGCTTCTTCTCCAAATCTGCAGCATGCTACAAAGAAAAAAAAAGAATGCTGTTAAGCAAGGTTGGGAAACTGGGTGACCAACTGCTTGCTTTAATAAACAAACAAACAAACAAACAAACAAACAAACAAGCAAAAGTATTTTATGAAGACTGCTTGGAGAGCAAGGCAGTGGTGAAGTTTGGAAAGAACAGAGTTCTAGGGAGGAAAAATACTGCGGAAGTCTAAAAGGTTGGCCCCTTGCTGAATGCTAGTTTTAAAACCAGCTACACAAAAATACAGCTACACAAATATATAAAAGCCAACATTATGAATTAAGGTGATATGTGCTGTTGTTGATTTATTTATATCCCACCTTTCTCCCTGACAGTGACTCAAGGTAGCTTACAGCTCAAATAAGAACAGCTAAAAACGGGGGGGACGCCAAAAATTGAAACACACACATACATGATTCATTAAAAAACATACCAATAATTACAGTAAAAACAGCACAACACCAGCCCTTTCATTAAAAGCAGTCAGTACAAGGATGGAATCAGTCTAACTTCTCTAGGGAGGGAGTTCCAAAGTTTTGGAGCAGCCATGAAGAAGGCCTTCTCAGGACTAAGAGAAAGGCCTCCCTCAAGTATATAAACCCAGGCACGTTCATATGAGGGAATACAGTCTTTCAGAAAGCTTGGATCTAAAATGTACATCTAGATGGTTTGTTGCTAGTTCAGTTCCATCATGAACAGGGGTGGCCTACAGTGCATTACAAAAGGAACAAGAAGTCCTGCACTGTGGAAGAAAAGTCATATTTCGTATTTCACAGAATGTCTCCTAAGACAAACATTCCTTTTTGACGTGCTTGCTAAACAGGGTAGTCAGCTTTCCATTAAAACATGCTGGAAGTGGCTTTACATTGCAGAACACCAAGAAGGATATTTTGGAACAACCATACAAGGTTATACAAGAAGGAGGATATAAACCCAAACAATTGCATTCCTCTAATCCATCCTTTAAACAACAACAAAAATCAAAATGAAAGAGAATACTTCAAGTGTATCTTACACTTCATTCTTTCAAGAAGATAACATTTTTTGAAAGGTGTTAAATGGAGGTATAGGGTCCCACAACTCTTGATACTCAGAATCCCAAAAGTGTTAAATTAAAAAGCATTCGCAAGACCAAGAAACCTAAAATATGGGGTTACTGTCTACTAGTAGCAAAGCTATTATATTTATCCAGATCCATTTCAGTCAGACTTGGGTCAGGACGACATCTTGGTTAGCCCTGGGCAGCATGGGAGCAGCAGGACCAGAGGAAGAGCACTTCGGCCACAATATTTGGTCCAGGAACACACACAACTGCTAATTTGTGCTAAGCCATGGGTTTGGCTTAGTGTTGTAATGTGTGAACTCCATCGGTGTCCTGGAGTCACAAAATTTTTCATCATCGGTAATGCTTGGAAACGTCATAGCACTTTCAAAACCATCAACCAGAGTAAACTTCTCAATTGAGGTCCTGAGCTGCTGGTAGAGGTGGCAAAGAACTAGAGGTGGGTTAACAAGTATAAACATCACAAAATGACAGTACTGTAATGGCTTCCACACAAGGGGCACATGCGTGGAACGACCAACTTTTGATGCTGAAGAACAAATCAAACCAAGCACTATATGAAAAGGCCACTAGGTGTCAGCTTTCCAAAAGGAGCATTGATTTTTGATGCCGGTCAAAAACTTCAGCGTCCCAGATTCCTAAATCCCTTAAATGGCATTAGCTTAAAATAACCTGACCCTTCGCATTGGTTGATCTGCAACAGAAGATGCTGAATTCCATTGGTAGACACACAAGCCAAAAATGCAAGTGATTAAATATTGGAGTTTTAACGTTTCCTTAAAGATTACTCCAAACCCACATGACACAAAAACAGCAAGACAGGAAACTGCTTTCACGTTCCGCAAAGACTGTGCCAGGAATCCTCAATGAACAGTCCTCACACACTAAGATGCTTGTGTGCTTCTATGCTGGCAAGAGATTCATGCAATAATACACACCATGGTACCACTTAGGCATCTTCTAACCATGTTAGTTTGTTTGCAGCACAAACAGCAGAAGAGCCCATTGGCATCTTGAAGGCTAACTCATTTTATTATGGCATTATGTATTGTGATGAAGCTTCATGCTGTAATAAAACTGCCGTAATTAAACTTTTACTGCTACAGGAAATTGTGGTGTCTAGGTCTGCGGTCTACAGGCACATGCTTCAGCTGTGAGCCAGTAAATATGTTTTCCTTTAGATTTACCCCTGAAAAACAAACTCCGCTATCCCTCCTAGATGCTTTTCTTTTTATATACTCATGTGTGTAGTTTAGGTTTGATAAAACAAATTATCATCGTTAAAAAAAATCTCCTGGTTGGTGTGATGGTAATCTCAGATCTTTTTCTGGATGAGCCGTTCCTTTAAAAACTCTTGTATATGATAAAAATCCATCACTTGTCTGCCACAGTTAAGTATAGCACTGAGATCCATGACTTGCTGAGGCAGAGATCTTAAAATAATAATAATAATCTGCTTGAACAATCCAAGTCATATCAACTGTTTCTGAAACCCCTCTGTTTCAGAATAGGTTGGTCATGAGACACTGTGGGCCGTCGTGAATTTGCTTTTAAAAGATAGACTCGTACCTGCTGTGACTACAGTGAAGGTTTACAAGCATCCAGTGAAGGTAGTTTTTCATATGTGGAACTGACCTCACATGCAAGGTCAACCCATTATTAATTATTTCCCAAGAATAAATTAAGAGTTAATACACTTGGCAATTATACACTCTGCTGGTTCTTTGGATTAACTATGTCTCATTCCTTTCCCAGAAGAACTTAGCATAGTCCAATGAGCATTTGATTTGTTCTAGCTAGATCGATACGTGCAGGGGTATTTTCAGGCCAAAGCATGCCAAATATATGGTGCCAACGCAAGAGCTATACACATTTATTCTGAATGGAACGTATTATATTCAAAACTGAACATTTAGTGAGTCCTGATCACGATGTCACAAAACTGATCACTGAAAGGATATCCATCCATCTCAGAAAGGAAAGAATTAGGGAAAAGAGGAAATAATAATAATAATAAATAATAATAATATATTTATACCCCACCCATCTGGTTGGATTTCCCCAACCACTCTGGGCGGCTTCCAATAAAAGATTAAAAATACATTAAAACATCAGTCATTAAAAACTTCCCCAAAGAGGGATGCCTTCAGATGTCTTCTAAATGTCAGATAGTTTTTTATTTCTTTGTCATCTGATAGGAGGGCATTCCACTGGGTGGACGCCACTACTGAAAAGGCCCTGTGCCTGGTTCCCTGTAACTTCACTTCTCACAGTGAGGGAACCGCCAAAAGGCCCTTGGAGCTGGACCTCAGTGTCCGGGTTCAATGATGGGGGTGGAGATGCTCCTTCAGGTATACTGGGCTGAGGCCATTTAGGGCTTTAAAGGTTTAAAGGTTTAGGGCTTTAAACTCACATTTCAAACAGGTTTCCTTAAAATAAAATAAAAAGCCCAGTAATTTTTTTATAATGGGAATATAATAAAATAATCACTTGTTTAAAATATGCTCCTATTTCAACTTGAGTGTAAGCCTTTGCCTTGTATTTATGTACTTCATATAAAGTATTTTGTGTACTTTGTGTAAAGCCAGCTACAAACTGCAAGAATAAAAGAACTTAAAAGCATCTGACTTCAATTATTAAGTTTTTATTTTCAAAGTAAGATAGACACAAGCTTATTCCAGTTTTCTTCACTACCCATGTAGAGAAGTTTATTTTCAAAAATTGTATGTTGTTACTCACACCACACTTTCATAATAAGAGATTTGCTTACTGCAGAGATGAGAACTGGAAAGTCTAATTTTCTAAAGAAGCAGACTCAGGCACAGTCAACCTGACCAACGTACCTGTCTAAACTATGAGTACTTTCAGCAACAGGCTTGTTATGGGAAACTACTGTGTAATAAGAGGTTTCCCAGCCTTTCCTTGCCAAGTTGCTACCACATTTTTAATGATTCAGGTCTGGGGAAAACACCTTCTCCCCTACCTGAAAGGGGGTAGGCATTGTTCCCCTGTGGAGCTTTCTCATCCTACACATGCAGAATCTATTCAAGGCCCATGTCCCTCATTTCTATGCTCTTAGTTTCTTGCACTCTCTTATACATGTAGCTGATTGCAGATGTTAATAAAAAGTATCATCAACTCTGATTCCCCCCCCCCCAATTTGATCTGGGTTTGGTTTGTTCACATTAAAGCACGTATTGAGAAGACCCCTGCCTACCTCTTTGCTAGCCACCTTTGTCCACACCTAAACAAAGACACCCCCCACCCTTCACACCTCCCCATCCCTTCGCAGTTTGCTCCAAGCACCTCCCCTCACAGATCACAACAACCCCCACCCCCTTTTAAAGGAGAGCAGAGGTGCTTCCCAGAGTAGCTTCTGTAAAGTGATACTCCACTCAATTAAACAGCTCACCTAGGCAACCTGCCACCAGCACTAATTGCCTGCTCACCTGCGTGTCGTTCACCATGCAGGAGTTGGCATGGCTGCCTGTTGACAGCCATATGAACTGCAGCATGGCAACAGTCTTACATATATGCGTGTCTGTCTGTGTGTGTAAAAATGATTATCTAAAAGTACTGTAACGTAAGATGCTGAAATCTAAAAGTAGCATAAGATGAAGATCAAGATCAGTACCATACTCACATGTAGCTTGTTGAGCAATACAGCGTCAGTTGTGCTGTTAGCTCCTGGCTTAGCAGCTTTCCAGAACTGCTTCTGTGCAGAATAGCGATTCATGGGACATAACTTAAAGAGGCAATCTACAAAGAGACATAAGAAATAGCCATAGTTTAGCCATAGTTACATGATATTAGTTTTATCAACTATTATTAGTTTTAATACCGTACACTAATTTTAAATATTTGGGAGACATTTGGGAGAATTTTTTTTTTTTTTTTTTAAGGAAAACAAAGCCATTGTATAAAACAGAAGAATTCATCATTCCATGATTTATGATAAACAGCAGAATGGTGGTATTTGACTTCAAATCTACAAAGCACAAATAGTATGTTGATTTCTATACAATGAAGGACGTGATAAAAGAATTTGTGCTTTCCAGGTTTAATTCTCTTTAGCTCTAGTACACAGATCTAGATTTGGCCATCTAGATATGGCTTGATTTTTATTTTCATTTTTTGAAAAGATAAATTGATGATTCATATAATATTTTTTGAAAACTCAGAGGCAGGCTGTGACATTTATAATTCTGGAATCAAACTTTTATGTCCTACTCTTATATGGAACTGAAATAGGGGACTTTAAAGTAGCTTGAGGAGATTGCTGCATCAGTACAACCATTTCTGTTTGTCTGATGGAATGATCTCCCTTTTTCTTGCCCCACATGTCGATCTGTGGGTTCCCCCCCCAGAGCCTATCAGGTGGGCAAGAAGGGAGGAGAAGGGGGCCAAGCCCTATTGCACTAGCAGAACTTGACAAACTGGCTACCACTAGGCACAACTATTTAATTTTACCCACCCTTTTGACCGTACAACTAATGCAATTTTGTTTTCAGAATAAGATCTGGCAGGTCTATTTTACGAGCACCTAACCTAAGGGAAATTCCCTCAATTCTTGTTGAGGGCTGAAACTAGGATATTACCTAGCAGAAATGAAAGTTCATACACAGTAGAATTTTGACTTTCAAGACTTAATCTAAGCAAGCAGATGCAATCTTTTTCTGACTCAAATGTTTGATTTCACAAAGTTGCTCATATGGTTCAGCTATATGTGTCTTCTACGTACTGTTTTCAGGAAATGTAGCCACTGAACACAAACTGGAATCCAAACGCAAATACATTATTTTTGGGCAGAGATTTTGTTTACTGGCAGGATTAAAAGCACCCCGATATGCAATAATTAATTCCACCTATTAATAGCCCTATCAGATTTCATGCCAAGGAGTGTTCCAAGCCTTCTGCATTTTCAGTGAGTTTCCTCCACATTTTCAGACAAATAAAGGATATACATGCCTATGATTCTATGTGTTGTTTAAGTTATGGCATCATACTTGTAGAAGTACACTGTTCCCTACAATTCCACTGTAGCCTTCTTCAGGAGGTATGGAAATGGGGAAGTTACCATGTGATGGGGATGAAGCAGGGTTATAAGCATGCTAGATCCAGCTTCCTGGGTCTGTGGCTTTCCAATAGTTATAAGGCCTCCGTGAATACATCTTGTAAAATCCAGATTGCGAAATGTGTAAGGAATCCTCGTGGATACAAAAAAATGTCCACTGCAAAGGTCACATTCTAAACCATGGAAGGCAACTAAAATGGGGACAGAGGGTGGCTCTGATATGTTATCAGATATCTGATATCCCTCACCTGATATGTTTTCTATTTCCATGATTCCTGTGGAGAGATTGGGTTATATCTCATAAAATGCAATGAATAAGCTACAGAAAGAATAATCTATCTTGGTCAGTGAAAACAATGACAGGAGTCGAAACTATGGAAACTTTTGCCTTGGCAGCTGTGAAACAATGGCAAACCTCTTGTGGCTTGAATGAAGATGATGGAAGCTTTTATTTTATTTTAAAAAAAAAAACCACACCAAAAATAGCTTCCTTCTTTACGAGCAAATTGCTGTGTACATTTTAACGTTGTTGTTTATGCTTTGGTTCCATGATCACTTAGATTTACTTATTGTTTAAGTGGTTCCTTTGGTCTGACATTTTCTTGTTGCAGCTTACAGCTAAAACAGCTTATGGCTAAAACTAACAAAATCTAGTCAAGCAAGAAATGCTTTTTCAAACACCAAAATAATTGCATTTTGAAGCAATGTATTTAAATAGGATAAATGGACCTAAACAGGAATTATGGGCCAAATCTACTTATGCCAACAGACAAATACTAAAAAGGTTGTAATAGTTGTTTGCTCGCAGAGATTTATACAAGTTGCAATACTCTCTTCTACAACTGGCTTAACATTCCACCATAGAATGTGTGAGCGCCACTAATGTGCAAAGTTTCATCTCTATATCCAAAATAAAGATTACTTTGCCATCCCTCACAGCAGTACCAATCTTCCAAGCAACTATAATTTAAAGGACCCATGACTATGCCATCAGGCTTTTCAAGCTGAGAGAGAAAGGCAACTGTAGACAGGTTCTGGACATATGACTTCCTTCTGTTTTGCCATAAGCACCAGTGAGCAAGCACGTGACATTTAACCATTTATGCAGGCAGTGGCAACATGGCAAGAAGAACAGAGATAAGTAGCAAAACAGGTAAGTGACCTTCTAAGGGCTGCTTATGGAGTTTAGGTTGTCAATCACTGACTGCTGCTTGTATTTGTAGCATGAAGCAAATATATTAATGTATTGTAAGTTTCAGCAGTGAGGGTTTTTAAATAGAACGTGTTTTAGCAAGTTCAAGATGCTATTTCCACCAACAACTTGGGAAGCCACAATTAGATATAACTGCTTGGGAAAGGGGGAGAGAAAAGGAAAAGAGATTCTCCCTAGATCAGAACAAATTTCCCCCTCATCAGTTGCTAAGCAACAGATAATGCAAAAATTAAATCAAGCTCTTTCAGAATTGAGTGCTCCAAGTAACCATTAGAACTTCTAGCTGCCAGAAAAGTGAAAAATAGAACAGCTGTTCCAAGTGCCTCTTTGCAATTATGCAGAAATAAAACTTTAGGCTGTTCATTATGTAATGCAATAGACAATGCAATGTTATATGCAGTTGCATAATCAACTTCAAAATATGGCTTAATATCCTGGTTTGTCCTAGAGCAGTTAACCATAGTCCCCCAGTTCGGACAAAACAGGAAACGATGGTTAATTAAGAAATTTAATCACAGCTTCCATGGCAGAGCTCTGTGCATGAGTAAAAGGCCTGTGCATTGTTTCAGCTTAATAAGCAGATATAGGATCATCTGAAGCCTCTTACTAAATTAAGGGGGAAACTTACTTCAAGGGATCTTAGTATCCCACATCAAGTTACTGAAAAAGACAAGAAATGAGCCAATCTAACCTATTATTCTATTCTGCAGGTAGTCAGTCCCAATACTCTTCAGTAGAAAAAATACATTGATGGCTCAAGGCTCAAATCATTTGGACCTGGAACAAGAAGTCACCTGGATCTTATCACTGAAAGTTATTTACTATCCTACCCATGGACTGCAAGAAGATCAAACGTATCCATTCTTAAGGAAATCAGCCCTGAGTGCTCACTGGAAGGACAGATCGTGAAGCTGAGGCTCCAATACTTTGGCCACCTCATGAGAAGAGAAGACTCCTTGGAAAAGACCCTGATGTTGGGAAAGATGGAGGGCACAAGGAGAAGGGGATGACAGAGGACGAGATGGTTGGACAGTGTTCTTGAAGCTACAAACATGAGTCTGACCAAACTGCGGGAGGCAGTGGAAAACAGGAGTGCCTGGCGTGCTCTGGTCCATGGGGTCACAAAGAGTTGGACACGACTAAACAAACAAAAACACCCGCACAATTACAATCCTAAACTCATTTCAGAAAGAGTCCTGGCAAAATGAGAACAGGAAATCTTGGAAGCCACAGCTAAATAGTTTGACCCCTAGCAGATCTGCAGGGTTTTAGATACAGATATCTCCAAACATAATCCTGCCATTGGAAAATGAAAATACTTCAGTCCTAGGGGCCAGAGGAGGAAGTAAGAAGCATGCATCCAGGCAACAGCCTAGTGAGAACTGGATATGGGGGTGGGGTGCAGTATGGAACAGGGAATAGAAGGATGTACATTGTATTTTAGGTAAACCACCTTGAGATACTTCCAGATCAAAAGAAAGAGCAGAAAAGAAGAATAGAATTTTCCATTTTATTGACCATGAACACAACAACAACCCCTTCCCAATTCCATAAATCAAAACAAAAACAAAGCAAGAATATTTGACTTTAAAAAGAAGGAAATAGAAAGGGGTTACGCTTTCAAGCTGAGTTTTTCCCCAGACACTAATGTTTCGAATTTACATCCAAATGATTTGCAGAGATTGACAGCTGTGACTAACACAGAAGGTGCACTTCAGGCTGGTATTTTTGTATTGCAAATTGTAATCAACGTGCCAGCCACAAAGAATCTTCATTTCTACCTGAGAGAGAAATGTATTCATTTGCCATTAGCAATCAGCAAATGGTACTTCCAGGAATGTAATAATGCAGCAACTTGGAGAATCAGGGGACAAAAATATTTCCTAACCAACTGGAATGTATTTAAGTCTGCACAGATTTTAGACCAAGCTAAGGTGGTCCTCCAGAAGTTGACTGACTCGAATTCCCATCCGTTTCAGCCAGAATGCCAAAGGTCAGAAATTATGGGAGTTGTAGTCTTGCAACATCTGGAGATCCACATATTTCTGGAGTAGAACTTCTGGGTAATGGGTTGGGCCCAGAACATGCAAGTGTGACCAAGTCAGCTATTGCCTCCACCTGCCTACTCATCCTCTCTCCAAGTTGCACAGTAGAGAGAATATCATGCTTTCTTGCCCTTTCCCCACCACTTTGAGCAGCATCAAGGGAGGGAGACACCACCCATTCCTATTGCTCACACGTTCCAAGGGAGGGAAACTCTACTGGGCACAGTTTTAAAAAGCCACAATTCCATAATGAAACAGGTAATGCAGTGTGTAACGGACTTTAGAAGCAAGGAGAGAAGTGCTAGCATTATAAGAAGGAAAACTAACACAACAATCTCTCTGTCTGAATGCTCTCAGGGAAAAAAGAGGTGGGTTCTGTGATAGTGTTGCAACTTTTCCCCCAGTTTGCTAACCTGACACCTGGTTTCCCATGTTTTAAGCACCAGACTATATTTAACTGATTTAACTGATATTTGACTGTAAAACGACAGCACCACCTGGATGTACTTTTCAGTTATTGTTTTTAGTGTGTGTGTGTGTGTGTGTGTGTGTGTGTGTGTGTGTAGCAGCTTAACTTGTGCTTCATTCACCTCAGGCTCGCCATTTAAAAAGTTACAGCATTGAAAGAGACATGTTGATACCTCATAGCTTATCAGTGGATGCCATACAAAGAATAAATATAACATACAGAAAACAAAACCATGCATTTAAATTACCAGAAGGATGTGAAGAAACAGTTGCAATGTGAGAGGATATTTATAACAAAACCCTGTTGTTACATTTTAACACTGGTAAAGAGTGAACTGTATGAAGAGATAAACTGTCAGTTGATTTCTGACTAAAGCCAGGAAGAGATGCAATGCATAGGGGTTCAGCTGGCAGTTTTCCAAGAAACAGCTAGGCTGTTGGTTTGTGGTGTTTTTTATAAGGTCTTTACATACTTGGAAGGTTTTCTGTGATGGCAATTAACACCAGAACTTGGCTTTTATACAAGAAAGGAGAGTTGGGAAAGGGTCAGATTATGATAGTGGAGATTCTATTTAAAAAAATAAAATAAATCATCAGTCCTTAGTTGCTGCAGATTCACAATTCCAAGGAGAACCTAATGACTGGCCAGAGGGATCTGACTGGAAATGCCATAACGGCAAGCAGAGCGCTGTTTGAGAGGGAAGGGGGCTAGTCAATAAGCGCCGAGGCAGAAGCTGAGAAGCCAGAAAGGACAGGAAGCCTCCAGAGACAGTTTTCTAGGATAGCCTCTGACCAGAGCTGCAGTCGCCAACAGCTGGCCCCAGGAAGACTTCAGAGGAGGCAACTGCAATATTTTCCTGGGATCTTCAAGTTACCTGACCAGAAGGAAGACTTCAGGGGAAAGCTGAAGGGAGCCTTTCAGAGGAATAGAGGCAGCCTCAAGGAGATTGAATCTAGTGTGAGTGATGAGCCAGTCTTGGGCTCCCGGGAGTGTGTCCACTCAGCCCCAACTTTTGCCACGCCCATGCCCACTTGCAGCCCTATCCAGGTAAATTGTAGTACTGTAGCAGCAGTATTGGCAGTAAGCAACACTGTCAGGGAAGTCTAATATTGTACAAAAGGTACAATATTAGAAACGTTTTATTAAATACGATGACCCTTGAACAGATGGAACAAGCCACTTCCAGAAACTCTAGAATTTCCTTTCAAACACACTTAAGAGAGGGCTGGGCAAGCATCTCTCAGAGGCCAACACAGCTCTAAATGCACTTATATTCCGTTTACTTATTTCCCACAATAATATAAAGTTAATGCTATAAATATTAAAAAATGTATGTGAGCAAAAAGGAGGAAATAAATACACAAATAAATGATCAAATGGGCTAAAACACGTTAAATTAATGTTTGAAATGCTAAATTTGTTTACAATATAAAATAAGGATTAACATTTACTTGTGCTTTATTGCACCAATGCATGATAAAATAAAACCCTCAATTTTTTAATGAATAAATTATCTGGTTCTTTAGCCTCACTCACACTTATAACGTTAGTCAACTTATGGGTGCTGGCTAATTAAAAAATATATTTATAATCCATTATTTCAATGTAAAATGCTCCATTAATTTTAACAGGATTGCATGTGGATATCTCTGCAATGAATTGTGGTTACTGTCTCCAGCTGGATTAGACTACTGTATTTTTCCATGTATAAGACGCCCCCTATTTTTTTTTAACTCTAAATTAAGAAATCAATATTTTAAACACATGAGATTGCCCAAACTTGTTGACCTTTTTTTTTAGGAAATTCACACCCAAATGTGCTGCCGCTGAGGGAGGGAGGCAAGGCAGGGCAGATGGGTGAGTGATAGCTAGCGACAGGGAGAAGGATTCAGAGCCAAGCAAGGCATGAAGATGGCGGACACCACTCAGAAGTAGAATGGGCAGGTGAAGTGCTGGAATGTATTTTTCTGTGTATAAGATGACCCCTGTGTATAAGACGGCCCCCTATTTTGGACTAAAAAAAATAAGCAAAAAAATCCACCTCTTATACATGGAAAAATATGGTACCTGCAAAGTGACTTCTTTTTTTTTAAGGCATGTGGAGAAAGACATTTAGAAGCAAAATTGCATTTTCATATCAGTCACACATGCTTTTCACAATATATATTTAAGTATGCAGGTCATATATTAAGCGCCTATGAAATACCAATCCACCTGTTCTCATTCCACGATAGTAATTTATAATAATAGGAATTCAGGTTGATTCTAAGTTCACAGCTCCTTTCAAATAATAATAAAAAAAACATTTGCAAGTCTGAGGTCACCAGTCACACTAGCTATTATTTCAAGAAATTTAAGTTTTATATTCTTCAAAATTATTGGAAATAGAATCATTAAAAGGAGAACAGTGAATGGCAGGCAGGAGATTGCAGTGTGGATATATGCTAACATCCTGCCCCATCCTTATGACAGAAACAAAATCTCTGTCTGTCTCTGTGTATATCAATATTAGACAGAGATACCATGAAAATCCCTATGGAAGAAACAATATTTTCTGGCAACAGAATCTCAAGCATATCTGGTCTAGCAACAAACAGCACTCTATAGTTCTACTAAGGGATTCATATTCAAAGACTTCCCTGGTCCGACTGCCACAATTTCCAATTGATTCCATGCATGCTTTAATAAATGGGTAGCTCTTTAAAAAGCTTCAGATAATGCAAATCTGAAGAAAGCAGGGAAAGTGTCATTTGGTTTGCCTGTAAGTAGTTGATTTTTTTAGAAAACAGTGGGAGGCCAAGCCAGGCCAAGCCAGGGACAATAGTTTAGTCTCTTTCCCTCACGAACCCAAACTCATAACCCTAACCCCTCAAATACTAGCTTATTTGCTTTTTTTAAAAAGGCTATTCAATGACAAAGCTATGTGACAAATGCCATATCTACTTTTGTCCTAAATTTTCATTCCTAGATTGGCATGGGACAGGGAAAATAACTGATAAATGGAGAAGGTGGCCACAACGTTGCTGCTCCTTATTTGCTTTCAGTAGTAGTGTGAAACTTTGCATTAAAAATGCAGACAGCCACAAAAGGCTCAACAAGAACTGTAATTCTTGCAAGGTATTTTATATTCAGGTACAGTTAACCAAGTACAAAATATGCATAACGTTGTCAGTGGCAAAGGGTATGCAAATTTCAATTGTGACTTTCCCCCTTTTTGAAGGAAGATTTAGGCTGTGTAGAAACTTCTGAGCAGAAACAGGAAAGCCACATTTGAAACAAATGCACCATATTCAGCAATCTCTTGACTATCATATATCAGTTGGTGACAGAACAGTGGGAATACCCAAACTCTTCCTTCCCAGCTAGAGAAAGGACAGTAGCTTTGAATCCCCGTTACCAGAATTAGAGCTGCCCCAAATATTCTCCATTTTGTTCTCAGTCAGAAGCTAGCAAACTAGGTGGAGCAGCTATTGTCCCGTCCCCTGCCAAAGAAAAATCCAGTTTATGCGAATATCTACCCTACCCCCCCCATCCAATCCTGTTTGGCACCATTATTCTCTCTGATGGCTGCTGTTTCCTCTTTCTGCAGCTCTCCCAAAGAAGGATCATGCAGCAAACCCAATGCACTGCACTGCACACACAATCAGATTTGGCTACGTGACAATGTTAGGGGGGCCCTTGAGGATGTTTGAGAGAAAGGAGGCAAGTGAGGTCAATGTAAATGAATAAGTGAATGTTTTCAGAAGTTCCGGGGGGGGGGGGCATTTTGGGAACTCCTAGAAACAGTTTGCGAAAAAAACAGAGCCTAGCTGATGCACTCTACTTGTAGAATATCAGATTCTTATTTTCTTATTTTTTTAATGCAATCTAGTATTTGGCCCAAGAGATAACTGAGTGAAATGGAGAAAAGTTGGAGATGGGTAAAGCAAACTGGGATTTCAATAATAATAATAATAATAATAATAATAATAATAATGTGGTATTTCTTTGCTCTGTATTTTCATATTTAGCAGCAAGGTAAATAGTACCTGGGACGTGGGTGGTGCTGTGGTCTAAACCACTGAGCCTCTTGGGCTTGCCGATTGGAAGGTCGGCGGTTCAAATCCCCGCAACGGGGTGAGCTCCCGTCGCTCAGTCCCTGCTCCTGCCAACCTAGCAGTTCAAAAGCACATCAAAGTGCAAGTAGATAAATAGGTACCACTCCGGCAGGAAGGTAAACAGCGTTTCCATGCGCTGCTCTGGTTTTGCCAGAAGTGGCTTAGTCATGCTGGCTATTTGACCCGGAAAAACTGTCTGCAGACAAACGTCGGCTCCCTCGGCCAGTAAAGCGAGATGAGCACCGAAACCCCAGAGTCGTCTGCGACTGGACTTAACTGTCAGGTGTCCTTTACTTTAAATAGTACCTAGCTGCATGTAATGTTCTCTAACACTCACCAGACAGATAGTTAGAAAGGGCTTGGGGAGTCTCAGAAAGCAAAGCAAGTTATAGAGGAGATAACTACGTTTTAAAAGGACAGTGTTTGTCAAACTTCTATCGGCAGTCTTGATTGTGTGAGGTGACATGCACAATCCCCAACATTTAAGAGCTAGTTTGTATGATCAGCAGCTTCATGAATTTCTTGCCTAAAAATGCAAGAGTGTGTGTGTGTGTGTGTGTGTGTGAGAGAGAGAGAGAGAGAGAGAGAGAGAGAATGAAAGAAAGAAAGATCAGGCAAAACCTGTTGTTTCCCCACATCTACAAGAGATGAACAAAGCCCACTGGTCATTTTATAAAGCTGATAAAGTACATTGCCTAATATTAAGACTTAAACAGGATAAAAAAATACATCCCTGAAACTACTACTTAACTAGTCAGCTTTAAACTATCATTTTCAAAGCATACTTACTAATTTTTTGGTAGTACTACTTCCCTATTTTGTTAATGCAACTTCCCTATTTTGCTCAATAGTGCCCTTTTGCATATCTCTGAAATCTGTAGAATAACATGGCTCAAAGCTGCTTTTTGAATGTTGCACAGTTCCTGTTTAATTTTAGATGCTTTTAGGGAAAGACCCAACTGCTCAAGCTCAGAGGAATTCACCCTTCTCTTCCCTTCTTCCCGCCCTGCTGAGCCCTTCAAATCCTTAGTGGAGGCCCAAGACAGTCTACATTAAACAACTACAATCTTTTGGCAGAGGATCAAAAATTATTGTAACATAGCATGGAATTTCTCCATCAAGACATTTTTAGAGACGTGGCTTTGAAACTGTCTCCCACTTCTTCCGAAAAGAAACAGAGAAAGTTTCTCACTTGGCAACCCTCTTGTAATCTGAGATAAAAAGTCAACAAAACCTGAATCGCTCCAAATATTGAAAGATAAGTACCTGTTAAAAGGTACGACCCCCAAAGTTTTAAGTGCAATAAAGCCATGTGTGGCAAAATGAACATAGGCTTCAGCCTGATCCAGCATAGTGTTCTCCAACTAATATGTTCTCAGAATGGCCAATCAAGATGCCTCTGGGAAGTCTGCTAGACGGGCCTAACTGCAACATGGGAGTGGTCTAATTGTTCCCACACAGCCTCAACCTATCTTGGAATATAACGCTCACCTGTGACCACTGAAGCTTCTAAAATCTCTATAGCTCTAACTTCTCCTACGAATGTAAACAGAAAGAGACTTTGGGCAAGTTGGTAAGCAGCTCCGACTCAGGGCTCCATGATTGTCTCCAATGTACTACCTGTTCCATATTGGCGCTAGGGTCCTGGGGAAAGATGCCTGCAATGGGCCCCATCTCCAAGTGGGCTGCCTCCATGTCATTGCCCAAAAGGAGAGGGGCAAGGGAAGTGGAGGGTGTTGCTCTCTTTGGCCCATCACTACTTGCATGCTTGTGAAGGGCAGGGGGAGGAAGGAGCAACAATGATGGGAACCATGGAATTAGTAGCCAGCCCATAAATTCAGGAGTGTTGGCCTCCTCAGGTCCCCAAGACCCACCCTGCTCACCAATTCTCTTCTTCTGCCTTGGTCTGATCCAAGTCTTTGGTTCTTACCTGGACTGTTTGCCTACACGCGTCCTTAGTGTTCTCCTGACCCAGATATGCCTTATGCTTTAACATGCCCACAGCTTTCCCTTTCCAAAATTACAGAAGAGGCACAATATCGTCAACTCAGCTATTCCGGCACTTTTTAGAACACCGAAAGCCATTCTCAGAGGAATTGGCAGATATGGGTGCCCTGTATGAAGACATTGAACTAAGTGGACTTTTAATTCTCTCAAACGCTTAAAGATTCAATGACACAGATATAGACAGAACAACCTCCCACCAAGCCTATTTCCTATCCACAATAATCCAAGTTGATTAACACTGAAGATTTCCCTATTACTGAAAACAATCTCCTTAACTTTGGAGGAAGGGAAACGAAAGTGGAAAAATAGTCCCTAAACTAGCAGAACAGTTCCTTCCAGAAGCAACAAGGAGCAGAGCGTTACCAAATAAGGCAAGTGAAAGCTAAACGCCAGAAAGAAGCAGGCCTCATTGTGGGTATTTTTTATTTTTTATTTTTTGGTGGTGTGTGCTAAAGATCAGACAGCTGGATAATAGAAAATGCAACTATACCAGCATTACTAGAGTGGTTCTCAGATGGAAAGAACAAATGTTCAGAAACCATGAACGGAAGCAAGGTCTGCCAGAACAAGGGACCTAAAGGCATTTAAACCAGGCTTCAGAATGCTACCACATATTTTTAGACACAGAAGAACATCTTAAAGTCTAGAGTTAAACAGCCTATCCTGTCTTTTTCAGCAGGGTAGTTAAAGCTTAATATTTGCTTGTGCTGTTGTTGCTCATGAAATACAAGCAATCACTAGATAAACAACTGCAAGTTTAAAATGCAGAGTGCACCCCAGTATAATATACAGTACTCTACATTAGACACTTGTGTTTTTGTGGGGGTTTCCCCCCTTTTTTTTCTTTTAGTGCTTTAACACCTCTCTTCTAGGTGACTATCATTTCCACTGTAACACTTAAGCAAAAACCATACAAAACGTTCTAGACATAAGGGTATTCACACCTTGGAATGTAAATGCTGCAAAATAAATTCTGAGGAAAAATTTTAAAATGTTGAGGAGCATAGACAGCTTACTATGTGCTGTGTGAAGAAATACTTTCTTTTGTTTGTTCTACATCTTCCAACATTCAGCTTCATTGGCAGTCCCTGTGTTAACAGTAGTGCCCTGAGAAAGAACTATCTAAGATTGTCAATTAAGTTCAAGGCCACAGCAAAATTTTAACTAGGACTGCACACTTTGCCAGCTTTAAAACCTTTACTTCTTCAGAAACCACGTTCCTTTCAAAAGCTAAATTGATTTCTGCTTCGAACCTACACCAGGAGAACAATATGAAGTTATTCTCATTGCCTATTCATGGTTACAAAGCCCTAAATAGCACGGTCTTTCAAAATCCTACTTGCTGAACCACTTAAATATGAGGAGCATTCAAATTAAGAGAGCCTTATAAACCAGGATTTTAAAAAGACGTCCTATTTAATGGATGTGCGTTTACAGTAATGATACTGTGCTTCGATGTCTCACATCTTTTGAATGCCTTAAAAACAAAAGTGATTTCTGCATATCACTTTCAAGATATTAAGCTATATTTCAGTAAATAGGATAAGCCCTAAGAATATAAATGCATGGGTGGTAGCAAAAAGAGAGGAAGCGGCTAAGCTGGGGCAAAGAAATGAGAATGTGGTTAAAGTATGATTCAACATTAAGTTGTCCTCCAGCACAATCATTTAGTATATTGCTCTGGGAAGCTGCCTAAGACATTTGTCAACCAAGAGAAACAGAACCAGCAGTCAACTTGCATTTCCTGTTTGAGCAGCCAGTCAGTGGCTCAAGCTTCTCTCCACACATCTGGTGTTCCCACGGTTCCCCATTTAGACACTCGCCACTGAAACACTGCAAAAACATGAATCAAAGAACTGGGGCCTAATTTGAAGGTTCCCCAAAGAAAGCTTCTACAGTGTGAGCATCGTAGAAGACTTACAGTGCCTCTCACTTATGACAGGATTGATGCATGCTATTTTTAAACATAGGCTACATCACATGCTATACTAGGTGGGCAGAAGATATTGCAGAAGCACTTGGCAATGCTGAACATATTAACAGGTCTCTGAATAAAAGAGAGAGTCCTTTCCATCCACTAATGGTTCAATTTTCTACAAATATTCACACAACACTTTACCCATCATATTTTCAGGATATAAATAAAGCAGAGTGTAGAATTCACACTATATGACCATGCATGCTTCTAATTTAAAATATGACCATTTTACCCACTAGACAGCAACAGTGAATGAACAGGTGCTAATTTGCAAAAGACAAGAGGATTGCAATAGAGCAAGGTTAGACACATGGTATCCTCCAAATGTTGTGGACTAAAACTCCCATCCGCCCCGACCAGTGTGACAAGTAGTCAGGACTGATGGGAGTTGTAGTCCACAACATCTGGAGGGCACCAGGTTGGCTACCCCTGTGCTTGAGCATTAGAAGACAAAGAAGAAACATAAGAGTAGCTCTAGCTGCCTCCTGAAGGAATCAGTTGCTCAGTGTCCAAGAGGAAACATGGTGAGTCTTTCAGTAACAATAAACAGAAGTCCTGTGATAGAGGGTAAAATCAAGCAGGCATTTCAAAGTCAGTAGCAAAGATGTCCAGGGCCTCCCTGATCAGCTTTAACGGAAAGATCAAGCAGGCATTTCAAAGCCAGTAGCAAAGATGTCCAGGGCCTCCCTGATCAGCTTTAATGGAAAGAGTCTCAATTGTTGACACTCCAAGACTGATGGTGGAAATGCCTGCTCTAAAAATTAGATAATACTCCCAGAAAGTGTTGGCTGTTTGCAGTATGGTAGCACTGCAGAGAGCTTGCTGGGGAGACCATGCATTAAAAAGGGACTCAAAAATAACTTAAATAAGGTTTTAATTACAAAAACAAACTCCTTATACACTAAATACATCAACAAACAAACCAGACCCAACCACCAACCCATCCCCCAGGGAAATGGGAGAGCTAGGTGCTGCTCCTTATATACTACACCCAATTGCTGACACAGCTTAATCAATACAACTCAGCAGCACCTGCTATGTTTCACAGCTGTAAAGCTGGGTCTTGTTATTTTGCTCTGGCCCTTGCTCTGGCCCCTTAAAGACATACATAGCGGGTGGAACAGTGATGAACCTTTACATTTAAAGAAACCATTCAACATTTCCCCTGCGGTTCATCATTGTGGAACAAAAACATAAAGCATACTTTGTACATGTTTTTCATGTGTAACCTTTGGAAGTGCTTTAGTAAAAATGTCTGCAATTTGATTGTCACCTGGAACATATTTAAATACAAGCATTTCGTCAGCAATTAGTTTCTTTACAAATTGTAAACGTAACCTTAATACTCTAGTGCGCTGCGTATTGGTCTCTGAACATAGGATAGCAAGTCCACTCTGGGAATCAAGATAAACTCTTACTGGTAGTGTTACTTGCATCTGTAGGTCTGCAAATACTTGCAGATACCATTCTACATCACGAGTGGCCTGAACGCATGCACATAATTCACTCTCTGTTGTGGAGAGACAAATAATGGTTTGTGTCTGGGACTTCCATTCAAATGGACAGCCGTTATAACCAAACACCATACCAGACACACCCCTGCAATTATTTTGTTCCACTGCATGAGATGCATCGCAGAAAATTTCAAAACCTTTGTCAATACTTGATGTAAACTGCAACCTATAATGTTTGGTATGTTTAAGGTACATTACCACTCTCTTAAGAGCAGAGAAACATTGTGTAGTGGGCTTTTCCACAAATTTTGCCAGAAAGTGAAAGGCATAAGTTATATCTGGTCTTGAGATTCTTTGAATGAAATTTAGCTTGCCTATAGCAGAACGATACAAAGTTTTGTTAGGAAATGGCTTATCTTCACCTGTAAAGGTGAAACCACACACCATGGGCGTTTCCTTCCCATTTGCATTTTCTAAACGTAGCATTTCAACAAGATCATCAATTTTTGCAGTTTGATGAACCAGAAAAGATCCATTTTTGCCTTTTTCAATTTGCATGGATAAGTAATTTTTAGCTATGCCTAATTCCACCACATCAAATTTCTTCTGTAACTGTGATACTACCTGTTCATATTCCTGTTTAGTTTTTGTAGAAATTAACACGTCATCTACATACACACATATTTTTGTTACAGAGTTTGCCCTTTCCTTTATAAACACACAATTGTCTGCCTTTCCTTGTGAAAAACCAATATCCAGCAATTCTTTCGCTAAAGTTTGGTGCCAATTCCTTCCACTTTGGTGCAGACCATAAAGGGATTTATTTAATTTGCATACCAAACCTTCAGCGGCATCTATGCCTTCAGGAACACGCATAAAAATTTGTTCTTTTAAATCTGCAAACAAATATGCAGTTTTTATATCTAAATGATAAACAGAATGTCCACGTTGTGATGCATCTTTTAACAAAAGCTTAACTGTTTCATATTTTACACTTGGTGAATAACACAAATCATAACCTTCGCCTGCAATTTGTTGAAAACCCCTAGCAACTAATCTAGCCTTGTACCTTACAACTTCATTTTTGTCATTCATTTTAACTCTATAAACCCATTTTGAATCAATAAGTCTCATATCTGGGGTTTGTGGTACAAGAGACCAAGTGTTATGCTCTTTTAAAGAAGCTATCTCAGAGTTCATAGCTTTATACCAATTTACAGCTTGGTGTTTAGGTAAATTCTGAACATCATTGTAGCTTTTTGGCTCAAAAACCACCTTATTGGCATACACAGTATTAAAATGTTCATCTGCAAAACGTTGTGGCTTCTGCCTCTTTCTATCTGAACGTCTCAGTCCGGAAGGAGAGTCAGACTCCTCAGACTTAATGGGACTATGTAAACTACTAGTTCCAGGTTGTAAATCATCATTGTCAGACTGAAGAGATGCCTGTGGCCTAAGCTCATGGTCAAAAAACTCAAGAGAATCTAACCCCTCCCACCTCCTAATGATGGTGGGAGTGGCCCAACTAAATCACAATGTACACGTTCAAATGGCTCAGTTACTTTCCTATCTGAGCACCTACCCTTGCGTGCAACCTTAATCTTATTCTTGCAACAGGATAGACATTGCATAAAGAATTTACATGGTTTTAAGTTGAGGCCATTAACAATATTCTTTGTCTTAATTACATCAGCAAAATTCAGATGTCCTAGAAATCGGTGCGCCTCGTGGACACATCCAGAATGTGGCCTTACATTCCTCAACCCCTGGCTTGACTGTGCTGCTCTGCAGTTTATAGGCGATTGTGAGTAGGTGCGAAAATACAGTCTATATAAACCATCAGATTCCCGGGCATACAATAGACGTTTGTTCCCATCGAAAAACTCACACATTGACTTTAAGAAACGCACAGTTATGCCTTGACGAGCAAAGCACCTTACTGATAATAAATTGTCCACTGATGGGCAGTAAATGCAGTTTGCTATTGTAATGTTTAAAGAGTCAAGTTTAACAGTACCCCTGCCAAGCGACTGCAAGACTTGTGAATTGGCTAAATGTACATTACCAATTTCCTCTTCGAAAGAAATAAACAAGCTTCGATCGTTGCAAACGTGCTGAGATGCTCCTGAGTCCACAATAAAAGAATTCCACTTGGCACCTTTAATTCTTTTACGATCTCTTGCGCTAACGTGAAAAGCTCGCGGCTCGTTTCTGTCTTTACGGTATGATGTCGGCTGCTGAGCTGACGACCGTGACTGACGAACAGAAACAGTCTTGGGAGTTCTTTGCTTTCTTTTGGCTCTGCAGTCCATTGCAAAATGTCCTTGCTTATTGCAGAACCAACAACGCTTTGCAGCTTTAAATGCAGTTGTATCACCACAAGTTTGTATATGGTGTTCCTCATTCTTTCTGGAAATAGGAGTGCTTATGGCACAAGCCTCCCTTCTATCCAGCTCGCCCATTAATCTTGCCGTTACCCCTTCCACAGTTAATTGTGCTGGTGGAACGGCAGATATCTGGCTAGCTATACCATCAAAGTCCTCATTAAGAGAACAAAGAATGATAAAAACATACTGAATATCAGGTATCTCCATGTCCCTTCGAATTAATTCGCAGCGTATTGCCTCCAGACGTCTTAAGTGTGCTGCCAAATCACCACCAGGCTGCAACTTCGTCTGGTACAGCTGCTTGAAAAACGTCAATGCAGACGCTGACTCTTTTCTAAAATGCACTGCTGCAAGACTGTCCCACATTTCTTTGGCAGTTTTCTTATTTCTTATATAGACTACTTGCTGGTCGCTGACTGCCAAATTAATTATCGCCCTGGCTTTTGCATCTCCTTTCGACCAAGCATTAGTTACAGGGTTAGGAGGGTCATCAGTTACATAGGTCCATACTTCTCTAGAGGTCAAAAGTGCCTCCACCCGAAAAGACCATAAACTATAGTTCTCATCTGTCAGCTGTGGGAAGACCAGAGCCTTCTCAGCTTCTGGAACCCGGTCAACCATTCTGGAACTCTTCCAGACCGACAAAACTACGCTAACAGGAGAAGGAGTTTTCAAACCTTTCTCAGAGTCCAAAAATATGCAGTCATCCACTCAGCAGCTGGGCCCATAACCAAAGATGTTGGCTGTTTGCAGTATGGTAGCGCTGCAGAGAGCTTGCTGGGGAGACCATGCATTAAAAAGGGACTCAAAAATAACTTAAATAAGGTTTTAATTACAAAACCAAAAACTCCTTATACACTAAATACATCAACAAACAAACATCACCCAACCACCAACTAATGTGTGATTTGAGAATGTTCCTAAATCCAGGTTCTCTCTGGGATGCCCAAGTGCAGGTAGTGTCCAGGAGCATGTTTCACCAACAAGTGGATTTGTAAATTATGCCCCTTCCTTTTTAAAAAAGAGAGGATTTTTATCATTATGGGGTGTGCCCTGGGAACCTCCTGACCAGACTAATATATTGCATGTGAGGCTGGCCTTTAAAACTGCCAAGAAGCTACAAAATGTGGCAATTAGACTGGTTTCAGGTGTGAGACACAGAGAACAAGATGCACAATTTAGCATGAACTTCACTGTTTGTCAGTTCCTTTGCAGGTTAATCTGAGGTGCTGCATCTTACAGTCTTCATAGACTGGGACCAGCATCCTCTTTCTTCTTGGTCTTTGAGACCTAGGATTTAAAATGTGCTGACAGTATTATTGGCAACACAGGTTGCTGATGATGGGGTGGAGGTGCAGAGCTTATCTTGAGCATTTTTTACTAGCTCGTATCGCAGAACATTTCCACTGCTGCAGAATAGTACCAGAATAAAAACAGGGATCTTGCAATGTACTTCTGCCTTCTATAGCTTGTCTCACTATGCACTATGCAAAGGACATTCAGGTGAAAAAATACAAGTCCAACCATTTTCATATGCAGAGCTGCAAGGCTTTGCACATCTATAGATTTCTGAATTCACCCCTGATACCATTGCCATGTTAGAACATCAAGGACACGAAGATAAAATCAATGCAGAATTCACTGCCTCTGAAGACTTTGCCTGAGCCTGTGCCTATTTCAAAAGCAGTATTAGGGCTACTTTTGAGTTACTGGGGCATTTTACTATTTTTAAAGTTACATTTTTGTTTCATTTTAGCCAAGTGGCTTTTATGCTTTTAGTACTATAGGTTATTGGTGGTTTGTTTGTTTGTTTGTTTGTTTGACAAACTGTTAGCCACCAGATGACATTAGGATAAAAGACTGAAAGATAATTCTGTATGTGTCTATTCAAAAGTAGAAATGAACAAATCTATGCATTTTGGTTTCTTTCAGTTTTAAAGTACTGTACAGTTTACCTCATTTTTTCCATTCTTCATTGAAATAAAGAAAAACCTGCATGAAAAATTATACTCATTCTCATGAACATTTTACAAGCCATTCCATCTATTATTTTTGCCTGCTATTTCCCCAGTACATACGGTTGGATGCTTTCTGTTGCTGGAGAACTGCATTACAATATCCAAAGTATCGCTGTGCAAAGAGCAAAATTGACAGGTTCGTATCAAAATGCAAACCAAGCAAACTTCTCCTTCATCCCACATTATTTTTATTATGTATTTTGTGGTTTTATATCTTTATTTTATTATGTGAACTGCCCTGAGACCCCCAGGTATAGGGCGGTATATACATTCAATAAATCATCATCATCTCCTCTACACAGAAGCAAGTCCTGCTGAATTCAACAGGGTTTCCTCTTGGGGGAAATGGGTAAAGAACTGCATCCTGAATAAGCTAAATTAACATGAAGTGTGTGATCAACGGAAAGGGCAGAAGGAGAACAGGAAACAGAAACTCTTGCACTGGCTGTTCCACCACTTGTTTTCCTGCTGTTAGTGTTTTAGAGAACTAACAAGGTCCTCCTACTTCAAAAGCAGTCCACCAGGACTGTATCAGCAGTGACATTTGATATCTCATTCTACACCGTACCCTGCCAATTTCTGTTCACTACCACAGAAGAAAACTGGCTCCCAATTAAAATGCCACCATCTGATATTAGGCCTCCCACGGAAAAGGTTTTCTTCCAGGCAAAAGAAAATCTCAAAATTTAAAGCCAGAAACTTGACTTATTACTGAAGCTGTTTGCAAAAATTAATTGACCCCTGAGCTTCAAGCACAAGTTTTAGCTTTTAATCCTCCCGTTTTAATCCTACGCCATTTAGCTAAAATCTGATTTCCTATCTAAAAACCTACATTTTCCTTAAAAGCAATGACATTGTCACTAGAGGCTCAGGTGGCCTCAATAGCTATGGATGCCTGTTTCCAGCTCCAGCTCCTTTTGAACAGAGATGACCTGGACATTGTACTCCGTGCTCTGGTAACTTCTAGACAGGATCATTACAATGCACTATGCAGGACTCCCCTCCAAAGACAACTCAGAAAATTCAACTGGTCAAAAATGCAGTGGCCAGATTCCATTCAGAATGCATACAGTCCCTGTGATAAAACAGCGGCACTGGCTGCCAGTTCATTTCCAGCTGTCGCACACTGGGTCAACATCTTCATTGAGCTATCACTATGATCCTGGGGTCTTTTTGTGGTCTGTCAGCACCAATTCATATCTCATTAGCATATGGGTTTTTTTAAAAAAAACATTTAATATCCTGGTTTCAGAAATATTACGCACATTCATATTATATCATCTTAATATACTATGTTTTGCTATGTTTTTATATACAGTATACTGTAAGACGCCCAGAGTGGCTGGGGAAACCCACCCAGATGGGCAGGGTATAAATATATGATTATGATTAGCATCATCAGCATCATCATACATTCTCTCTCAGGGATACAAAGTTTAGCCCTAAAGCTACTTCATCCTTGCAAAGCACACAATTCCCCCAAATGGCAATTCAAATCTCTGGTTTTAATTGGCTGCTGCTGACCAATTGCACTCTATTCCCTTTTGCCTATTACCTGATCCTCCTTTGCCTCCTTTTAGCATCACAGCCTCTGTCCTTTCCTACTTTGCCCTTAACTTTTCTGAAGACCAACTCATGTACCAAGGCAATATAGAGAAGGACAAACCCATTTCATCTGCTAGTTGGAGCAAACCTATGCCAAAGTGAGGGTTATTTAAGGTAAGTCTAGCCTGGCTATACATGAAGAACTGCTGCCAAAGATCTATTAAGTACCACTGTTGAGAGCCAGTGTGACGTACTGAGTAAAGCGTTGAACACGGGCAAAAGAGACCCGGGTTCAAAACTCCACTCAGCCATGAAACTCATCGAGTGACACTGGGCCAGCCACTACCTCCCAGTCTAACCAATCTTCTGTTAATACAGTACAGTGGACAAAATCCATCAGCCCCTTGGAAGAATAAAAACATGCTATTAAACTCAAGCTAGTCTATATTTTCTGTCTAAAGTTTTTTTGGCTTAAAAGATTGTACTGCTTAATAGAAGAATTCTGTCTTCTGATGGAGGACAGAATGTTACTTTGTCCATGCTTAAGATGCTAATCATGCATCCATCACCTGCTGAAGAAAAATATATCTCTATTGCCAGGTACAGTACTGGCAGTTAAAATACATCTTTAGCTCACGTTGAAAGGCAGGGGGTACAAAGAGAAGCTGCCAAAACTCAAAGTGAAAAAGGACAAGGATTCAATCCAGTTACGCACCCTATTTTACAGAACAATCAGCTAAATAGTTTCAGTCAAGGTCTCAGCTTTCAAAATATGTAGGAGAAATCTTGGGGGGTCGCATATATTAATGGAGCTTTAGGTCTTCCATGAAGAAGAAGAAGAAGAAGAAGAAGAAGAAGAAGAAGAAGAAGAAGAGGAGGAGGAGGAAGAGGAGTTTGGATTTGATATCCCGCTTTATCACTACCCAAAGGAGTCTCAAAGCGGCTAACATTCTCCTTTCCCTTCCTCCCCCACAACAAACACTCTGTGAGGTGAGTGGGGCTGAGAAACCTCAAAGAAGTGTGACTACCCCAAGGTCACCCAGCAGCTGCATGTGGAAGAGCGGAGACGTGAATCCGGTTCCCCAGATTAAGAGTCTATCGCTCTTAACCGCTACACCACACTGGCTCTGGTACCACATGAAGGTACCAGAAGTCATAAATCTATCCTGCAAGGCAATATTGCTCGATCCAAAAACGAAACAAAAATCAGTGATAGATCTGATTTTGATTGGGTAACAATTTTCTAATAAATAAATGCAGGCAAACAGTTGCAGCATGCGAGGCTCCCACAAATCTACTAGATAAGTCAACAGCAACATTTGCCTTCCCCTCACTCCAGCAGCTACTCCTGTCCCACAGCCCAAGCAGAAAGATTTGCTCTGCAAACTCTCCATTACAGTGGTACCTCGGGTTAAGTACTTAATTCGTTCCGGAGGTCCGTTCTCAACCTGAAACTGTTCTTAACCTGAAGCACCACTTTAGCTAATGGGGCCTCCTGCTGCCGCCGCACCGCTGGAGCCCGATTTCTATTCTTATCCTGAAGCACTATTTCTGGGTTAGCCGAGTGTGTAACCTGAAGCCTATGTAACCTGAAGTGTATGTAACCCGAGGTACCACTGTACTTGCAGAGAACTTGGGAGAAATAGATTTTGCTCTCCATTCAGTAGAAGCCCAACGTGAAACCTAAGGAAACACCTCTCCCTTCCCTTAAGGTCTTGGCACATGCCACAACACTCGGGGGGGGGGTGGCAATTAAGAGCCAACACAAAAGCCAAGCCAAAGATACATGGCCCTTTGTTCATAGAACTATGGAGCCACTGGTTTCTATTTATGAACTCTCATAATTTCAGAGAACTGACTCGAATTTGCAACAATTGCTTTATCAAATGTTTCTCCGCTGGATGAACAGTTTTGCTTATTTAACACATAGCAGTAACTCCTCGCAGCAGAGAAAAGAGAAAACAGCCTCAATAAATTGCTTTGTGTCGGTTACTGCAGTCAACATGCAATGCAAGGAGCTTTGGCATCTAAAATCAGAGGCGAGTGAAGCAACCGTCAGGACATGCCCAAGTGTTGGCAAGTAAAAACCACCACTGGGCCACTTGATGATGCACTATATTCCTTAACTATTAAGGATGATTAAGTATGGTAAGTTCTGAAAGTTCTATTTTTCCCCAGGCTGAAATCCACCAGTAAGTCACAATAGATGGGGTCGCTCTGCAACCGAAGCATACCTAATGTTTGTATAAAAGCTGTTTATCTTTGAAGACACAACATTCGTTCTGTGGTTTGCTATGCTGTTAGTGAAAACTATAAATTCACCTCCAGAGCTTACGCACTGAATACAGGGAAAGTCTCCAGCACAGACGAACTGGACAGGCAGGTTTTCATAGCTTGCATAACAAAATGACTGAAACCAGCATACTCAAGGACAGAAGTCAAGGACTGGATGGTTTTGCTATACAGATATAATTACAGTTGCACAAGCAGGTGTACTGAAACTGTAGAGAGAAAGAGAAGACAAAGGGGAAAAGCAGAACAACATTGAAAGCAGGAAGTCAATGGCCTTTTAATCTGAGGGGAAGGTTATTGTTTTGTTCGTTGTTATAGTGTGTATTTTTGTATTTTTATATTGTAAACTGCCCTGCAATCATTAGATGAAGGGCAGTATAGAAAATTTAAAAATAAATAATTGTTGAATGCACCAGGTAGTGATGCCATTAGTTTCACTTAGTGTAATAATGTATTAAGTGGTGAGAGTATCAGGCCATGAATGCTTACTCACTGTAGTACAGAGGTGGGATCATAAAGAGAACAGAATTGCAGAGCCTGCCATCATTTGCACTGTACTTGTACAAATTGATAAAACTTATCACACATACATGCATTCCTTCCCCATATTTTGTTCACGGTTTCCCCCTTTCCTAAGAAAAGGAAATATACTAAAACATTTGGATATATTGTTGTAAAAGCTGAACATATATGCATTATGAATGCGGATAGCAAGGATGCAATCCAGTCATACTTTGTATGAATTCATATTTCAGGAACTAACAGTCCTACTAGGAACAGGATATGCATACACATATATGGAAGGATTACTTGCCTTAATGATTTTCAAACAGCCCTGTCTCCTCTTTCAAAAGTGCTTATTTGAGAGAGGAAAGGAAATATTGCTTTTTAAAAATAAAACAAAGCTAAGTAAGTGTAGTGTTATGTTGTCTGCCATAAGTATGCTGAGAACTGAACATTCTGTACACAACCATGTGTTTTGTCAGTTGTTTATTATTTTATTTTATTTTATTTGTTTTGGTATGTTACAATCTCAGCTGGAAGGAACATCAGGGAACCAACCTTGAAAATGTCAATTTGTTGTGTTCTGAATATCCCTAATTCAGAAAGCTAAAGGTGGGCAACCTGCGTACACCAAATTTGTGCAGGATTCTGGACTTATAGTCCCTGAAATCGTAGGCTGCAGTCCTAACCCTGGGAGTAAGCTCATTAAATAGAACTCCTGAGTAGATATGACTAGGATTGGCCTACACAGATTTGTTAACAATATACAGTCGCACTTTGGTTTTCGAACAGCTTAGTTCCCAAACGTTTTGGCTCGTGAATGTCGCAAACCCAGAAGTGACTGTTCCGGTTTGCGAACTATTTTTGGAAGCCAAACATCCAGTGGGGCTTCCGGGGCTTCTGATTGGCTGCAGGAGCTTCCTGCAGCCAATCAGAAGCTGCGATTTGGTTTTCAAACGTTTTAGAAGTCAAACGGACGTCCGGAACAGATTCCGTTCAACTTCCAAGGTACGACTGTATCATCCTATCAGCAGAAGGATTTCCCCATTTGTGAATCAAGACTTTTCCTTCTCTCCTCTCTGGCATATACTAAGGTTACCAGATTTTTTTCAATGAATCCGGGGACACTTTTCAACTTCCTACTAAATAGATGGATTTTGTCAGGGGACTGATTTGTAAATCCGGGGACTGTCCCCACAAAACAGGGACGTCTGGTAACCTTAGCATATACCCTGACCCCTTCCCAAATCAGCTCCAGAGGGCTGGGGAAATATTTACAACAGATTTGGGGGTCACGCAGAGGGAGGCAGGGAATCTTCCATTGCTCAAGCAGAAATCCTTAGCGCTATACTGGATTCCACCATTAGTCTTTCAGGGAAGATACTCAGACCACCTGAACATTATTTTCACAGTCACACTTCATTATGCACTTTTAATGGCTTTTATGAAGCTATAAGTGAGGCTAAGCCGTCCTGAGCTCAACTCCCCATAGATCCAAAGTATTTCAGTCCCATGGCATATTGTAACCAAGTATAATATTTCATTAAATATCTTGCTCATACCAGCTTATTAAGTAGGGAACACACTAATTTTAGAAAACTGATTATCTAGTTCTTTCTAACATAGTGTTACTGCAGTTAAGGTCAGATTTTACACAGCAGCTATGGCAACAAATCTGCAATATGCCTTTGTCTACAATGCTGGAGCTAGATTTATTTGCCGGAGTGTTCTACTTTATAGCTAACTCAGCCTTTTGGCATGGTTGCCCTCAGCCCTACCCAAAACATTATGTGCTTCTTTGCAAAAGTGAAGAAGGTTGGAGGGGGAGGGAGGAGTTAAATAAGCTCCTTAAATACACACTCACCAATTTTAAACTGGCTACCACTGGTATTCATTGTTTCCCAGTTATTTAGAGGCAGATCTTGTCAATGTCTCCCTTCACCCTGCACAATACCACCTTACAAGCGTATTTCAAATCTACTCAGCAGGGGTCACAGCTAGAGGCAGTCATGAAGTAAACTGGGTAGCTTTTAGGCCCTGCAGCACAACTTGATTCACAAGGGTTCACTTAACCCTAATTCTTAGGTAAGCGTCATCGCATATGTGTTGCATGAAGGATGTCCCAGTTTCAATCCATGCTATCTCCAGCTAGAAGGACTTTCGAGAACTGCTACAGATGCCTAGCCAGCCTGGTATATGGCATGACTCTATGTTCTTAATATGACACAGTGCTCTCCTTTGTTCTGCATCATCCTTCACACCCACACCACACATTGAAAGCAGCAGCACATTTAAAACACATTGCTTTCCCCCAAAGAATCCTTGGAACTTTGGTTTAAGGGTGCTGGGAATTATAGCTCTGTGGGGGGGGGGGTTAAACTACATTTCCCAGGCTTATTTGAGGGAAGCCATGATTGTCAAAGTGGTATAATAGTGTCCTAAATGAACGGCACTGATGTCACCATCATCAGCCCACTATCATCGCAAGCCATGCAAGCTATTTAAAAGGCAAAATAGAACAATCCCACATATACTACTCCCTGAACACTTTTGAATTTTTTTTTAATTCTACTTACGTTTGGAACCTATAGCTTTTTCATTCCTATTGTCTGAATATATCTCACTTTCATTTAAGAATAGAAATCAGCTGTTTACAAGGGCTAAAATGTTCAGTCATTCTAAATCCTACTGTGTACGCTGCTTCAGCAAACCGCAGCAGTCCAGACACACCAAGTAACACATTTGCCTTTTTTTCTTTCAATTTGGGGAGATTTAGATGTTCAGAAATGCCAAATTAAACCTCCCATCTCTATGCTGCTCCCTAAGCTTCAATTTTATCACATTTGCCGCTGTCATCTCTGCTGTAGCTTGTATTTCAAAGGAACAAACGTGCAGTACCTTTACAGTTTATTTCCATACTGGAGAAAAAGGAACCATTAAAAAGGAACTTAAATGCTTATTGCCACATTCATCTTTAACATTTCTGGCCCTCCAGACATCCTTGGACTCCATCTCCCATTGGCCCCAGCCCAAATGACCAATGGTCAAGGATGAGGAGAGTTGGAGGCCAACAGCTAGAGGACCAGATGTTTCTCATCCTGCATGTTGAACATTTGGAGAGGGCAGCAGCAAGAATAAATAAATATATACAATATGGTGGATATGTTGCCCTTCCTTCTCATAAGTGTAGAAAGAAACGAACTTGAAGGAAGGTGTTCAGTTCCCACAAAGTTGTAATCTGCGGGAATGCAGCCCCAATTCATGCGGCACTCTAAGTTCACTAAAGGCAGATGAAACAGAAGAAGAGGAAAGCTTCAGCCTCTAACATTATTAACATCAAAGTCAACATCAACAAGGTTAGACCTAAGCTGAAAATTTGTTATTGGATATGCACAAGACATTTGATTTGATTTTGTTTTCTTAAGTCTTATATCTCCATGCATTGCACTCCACGGAGCTCTACCTACATTTCTCAAGGGGCTTCCTTGAAGGTAGGTTACAGGAACTGCATCATGTCCTCCAGGCCATTCTCTCAGCCTAACATTAGCATCACCATGACACCACCCAAGAAGAAGTTCATAACACTTCAGAAACTTCCCATGTGGTCAGACAAGAAAGCATCAATCTACCCAAGTTTCTGGAAACGCGGGCTGAACTGAAAAGTCAGAGATTCAAAAATTTAGTATGCAAAGCCAACCCATGGTTTCAAAATGATAACTTTCCCCCTCTTCCTTTCAAAAACTAGCAGAGGGGCCCAAACATGTTGAAAATGGAATCAAAGTACAGTATAATCTGAACTGCTATGTTTAAAGATACATTAAATACTTGTATTGGAGGCCACAAACTTGCAGCATAATAGTTTATGGAATGTTTTAGCAAACAATGCTTAAGCCTTTGCAGAAAAATACCTACCAGAGATCTAACCTTGTAATGAGTCTAGACTTATTGGGATTCCGACAGTTATAAAGTTCTGTTTTGCCCTGAATGAGCCAGAAATGCAAACATGTTATCCACAGAAGCCTATTACGTATAAGCCCAAGAGTCGTTTTGATATCTAAGGGGATTTTGTCAGTCTGCTAAACTAGTATCTGAGTCAGAGAGCAGCCTAATATGGAGGTAACTCTGGTCCTCTAACTTGGACCTAGAGCATACACTGCACTCCTATAGTAACCAGTGACATCATTCACAAGACTCCAGTTTCATCTAGAAGGCTACAAGTTGGTAAACCAATTGTCAGTGCCACGCAGAATGTGTTGTGACCTATGATTGTGATGTAACAGCCATAGAGATGGTAGCGATGAGACAAATCACATCATGTCTCAAACTGGGGAAATGGTAGGGAGTGCTTGAACTTTCGCTGTGCAATCATTTCAAGGTTCCCTGACGTCACAGTGATCTTGGTGATCTTGGGGCAGAAGGAACGAGAAGCAAACTTGTCGCTCCCTTAGCTTGTCAAATAATCACCCAGCAGCCAATGTTGCTATATTCACCTGTGGCCTTCAAAGTACATAGCAACATGAATCAGATACTAGCCCCACAAAGATAAAAACTGCCGAGCATGTTTAAAAAGGACCCAGTAAGAATACTGAGAAGTCAGGCGTATGCAACTATAGCCTCTGAGGTCAATCAGCTGGTCTGCTGGAAAAACCTATAGACTTCTGTGTTCATTGTCCAATTTGTAGCAGGAAATCTGTGTGTGTGTGTGTTTCTGTGTGCTAAACTTTTGACATGGTCCTAAACTTCTTTTAATTTCATAATCTAGTAAACTGTGCATGATGCACAAAGCTAAGCAGAACTTTTCCATGCTATCTAGCATTTTGACACCTCTCCAAAATATGTTGGTTTTTTTTGTTTAGACACTCAGCAGTAGTTATACCCTACTAAGCAGACATTATATAAAACAAAAAACAAAAAACAAAACTGCATGATACCAGTATTTGGAAACCTCAGCAAACATGGTATGGTTTGGTGTCAAAGAGCCAAACAGAATTGAAAACTCCTTGCCATAAGTTTCGCTATGAGGATTTCCCTCATTATATACATTTCATGGACTCCATCCTTCCAACAACATGCTTTAAAAATTGTGTCACTTAGCAACATAAGGCACAATTGACTCTAAATCAACCGTACTAAGCACAAGTTCATAGAAAGAGTTTCGGTAGACTATGTGATGAACATTTCTGTCACAATAGATCTCCAAGGGAGAAAGAAATGGTTTACTTATGGAATTATCCATTAGATACAGAGAGCCATGCGGTGCATGTTACTGAACTAAAGGGAAGCACCACAAATAAATTACCAGCTTCTGAAGGGCTCATCACCCTAGATCCCTATCACAACTGAAGAAAGCTGTTAACATTCCAGCACAAAGATGCTCTACGACATTCTTCCTGGACAGCTGATGGCAACAGCTCTCCACAAGCCTTGAGGAAATAATGCCAACTCCCAGTCACAACCAGGTGGTTCCATGCTGCTAGAAACACCTTGCACAATGGTCCACAAAGTGCTTAGATCATCCTTTTACGACACCAAAATACTGCCATACTTTAGGGCTGCAAACTAGACTGAAGGTGGTTTGGAAATTTTGGTTCCAAGTGTGCTCATGTTTCAGAATGTTAAGATACTAAGGAGTTTAGAGGGAACCAGATCAAGGTGTGATTTAGTAGGAAAATTGTGGAAAAATTCGTCATAATCAGTTGGAACATATACCCAAGTCTCACAGCCATGGATGTGGCAGATACAAGGTGAGGTTTACCCATAAATTCTGCAAGTTAGTATATTCTTGAATGCAGAACCCCTACATTACGGAACCGCAAGCTACTGCAGCTTGAGAATTGCTGAACAGGTTTTTGGGGGTTTTTTTAAGGAAATAATGATCTGGCTTGCTCGTGATGCATGGTTTAGTATGGAGGAGCAAAGCTGTGGGTTCCTAGAGAGAGAAAATAACCATGGGCAATGTACTCCTGCCCAGGTCCTGCTCCTGCTGCACCACCCAAGGCTAATCCATGGTTTGCCTCAGCATTATACCTGGGCTCATGGTTTGCTTCACTTCAGAGAAACCACAAGTTGTAACCAAGGGTTGTCCTTGTTTTATTGCTCATGGTTTGTCTGCAGCAAGACCAGGATTCAGATGAACTGATAAGGCCCAGGTAGCATGGTAGCTCATGCAGCAGCAGCAGGATCAGTGGGGGAGTGAGGTGGCCAAGATCTTCTCTCTGAGAACCTGCATGTTTGCTCTTTCACACTAAACTGTGGTTTGGCTTCACATTACGTGCTACCTGCAAAACAGGCTTAAACTCACAAGATTGCCTTGTGTTTGTCAAGAGTTCTGAAAGCTACAGGGGAGGTAAATGAAATAAGCTTATTCCACATGTTATTTAAAATACACAAATAGTTAAATATGCCACTGTAAAGGTTAACATTGCAATCCATTGCAAAATTACCCAAGAGTAAACAAAAAATGATTTGTTTATTTATTTGTTTTCTATACCACCCTATACCCGGAGGTCTCAGGGCGGTTCACATAAAATATAAAATACATAAAATAAAAACAAAAACAACAACCCAATTAAAAATCCCAAAAAGAGCCAGCATTTTAAAAAGTGCATAGGATGTAGATCAAGTCAGGCAAAGGCCTGGTTAAAAAGGAATACAAAGAAACTTAAGCAGGCATAACAACAGGCTGTAAAAGACACCAAACTCAGCAAACCTGGGCTGCAATCCAATATACAATTATCCAAGAATAAGCCCCACTGAACTCACCTGGGCTTACTTTTGAGAGGACAAGTACAGGATTGTGTTGTTATTATGGCAGAGACAAAAGCCTGATCAGGATCCTACTAGTATGATATAGCTCTGGACCAGAATCTTGGATTCCAGGGTTCAAGTCCGCCCTCAGCCATGAAACTTGTTGGGTGACCTTGAGGCAGTCACTGCCTCTCAGCCGAACTTATATCTCAGAGGGTTTTTGTGAGGAAGAAATGGAAAGAAAAGAACCATGCACAGCATATTGAGTTCCTTGAAGGAATGTTGGGATTAAAAATGTAATAAATCAGAAACCTCCTGATGCAGTGAGTATGTCAGCCATTAAGGTTGCGGCAACACAGCCAGCTCTTGTAGAATTGAACAATATGTAGAACAGAGTTGCCAGCAACAGAGAGCCCTCATGCAAAATACCTGCATAGAATTAACTCTAGTGGTGGCAGGAATGGGCAAATTTGTCAACTTCACTTTCTTTTTTCAAGGGGTTATTCAAATCAACAGTAGCTAAAAAGAAATAAAACACTGAGAAGTGTAGAATGAAGGTGCCTGCCAATAGGCAGTGAGTTCTAAACTATGTACACTTCCACATTAAAAGATCAATTTCTTACAAGTGCAAATTAAGTATGATGTACCATACTTGTAAAAGGGAAGCAGGTGGCGCTGTGGGTTAAACCACAGAGCCTAGGACTTGCCGATCAGAAGGTCGGCAGTTCGAATCCCTGTGACGGGGTGAGCTCCCATTGCTCGGTCCCTGCTCCTGCCCACCTAGCAGTTTGAAAGCACGTCAAAGTGCAAGTAGATAAATAGGTACTGCTCCGGCAGGAAGGTAAACGGTATTTCCGTGCGCTGCTCTGGTTCTCCAGAAGCGGCTTAGTCATGCTGGCTACATGACCCGGAAGCTGTACGCCGGCTCCCTCGGCCAATAAAGCGAGATGAGCGCAGCAACCCCAGAGTCGGTCACGACTGGACCTAATGGTCAGAGGTCCCTTTACCTTTACTATACTTGTAACAGCACAAGTTCTGCAAAATAGGGCATTTTGTATGTAATTTTCACTACTATAATGCACACATTATGCTAGTATATGCATTTTCGTACACATTAATTGGCTAGACTAGAGAACAGCATTGCAAAATTCAGAGAAGTACAAATTCCAATAGATGGCTGTGTCGTCATATTTCAGACGGTGAAAATTAGGTAAGTTTGCCTTTAAATGCAAACTGAACTGAATTTCTCTCTTATCTCTAATGAATGGGATAAATTATCATAACCAAAAGGAAAGCAGGATTGAACAGATATCATAAAAAAATTCCCTCTTAAACCATCTGACATTTCAACCAATTTCCTGATTTGATAAAATACAAATTCTTAACACAATAATTTAAGATCCACATGAACAAGAAGTCATCATGGAGACAAAAAGAGCCTTCCAAGTCTTATTCTGCCAGAGAAGAAACTCAACAACCACTCATTTTCATATCCCAAACAGACTCGTGGATAATTACAAAGGTGCCATGGCTGAATCTGCAGCAACAGTATGCTAGTCAAGCAGTACGCTGCTGAAACACACACACGCATGACAGCGCAGATAAAAAGCAATACCAGCTTCTTTGGAATAATTCTGAACTGCTAAAAGCAATGTAGATAATAAAGGGACCATCTTTTTCCTCCCTCCGCCTCATCTAAAGAAATGAGACTAGAGTGTGGGACTCTACATTTTATGCAGTAGCATACAAGTGTTAGCATGTTTCTTTTAACAAACACATGAAGCTCGAACAACATGCCTGCAACCGGGAATCCTAATTTGACTGTAGCTGCCCAATACTTATTCATAGGTCATGGGAAGCAACAATGCACCCCACTACCTTTTTACAGTGAAAACTGCTTATATTGAAGGATAAAGGTGTTGATTAGTTTTGCCAACGGAGTCAACCCTGTGCTCCCACCAGTGCCCCCAAAACACCACCTCACCATGCTAGGATGCAGCAATGACATCACTAGGGTCCACAGGTTATCAATAATTACTTCCATTGTTGCCTCTTAGTAATCTACAGTGTTCTATATTCCATCAAAGCACTTATTCTCTTCCGACACATGAACACACACATGGAAGTGTGAGAATATATGGGAATCAAATGGGTGTGGTGAGCTTTGGGTTCACATGGTCTTTCCTCCCATCTCCTTTTTTTCCACAGCTATAAAGGGCAACTGTAGGCTTCCAGGGTTTTTTTTAACAAACCACAGCCCGCCATTCTGTTTGAATTAATGGAAGTGTGGCTTGTCCAAAAAGCCACAGTTTGAACCTGGTTTGCTCTCACCAAGTTTAATCCCCTCCTTCTCCAGTTTCAGATACAACGAGAACTGTTTGTGTAAAGTGGAAGTGAAAACTTCTCATTGTGCCCTTTGATGCATAAAAGGAGTGGGGTGGAGTGGAGTGGGGTGGGGGTGGGGTGGGGAAGAGAAGCACACAAACCCAAGACTTGGTGCAGCTTGTTCACATAGTAAGAAAACACATGATATCTAGTTACATTTGAAGCGGGCATTGCAGAGTTCCCTACTGAGTAGACCTTGCATTTCCTCCAGCAATTACTAGGTATGTGTCCAAACCATTAGCTCTAAGTCATAAACAATGCTTCATACAGCAGTACTACTACTACTACTACACAGAGGTAGTTTCTGCATTATTATTCTTATTATTAGTAGCAGCAGCAGCAGCAGCAGCAGTAGTAGTAATAATAGTAGTAGTACACCCTCAGCTGGGATTAATAACCCAAGTATAGGTTGCTTGAAAACAAGATGTGAAGCTACTGTGTTATGCATGAAACAGCAATTACACCCCCCCGCCCCCGGTGTATCTCACTATATGATGATCTTTTATTTCCATTTAGTCTGAAGCACCCCATTAAACATCCACCCACTCACACCTCCTTTAAGTACTCAGGTTCCATCAACACAACATTGGTTTAATTTTGTGTGGAACACATAATTCCACCACTGCAGTGAAACCAACTCAGTACACACATAATTTTGTAGTAGGATGGTTGGTTTGGGGGGGGGGGAGAATCTATCATACTAAGATGGTCCAAATAAAATGTGTTTCACCTAGGAATATAGGATATAAATGCCTTACTGGACACTCCTTGGATGAGAATTTAACAGTTGTGTTACCTTTATTCAAGAGTCCTCTTTTATAAACCAGAGTGTTTTGTCATTGAAAATCAAAGTCAAATGAGAATACCCAGCAGCATCACTAATTCAATTAATATCCCCATGGAGGATGATTGAATTCAGTCACTTCAAAGTGCCAGAAGGAGTAAATAAAACACATTAAAAAAACTATAACAAGATTTGCCTCAAAAAAGAAGACCAAGTGTTATATCTCCATTTTACTTTTGTGAACTGAAAAGTTGCTGTTTAAAAAGAACTAGGTTAATTCCCGTGACAAAGCCCACAATTTGCAAAAATAAAATAAAAATTTAAAGGAGAAAGGTTGTAAGTTCACAACACACTGCTGAGATTAAGCCAAGAGTCATGTCTGAGTCAGTCAATGGTCTGCCAACCCATCTTTTTTTGCTTGTTTATTCAATCCTAGAATGAGTATTATCCTTCACACCTGGAGAAAAGCAAGTGAAACTACACAGACATCCTGTTAGTCACAAAGATGTCTTGTTGCACATTCTCAGATTTATGTGGGTTCTTAGAAGAGGTAAGTCAGTCTGCTAAAGTACAATAAAAACAAATGTGCAAGGCTTCTTCAGGGCAATACTCTTTGTATTGGCAACCAACACCAACATTGGAGCCTCAACCCAAAAAACAAAACACCATTATATTGCAAACAAATAACCGAAACTATTGTTTCATATGCGCAGCTGTTATTTTGGACAAGCTAGACCCAAGTACAAAGAAGTATCGTATCAACATTTAAGCAGATGGCTGAGAAATCTCACCTCTGAATTTTTTGGGAGGGTTGTTAAGGTCCCCTGTTTCTGGCTGTACAACACACCGGTCATCCACAAGTCTAAAAGAGAGAGAAAATGGAAAACATTTAAACGATTGTGAGAAAACTGTCCTAGCTTTCCGTGGGATTGGGAACCCTGGAGAAAAATTGGCACTCCAATCATTTGTAGTCATGCAAATTCTGTTTAGACCTAATAGGTTAGAGGCAAGGACAATAGGCTCAAACCTACTCTTCATCACACCTACAGTGGACAAATGATTGCTACATGAATAGGTTAACACCCTGGATTGCACCACACTAAATGTTTGGAAGCCTAGGGCAGCAAAGAAGAATGAGCGCAGCAGAAGCAGATGGCAGGGTGGGATGGCTGCACTCACTTGGCCTCTGGCTGATCACATCACTGCTGCTTATGCGGAAGGGGAAGAGAAGGCAGCATGGTGCAAATGCACCAGGGGAGCCAATTCAGCACCTGACCTTGCTGCCCACCATGCCCCCTCTACCTCTAGGTAAGGTAAGCATCACCAACAAGGCTGACTGCTGCTGCACCACACCATCTGCTACTGGAGCATAGTTTTATCCAAAAACTGAAGTCCCACAGAAGGCAGAGAACCAGTGACATGAAAAAAATGGCCAATGAAGTTTAAAGGAAAGTTTACTTTTCACAAGATTTTGAGCTACACAGAATTGACTGTCCCTTTTACCATCTTCCTTAAAAAAATGTTGAACTAAAACCCAGTCACTGTTCAAAAGTCACCTTTCTTCAAAGATTAGAGTGGAGTTCATTTTCTTCCTGCTGTGCAACACATAGATACCGCAAACCTTGTTAAGCATAAAATAATAGTCTCAATAAAATAGGTTAAGTATATAAGTCAAGGTTTAATGTGGTCAGTAAAGTGTGTGTGTGTGTGTGACTTTTCTATTTGATTAAATGTGCAGATTCATCTTCTGTTAAGTGGAGAAATGAGAGATCAGGTCCCTGATCCTTAGATGGATTGGAAAACAAAAACCAAAATATTCAGTATCAAAACTCCAGGTCATTTTTTACATCAGAGGCATTGTTCATAAGTACATGGTAACATGTACCATCTTCAAGGTACGCGGTACTGGTTTTAAGACACTGAGCTAGTCCAGCACACTCACTTTATGAATAATTTTATGAATTCATGTCAAGATTCTGTGAGGCTTATGATGTACCCAAATAATTACTGTGCTCATTATGACCCTGAACAAAATTAGATTTTGTTCAGTACCACTTCCTGTGTCTCCTGCTCAGTGACAGGTAGGCTACCATCCAACAGATTTACGGCATTGGGGGAAGGGAGAAAGATCCGGATATTTGCAGTGTACTTCCTGGACCCAGGAAGACGCAGAGAAGTTATAGTAAATGCAAAAGTTTTATTGAAACAGGCCCAATGCAAACTGTAAATGTAGAGCAAGACCTGTTGTAATGCTTTATAGCTGCATACACAGACTCAGCTTGCCGAGAAATCCAGGCCAAGTAATTGCTAAAACCTGTGGTGGAACTACTCTGATTCTCGCACATGGAAACTATCACAAAACATGAAATAAAGGTATTTGTGACTGACTTAAACATTACACCTTTCAGAATACAAATGCCCTTGTTTGCACAGAGATGAGAATCTGATACACAAGTAAGCATTTATCTGGATTACTTCGGATGACAGAATACGGATGTCGTTTAGGACAGACACCATTTTAAAAGTCCTATTATAAGGAAATTACTGGTCTCCAAATGAAAACTGAAGAAGGCAATGACTGATTTCTAAACAGCTTCAACAGACGGTTTAAAGATGCTTTGTGTTTTCTTCACACGCTTGTAAGCTAGTGTGGTGCAGAGGTTGAGAAAGACTGACTAGAATGTGGAAACACATATTTGAATCCTCACCTGAGTCACAAAACAAAATGACTGAAGAATTTTGGCCAGTCACTACCTCTCAACCTAACTTACCCCACAGGGCTGTTGAGAGGATAAAATATAGAGGTGAACCATGCACACCATTCTGAATTCCGTGGAAAAAGGAAAAAATGTCCAAACATGTTTTTGATTTTTTTTTAAACCACCTCACTTTGGAATTTAGTTCAATGAACTCTACTTCACCTGACACGCTAATGGAGCTATTTTAATTCAATTAATTTAAATGTTATGAACCCATGGTAAGGTATCAAAAAAATATGCAAGAAATAAATCTGAACTTGGCTCCCTGAGTGACCACTCCCACCTCCAAGAGTTACCACAGGCGCTTCTTCGGGACCACCTTGCCCAGGGGAAAGTAAAAGAGGCAATGGCAGCTACTTCTCAACAGCTGTCTTCTCCATTTCAGTATAACACTTTTCACTGCTTTTCATTTTGGTAAAAAGGAAGGTGCCACTATTCATACATTGATAAAAATGCCACGGGTGCCAGCACAAAATGGCCGCCATAGGCAGCAAAATAAGAGGCGAGGGTACTCCATACTTGTGAGTAGTGCCACAAAAAAGCCCTGTTATTTAAAACCCACTCCCAAAACTGCTTACTGTTATCATAAACAGCTTTGTGAGGTCTGCCTGAGAAGCGGTGTATTAATTGCCTGACATTTTTAACAAGTGGAAGTTACTGCCACAAACAAAAGAAGTGTGAGTCCTGTCCATGGAAGCCCTCCATGGACTTGTGCAATGAGGCTCTTCCCCCTTGAATTTGGCTTCTTCCAACCCCCCAACGCCAGCCCAAACAGTGCAAGGGAAGAGGAGAGGGGAGATAATTCCATCCGGCAAGCTGCAATGCTAGCCCAAATGGAACAATTACCTCAGCATGACGCTGAATTCCTTCCAATATATTCCTATCCAAGTCTTGCTTGCATGAGAGATGTTTACAGTCAACCAAGTGACATTCAAGTGGCTAAAAGCTTCCCTCAATCTTTAGAGACTCTGATGTAACTCTTCTCACACATACAGTCAAAGTTCAACATATAGTTCAACCAGCTCCCAATCTGAAATGCCATCATTTCAGCCGCTCTCCTTGGCTAGAAGGATAAACAGATTTGCCCAGTGGCTGCTTACGCAGCCATCAACCATCTTGAACTAGAGCTATTATGCCTTTTTTCCCTTCTTTTGTATCTCATCTTTCCTCCAAGGAGCTCAAGCTAGCTGCAGAGTTCTTCCCCCTCCGTTTTCATCCCTCCCCCTGCATTTCTTCTACACAACAACCTTGTGAAGTAAATTTAGGATGAAAAATATACTGAATGACCCAGTGAGTTCTGCAGCTGAGTGGAATCTGAGTGCAGGTCTCCCCAGTTGTAGACCAACATGGTAGCTTTTAACAACTACCCCACACAGACTCTAACAACGGCTCACATTACCAAACTAACTTAGCAAAAGGAATAATTGAGCCTGTTTTACTTTGACCCCAGAAGCTGATGAGCTGGTCGTCACCTGCAGAATTTCTTTCCCTCTAATTATTATGTTTGCAGTAATAAAATGGACTTTGGTGATCAATAAATAACAGCGTATCTCTTGATTTACTGCAGTTTAAAGAGGCATTGCAAAGTATAAAACAAAAAGAGTTACATTTGTAGCAGTCAGCCAGGTGGAAGAGGTATGTTTTCATTAGACTATTAAAGCACAAGGAATATTTGACAGCCACTCTCTCTGGAGAAGGCGTTCCGCGGTTATAAAATAGTGTATCAACTTTGTAAAAATGAGCAGAGCATCCATAAAGTCTCATATTCCATATGCCAGTCTGAATAAAATTGCCTTAGCCTGATGGACTACAGCAAAAGACGTTTATTTATTTTTAAGACCTCTTTGGAAATGCTTTCCACCAGAAAGAAGGTTCTGCTCTAAGTCCCTGCCTGTCTGACATGGAAGACAGAAAGTCCCCAGAGAGGGAGTATTTCAGACATACTTTGATGCAGAGAAACAGGAAAGGAGAAGAAACCACTATTATTGTACATCACGGTGCTCAAATCCATTCTCATCATCTATTGATAATCCTCTGACATTCAGAAGGCACCTTCATGTGGTGGACCAAGTACTGTAAAGAAAGTCTATTGTCTATCCCAGTGTTCCACTAGCCAAGGCAGGGATACTTCATGAAGACATTCTAATGGCAAATTTCAGGGTCTCAAAGTGATAGAGTTCAGCTGCAGATTTAGGAAGGCAGAAGATGAGGTGCCATCTTGGCCTTCTTCCCCTTCTAAATTTTTATTTTCCCAGCATGCTCTTCCAGTCTCAATAATTTTTCTTCTGTAGCAATGTGAAGCAAGGAAGACCATAATAGAGATAAGATTCCAATAAAAACGCCCTTGGTTCGTGAGAAGAGTTAATGGAAAAAAATTTACAATATATGCAGTGGTTTTATATACATATATTATATATGTAATTGTTTATATATCCTTTTGCCTGCTAAGTACAATTACAACCTATCTGGGGAAACCCTCCGAAATTAACAAGGGAAATATGGGAAGGAGCAGAGCAGCATATAAGAAAATTCTAAAGATCAAAAAAGTAAGCTTTGTGAGAAGGCAGTGGCAAGAACTAGGATTGGCAGTAGCTGAGAGAAGAGAGGACAAGTTTTGGCTTCTGGTGTCTCGGGTCATGAATGAATCAAGATCAACACTAGATGCCACTATATCAGCACAATGTTGGGTGGATTACTACGTGGAACTTTATGGAGAACAGACAGGGCATTCACTCGATGTTGAGGTGACCATTGACCAGTTGGGTTTTCCTGAGTGGCAAGCAGTGACCCCTGTAGAGATAAAATCTCTAATAGAGAGTCTAAAACTAAAATAAATATATCCTTTTATTGTATTGTGAACAATTCCAAGTATGCACACTTAGGAGACACTGTAAGCCACTTCAAGTGAAAATAACTCCACCAGGGAGGCATTCAACAACAATCTGTGTAGTCCATAGGAACGTTAGTTTCAGTGGCCATGTTTGCAGCAGTGAGCCAAATCATGACCTAGCACAAATGAGTAAACATGCTGGTTCTTAGGGAGGAGATCCCAGCCACTTTGCTCTTCCTTGTAGCTCAACACAGCTTGCCACGCTTGAGCTTTCTCCTCCTTAATCACGACTTATACCCATGGTTTGTTCTTTGCTAATGATTGTGGTGAAGGAAGGGGGCACTTAACCACAATTTGATGACGTGTTAAGCCAAACTTTGCCTTCGCTGCTGAGCTACACTGAGTTAATGTACTGGGAGGAGCCAAGCATTTTGGCTCTCTCTGCACCTGGTCAGCTCACCACTATGTGTAAACTAGGTACAGTGGTACCTTGAGTTAAGAACTTCATTCTGGAGGTCCGTTCTTAACCTGAAACTGTTCCTAACTTGAGGCACCACTTTAGCTAATTGGGCCTCCTGCTGCCACCGTGCCGCCACCATGATTTCTGTTCTCATCCTGAAGCAAAGTTCTTAACCTGAGGTATTATTTCTGGGTTAGCGGAGTCTGTAACCTGAAGCATCTGTAACCTGAGGTACCACTGTAATGCCCTGAAGATATGTTGATACTGTCAGTTATTTTTAAAAACATATTTTTAATGGATTCTGTGGTCCAGTCAGTCACACGTCATAGAAATTCTGCTTAGGACTTGCAGTTATGACTTGCCCCCTTGACAAATGAAAAACAACCTTCCACCCCAGGGCTTTCATATGAGGGAAATAAATCCTATATGGCTCCCTCACAACTCCCCCCCCCCCCTCTAAACTAAAGTTCAAACAGGAAGGAAAGAGTCCAGCTCTCAGCCATAGTATTGCTTTAACAGGACTAACATATGCGCTGAGACTATGAATAAGGCCATACTCGATCTTCATCCACAGCAGGGGATAAGGAGGATAAAAACACCCAATGCAATAGGGAACATTGCTTCTGTAACTTTAAAGCAAGAGGGAATATCAGCTAGACAGCTATTCACTGCTACAGCGCAATGACGTGAAAAGGTGAATGCTGAAATTCTCTGTTGCATCTGCCCTCCCACCTCCCCAGAAGTATCAAAGGATGGGGAAAGACTTGCTCAGGAAAGGGTAGGAGGAACTGAGTATCAAAGCAAGAAGCCACCCTAATTTTATGAAGTTCAAAAAAAGTCTTGCAAAAAGCATCCAGACAGCTAATTCTAGTAGCTGAAAGATTCACCTTGTTCCAAAAATAGATCATAGGCAAGAGAGCATTATTCCAGGCAAACAGATGATCAAAACAAAGATTACACAGCTTGCTTAGTGTTCAAAAGGCAATTAAGTATATTACAAACTAGGAACCAAAGCCATTGGAGCACTGTATTTAGAAAAACAGAAGCAAGGCTGTGATTAAGCTTCAAGTCATCATCTCACAGGAATATTAAGCAGGATTCAGCTTCAGAGAAATATTTACTTGAACAAAATATCATTACTGTGTTTAGCTATATTCAGTTCCCATTGTTCTTGAGCTCTTAACATGTAAACCCTTGCACAGTTGCTCCAACAGGGTGTTCTGGTGGTTAATAGCCAACTCAAGACTGTTTGCTGCCCAAGGCAGAACAAATATAGTATCCAAGGCTGAGCAAGGTTGCAGTCACCAAAACAGAACGTCTAGTTGCCACTTTGGGGGGCAAGATGTCTATAAAGTCTTCTTTTTTCGAATGACTGTCAGACTGTGATTGATTCTCAGTTAAACATCCAACTAGTTCAGATGAAACCTTGAGCTAGGAATAGAACTTTGAGAATTTAAAGAAAAACAATAAGTTTACCCAGGGAAGTACACATATATATTGGCCTATTCAGACCTCTTTTTCTGAATGGTGACTGCTCCTGCTCAGGCTGCACAGAAAAGGCATTTTGGTTGCAGAAATTCATTCTGATTGTGCAGATAAAATATAACTGATAGAATTCTACCGGTGGTGGTGGGGAGGCGGGGTATTAGTGTGTTAAAACAGTCCAGGTCCTATGTTTCCCAGATGGTGGAGATGTCAGGCGCCAGGCATCTTCACTTGGTCGAAAGCCAGGTATATACTCTGACTGTACTGGACATCTGCTTCTAGAACTTCACACTGGGATCCTCAAAACACACAAATTAATTCTGCTGAGGAGGAGGAGAGAAGCCCTGGCCAGAAAGGTTAAACTTATGTAATTCCATAGGAAAAAAGAAAAGAAAATACACCAAAGCACTTCTTCCACATACAGGTTGGTAGGTGTGGGGAGAGAATCATATTTAACAATGCACAACCTTTTTCATCAACTTTCCTGGCTTTACTTACTCAGAGGACTCAGCATTTAGTGCAGGGGAGGGGAACTTCAGGCCTGCAGGCCAAATGTGGCCCTCTAGACCTCTCTAAGTGGCCCTTGAGACTATCTCTCCATGTCCTCTTTGAGTGCTTCTGCCCAGATAGAATTAGCAGGATATGCTAATTTAAACACTGATGTCTTCAAAACATAGCTTTATTCTTATTTATTTAATCATGATCCACCTTTCATCAAAAATTGGAGTCCAGGGCAGCAAACATAGTGTTATTCTCTCTCTGGATTCCGCTGCCAGTTCCTCATCTAGATAGTAAACCACAGAGCTCCGGGCTTCAATATTCTGCCCTGAGCAACAAAATGAAGATGATGAAGCTGCTGCAGTTGTTTTTTTTAAATCTATCTTAAGTGAAATGTTTAGATTCTGCTGAAGCAGATTCACTCACCTGGGGAACTTCTTATCCCAAGGATTTATAGCTGCAGGGAAGGAAAGAGACACCCAGCGCTGTTAAACACATGGCGATGACAGCGTTGGCTTCTAGACAACCATGCCTATTTTTCCTCCACTGCCAGCTCATTAAACACACCCTGCAGCACCTGAAAAATGGCTCACTTACCCCAGCGTGCTGATAAATCCATTTGTTGATCCCTCTGCGTACAAAGAACATATGTCTCCAATATGCAGGAAACTTGACATTTTGTCGGACATCTCTGGCTTGTTGGCCCTAAGGGAGAGAAAACAAACTCATCATTATTTATTAGACATTTGCTCAATTATACTCTAAGGGCAGGCGATTAAAGTCAATGGAAGTTTTGCCACATATTTATTGTAACTACATATATTATTTTTATTATCATTATTGCATTCCCCGGAATACAAGCATCAAATATCTAAGCCTTACTGGCTGAAATTAATGAATGTGACTAAGTTAGGTCCATTACAGTTTATCTACCCTGCATAAAGTTTAGCTGAGTGCCACCTCTACAGATTAAACCATCACTATACCGCTTGCCACAAACTCAGTAACTCATGATCAAAACTAGACATTTAAACTTATTCATAATATATGCAATGCCCAGGTTTGAATTATAGCCTGCGGTTTAGGTACCTAAAACCTACTGTTGCTAGGGATTATCCAGAAGGAGTTGAGTTGAATGACATATGTGGCTTTTTGTCCTCTCCTTTGTGAGTTAGGGAAGAGGCAAAGCTTAAGTGGTGGAATAGAAGGTCCCTGATTCAATCCCTGCCATCTCCAGTTAAAATAATCAGGTAGCAGTGATGGGAAAGGCCTCTGCTGGACATCCTGCAGGTAACTAGCCCAGATAAACCAATGGTTTGACTCGATATAATATCTCAATATGAGCTTTACCATAGTCTTCTAGAAATGTTGCTGGGCATCATCTTCTCCTACAAAAAATACTAATGCAAGGGAATCATCAGCTTATCACTGACGCTCAAAAACCCATGCAATATGAGAAAAATGCTGGGTTGACTGGACATCAGTTTCGAAATATTGTCCAGCACCACATTATTATTGCTCTCTGATTTCATGCAATGCAGCAGCTGAACTGACAGGCCCTCCAGTTCATTGCTTTCTCAAGAGTAGGTGAAAACAGCTCACCAGCAAGTGTTAAACTCAGTGCCTCAATGAAGAAAAACAAACCTAAATCTAGTTGTCCACAGACAATTCAACAGGTTGTGAAGTATATTATTTATTAATGGTGAGACTGCTAGGTGTAATTGCATAGCAAGCATAAAGGTCACAGTGCAGGGGTCAATGTATGAACAGTATGCCCACATTGGTAGGTCCAATCATGCAGAGCTTTCTCAGCCAATCAGCAGCCTCACAAAAGGGTACTTGTCTGGAAATAACCCATTCAGTCATCTCCATTCGTGTGGTTGCGCTATTCATACATGCAACTGCATAGCATGGGATTGTGCAACTAGGAAGGAGCCCCCATGATACGGGGAACACTTGTAAAAGTTTGCCCCGATTCCTCTCTCAGCAAGAAGTGCACACAAGGACAAACGAAAAACCAGTGGAAATAGATAAATTATTAAACGCAGCATTAGAGTTGTTTGGAAGCTAATATAGTAGTATCCAATATTTTTATTGTAATGTAAACACAGCCTCTGATCTGCAAATACCAACTGGGTTTTTTTATTTTTGTTCTTTAAAAAAAGGTTTATACCTTACTCCTACAGAGGAAATCATCAAGTATACAGACACTTGGGAGTATAAAAACTGAAGCGAAAGAATGACAATTGTTTCTGAACTAAACCGCTCTGTGTGCTGTGTTTCATTAACAGTCACTTGGCTCTGCTTATTCATTTTTCACCCGCTGACCCTGCAGAGACCTGTGACTAATTAAAAATTTCAGGAACAAGCCAGCATGTTGTAGCTCTTAAGTGTGACCAAGTGCTCCACCACCAGTTCCCAACACCCACCCCTAATGACACAGCTCAAGTAGACATGCAAGCATTGAGATTATTTCTCTTTTGGTGGAGAAATGGCTTCAACAGCAAGAAATGTGGCGCTTATTGCAAAACACAGCCCTGACATCATAAGGGGGAGAACTATTCCCATTTCATTGAACATTAACTTGTTTACAGTGAAAGGTACAGATCAAGCATATTAAAGCCAACTGTGGGATCAGCCAAGGACAGCACTTGCAGCTCACACAGACACACCTGAAAGAGAGAGATTTCAAGCTGTTTAAGCTCATTTGGGCTAGTGTGGGTTTCTCTCTTTCGTCCTGAGGGCCTTTTTAGTGTAACAAACTTGAAAGAGTTTACAAGCAATTTGAATCTAACCTGTGATCTCTCAGAAGCCACGCTGAGAAGGGGAGGGGAGTCTACAACTCTGAACAACCCCAGCCAGCAAAGGCCAGTGTTTGGGATTATGGGAATTCTATTCCAAAATTTGGAGAGCACCAGCTTAGGGAGGACTGCTGTAAACCATCAGTGCTGACTACTTTGACTGGCTAAGGACGTAATTTTACGAATTCTAATAGTACAGTATTGGCCTGAATATAAGCCTCACTTCTTTTTCCCAAATTCCGACTATGAAAAGTTAAAGTGCAGCTTAAATTCGTGGGTGGCGCTGTGGTCTAAACCACTGAGCCTCTTGGGCTTGTCGATCAGAAGGTCGGCAGTTCGAATCCCCATGATGGAGTGAGCTCCCGTTGCTCGGTCCCAGCTCCTGCCAACCTAGCAGTTCGAAAGCACACCAAAAAAAAAGTGCAAGTAGATAAATAGGTACCGCTTCAGCAGGAAGGTGAACAGCATTTCTGTGTGCTGCTCTGGTTTTCAGAAGCGGCTTAGTCATGCTGGCTACATGATACAGAAAAGCTGTCTGCAGACAAATGCCAGCTCCCTCGGCCTGTAAAGTGAGATGAGCGCCGCAACCCCAGAGTCGTCTGTGACTGGACTTAACTGTAACTGTCAGGGGTCCTTTACCTTTACCTTTTTACAAAAATTGGCTTTTACAGTATCATTGCTGAAACTGACATACAGTCAAACGGAACTGCAGAATTTTAAGGGAGTGGCTTATATTCAGGTTTTTTTTCTTTTCCCCCCTTGAATTTTAAAGGTGCTGCTTATATTTGGGTGTGGCTTATATTTGGGCCAATATGGTAAAAGAAAGAGTTTTAAATAGTAGAGGCATCCAATATCCACTGAATGGTCAGCTTTTTGAAACTAGATTTAAGATCTCTCATGCAGCCTGATTAGAGAAATTTTGGTGTGTTAGTTCATCTTGCCTGCAACAAATTTAGTGGGAGTGCAGGCTCTATAAATTCTTCCAAGCTGCCACAGGCAATGACAGTCAAATGGCCTAAACATCCTTTGAAAGAAGCAATTGAAGTCGTTCTGAGCTCAGAAGAATATTCTTAACAACATTTTATACCAGGTGTTCTCACTCATTGCCTACAAATAGGCTTTAGTGATTTTATAGGCATCGTTGTGGAATAAAACACATCAGAAAGCCCTTTTACCCTAGAGAAAGTTAAGCCACTTACAATTACTGTCCCAGATTGTTCCTACCTGTTTGAATGTCCAACCAAAGTGTGTGTGTGCGCGCGTGTGTGTGTGTGCGTGTAATAGAAGATATGTTATTAACCTAAATCCCAACAAACAAACACCAGCACTAAACCCTCCTGCATCCTTAGCAAGCATTCTAGCATACAGAATCCTGTTGCTTTTAGTTGTTCCAGCAATCGCACCATCCTCTTCACTTCCAATTTTCAGGGGAAAGGAGTATTGTTTATGTAACAAAAATGGAACCACCCACCTACAACAGGAGGTATCAGCAGCCTTGGAGAACCTTGACGTTTGCAGACATACAACAAATCTTTGGGGGGGGGGGAATCATAAGGGGAAAGCCCAGAAACAGCACAATGAGGCTGGAGCATGCAAGGAATGCCAGCCAACTGCTGGAAAGGAAAACCAGAAGGGGGTAATAGAATAAGGTATTCTGGGAGGAGGATGTGGCTGACTTGAACACTAAACAGGACGGCTCTATATTACACTTGGTCCTAATTGTCACCAATAACTGTTTTCAAAATATTACATCAATATTACAGCACCAAATCTTTAAAAGCAATCCAAATACATATTAAGTACCCCTTAGGTTCAGAGGATCCTTTACTCCTGAAATGTCAATTCAAGGTTACTATTCCTAAGAACTGCCTTCTAGATTCAGCCAAGTCTGTCAAGCCCCAAATTCCTCCTCAGACAACAGCCAGAGAGATGCTGTTTGGAGATCGCAAGCAGGGAACGATAGCAATACCCTTCTCTGGCTGTCCCCACCATCTGTTTTTCAGGATATGTCTGTAGCTATCATTATTTTTGTCCTAGCTTTCCTCCCAGGAGCTCAAGGTGGTATACATAATTCTTCACTTTCCCATTGCATTATCATAATCGCACTGTGAAGCAGGCTAGGCTGAAAGACAGTGACTGTCACAAGGTCACCTAGTGAGTGTCATGGCTGATTTGACCCCTGGTCTCCCAGGTATTAGTCCGACACACTCTCTGCAGCACCACACTGGCTCTGTTAGGATGGCCCTCTTATGATTTGGAAATGATCTCCAATTGTATATCAGTAGGTAGTGTCCTTCTATCAGGCAGGGAACCTATATTCACAATTTCTAAATAACAATGAGATTCCTTTAGAAAACAAAGAGAACTACTTTGGAATAGAGTAGGAATAACTTGTATGCATATTCAAGGCAGTTTGCAATCAGTTTTCAAGGGCTGAAACAAAGCTAGATATAGCCACCACGGAATTCAGCTCCTTAGTGAGAAAAACAGGAATGCTGTCAGTAGTACAGAACTCAATACTAATTTAGATTGGAGGACAATGTCAGTAACATGGAGCTGGGTCCAAAATCTAGCAGATATCATTATGCCACTCCATAACTATACAGTGGTGCCTTGGTTTTCGAACGTAATCCATTCCGAAAGACTGTTCGAGTTCTGAAACATTCGAAAACCGAAAACTCAGTAGCCGACAGCTAGGCCTCAGCATCTTGCACTCAGCAGAAACTGTGTGGCATGTTCAACTTCTGAGGTGTGTTCGAAAACTGAAGCATTCACTTCCCGGTTTATGGTGTTTGAAAACCGAAATGTTCATCAACGGAGACGTTCGAAAACCAAGGTACCACTGTATCTATATCTATATATTCAAGTCACAATGCTGACTCAGACTAGAGTAATTCACCAGGTTACTTTTCCCTCAAGTTCTCCTACTAAATACTATTTTAACAGGGGACAGACAACATCAAGGGTCATATGCATGCGGCAATTATGACCCCATCTTTAGGATTGGGCTATCATGCCCTTATTCAAGTATAACAGGAAGGTAGGGAATGGAAGGGTTCCCATACATTAAGCCTACTACAAACAATGGAGGCAATTTTAGACAGGGTCAAAATAGAGCTCAGAATGAATCATAAAAGCATCACTACATGAATGAAGGATTGATCAAAGAGCTCACAGAAGTACTCAGTCTGGGAAATACTTCACAACACACAAACTGTAGTAATTAAGCACTTGACATAAATATTCCTCCCTATCACCATTATCAGTTTCTGAGCCACTGTTATCAGGGCATTCCTTAACAATACACACATTTGGCAATTGCCCTAGAGCCATTGCCATCACTCCTTGTCTTATACAGTATTCTAACTTCAGCCATCCCCAGCAGACATTTGCTTGATTCTAGCCAATAGGGCTGCAAATTATAATTGGTCATTAACCTACTAAATCTTCAGTTACGTGACCAGAATTATGCTTCTTCAGCATATGTTCTACATCAGTGGTCCCCAAGATTCCCCCCCCCATGGACCACCTGAAAACTGCCAAGTGTCTTGGCCAACCATTTAACGATTTTTTTTGCCTTTTGTAGCAGTTGTGCTGGATGGTCTTTGTGTTTTTACAGACCTTCCATAGACGACCTGCCGCAGACCACTTGCTGACCACGAGTGGTCCATGGACTGCAGTTTAAGAACCCCTGCACTACACAGGGTGTGGCGGGTATAGCACCATGAGGAGTAAACTACAGTTCCCCCCAAAAAATAGGGTCAAGGAAGTAATGTGATTTCACACGTATGGTGTGGATGTGATCTTATACATTGAGGTGGTGAAGCTGTGGTCTGGGGCTGGAGTACTTTGGACTGCTGGTAGATGCTCATACAATGAAAAACATTGTCAGAACTTCCCCCGCCCCATAAAATGTATACACCACTGGATTGTAAAAAAACAAACAAACCTTAAAGCGATTTACAAAAGATAAAACAGTAAAATCGAGAAAAAAATACAACACTATTTTAAAACATACAATAGTTTAAATACTAAAACAGATTAAAATTACCTCAACATTCGAAACATCTGGGTAGGCTTATCTAAATGCAAAGGTTTTCAGCAGAAACCAAGAACACAGGACACTAGGTATCCACAAGAAGGTTACCAACCTAGATTTTTCAATTTGACTCTCTCTACCTCACACATAGTTTTTCTTTGTGAAGGGCTTTTTATTTTATGCATGCATCCAACCTGCAGCCTGACTGATACGCACATCACTGTCAGACTCAACATCTTTTTATACTTTGGGAGAGCAAGACTGATGCAACTTTCAATCTCTTCCCTTTCATTAAAAAGCAAAATGCTTATTCAAAATTATACCTGGTGGCTAAGAAAATGACAGTGTAGTCTTTTAAAAGCCACAAGTTGGTGAGGAAGCATGACTGCCAAATGTGTTTAATAATATTAAAGAGGAAGGTAGAGAAGGACACATCAAAAATAAAATATAAACAGAAACAAGGCAGTTGGGGCAATTCATCTCCATGTTCATATATTTTATCTAATCTATCTATCTACACACACACCTCTCACACACACAAAGCAAGAATGAGTACACTCTGATCTTTTCAATTTGTAGCCAAATGCTAGCCTTTTAACATGTCTGCGCTCTCTCTCTCAGCAGTTTAACGCTGAATCCAATCCACCATTGCACACTTTTTTGATATGCAAAGTGATTTATGCCAAAATTACTACTGAGTGGTGTAAAACTAAGTCATACTGTGGGTAAGTTAAGTTCATTATTTCAGAGGGTCTACTCAGACTTACGTTTTATACTACCCACTGTACAGTTAAAAAAGCACACTTTATATATCAACCTATGTTCTTAGTCCAACCTACTTTATTTTTCAGTATGTGTTACCCCACACACCCCTCTTCTAATGCCTTCTACCTTCCCCCAAAGCACCTCATTTCGGATGCAGCTGTGGCCCTTCTTCAGACTTCAGGTTCCTGGAAGAAAAAACTGGGAACAGTTCCTTGCTGTTTTGGATCCCTGCAGGAAGTCTGCCTGCTGCTGTTCCCTGCAGCAGCAGCAGCAGCAGCAGCTGTCCTCTCTTCGCAGAGGCTGGAGGTGATCTTAATGCAAGCAAAACTAGCCTCTTGTCTCTTACAGCTGCTTGTGCAAATATCCCGTCTCCGCAATAAAGTATCGGGATGGCTGTATGAAACGGATGTGCAGCAATCACCTGAACAAGCGCCTGCTTTATATGAAGAGTGCCATGGGCGGGCCAAGAGATCTAGTTTTAGAGAAGGGAACAATTCCCATTAGGATAAAAAAATAATTACGAAGCTCTAGTTTCGGCCCACATAATGCTAGCTTTCCACTTCGCCCTGAGGCAGAATGTAACGCAAAACACGAGTCAGTTAAAATGACATTCTCCAACGTTTCAGCAACTTGCACTTGACCCTAAATAAATTTAACAGGGCGGGGGAAAGTTAACTCAAAAATGGGTTTATTTCTGATTATGTTTGCTAAGCTCCTGATGTCCATTCCTAATGGGTTGTATTCAGCGAAAGCAGCCATTTAGAGCAGGGGTCAGCAAACTTTTTCAGCAGGGGGCCAGTCCACTGTCCCTCAGACCTTGTGGGGGGGCCAGACTATATTTTGAAGAAAAAATGAACGAATTCCTATGCCCCGCAAATAACCCAGAGATGCATTTTCAATAAAAGCACACATTCTACTCATGTAAAAACACGCTAATTCCCAGACCGTCCACGGGCCGGATTTAGAAGGCGATTGGGCCGGATCCGGCCCTCGGGCCTTATTTTGCCTACCCATGAATTAGAGCAAGGACTTCTGCCCGAACAACAGAACTCCCTCTACTTGCCCCTCATCTGATGAAGAAGATGAAGAACCTGATGATGAAGATGAATTTTAACAGGGAGAAATGTAAAGTATTGCACTTGGGCAAAAAAACTGAGAGGTACAAATACAAGATGGGTGACACCTGGCTTGAGAGCAGTACATGTGAAAAGGATCTAGGAGTCTTGGTTGACCACAAACTTGACATGAGCCAACAGTGTGACGCGGCAGTTAAAAAAGCCAATGCAATTCTGGGCTGCATCAATAGGAGTATAGCATCTAGATCAAGGGAAGTAATAGTGCCACTGTATTCTGCTCTGGTCAGACCTCACCTGGAGTACTGTGTCCAGTTCTGGGCACCACAGTTCAAGAAGGACACTGACAAACTGGAACGTGTACAGAGGAGGGCAACCAAAATGGTCAAAGGCCTGGAAACGATGCCTTATGAGGAATGGCTAAGGGAGCTGGGCATGTTTAGCCTGGAGAAGAGGAGGTTAAGGGGTGATATGATAGCCATGTTCAAATATATAAAAGAATGTCACGTAGAGGAGGGAGAAAGGTTGTTTTCTGCTGCTCCAGAGAAGCGGACACGGAGCAATGGATCCAAACTACAAGAAAGAAGATTCCACCTAAACATTAGGAAGAACTTCCTGACAGTAAGAGCTGTTCGACAGTGGAATTTGCTGCCAAGGAGTGTGGTGGAGTCTCCTTCTTTGGAGGTTTTTAAGCAGAGGCTTGACAACCATATGTCAGGAGTGCTCTGATGGTGTTTCCTGCTTGGCAGGGGGTTGGACTCGATGGCCCTTGTGGTCTCTTCCAACTCTATGATTCTATGATTCTATGATCTAGGGGGCCTGAGGAGGAAACCACAGAACAGATTTGTGGGGAAATGTGGGAGTGACAGGGAGAGGAAGTTCCACAGTAGAGGTGGAAGTCCTTGCACCAATGGGACAACTTCAATGAATTATAGTCTATTTAATCTTTACTGTATTAACAATAACCAAAGGATCTAACAGGTTATTTTAGGTCACAGAAGACAAATTCCAAATGAGCTCTTGAAGCCAACTCTAAAGGCACAGAGCCCAAGAAAAGTAGCCAAGTGTCTGATTCCACTAAGCCCTGCCTGTCCAACCTAGATTTGAATTGTCAAATTCCTGGCTGAATTCCAGAGTTGCATTAAAACGATAGACAGTTTATAAGCCTGCAATGTACATACTCTTTGCCCATACTTGGATGAAATGCACCGTGCATATAAAATGCCATAATGAGAAAGTTGTGATACAGGACAGAGTAAATTCCACATGGCTTTTTCGTTTTGTTTTTTGTAATCTACTTAAGAGAATTTCTTACAATTTTTTAATAATAAAGTAAAATAATAATAATAATAATAATAATAATAATGAAGTATTGCACCAGATGCCTTCCATGCCATGACTTAAAATGGTGAAGTAATTCTACTATTCACGATATCTATAGGTTTTTTAAAAAAGTTTCCATTCTGCTTGACAGTTCTGAATGCAGACTCACATAATCCCTTCACTCAGGAAAAGATAAGATGAGGTTCTTGCTAATCTTTATATTAAGTCATATGTATGGTTCTATAAAAGGCATCTTCAAAGGGAGACAGCTTTTAACCTTGTTCACTAAGGCTGCTTCACAGCTTACAGCAGAGATTCATGCATTTCTCTGCACAAATATACAGTGCAAGGGGCTGCAGCTTTTAGGAAATTCTGTGTACCACATTGTATTCTTGTTTGAGCCACATTACAACATCGGTGAATGTTAAACGTTAAGGCACGTAACAGTCCTTAATCTACAGTTAGAGTTTGTCAATCCACACCATTTCTTAATATATCTTCCACAATACCCTTGAAATGCACATATACCGACAATAATACCCTTAAATAAGAAAAGACCTTAGCTATAGGAGGGAGGAGTTAGTGCTAAAATGCTTCAGTCTGTTTGTGGGCGGCACTGATAATGAAGGCACAATCTCTAGCAGGTAGGTGAGGCATGACTCTATTCAGCGCTCTATGCAGTACATACAAAACTTTTCTCCCAACAGTTTAAGCCCATTTAAAGAGCAGTAGCTGCCCCTTCAAGTGTGAAGCGACTGCACAATCTGTCACACAGCAATTTTTCTTGACTTCTTCCTAACTAACCAGAATGAATTAAGTGGGGCAAGCTAGCAGGTGACAGGATGAAATTCAGCACAACTAAGGGATGGGCTAAAGGAGGATTGATAAAACCACACCAAATTATGGACTGATACCATAATGGGAATTCAGCTCAGTTACCTATTTTTCACACTACTTCTTGAGTCCTGGAAAGTGACAGATAGGTTTCATCACTTCTCTTCAGTATGGCCAATGGGCAGAGATGACGGGAGTTGTATACCAGGCTAGGAAGCCCTGTGCAGAGGATGAGTAACATTTGGAGGGCTCTAACTAACTAGGAGCAACTGTGGACAGAATTACGGCAGATAGCAAGTTTGGCATTATACTAAAGGAAGGAATTTGTTTCCAGAAACCCAGCTTTCAGACTCCATTAATAGCCAACTTGCTCAGCCATCTGACACAAAGGTTTCCCAAGCCACAGTTGTGAGAGGTAGAGCGTGGCACTTGCTAGTGGAGAAGCAAGCCCTTCTTCAACCCAGTTTTGTACAGACCAGTCTCCTTTGAACCAGCCAGTATCGGATACAGGGCTGAGTTCTGCCGATCTGAAATGAGATTTCTAATGTTGATAGAGCACCCTTCACTGATCACACAAGGATATTGTGTAACGGCATTTTGCAATACAGCTCAGCTCTTTGCAAAGAGTAACAGGTTTTCACGTAGCCAGAAGAGGAACATGCTTATTTTGCCTCTGGGAAGCATGAAAAGAGAAACCACAGCCGCATTAGTCACTAGCCATAGTTGGCTACCAAGGCCAGCCACAATTGGAGGATCCCTTATGACGGCTCAGACCCAAGTTTCACGGTACAACTTACTGGGAGAGGCCTAGCTCAGCACTGAAAGAGTTTTTAAAGACTTTGGGCTGAAGTCCACATGGCACTAGACAGGATAGATTAGTGTATATTGAGGAATATGATCTGAATGTGTGCAAATGCTAATACAGGAACCCAAATGTTAGGTGCCTTCCCTTGCAATATATTCCACATTAAGGGAGACAGACCCCTAGCTTTCATAAGATACACTTGTCCGTGCCTTGACTGATACTTCACCCAGTCAAAGGAAGCAGTCATATCGCACAGATGGCTTTCAGGAAAAAGAGAACACTTCTGTAATTTCGTGTGTGTCGCTCTCAGTTCCAAATAACAGGGATCTGCCCTGCAGTGAACAGAAGAGAACTGCTATTACAATTCAGGAGGCCCAAACAGAGCCCTTTTTTGCAATACAATATGAGCAGATTCAGCTTACACAGTGCAATCTGGGATTAAAAAAATGCAACACTGCTTTATCTGCTATAAATGGCTGGCTTTTCAGCTCAAGTTATTGTGCGCTAGCAATTCTAATCCAGCATATAAAAACATTCCACTTAAACACCAATTTTATAACATTAAACCTGCACTGATGCAACAGCAATCATATTTTTACACAATAACCCATGATCTTCAATTCATAAGGACCTCTGCCTTTCATGAGCTATTTGTTGGCAAGGATGAGAGTCATCTCTCTTGCCGTACATTACCTGCAAACAGTGCTTTTTTCTTAAGAAAAAAAATGTTTAGGGGTACTCTCATTTTCCTACTCATATTGAAATATTGCCCCTCAATGAGACCAAACTTAGATTCACAAAATGATTAGGGGTATGCATACCCTGCGTCCCCCCCAGAAAGAAACACTGCCTGCAAAAGTAACTTGCACAACATGTTGGCTTGTAGGCTCACTGAAGTCATGGATGCAAGCATGCTTAGGTAAATAACCTCAATGCAACTGCAACACATCCTCAGGGTGCTTGAAGCCTAGCAGTCCCAGCATGTAGCAGCACAAATTCTTAAAACAGCTTAATTGCAATAAACGTCAGACTTACAAGTGTAAAACCAATTACAAAAACATATCCACACACAATGAAATTTCATCAAAACATTTAAAACATCCATAATTAAGAGGTCTAATAAAACAAGTCTATTAAAACAACATAAGAAAGCAGATAAAACAGCAATTAGATCACAAGGTTAAGATCAGGAGAATGCTTGTTTAAACAGGTGTGTCTTCATGAGCCAGCTGACTGCCAAATGGAAGATTTATAGGGATATACCAGCTGAAAGTTTGTGCCAATATCCCTGCCAATAATTTTACTCATTCAAATGTATGCCAGCACCAGAGAAATTCCATGGACAGGATCTAACCAGCTAGATTGCCTTTCCTCCCCAGCACCTTTTAGCAAATTGGAAGGAAAGGACACATTTTAGAACTCAGCACAAATGTTCACAAACTGATAGATTTTACTTCCCTTCGTCCCTTGATTCACTCAGTGAACCAGATGTGTCCATATCTAAAGCTACCAGAAAGCGAAGCAAATGAAGAGTCCTAGAATCTCAAATCATTTTCAGCTGCCTGCCCCTCAGAGATATACAAAGGGTGTCATCCCACTGCTCCCAACCAGGACACTCACTCTTCTCCCACTAAGCCAAACTTAGTCCCAAGGCATACAATCTATGCACTCCTCTGTCTTTGGGTCCTAACCTCATACAAACAGAAATCTTAATACAGTCTCTTTCACTGAAAACATAAGTACCCATCTTCAGATATGATATCTGCAACCTGAGGGACCCCATTCTAGGTTGGACTAGCCAAGGACCAGTGGGATGGTCAGGCTCTGACAAGAGTTCTTCATCTCTTGCATGCGGCAGGTTGCTTGGTTTAGGCCAGAGTTAGATAACTAGTGGTACAGGTCCTGGCCCAACCTTGAATCACACGAAACTGTTGTTGGGCCCCAACGGCACATCTATCTTTTAAACAAGGTGTGGTAAAAATGCAGCCCACAGATTCACACACAAGGAAAAGAAAATGCTTTTCAGAAACTGAGAAGTAGAGATAACCCAACATCTTTTTTTGTGTGTTTTATATGGCACACCCTACTCATTAGCTCCTTAGAGAGCCTGCCCAGTTCCAAGAGGGATTTTTTGTGTGACATCTTTTTGTGGTGGGAATTTTTGTGTGGCATCTTTTAAAAATGAAGAAGCAAAAACCAAAGCTTGGCTTCTGAGCCCCAGTAGACTATCATACATGATGAAGCAAGGGTGCAGACCTGCCTTAGGTGCTCCGAAGTCCTATAATTTAAGTCATTTAAACAAACATTTGAGTAAGTTATAAAACAATGATTACTTTTAAAAAATTGGTGAGCTGCTCTGCGTAGCCTCACTACTAGAACTAACACTGGTTTTGCTCCCCACACATTGAATCTTTTCCCCTCAGTCCACCTTTTTCTGTAGTTAACAAGTTTTTCTATGACGAGAAGTTCAGCGTACATAACGCCTTGCCACACCAAGTATTTTTAGCATGCGCTCCGGCACTAATTGTCAGTACCTGTGAGTCTCAGCCACAGACACCACCGACTAAGCAGAAAACAGGAGTCAAGATAATGCACATTTTGTAGTCACAGGGACAATTCCTTATTTAGAACTTGCAAGCTTGTCAATACCTGAAGATTAGCTTTCAGAAGAGAGAAGCCATGCCTGGAATAATAACAGAACTGTCATCCAGTATAAAGGAAATAGTACTCTTGCTACCAGCAGCTTCCACGATCAACCCAATCATTCAGAGATGTGCTCCCAAGCATTTTGCCAAGTACTCAGGTGCTGCATGTCAACCTTCGTAGAAACTGGAGCTTTCTGCCCCCTAAAACCAGCATTTATCTTGTGATCCCTTGTAGTGCATTGGTGGGGTGGCTGGATGAACTCTTTTATCATATGCTCACACACAAGCCTTTTCTTAACTTGGTCCAAGAAAAACGAGCAGACATCTTTCTTGCCACCATTAGGTCCAGTCGTGACCGACTCTGGGGTTGTAGCGCTCATCTCGCTTTATTGGCCGAGGGAGCCGGCGTACAGCTTCCGGGTCATGTGGCCAGCATGACTAAGCTGCTTCTGGTGAACCAGAGCAGCGCACGGAAATGCCATTTATCTTCCTGCTGGAGCGGTACCTATTTATCTACTTGCACTTTGATGTGCTTTCGAACTGCTAGGTTGGCAGGAGCAGGGACCGAGCAACGGGAGCTCACCCCGTCGCGGGGATTCAAACTGCCGACCTGCTGATTGGCAAGTCCTAGGCTCAGTGGTTTAACCCACAGCGCCACCCGCATCCCTTACTACTGTGGAGTAATCCATTTATTATTATCATCATCTGGCACCCTACCTGCCTTTTGTCAGGGCAGATAAGGCTCTGAAGGAGGACTATGCTTTTTGGACAGTGGTGATGCCTCAGAGTCCCCTGCACCTTTAACACAGGCAGCAGTCAAAAAATCTCGCGTGCCGTCATCCTTTGCATGATGTATTTCTTTTATCTATTTAAACAATCTATGTACCACTTAACTGCAGTCACCCCTGCGTGATTTACAAGGATACAATACAAAAAGCAAATGGCAGTTGAAACTATAAACCCACACTTCAATTAAAATGCTTGCTGGGATATTTAAAGAGTCTTCAGCAGGCCACAGAAGTTCTGCACGGAGGAAGCTGCAACTTAACTGGAAGTCAGTTCCATAAAACTGAGCTCACAATACTAAATGTGCAGCTCCTGGTGGGATACGAGCCATGCATCTAAGCCACACGGGACTACTAACAGTCATTCACCTGAAGATTTCAGGGATCAGGCTGGGAATATAAGGGACTGGGCAGTCATTGTGTATCCTGGACCCCAATTGTTAAGGGCCTTGCAAATAAATACATACAAGAACCTTGAGCCTGCGCCAGTAGCATACAAGCAGCAGCCAGTGCAAAGTTTTGAGCCCCAGTGTTATGTGCTAGCACTAGTCTGTCCCCATCAAAAATCTAGCCACAGAATTTTGCGCCAGCTGGAGCCTCCAGTCCAGGCACAAGCATACTTCTTATCTATTGGCATAAGAGAAGAGTGATGCTACACAGGGGCTGTCTCTGGTGCAGCTGGCAGAATGCTCAAGGTGGTACCTTACTTTTTCCAAGGCACACTTTAGCTCATCTTGTGGCACAGCAAATGCATTCCAGCAAACACTTACTGCTGGGAAAGTTAGTTCAGCTATAACTGTCCGTAAAGGGATTCCAGGGAGGGTGGGAAATATACCTCAGACATTCTCAAAGCCTTCCCATGCCCAGCTGCGTTTCACTTTGAAATGCAGACAACATCCTCCTTCCCATTCACTGTGATGCTTTAGAAACAAATAAAGGTGGCGATACCTAGAGGGACATGGGTGGCGCTGTGGTTTAAACCACAGAGCCTAGGACTTGCCAATCAGAAGGTCGGCGGTTCGAATCCCCGCAACGGGGTGAGCTCCTGTTGCTCGGTCCCTGCTCCTGCCAATCTAGCAGTTCGAAAGCACGTCAAAGTGCAAGTAGATAAAAAGGTACCGCTCCAGCGGGAAGGTAAATGGCGTTTCCGTGCGCTGCTCTGGTTCGCCAGAAGCGGCTTAGTCATGCTGGCCACATGACCTGGAAGCTGTACGCCGGCTCCCTCGGCCAATAAAGCGAGATGAGCGCCGCAACCCCAGAGTCGGCCACGACTGGACCTAATGGTCAGGGGTCCCTTTACCTTTTACCTAGAGTTTAAGCTAGTTGAACCTGCAATTCCAGCATGCAAGGGGACTAGTCATGGCATTACTCGGCAGGGAGAGAAAGACACTTTGTATATGCTCAGTAGCAGTGGGGAAATGAGTCAAAAGAGGAGTTCCAAGGCTGAGATCCGGGTCAGATTAAACCCAGCTCACCCACAAACAGAAACAAAAGAAGCCCTTGTCGATGTTGTCGATTTATTGTCTGTGATACTGCACCGTTTGCCAGCTGCAAGGGTTATGAGTGAGGCTAACTGATTCTTCACCGTTGATAGTTGTGGGTCAGCCACATGCACTTGGCATTCAAGCAAGCAGAGTAATTAGTTGCCTTGTCCAGCATCCAAAAAGAATGCCATCTTGGATGTAATTTCTGGTGTGCAGAAGACTTCAGTTTGGCAAAGCTACCCATCTCAAATTAGCTCATCTGACTGTACAGCAACCTCACCAAGACTCTCAATCAGAATTTCTCAGACTGTGCAATAGGATGCCACAAGAGGAGCTGAAACGTGTGTTGAAAAATCAAATCACTTTACTAAAGGTATCCATTACAGTGGTGCCTCGCAAGACGAAATTAATTCGTTCCGCGAGTTTTGTCGTCTTGCGATTTTTTTCGTCTTGCGAAGCACGGTGTCGGGAAAGTTTTGGAAAAGCTTCAAAAATCACCAAAGTCTTTAAAAACCTCAAAAAAGGCTACCACACCGCGTTCTATGAGTTGCTCCTCGAAGTCAAGTCGCAACTGTATTAACGGTGTTAAGAAAAAGGAAACAAACTTGCAAGACGTTTTCGTCTTGCGAAGCAAGCCCATAGGAAAAATCGTCTTGCGAAGCAGCTCAAAAAACGGAAAACCCTTTCGTCTAGCGAGTTTTTCGTCTTGCGAGGCATTCGTCTTGCGGGGCACCACTGTACTATATGCCCTCAGAACAGGGAAGTCCCATGAAGCATCTATCTCCCCATCATCCTGAGAGAGTAGGAACATTTGCCTCAAGTTTCCCTAACACAACCCACACTACAACTAACAGAGGCAGGGCATTCAGGAACATTGCCTCTGCCCAGAAACAACAAACCTGTCTCCCAACTCATGAGTGACTGGACAAAGAGGAAGATGGGATGCTAGGAGAAAATATTAACTGGGCTACCTTGCAGTTGCAAAAAGGGGTGCCTATTCATGGCTTTGGATAACTAATTGAAACAGCTCTATCTATATACAGTTTCAGCTATATGCTATCCAAATCACAAGCACTTAACTCCTCTCTGGTTTATTAACTGTTGCAAATCCAATTGCCAGGCATGAATCTACAATTCTTGCCAATACAAGTGTGCCTTGAAGAAAAAGTACAGCCTACACTTTCACTCAGAGCAGGATGGGAGGGCTCCTCAGAGCCGATAAAACTGATCACAGAAGATACACAACAGTTGGTCTAGCTTCTCAGGCACCCAGGTAGGAAAGCAATTGCCCTCAAGGCCCACTGTCAACTTGAGGGAACACCTCTTAAGCAAATACCTGGGAACAAATCTAATGGCTTAGGATTCGTTGCTTTTCTTTTGTGGAGACCCTTGGCTTTTAGCTAGGATTCCATACGAAGTCCTAAGCCAAGCTCGCTTGGCTGAAGTGGATAAAAAGCTGTATCCATCTCAAAGCTCCACTTGCTTCCTCACATGCATCCTGATTTCCTGCTTTGATTGCACCTTCATTCTCCCACTTATACTTCACCAATGAGATTTCAGCAGAGGAGAAACACTTGATGTACTTGTTGCTCCATTAACCTGTTGACGATATCCACTCCCAGGGCTTTCATGCTGTCCTTGTCTACGTGAGAATTCTGCATGGTAGCTACCACCTAACTCTCTGTCTCCTGCTACAATTACAAGAGCATCACCTATGAGCCTCAGGACGTTTGTAATGACCAGATTTATGTTTCTCACCTAGCCACACTGGGTGCTTTGCATGTAGAAGGTGGCAGTCCCAGTTCAATCCAGGCCTTGGCATCTCCAGTTTGGTCTGGGATAGACCCCTGCCTAAGATAGCTGCTGCCAATCGGTGTAGCTGGAACTAGGCGAAAGGGATCTGTAGTCTGACTCTGTAGAAGGAAGCTTCCCACGTTCCTAACATCAAGACACAAATAAAAGTCTCTAACCATTACCAGTAGTACCAGCCTTCTCACCAGGCAGCATACTGCTGTAAATTTTGGAGCCCTATTAAAGGAGTAATACACTGATCAATTTCGTGTATTATTATTATTATTATTATTATTATTATTATTATTCCTGTTACAGGTGGGGACTTTTTTGTGTGCTTTCTGGCTCCGGCAACAAAATATTCTGAGCAGTGTCTGATTAGTCTTTAAAAAGAAGTCAACAGGAAGCTAAAGAACACACAATTGAGAAGTATGTGGCTTTTTTCCCTCCTCAGGCCCAGTTATTGTAGTCCAGGAAACAACTAAATATTTAGACTGTTAGACTAGTTACCAAGACCCTCAGAACTAGCCAGCTGCAACTGCCCATCTTTTGACCATTTAAGACCATCTACAGCCAAATCTGCAACAACATTCATGTGTGTTTATATAATACATCCTTTAACTTATGTATCAAGTATTCTTAAAAGCTTGAGAGAAGGGACAATGCACTCTCAAATGACTGTTAAAGAGGCCTATCCTAGCACAAGACTGCACATTCTTAAAAAGGCACCATGGAGGGTGAGGGCTGAGGGAGGGTTCAAAAAGGAAAAACAGCAATTCAGAAGTACTGGCAATATTCAAAGTAACAGCCTCTTTGCCCAGCCGAGATACAACTTTAATAGTTCTTTTCGAATTTATCTGATACAATGTACCTAGGGATCACTTTAACCCTGTGAACTTACCAGGTGGCTGCCAGGAAATTGCTACCTTTCAGCTTCCCATCTGTATTATGGGACCACAGACTCATTTGCCTTACATGGAAGCAAGACCTACCTTCCAGGGTTGCTTCTTGGGAGAAAAGCAATGACAAAACTAGTCAGCATCTTAAAAAACAGAGACATCACCTTGCCGACAAAGGTCCGTATAGTTAAAGCCATGGTTTTCCCAGTAGTGATGTATGGAAGTGAGAGCTGGACCATAAAGAAGGCTGATCACCGAAGAATTGATGCTTTTGAATTATGGTGCTGGAGGAGACTCTTGAGAGTCCCATGGACTGCAAGAAGATCAAACCTATCCATTCTTAAGGAAATCAGCCCTGAGTGCTCACTGGAAGGACAGATCCTGAAGCTGAGGCTCCAATACTTTGGTCACCTCATGAGAAGAGAAGACTCGCTGGAAAAGACCCTGATGTTGGGAAAGATGGAGAGCACAAGGAGAAGGGGACGACAGAGGACGAGATGGTTGGATAGTGTTCTTGAAGCTACAAACATGAGTTTGACCAAGCTGCGGGAGGCAGTGGAAGACAGGAGTGCCTGGCGTGCTCTGGTCCATGGGGTCATGAAGAGTCGGACACAACTAAACAACAACAATATAATGTGCGTGAAGCACTTTGGAAAATAACGTAACACTGACTCAGCTTGCAGGTGACAGAGGAACTCTCAGCGAGAATTGCTCTCCACCATCTCCAACTCTCCATTAAGTCAAGTCAGTTGTTGAATCCGCCCAGCAGCCTACTTCTGCCCACCCCCAAGGGTAGCACCTTGAAATCTGAACAGTGCCCTAAATGGTACGGTGCATGCAACCTTTTCAGAGCGCCACTGTGGTGCAAATATAGCATTTTCCCTCTCCTCCTGAAAATGAAAGAAAGATACGACGTACACCAGTTTCACCTAACATGCATCTTCTAGTACAGCAGGAGCCAACATGGTGCTTCCTACAGATGTCATGGGACTCCATCTCCTATCAGCCCCAGCCAGCATGGCCAGTGGTGAGGGCTGCTGGGAGCTGTAGTCCAGCAACATGTAGAGGGCACCACAGAAAGTGGCTATGCTTGTCCACTCCTAATTGCAATGGAAGCTACCCCATTTTATACCAAACATGGTAATGTGACTGTTGAAATTGAGCCTTTATCATTATACTCAACCTGCTTTGTGATAGTTCAGTCTTTTAACATAATGTGATCAACAGCTAGAGACTTCATTGTGCTGAATTCAGACAGTGAACTCAATGGGGCTTCCTTCTAAATTGACAGGCACGGGATTGTATTAATAACGGGTGGGATGCAGTACTGACCAAGTCAATATCCCATTGATTTGAATGTGCAGCCTACAGATCTAGCAAGGTCACTGAAAGTAGACTCCACTCTTGGAAGAGAAGCTTATTCCACCTATCAAAAGGATCTAAAAAGTGAAGGCGGGGAGAGAGAGAATATTACATTTACAAAGGGTTTCATTTACAAATGATTAAAGTGGAATATTGATCAGCATCAAATCCATGAATGCAAATACTGGCTTTGCTTAAATTGAAGTTTTTCTCTACTCCTCCCCATCATCCAAGCAATTTTAGGGATACTTGGAATATATGGAGACACCCTTTAATAAGCCTTATGAACAGCAATAAAGGGGAGAGGATCACAGCAATTCCCTCAACCTCAACTTGCTCATCTTTAAAACGGAACACCCACACTCATAGGGTTGTTGTGCAGATGTGTTACCTATTGCAACAAACTGTACAACAGCTATAAAGTGCAATGGAACATCATCACTACAAACATCAGTCTCTTTACCTACAGACTGGAAGACAGCCCAAGAGGCCTGCCGTTTCCTGGTTCCATTCTGGAATTATTTTTGACAAATGAAGTGTTGTGGTGCCTAACAGCTAGGTAAAATAGCCGAAAGAAGTATTAAAGATGGAATTCTGAAATACTGATAGGTGGGAGAGAGAAACGCTTTGCTAAGGAAGAATCAGCATGCCTTGGGCAAAGGGAAGTCCTGTATCACTAGTCTTTTAGATTTAAGTGTGATAAACAGGTTGACTGGATGGTCTTGTACAGCGCATACTTAGGCTGTCAAAAAGTCTGTCACTAAAGGTGAAGTGGCAGTCACTAGATAAGACAGGTACACTTATGCATTAGCAACTGGTCAAAACAAACAAGCAACAGATCATAAAGCATTAAGTGGACAATAATTGCAGTGCAGGAATGTATACTGTGGTACCCCAGCAAGGATCTGTACTGGTACCAATGCTATTTAATCTGAGTCAGGGTGAACAGTAATATAGCCAAGATGACACCAAATTATACAGATGCAAAGAGCTCTAAATGAATTACTTCATGCTGGCTGAATGGGCAATAGAACAGCAAATGGTGTTTTATATAAGCAACTATAAAGTAATGCACACTCTCAGTCACAAACTTAGATACTGTATGTTATATATTAAGTGCACACAAGCATGTACACATGCAGATGGTATCTATCTGCAATTTTCCAGGAAAGAAATCTTGGGGTCTTGGTGGCAAGCTCAGTGAAAGTATTATTTAAACATCTATAGACCACTTTCATTCTAAAATATCAAGGTGTGCTGTGGCAGTAAACATGGTCAATTCCTTGCTATGTATTATTAATAAAAGGACTGAAAATAAAATGGTCAGTATCATAATGCCCTTATGTAAATATATGGTGCAGCTGCATTTGGAATTTTGTATCCAGTTCCAGCACCCTCATTAATAAAAACTAAACACTACATTAAACACTCCACCACCTGACAATTATTTCTCATTTTACCTATTGTTTCATTCATTGCCAACAGGTGCAGGTGTAGGGAACAGGTCTCTTAAAGATTACACATATCTCCTTTTCGTCAAACATTCAGTTTCTGCACACTGCATGTACGCAACTGTTCAGCTACTTCCACAGGAGAACTGCACCATGGACTACTGCATGTGTGAACACAACCTGGGTGTTTTGTTTGCTTTTCCCAAGAAGGCATCGTTCTGACAGACTTCCACAGCATTAGAATCTCCCACCCCCCCAAAAACTAGACACCTAAATCTCTAAGCAGATGCTTCCCAAACCTTTCCCCTCCTAGGGGGCACTTGAAAATTGCTGATGATCTTGGCCGACCACTTGATGATTTTTCTGCCTGTTGCAGCAACTGCTATGCACTGTGCTAGACACCGTATGATTTTTAATGGTATTTTTATTGCTTGTTTTATACCATGTATCACAACTTGGATCCCACAGAGTTCAAACTACAATGCAATGCGTGACACATACAAAGCCGTAAAAATACAATTTAAAAACCGATATGAATCTGTAATGTGGGTGTGCTGTGGACCATCTGAATGACGTTCATGAGTGGTCCACGGACCACAGTTTTGGAATCCTTGCCCTGAACTAGAGTGAAAGGAATTTTAAGAACCTTAAAAAAAAAGAAAAAAATGAACCCATTAAAACTCCAAAAGGCAACCTTCCACATGCCCTTCCCACATTAACTCGGGCCAATTTGTGTCAGCTTCCTTCCACTCTGTTTGATGCAAAAGCAATCAAGTTAATAACTTAGGAACTCGTGTTGATCCCCAGAAGTCAGAAGTTTGCTGCCAAAAAAACAGACCTACAGAAGGCTAGAGAAGGCTCGGCTCTCGCTTAAGACGACAGCAGAGATCCGAGGGGGGAAATCTGCCAGTGTTTCCAAGAAATGAAGGCGAGTTTAAAAACGGAAGGGGAGAGGATGTCGAGCCGCAACATCTTGCCGAGACCTTTGGGAATCACCCGTGTTTTAACCCGTCTCTCTTTTTTTTCCGCCCAAACACCAACCGCACACACACATAATCACACCTCTCGGATCCCCGCTCTAACACCCGCCTCCTTATCAGTTTGCTGCATCAGTAGCCATGAAGTTTTAACAAGCCGGGGGACGCCGCCTTTCAAGAGAGGTCGATGCCTTCCCCACATGATTCAAGCAGCATTTTTTTTCTTCCTGTCGCTGTCAAGAGTTGCAAACTTGGGCGGTGGGGGGGGGGGGCTGGATTTAGGATTCAAGAAAGGAAGGAAAAGGGAGCGTTATTTGATCTGTTGCTTCTTTCCCCGCCGCCGCCAAAGCCACAATCCCTCCTGTATAAACAGGATCAGGGTGATCTGATAATAAGAAAGGCAAGCCAAATATATATATATATTTAAAATAACAACCAACCACCCCCCACCGGAGGTGGTTTGTAAAGGGCTGCAACGAGAAGCTTGCAAACTAAGGCGAGTCGAAGCTGGGCTTTTGAGCCTCCCCCTCCCCTGGAGGGGAAAAGCCAACTTCTGCTGCTTCTGGTCTCTTGTCACTGCCGCCCCCCGCTGCCTTTTGCCTTTTACCTGATTGCATAAGGGGCTCGGCTCGCCCTGGAGCTGGAGCGGGTTAGGAGCCGCTTTGTAATCCCATGTTCCCGGAGGAAGCCCTGTTGCCCCTGCCGAGGAGCTCCGTGAGGGATGGAGGCTCGCTAGCCCCCGCTCCGGCTCCCAACCCTCTTCAGCCGAGAGCTGGCTCAGCAGCACATCCACATGGTTACTGCACTTCTCGGGCTCTCTGCGGCTGATTATATAGTCCCCGCCGGCTCCATGGGCAATGTAGTCTCCGCCGGAGAGATCCTGCCTCCCGCTGCTAGCTGGCGGGGCCTCAGCGCGGAACTACGATTCCCAGCATGCACCCCGCTCCAAGGGTGGGCTGCTGAGGGAGGCTCGCGGACGGGGCAGTGTTACACTCCCTGTGTCAGATCAAAAGGAATGTGTTGCAAATGAGCGCTGGAAGCCAAAAGTATTTCCTAAGCCGCTATTGGCTGAGCTTTTTTCCTTTATCCCCTCCCCGCTTTCCGCCTGTAAACCAATTGTTTGGCCCAAAAGCAGCCCACCTTCCCATCTCCAGTGTAGGGAGGGGGTACTCCTGTTTCCCGAAGAAAATGTGTTTCCATTCAGTTTCATAGACATGCTTCCAGAGGAATTTTGTTTGGAGCATTTATTTCCTCGCCCCCCTCCCAATACTTTTTGGAGGCGGTCAACTGTCCTTTGAGCTGTCTTGGAATCAGCCAAGAATTTCAACCATCTGTGACATTAAAAAAGAGAGAGAGTCTGTTTTGGGACAGGATTGAGCAACATGCATATGTAGTATATATTGGAAATCTCCTTGTAATAACTATTATGAAAGGAAGGGGGGGGAGTGATGACAGAAAGACAACTCATTAGTCTAAGGATCAGCCAGATGTAAAAGTACGCAGCAATATGCTGGTTTGTGACAAAGGACATAAAAACACCCCATACTGCTATGAGTTTGTGGCTGGGACCAATAATTAAGGCTTGTGTGTTAAAACTGTGTGTCCGGTTCCCACATGTTAGACTCTCATCAAGACCTGCATGTGTGTAAGACACCTCTTTCATCCTAGGGAATCAACAAGTGTTAAAAACTAATTAAGTCAGGATAATTTCTTTTTGAGGTGATGGCCTGGGGATGACTCATTAAGACAACAGCAAGGATCAAAGATGAATCTCACCTGCAAATGAGTGGGCTCCCTCCCTCCCCACAGAAGATAGTTTAAAAAGACAATGCTAGCATTTTAGATTAGAGTTTAGGGATTATGGTTAGGAGTTATGCAACAGAGTTAGTAAACTAGTCTGGAGAGAGAGAGAGAGCCAGAGGGCAATATTTGAGAGCAATGGCTGGCATAATGACCGCAGTCTCTGCTGTGCTTCATTTCCAAAAGGAAACACAGACCCTGGGTAGGCATGCCTGGTACCCTGGAATCTTGCACTGCTGTGGAGAAGGGTGGTGTTTAACAATGCATTTTAAGCATATCCCCCTCTCCAAAGAATAATGGGGCCTGTAGTTTGTTAAGGTTGCTGAGAGCTGTAGCTCTGTGAGTTCTCAGGATTGTCTGGGGGAAGCTACTATATGTGGTGATGGATGGCTTGCATGAGATGTAAGTGTTGTTGAGGCAGTTGGGAGCAGTGACCATAGTGCTATTAAATTAAATATACATGTAAATAGTCAATTTCCCAAAAAATGCAATGTGGTCACATTTGATTTCAAAAGAGGAAACTTTTCCCAAATGAGATTGATAAAAAATAAATTGAAAGGCAAAGTCAAGAGGGTCAAAACACTGTCCTGAAAGAAATGTGGGCTGTGCAATAGTGTAGGATTACTGTTTAATGGGGTTTGCACTGAAAAACTTCCCAATTAATGGGAGGGAGGATGCCATTTGGATTTCCTCCCTCGACTATCAAGACATCTTGGTGCCAACTCTGTCCTGGTCTCTGCTTATAGTATGTTGCTTTACCAGAAGCACATCAGTCATGTTGGGAGTTCTGCAGGGGATCAGGCTAAGCAGGATTTGACCTTGAAGCAGCAGGCTGTGGTTGATTACCTTAATTTCCAGCAAAGGTTTTATGGTTACAATCCACCAACCACTGGCACTAATAATGCACAGCACTTCCACTAACCCATGCAATCAACAGATCTAATCCCATTTAAATGCAAGCTTGATGGTTTAAGTGGTTTGTCAATGGCATCGTAAACCCCCTTAAATGGTTTTTGACTAACACTGCACAGTGTGAAGCAATGGGGAAAGTTACTTTTATTAGCAATAGCAATGGGCACATTGTTGAATTTCTGTGAAGTTTGCAGAACTGTTTTGGAGTCCTTGTCCCAAGTAGATGGACAAGGTCACTGAATTTACGTACCACAGGAAGTAGTGTGTTAAGATTCAGCCTTTGTTTATATTCACATTTGCACCAGTGATGCACAGGGTGGCTTCAGTTAGGATGGACTGAAGCCTTGGATAACTTCTCCTTGGGAAGATAGACAACACTGAACAATCCTAGATGTGCCTATAGCTTGACCCAGCATAAGACATCTAGGCTTAAACCAGAGTTTTCAAGCTCTGCAAGGAGCAAGCTACAGTTCCCATGACTCTTTTGGAGGAAACAATGAATGTTAAAGTGTGCTTTCAATGTATGGTGTGGATGATCAAAGTTGATGTAAAAATGGATTTCCTGCATCTGTAGCAGATAGGGTTATATTACCCTGAAGAAACCTTCTATTATCCTCTTACCAGGGAGTAAGTTCCATTGAATGCAATGGGGCTTATGTGTGAGTAGATATAAGTGAACTATGTAATAATGGTAAAGTATGTCATATGCTGCAAAGGGCTACTAGAATATTAGTGCATTTATATGAAGTTCATGTCTTATTTTAAAATGTGCTTTATTTCATTTTTGCAGCCCTACAAACTTCTTGTGGTTGGCAACCCAAGGAGCCATGCTTGTTTTTTAAAATGGAAATCCTTAACAAATACTTCCCCACCCTTCTATATTGTTCAAATCACTCTGACCTTACGTAGCTGCAGAGGTTTTTTTGTTTAAAGGGGGAGTTGTAACTAAACAAGGTTATGTAACAGCCAACATCCATCAGTTGGAACTTACTGTGGTTTAAAAGTGTATTTTATTCAAAAATCCCACTAATAGGATTAGACACAGTTCCCATTAGCAATCTTATTACTACTTGTTCACAGTACTCAGATCCCAACTTAGTTTCCCACAGGCAAGGGAAGAAGGAACATGCTCGTTTGTTTAAAAATTTCCCACTGGCATTCTTTCTTAAACAAGCATTTAAATATATAGTACATTCACACACAGTCTGGCTTATTCTATGTAGTTTCACCAAAGCAGATGTACTGAATGAAATGCGCTCATGTTCTCTTGTGTCTTCCCCAGGACTCTTCAACCTCGGGGCCCCAGATGTTGCAATACAATTCCCATCGTCTCTCACCCTTGGCTAAACTGGTTGGGGATTATGGTAGTTGTGGTAGTCCAGCAAAATCTGGGGATCCAAGGACACTGACAACAGGCTATGTGTGCAAAGTGCTTTGTCTTCAAGGTTCCCACCAGTAGAGTTCTTCCCAATGTGCTCTAACTGTGCACAATCTGCCATAGCTGTCAACTTTCCCCTTTTCTTGCGAGGAATCCTATTCGGAATAAGGGAATTTCCCTTTAAAAAGGGGAAAACGTTGACAGCTATGTCTGAGACTAGAAAAAATATTCCCCCATACAGTGCAGCCCCTCATGTAATTAACAGCATCCCTGGATAGGATTTGCATATGGGTGGTGGTATGCTGTGATTATGCCCTATCCTATACTCTACTGTAGCGACATGTAGAGCAAGAGAGGAGCCCTACTGGACCAGATCAAAGACCCCTCTAGTCTAGCATCCTTTTCTCATAGTAGTCAACCAGATGCCTGTGGGAAGTCCACAAGCAAGTGGAACCTGAGTGCAACAGCACTCTTCCCATGTGTAATTCACAGCAACTGGTAATCAGAGGCATACCAACTCTGAAACTGGAAGTATACAGCCATTGTGTCTTGTAGCCATTGATAGCTTTATTCTCCATGAATTTGTCTAAGCCGCTTCTAAAGCCATCCAAGTTGGTGGCCTTCACTTCATCTTGTGGTACCAAATTCCAGAGAGAAAATGTGCGCTGCTATAGTAATTGTAAAATTATTTTTTCCTTCTCCAAGGACTTCATTTCCCACTAATTCCTTGTGCCAGCTGTGAGGTTACTGTAAAGTTGAAAAGCCTCTCCCCGTATCAACCAGCCTGGAACCAGCAATCATCATCTGAGGCCCTTATTCAAGGTCTGGAGGGTGGCAGCATGAGAATGGGCCTTTTCTGCGGTGGCTCCCCGTTTATGGAATACATGCCCCAGGGAGGCTTTCCTGACACCTTTGTTACATATCTTTAGGTGCCAGGCAAAAAGCATTTCTCTTGTCCCAGGCCTTTGGCTAATTCAACAAACTATGGCCTTTGAAACTAAGGAAGTGGGTGTTTATTGTTTTTGTTTGTGACTATGATATGTATTTTTCTATTGTAAACCACCCTGTGAATCCTCAGATGAAAGGAATAACAACAACAACAACAACAACAACTGGGCCATCAGTCTGAGGTCAGTGAGATACATAGGTCTGATGTATTTCAGAGGCACAGCAGGTGCTTCCCCATGCCTTCACAAGCAAAGATGTTGATCCAACAATATCACTGTTAAGTTGTGGGTGAACATATCAGATGACACAGCGATTTTTCAAACAGCTCTTGTTTATTCACAGGCCAGAACAGAACTGAATTGAAGGGTTCAGCCAGCCTGCTTATATAGACCTCCACTAGAACACAACAGTAACCATTTTCTGTAACTATCCAATCACTGAACATCACTTTCAATCCCTTATTTGCATATGTGGACCTGAGTGAAAACTATCTACAGTATCCCCCTGCTGGCCCAGGGTGAGAACTTCAGTACATAACAATCACGTCCTCTGCAACTCTGGGAAAGGGGTGGGCACAACTTAGCACAGCAAGACTGGTGAGGAGATGGGACAAGGTGATGAAAACCTGCCTTTCACTGGGACCTTCCCCAGGATTCTCTTCCTCAGGCTCTCTGATCTGGGTAGGTATCTTCCCAGCTCACCGGATTCCCCCACCCCAGGTCACTCCTCTGGTCTGTCCTGTCCATCACCCCCAGGGCCCATGACAATCTGGAAGGATATAGACTATGGCAGAGCTTTCCAAATTTTTCATGTTGGTGACACACCTTTTAGACATGCATCATTCTGCGACACAGTAATTCAGTTTTACCAGCCAACCGGGGGTTAAACTAACCCTTTTCCAGCCCCCGGGGGGAGTGTGGGGAGCGTTCACAGGACACACCTACACACTGCAGCTGACACACTAACATGTCACGACACACAGATTGGAAAGCTCTGCACTATGGTATAAATGTGTTCTGCCTCTTTTTAGCCATTGCAGCAGCAGACTTTTACTAGCGTTTAGCAGATGCACCAGTGACATGTTAAGCCAGCACATCTGAGAACTTGAGC